GGATGTTTGGGTCCGGGTCGGCGATGATCTTGAGCGTGTTCTGGGTATCTGTGTTCCAGGAGTTGAGCACGTCACGGACGTGTTCGTACCGGCGCAGCGGCCGTTCCAGGTTGAGCTGCTGGAAGGACTCGACGATGATGGCCGCGTCCGGGACGATGCCCTCCGACAGACAGTCCGCGGCAGCGTGGATGAGGTCCTGTGCCTGCGTCGAGGGCGTGACAGGCAGGCTGACGGAGGATTCGTTGCATGTCACCCTCACCTTGCGCTCTCCCGCGTTCACAGCCGAGACGGGTGCATCGACACCAGCGCCGGACGTATTCACCTCAGCTGTCTGCTTCTTCTTCTTCTTCTCCTTGTGCGAGCGGTCCTCTCCTTTGAATCTTCCCAGCAGGCCGCCTCCTTTCTCCTTGAAGAGCTTCCCTCTGCTCTTTTTTGTGGCTTGAGCTGCTGCCGCTGCTGCCTCTTCCTGCCGGGGGTCAAAGGTGTTTGGTCCCATGCCTGGCTCGACAACAAAGTACGGAGCAGCAGCGGCAGAAGGGGATGACGGGTGAGTCTCATAGCTCTCTCTCCCGTCGAAGAACTGTCTGTCATACTGTGGTGTGTTTGCGTACGAGTGGCGATTGGTCGAGCTGCGGTCGAGTGACGGCCTTGCGCTGGGCTGGAGCGGGGAGACGACGGGGGCAGCCTGTGGCATGGAGACCCTGCGCGAGGAGGACGACGGGAGCGCATCCTGATCGTAGTCGTAGTCGTAGTGGCTGTTGCGATGCTGCTGCTGCTGCGAGTCTGGAGGCAGCGGGAGAGGAGGAGGCGGCACTCTGGCAGGTTTCTTCCTGTAGCGAGACATGCTCCGGCTGATGGATGCACTCTGGTCACCACCGCCGCCGCCAGCAGCAGCACCACCGCCAGCACCGCCAGCACCACCGGGAAGACCGTCCTGGGGAGCCCTGACGGATCGATAGCGTGACAGCTTCTGTGGCGCCAGAGGTTGATACGCGTCTGCTGAAGCCATCTCTTCCTGTCTTCCTGTCTCTTCTTGTATGTTTACCGGCGTAGCTTCAGACTATTAATCGTTAGTCTCCTGACAGCAGCAGTAGTGACAGCGACAGACAGCGACAGACAGTGACAAGCAGGAGACTTACCGCACTCTTTTGTATATCCTGATCTCTTTTGACTGTAATCCCGGCCTGGTGAGCCTCAACTTCGATTCCCTGTCTGCCGTCCTTATGCACATCAGCTCACTACGTACGAACAGGACAAGGATGGACGGGCAGACTAAGTAGAGCGCTTTAAATAGGAGAAACCAGGGGGAAGAAGAAGAAGAAAAGTTATCCTCTCGCTCAATTGACTTTGCGAAAGAGAAAAAGAAAGGAGAAAAGTGCCTTGTGTGTTGTTCAGGGGTTTCTCCATCCTACATCTACATCAACATCTACATCATCTACATCTACCCACGTCTACATCTACATCATCTGCATCAACATCTACATCTACATCTACATCTACTCTGTCTCAACGGCAAAGCTAATCGGTTACGGTCTTGGCATCGAGATCGATGAAGACTTTACAGAAGATCGTATTGACAAGTAGAAGAAACTATCATACAGACGAAGAGAAGGATAAGAGAAGACGAGAAGATGGAAGTGGTAGAGATCAAGGATACGCCCGCGACGGCCTCTCCATCTCTGCCGTGTGCCGCCGACCGTTGCTCACCGGCTCAGACACATAGTACGTCTCCTTTCGCGTGTGGCTCTGGCTCTGTCGTCGGCTGGCGTAGGGCAGCTTATACGTCGTCGTCGTGAAGGCAGTGAGACGCGACTTGCGGGTCGAGAAGAGGGTGCACTTGAGGATCCAGCACAGCAGGGCGAGGCCGGCGACGCTGCCGACCACGATGCCTGCGATGGCGCCGTCGCTCAGACAGTCGCAGTGCGGCGAGGACGACGATTTGGGGAGGGAGTACGCTCGTGGTAGTTTCTGCGCGGCCGTTAGCAGCTGATGGATGTAGATGGATGGAGATGGATGGTGTGGGAAGTACCATGGTATGTGGTTGTTGGTCAAGTTGGCCCTACCTACACACGATACGATACATGCCGTACTTATATCTGTAGAATCACAACGCCTACGATGATGTCAGGTACGGAGTGGATCAGGGTCCTGGCCGTGGCGACGTTAAAAAGTTGAAGCTTTTTACACATGGCGACATGGATGTCCCCATACTCTGATATTTAAGATGATAACCTCCGAAACACCTTGCGCTAAAAGACACATGCTAACCAACGAGATACAGAAAGTTCAAAGACTGCCGGGTTCAAGTAAAAACTGCCGGGTTCAGGTAAAAACTACCAGGTTCAAGTAAAAACTGCCAGGTTCAAGCGTTCTCCTGGTGCGTAGACAGGCGCTTTGCCCTCCCCGAAGAAGCGGTGTTGGGCGGTCCATCCGACGGCCCAGCAGGTTGAGAGTGAGAAGCCCGGGACATCAGCCCTCCATCGTCCCGGAAGAGGCCCGAGGCCTGTCCGGTCGCAGCAGAGATGGCGCTGACGTTCGAGTTGCGGCGTCTCAGCCGCTTCGTTGCATCGTCCATTTCCTTGCGGTGGAGAGCCTCCGAAGGTAGCAGTACCGCTCGGTCGAGCGCATATGGCAGCCCACGGTGTCGCCCTCGAATCTCCATCGCGATAATCACTAGCTTGGATAGGGTGTGGAACTGCGCCGAGAAAGAAGCGTTGCTGTTTGGGTAGCCGAGCGACAGGCCCACCGTGCCATAGGCGGACACCACCTCGAACAGCACCGCGAACAGCGAGAAGCCCACGTCGGTCTGGTTGTCCAGACGGGTCCCCTCGATGATGGAGATGACGAACAGGCCCAGGAAGATGTACCAGATGTCGAAGCTAAGCTGTTTCTGCAAGTGGGCGCCCACGAAGCTGGGTTCCTTTTCGTTCTCGCTGTACTCGTCGGGGTCGGAGTAGATGCCCAGGCTGCGCTCTTCGTACACGTTGGTCCGACGCACGGAGATGGCGATAGGGAAGACGGATATGTACATCATGATCATGTACGATACCTGGATGGCGGGGTGGAGGGTCGTCAGACTGATCACCGACAGGCCCGCGGTTCTCGTGGCGGCCGCCTGGAAGAGACCGTCGACAAACCGTATCCCGCCCGGGATGCGTGTGACGTCCGGGTCGTTCAACTAGACAGCGTTAGCAGAGAACAGCCATAAGAAGAAGGGTAAGAGAAACATACGTCGAGGACGACGAAGAAGATCAAGTCGACGCCGTTGAGTAGCACGAGAACCCAGAACAACCACCAATTCGCAGAGCTGGGGAACAGCAGCGTAAAGCAGCGTCTCGGATGGTCCAGCAGAAACTTCAGCTCCTCCCACACGCCGCTCCCCGTAGGCACGATCTTGGAGAAAAACCAGATGATAAACCGCAGCATGCAGGGGAACCCCGTGTTTCCGATCAGAATCAGAAACGTCATCAGAAGCATGGGGAATACCGCATCATAAAACGACAGCATAGAGTCAGGAGTGACGGTGAAGCCCTGGTCGTTGAACGCGGAGCCGGCAGAGAACACCGCCCACCAGGGCCGTCCCTGGCCAGCGGCGCGGACAACCTCTCCCCATCTGGTGTTCAAAATCCAGGGGGTCAGACAGACGATTCCAAGAAGGTGGAAGAAGAAGAAATAGCCCAAAAGGACGACCGCCAGAGTCTTGAGCGCTCTGTACTCGATGCCGCCTAGTTCCTCGCGCTGGGTCTCGGACAGGTCCACGAAGGCAGAGTTTCGCCCTATCGTGGGCTCCCAGCTGAGGTACGGCGCCTCCTGGGTTTGGTCCTGGGTGCGAGAGCGTAGGAAGCTTGCCACCATTGACTTTCGGGACGTCACCCGCCGAATGGTCGAGGTGTCGTCTACGTCCCTCTCGCCCTGTCTAGAATGAGTGGCCTTGCGTGTGCGGGTAATGTTTGGCTCGTCGATAGTGATATGCTGGTTGATTGGCCCCGGAGATGTTGGGAGAGAAGTACCCGTCTGGTCGGCCGATGGGTCCGACTGAACCGTGGCGTTGCGATGTAACTCAGACCCCTCCGTTTCATCGAGTGCCTCTGGCACGCCACCTCTGTCATATTCTCGGGGGCTGGGTATACGCAGAGCTCCGGTCTGCCTCCTCTGGTGCTCGAGGAATGTAATGTGTCGTTCACTGTCCGACGGAACAGACCACTGTATCCTCGCGTCTCCGGGGAAGTGAGACGGCGCAAGCAGGGAGTCGTCCACCTTGGGACCCTCCCTGGCCTGCTGTCCGTTCGCCGTCGACTCGCCCTGCTGCCCTTCAGCAGGATTCTGGAGGGACGAACCACTCTCGGAGGTGGTCTCTGGCTCCTTCTTCGGGGCATCCAGGAACCGTCCCTGCGCATGGCCTTCGTTGTTCCGAAGCACTACAATGTCACGACCACGAACTCCGGCCTCCGCCCGGTGCACGTCGTTGCCGTCATCTGGCTCGCGAGTATTCGCCCTGGAGCGTGACCGTGATCTCCTCAGCGCCTTCGCCTCGCGGACAACGTGCTGGAACCGCTGCTCAAACCAGTATAACCGGACAAAGACGACGGCCGAATGGATGACAATTGGATTGGCGATCATGGAGCCCATCCACAGCCAGACTTGCTGGTACGTGTAGAGCCGGTTCACATCGATGGTGTTGAGCCCACTCTGGGTGGCAGAGCCGGAGGCGAAGAAGAGCGCATCGACGTAGGTCATGTTTCCGCCCGGGTACAGGATAATAGATCCGACAAGCGTCACACCGATGATCCAGGCATAGTGTAGACATATAAAATTATAATGGAGGTCTCTGAGGACAGGAGTCTTCTGCTTGATAGCCATCAGCTTCTCGAGGACAGCTGGGCTCGGCCTGCACCGTTCAAGCGCAGCCTTGACGGTATCCATCCTTGTCCACGCCTCTTCCAAGATATAGATATTCGCTAAAAGTGTATATATATATATGTATGTATATGTATAAGATTGCGTCGTTATATCAACTCCGGGCCGTCAATTCGACGACGCTGGGCTATTTAAGCCGTGGTTTTCAGGATCATGGGATGGTATGGTTCGAAGAGGTGATATTGAAGCCCAAGTTGGAGGAGTATTCGCAGCGCCCGGAAGATAGGCAAGACCACAGAGGTCCTTTTTATATCATAATATACGAAATAGTAAGGGAGGAGCCTTTGTTTCTTCGCCTTGGCTATATATCTGATTGGAGAAGCGATACCGCGGCGGAGAGTGTTGCTGAAAGGCGCAAGCTGGATGAGGTTGGGATATGCATACTGGGGGAAGCAGACACAACCAGGGAAAAAAGGAAAAAGGCAAAACAAATGAAATTTGATAGAAGAAGAAGAAGAAATGAAGAGAAGAATAATAAAAAAGAAGCAGAAGTAAAAAAGGAAAAAGGAAAACCTCCCTTTTTTTTTTTTTGCTTCCCAAGTCGAAGGTTGGAAAAAAGCGATATGGCGGGTCTTTTTTTAGTGTGTTGTGATGGTTGGCGGTGGAAGTACCAACAGCATACTAAGTGGGTTGGGAGAAAACAGTCAGTGATGGTGAAGTGGAAATAAGATGCAGCGTGGAGATACGGAAGGCAAAAGAAGCTTCTTGCTACGGTTTCATCTCGATATATAGAAACAGAGGCATCAGGGGGTTGAAGGTTGAAGATGATATCAACTAAACCAAGTGATAAGAGGATGGACTCACCGCTCATAGAACAAGCCAGGTCGAGCTTTTGTGGTCATCCCCCCCTGTACATAGTACGCCTGGTACGGCCATCTCCGCCTGCGAGAAGCTCTCCGAGACTTTTTCGTTGGCCCAGCTAAAAAGGCAAAGAGTTGCAAGCTCGTCTGCCATGTTTATTGCGTATATGCAGCGTGACGTGCAGGTTCCTCTGCTGCGGCACCGGAGTCGTTGTCCGCATGTAACATCTCCTTTCTCAGATAGAAAGGGGGCGGAAAAAGAGAAGATCGAGCCCTATACCCCGATGAAGTAAATCGTTGGACCTTCACCTCGTTAAAAACAAACAATCAGCTAGCCCTTGCATCCAATAGGAGAGCTCTTGCTGTCCCCCCCGGACCCGCGTGTCAAATAACGTGAAACCCTGCATTATTCCCATTATCAGAACCGTCTCGAGAAATATATATGAAAAAAAAATAAAAAATAAACTCCGAAGCCGCGGGTAAAAGAGATGGGATCCTGGTCTTTTTAAAAAAGAACATTAGATACACGTGGAGATTCGTTGGCTGTCTTCAACTGTTGAATCGATTATTATATTGTGATACATTCTCCCTTCGTCTAGGCAAAGAGAACCCGTCTAGGCTCGGGCCGTAGACTGTTGGGCACCGTTCGTCCCATGAATATTCTTGGCTGGATGGAGTTGCTCCTCGCTGTCCCATGGCGCACTGGCGCTTGTGACGAGTGGGGGTTCGTAGGAATATCGTGCAAGGGCAGTGCTGCCGCGTGCCTTGGGAGGAATCGGAGCATTCAAACCCCCCTGTGCCAATGGCACGAACGCTCGAGGGAACAGGAAAGACAGTGGCTGACGGATCATCGGTGTGCAGGCACAGATGATACCGGTGTTACACTCAACAACGCTCCATATCGTGGCTGGTATAGGGCTCCCTTGGATCAGCGTCAGCTTGTATAAAACCACCGCCATGCCGGCCTCATTCCGAAGAGCTGCTTTAATTAAACCCAAGGGTCAGAGCACTTACAGGTGGCGTCTGTCGATGAAGCTGACGCGGCGATGGTAGTTGCTCGAATGATGCTCATGATACAGACACTGGAGGTTTCGACCCGTTAGTTCACAGGGGGGGGCGCTCCGTAAGAGAGAACATGAAGAAGCAAATAAAAAAAGACAAAGGATACTTACAAGCCGCCAAGGCCAAAGACGAGTATCAGCGCGACCTTGTCCTCTTTTCGAAGTTGCAGCCGAGCAACCTGTTGGATTGGTAGACCCAAGACTATGAAGTCGGAAGTGATGTTGATGACCGAGTACGACAGCCAGAATCCAAAGTGATCAATGCAAGTCTTGCTTGAGATACTTGGGTCCCAGAACGCCTCCATTGGATGGCATTGCCAGACGGTTGCGAAGCAAAAAGCAATTCCGACCAAGATGTTGAACACGATCAGGGCCTTGCACGCCCAACGGAACGACTTCTCGATGGCGAATATTCGCAGGTAGAGAAAGAGAATCGAGCATTTCGACAAGGAGATGACCAGTTTGTAGAACACTTGCGCGACGAAGAACCACTTTGTATCCAGTTAGCTATCAGCTATGGGCCCCGTTTACAAGGCACAACGATGTCTGATGCAGCATATTAAAGCTTATTCGGGCTTTAAATAGTAGTTTAAACTAACCTTCAACGCCCTGATGCGATGCTCCGTGGAAACGTCCTGGTCGTGTTTCCCATACCCCTCTGCCACGGCTAGGATGATCGATCTATCAGCAAGTCCTCGAGAGAGGGGATGTTTATTGCGTATACATACCACTATTTTCGGCCACGGTCAGCGCGATCGAGCATGCCTACTCTGCTCGTTAACATTCCTACCCTTGAAAGCTTCCATCTCATAGTTAACATATGCATACCAGTGCTACCAGGATGGTCCAGTCGTCAACCTTTATTCCGGCCCGGAAACATCTTGTGGCCAGTCGGAGGAAAACAAAGATGGCAGCTCCAACTACCATTCCGATGCTGGTTGTCCATAGTTGCCATCCCCGGTTTGGGATACCGTCGGTAGGCAGTCCGATGTTCAGTTTCATCGAGAGGAACACCTCTGCCTACAAAGAAAGCTGAAAATTGCGGCCCTGTGGGTATACGAGTGCGCCGTGCTCCCATGCAGACCGCCGTTTTTTTTTTTTTTCAGCCAAAAATCACCCACCGCTTGGTTTTTCTCGGCGGGGATGCATATGTACCGGAGCTGATGCGGTGCTCAATAGAAAGGCACTTCTTTAAATGTCTGGAGATACAGGTGTGCCCCCAGATCTATGGGGGTAATAAGGATGGGTTAATTTATCCTAAATTTTTGGGCTGAACACATTGTTTAATTTATAAACTGCGTCTGAGCAGTTCCGGAAGGAAGGATATTAACCGCCATAGTCTATGGAGCCTAGTTGCAAATCCTTTATGTAAAAAGCTGGAAACATTCCAATTGGGAGATCGGAGTGACTGTAGGCCTGGTGTCATGTTTGCGCTAAAGGCCGGGGTCTGACATTCCATTCTTGACCCAAGGTGGTTGCCGCGAAGGATTTCGTACCTGAGACGTAGAACATGTCAAGTATCAATGTTGATAGCTTTGATTGTTGGGTTTCCGTTTTATCTAACCATCCCGGCATGGTCGGGGATCACGTAAATACTTTTATATTTTGACGAAGCAGCAAACGCTCGCATTGGTCTATTGGCTAGCCAACGACAGAATTTTCCCGGGCAATGACATGGGTCTGGTCTGTTATCCCCGAAACAATCTGCAATATTCCTAGCTGTTGTGTAGTAAATGCATGCATATTACCAGGCATTATACGTCACCCGCAAGGATGCTGAACAGGGGAGGGCCTTCCAATATCAAAGGAAATCCGGTGCTGACATTGTGTCCAGGCCTTCAGCTGTACGACGGCAGCTTCTGGAATTCATATTAATCGCCCTGGACAATATCTTCCTTCCGGCAGCGCTACTCCCCATATTCGTATGGATTCATCCCTCTGGAGAATTGAGGGTAGCCCCCCTGCCGTTTGTGGGGCTGGAGAAGCCGCTCGGAGCTAGCCATGGAACCGGCTGCGGTTACGCTGGGTCACAACCCGGCCATTTATTTGATAATGAATATTACCAGCTCAACATTCCGAATGGGATGAATGGCTGGTTGTTCCCCATCGCGGAACAATTCGTATGGCTAGTTGCCGGAAGCTGGTGCCACAAGGATCTGCTGTTGGTGATAATGCAACCCAACAAGACAACCACCTACCAAGTCAAGTATGGTCATAAATGAATCCATGAACAAACCCATGTAAAGCAATCCATGCAGTTGACCACCGCATTAGCTTGAGTGATGGGGTGCCATCACGTAGGCGACGCACAAAGTTGCCACAGTAGTTATGTCACTTGGGGATCTCTCGTCAATCTCGGAATGTCCCCAATACCGGTGAATCAGGGAGGAAAGATCACCAACAACAAACGCTTGATAAAAGTTCGGGGTTAGCATGGCACTCATGTTCTCCGTTATTCAGTTGCTCTTCACCATCCTGCTTGTGCCAGATGCAGTAACAGGCTCGACGGTGAAGACGACTAGCGGACAAGTAACCGGTCATGCGTCGACATCACGGCCATCGGTGGTCGAGTATTTAGGAATTCCATATGCAAACGCTCCGGTTGGTGATCTCAGGTTTGCACCGCCAGTTAGATTTTTCTCTGATAAGCCCTTTGAAGCTGCAAACTTTGTAAGCCATCAATTCTTCTCTGCGAGCATCTAACTTCAATTAATCTTTTTTTTTTTTTTTTTTTTTTTGGAACTGAGTATTAACGGAAGCTTGCTGTTCACTAGTCTCTGTACGTCCTTAAAAACTGCCAATAAATGCCGTTTAAGTCGATTGTTGGCTAAGGCATTTCTAAAGTGACTGTCTCCAGACCCCTAGCAAGCCAATTAAATATCCAAATGAAACAGCTGTCCTGCGGCCGATTATTGAAAATTTTGCCGGCCAAAATGTGAAGCCTCAGAGCGAAGATTGTCTGAAATTGAACGTTTGGGCGAAGAAAACGTCATCTAAGAAGAAGCCGGTGTTACTCTGGATTCACGGCGGGCGTAGGTCTATCCTATCATCCTTTTGAAGCAGCCATATTAACAGAGTCTAGGTTTTGCTATCGGTAGTACGAACAGCCTCTTCTACCAAGGTAAAAATCTAGCGGATAAGGAAGACGTTATAGTGGTATCGATTAAGTACGTCACGCCCTGGCCTTGCTACTGTTAGATTCCTAATTTGATTAACTAAACTAGCTACCGCCTCAACGTCTTTGGTTTCCCAGGTGCACCTGGCTTACCCCAGAATCTGGGGTTGCTTGATCAGCGGATGGGAATAGAGTGGGTTCGGGACAATATTGCCGGTTTTGGGGGTGATCCCAACCGTATTACTATTTTTGGCCAGTCTGCTGGTGGCGTGGCAGTTGATTACCATACATACACCTATGTCAGAGACCCTATCGTCAACGGTGTCATATCTATGTCCGGAACAGCTTTGAGCATGACGCCAAATACTCCAGAGCAATCACAGAAGTATTGGTATACTTTATCTGAAGCACTTGGATGTGGCAGTTCCGGGGATACTCTGCCTTGCGTGAGGTCAAAACCAGCCACAGATGTTTTAGCAGCAGTATCCAAGGTACCACCAGAGCCCAGCAAGGCGATTCCTCAACCGGTATTCCATCCGACAGTTGACGAAAAAATCGTCTTTTCTAACTATGAAGAACGTGCATCTAAGGGGATGTTTGCCAAAGTCGTAAGTTTAGTGACGTTCTTTGAACATGAGGCTATATCTAATCTCACTTGACCGCATAGCCATACCTAGTCGGAAATTGTGACTACGAGGCCGGATACTATAAAGTATCTGCGTATGCTCAGAAAATCCCTCTAAGCGATAAACAATGGCACTTGTTTAACCTAGCTGGGTTCACATGCTCTTCTTCTAGAGAAGCGAGATACCGTGCTGCAAATGGCGTTCCGGTTTGGCGATATAGATATTTTGGGCAATGGCCTAATTCAATTCTATACCCCGGAAGTGGGTCATATCACGGCAGTGACGTGTCTCAATACTTTGGCACAGCGGAGGATGTCAGTAACGGTACTCAAAATACAGATGCTGAGGTTAAAGTTTCATCGTATATGATGCATGTGTTTGCAACTTTTGCAGCAAATTCCCATAGGGGTTTATTTAAGCTCGGTTGGCCAAGTTATAAGAAGAATGGCAAGGGTAAGCTCTCGTTTAATTCCATTTCCGCTGTCTCCACCCTACATACTTCGCAGCGAATTGCTAATAAATGGGAATAGGAAATACAGTAGTGGGACTGGCTTTTAGGAACCGAGCTCATCCTACGTATTTCCCTCCTTTTGTATCGGATAAGGATTGTCGGCTGGTTGGCACGGATTCATCTTATGCTCAAGGCGGGTTCTAAGAATGTCATCTGCCCGCGGAGAAATGTATGTAAACCTTACGTTAGATATTGTCATTACGTAACATATAGCGGTACATTAAGTAATAAAAGAGCTAGGAGGAATGCATGATTTGTTCTTGAAAACTATCCACTATGTAGTTTATCGCACCTACATTACTTACATAGTATGGAGGAATCTCCGCTTCCGATTCTAGAGTTTATATCAAGAAAGCGGTGGTCCGTGCATAACCTTATCGTATTTTTATTGATCCGTGATAGTTAACCTGATTACGTAATATAGCTAAATCCGACAGGCAGAACAGTGAATTGGAAGAACAACCAAGTAAATAGCACATTGGAGTTACAACGTGAAAATACTATCACCTAAAAAACTCATCAGAATCAAACAATGTGTATCATGGGCACATAAGACAGAGACTAGCAATAATATGAGAGGATAGGAAAAAGATTAATAGTATAGGACGCAGAAAGTATGGAAATGGGATATCAACCACTCTGGGGAAAATAAATATATCAAGAATAACGAATTGTATGGCAACACACCCAAGCCGTATTTCTATCAAGATTGAATGTGGTGTTAATGTATTTTCAGTTGCGGTTCTCATTTCACTATGGCTCAATCCATTTGTATTACTGATCGGGAACGGATTTGAGTCTCCTCTATATTTTCTCAGTGGCCAGGGCCTTATTGCACCTGACTGACTATCTCACTGGCCTTGGTGAGACTCTCGACCATTCTCTGACATTCCTTGCGCCGGCGAACGGTGAATTCACTTTCGCGGAGAAGGTCGTCTGGTTCTTCTGCTCGGTAGAGATTTCCTAGTAGCTCCCTTTGCATTTCATCCTTGGTGAACCTGGTGGTTATATGTTAGTAGGGGAGGGTAGCTGGGTATAAGGTGTTGTGGTAGCTTACTGAACCAGTGTTAGCATGATGGCTTTGGGGACCATGTCAATCATTGTTCGCTTGACAATGTTGTAATATGAGTTGATCAGGAGTTCTACGGGCGGAGGGTTAGCTGACGGAATACATAGAACGATGTTAGATGCTGAACATACTTATCACCTCAACCTCAGTGTTTTCTCGCTCAGACAAGGTTCCAGAAGCTTTCAGAATTGGCGGAGGGGCTTCCATTGCAGCCATCTTCTTCTTACTATTCTTTGAAGAGAAGAAGCTGCCGAAAAAGCCTGGGTTGGAGTCTCCTAGATCCATACTGGGACTTGCCGATCGCTGCGGTAGAGTAGCTGAAGGGGGAAGGGGCTTTCCGGTCTTTGGGTCAACTTGCGTTGGTTTAGAAGCGTTCTGTCGCTCGTTGATAATTGCCATCGCCTGTATGTAAAAAATTAGTATACCTTGTCACGGATATGGAGCACGGATAAAAACTCACCCTGTGTCCGGTTATGAAGTCGGGATGACCGGTGTTGATGTAGCAAGCCTCCATAGAAACAAGATCCTTAACAAGCTTATTTGTTGGTTCCATGACGTTCTTGAAAAAGGCTATTACGACCCCATGGAATCGTTCCTTCAGCTGTGGATACCTCCTGAAAGGCTGCTTGTTCAAAAGCTGGGCAAGAATTCGGACGAGTTCATCGTAGACCAGGGAAACACATTTCAAGCTGGGTTCTTCGAGCCTCTTAATCTGCTGCTTAACAATGGACTCAAATGCACCTGTTCCTACGAACAAAGCAGGTGAGGGACCGGAGGAGTTGTACAGCATTGTCCTGATATCGATATCCTTGACTACATCAAAAGGATCGATGGCCTTGACGCCGTTCGAGTAGAGTTCATGGAAAACGAAACTGATACGTGCACCTCCGGAAAGTTCAACAGACGAGAGTTCTTGGTTGTTACCGTCCAGGATTGTTCGATACTCATTGCTAAATTCTGTGATGATATTTAGAATGATATTGGCGCTGTTTCCAAGCATGGAGTCACCAAGCTGATTCAGTTCGGCGGTGTATTTCTGAAGAGAGGATGCAATACGGGCTTTGATATCGGGAAGAGTTTGTTTAATATGCATCATGAGTATCTGTATCGAGTGAAAATGGTTAGTGGTAGGCTGAAGCTAATCCGATATTCACAGTTGTACGTACCACATTGAGCTTCCTGGCCAGGTATGGCGTTCCGCAGTAGGCGGATTTCGAAGAGTAGGTAGCATGGTTTTCAAAGAAGTTCTTCTCGTGCTCAAGGGCATATGAAATCGTCCGTTTATTCTCAATATCTCGCTGTCCTCGATTCACAACTGGCACGTAACCGAGTCGAAGTGGAATAACTCTACCAGCGAGAATATCCACAACGTCCGTTCCGGCATCCATAAGATCGACCTTGGTCAAGACTCCAATTGTCCTCTGGCCCTCTGGGTCGACTTCTCGAGCGAGCTTCAAACCATCTGAGTTGGCCAGATCCTGGTTCGCAGCTGTGACTGCGAGGATAATCGCATTAGATTTGCTGATTTGCTTCAGCACCATTTCTCTTATCTGCTTCTCGATATCCTTTGGCTGATCTCCCACCGGCACCTTTGTGAGTCCGGGCAGATCGACGAGCGTGAGAGTGAGGACATTTGGAGAGTAGATTCTCAAGTTGATAGGGGCGGGGGAGATTCCGGCATTGCGGCCGGTCTTTGCATCTGTCTCACGGACGATCTCTTCTCTGATTTTGTTGAAGTCATGGAACTTTTGGCCGGGGATGTGAAGAAACTCGCCATACTCGTCGACGTTGGCCTCGCTATCCGTGGTATCTAGCTTATCTTCCTCCTTGACACCGTTTGATTGCTTCTCGGCGCGGGGCTTGTTGATAAGTTGGAGGACAAGCGGCCGTCGGGTTACAATGCCAGACCCTCGAGGTAAGCTGTTATGTTTCCCATATTAACCGTCGAGTCCTTTTCTGATAAGGCCCTAACCAGTGCCTCAAAAAAAAAAAAAGAGCAGTATCCAAACTCACAAGTCTCTTCCAACTATATTTTCTAACACGGAACTCTTTCCACTAGATTGCGATCCCACCACGACTATCTGCGGTAAATCTATTGGGTTTTGTGCCTGTGAAATGTGCGCCGTATGTCAGGTCTCTTTCCCGGATAAGCGTATATGTTATAGGGGCGGAAAGGAAACAGCATACTCCAACGGTCGTAAAGACATCTTGCAGCTTATTGACAAGAGAGATAAGACCGGGGTCGTTGACGTTTATCCTACATCCAGGCAAGTTCCCTGCATTAGCATCATGGTTGATCGTTTTTGGCCTGGTTGGGCCATCCCGTACGAAGGGGAGAAACTCACGAATAGCCAGCTTGGGCCGCCATGGTCTGGCGATATAGTGTGCAGTCGAGCTGAAGGAGATACAGGCGAAGAAGGGCGGAAGGTAAGGAGGTTTCACTTGGAGTGTTTCTGGCGATTTAAGCAGGGCCTTTTTTGCAGATATAGCTTTTCTTCTCTCTTCTCTGTGTATGGTTTTGGGCGTTGAAAAGATAACAAGTTGATGCCAGAGAGTTTGTTCACGTGCAGCTGACCCTCGTCACACGCAAGAGAGACGAAGGCGATGAAGACGGCGATGATGGAACGGGCAAACAGTCTTCAAGAGATATTACGAAAAGAAAAGGAGTACCAAAGCATGAAGTGACTAGGGAAAAGAAAAGAGAAGGGAGGAAAAGGGGCCCTTATAAAGTTGTTGATATTGAATCAAAATGCTTCTGCCTTACACTTGTTCTACGCATACCAAGGGGGCGCCTCACCGACTGTACAGGAACTTAAACAGTCTATTAACTCGACGGACAGGATAGATTAATATGATAAATGGCTTTCACCTTGGTCCTGTAGGCCAGTTGATGGGTGAATAAAACATCTGTACGGACAAAAAAAAAGATAAACCGAAATATTTACTCATCCGACACCGAGGCGAACTTTTCAGACATGTCCTGGAGGATTTTCTCGTACTATAAAGGGCGATGTTAGCAACTATCATTGGAGTGGTGTGTATGGATGGACATACCTTTGCGGTGACTTCCTTCTCGTCGTCGGGGACCTCGAACTTCATGTTTCGAAGGGCAGTCTGGATTGCGCTTGTTGCCTCTCGGACCTTTGCCCAGCTCTGGCCTTGGGCGATGGCCTTCTGGCTCTCGTCGTAGTAGGAGACGAAAGCCTTCATCATGTACTCCGTCTTCCACAGAGGGCAGAACTGGTCGTAGTCGGAGTATCCGTTCTGCTGCAAAAAGTCTTCTTTGAGCAGGGTGGCCACGTCCAGCGTGATCTTGTCCGCGTCACCGAGAGCAGACTTTCCAACGAGCTGGACGACCTGATCCAGTTCCTCGGAGTTACTGAGCAGCTCCTTGATCTTGTCACGGAGCCGTGGGAACTCGGGGTGCTCCTTGGTATAGTACTTGTCGAGGATGCCGGTGTATTTACTGTAGGATATGGAAGTGTTAATCGACGGGAAATGTTTTCTCTGAGCGAGCTTCTTGTCGAGACCCCAGAAAACCTGGACGATGTTGAGTGTACTTGAGGTGACGGGGTCAGCAAAGTCACCACCAGGCGGACTGACGGCTCCGACGATGCTGACACTTCCTTTTCGCTCGGGGCTGCCCAGAGCGATGGTCTGACCGGCACGCTCGTAGAAAGAAGCAAGTTTGGCACCAAGGTAGGCAGGGAAACCCTGATCGGCAGGCATCTCTCCTAGACGACCGGAGATTTCACGGAGAGCTTCTGCCCAGCGGGAACTGGAGTCCGCCATCATGGCAACGTGTTTACCCTGGTCTCGGAAGTACTCTGCAACGGTGATACCAGTGTAGATAGAGGCTTCACGGGCGGCGACGGGCATGTTGGAGGTGTTGGCGATCAAGCAGGTACGCTTCATGATGGGCTCTTTGCGTCCATCGATGGTAATTGTAAGCTGTTCAAGGTGTGTCAGTAGACTGCTGTAGTAAAGATCGTGATTAATGTATTTACCTCTGGGAAATCCATCAAGACTTCAGCCATCTCATTACCACGTTCACCACATCCGACGTAAACGATGATATCACTGTTGGAGAATTTTGACACACTCTGACTGATAACAGTCTTTCCACAACCAAAAGCACCAGGGATACAGATGGTACCGCCCTGGACACCGGGGAAGAGAGAATCCAAGACTCGCTGGCCGACAATGAATGGAGAATCGGAGGCCAGCTTCTCGTTGACCGGACGGGGAACACGCACTGGCCATACGTGCATCATGCTGTACTCGGTCTTCTTTCCATTGAACTCGACTTCCAACAGCTTCTCTTCGACGGTAAAGCTGCCTGGGCCGGAGATGCGTGTGATGGTTCCGCGGGCTCTTGGGGGTAGGAGGATCTTGTGGTCGTGAAGAAGACTATTTTCGAAGACGGTACCCCAGACGTCACCGCCGGTGATGTGGTCACCGACCTTTAGCCCAGCCGGCTTAAAGTCCCATTTCTTCTTGCGGTCGAGGGCAGGCAGGGCCACGCCACGCGGGATGTAGATGCTCTCCGAGGCCTCAGAGATAGTCTTGAGAGGACGCTGGATTCCGTCGTAGATGGTTTCCATCAGACCAGGCCCCAGCTCGACGGACAAGGGCTTGCCGGTTCTGATAACAGGATCACCGACGGTGACACCCGCTGTAAACATGTTAGACGGCGTGTTTCTTCAAATAATGCTGTTATATAGAAGCAATTGCGTACCTGTCTCCTCGTAGACCTGGATGGTGGCTTGGTCTCCAGAAATACGGATGACTTCTCCAACGATATTGTCATTTCCAACATGGCACTGCGACAGAAGCAATCAGCATTTCCCCCCTCCATCAGCTCAGTTGTAGCAAAAAAGGAGCAGCCATCAACCCACCATCTCGTACATGGCACATCCTATCATGTTCTCTGCCACAATGACAGGACCAGAGATGGAGAAGACGACTCCCTTCTGCTCATCCCCAGCCTCCGCCGGTTTCGAGTTCTTGGGAGCCATGACTGGCGGCGACCTCGTCTCGATATGTGAAGAAGACAATGACGATATGCTCTCGATATCGGAGCTGTCGACGCTGTAGCTGTCCTCGGTGTCAGGATCGTTACTGATGTTACTGTCGTTGTTCGTAGAAGTGGTGATGTCGATGTCGATGTTGGTGTCGAAGCTGTCTGGTGGAGTTCGATCTTCTTGGTGCTGCTTTAGTAGGGCGCTGCAGGCATCAACGATGGAGACGGAGGCGCCCTTTTTGCGATGGACCAAGTCGAGCAGAGAAGGCTGCGGTCTCAGAGACGGTCGTCCCAGTCCTAGTATCATACAGCTTGCTTCTTCGTCTTTTTTCTTCTAATACTATACAGAGGTCTGAACCGTGTGATAACTAGGTACTGTCTAATCCTCACCGTCAACTACTATGTAAGGCGATTAAGCTACCTGTCTAGTCAACACAGCTGCCAAGATGGACTGATTTTGAGATACAACCATCCTTCAAGCCGATCATCTTTGTCTTACTCTCTTTTCTCTATCGTGAATAGTAGATAGATGGCTGTGTAGTGCTTCCTGGGGTTCAATTCTTCGGGGCCCAGCTCTCTAGGTCCTTTTATCGCCCCATAACATACCACATGAAGCTAGATGAATAGCTAGTTGATCTGATAGTCCGCAAGGAACGATCATCTGATGGTCCAGTCTGACCAGCCATGGCTTGTCAAAGAGCTGACTTGACATCTGGAAAGTAGGCATATTCAGGTTTTTTCGTGCAAGTTGACAAGCGTACCATGTGGGAGGCTATATCTCTCTCTCCCCTCTGCCGTAGGTCCTGTCCCTGTTCGGCCCGTCAAGCTCTGCCACGCCAGTACATGTATGTATCCCAAGCTGCAGCAACTCTCTCTCTCCCTTTATCGTACATATTGAATCGGAAGCCCGACGGCCATGATAGGCGGCACCTCGCCAATCACATGTGCTGCAAATTAGCATGGATAAGGAGGTCCAAGGGACTGAACAAGTCACTCTCCGCCGAAAAACCTGTGCAAGGGTACATGGATAAGTGCTGATAAACAGACTTCACCCACTCGCAACCGGCGCCAGACGTAAATATTCTTGTCAGATAAATATATGTGGAGGTACCTTACGCATGACGGACATGCTGGCTGGTGAACTGGAACTAGACTTTTTCTGACTGGGGAATCTCGCTTTTCCTGCTTCTGCTCCCTCTTAGCCAGCAAGAGAGAAAGTCGTGGCAGTCACCTTGGGCATCGAATAGATCCCCAAGGCTGCTTCTGTCGCTTCTGTCGCTGCTTGCTGTTTGTTTTATGGGACTTTGGGTAGAAGTTGCGGCTGGTAGTCCAAGTCAGTAAGCAAGCCGAGAAAACAGCATGGAATCGAGATAGAACTTATAGAAGCTACTCTCTGTATATATTTTTTGTCTTTTAGTATTTTCTACAGTCGAGATGTAGGGAGGTAAAGAAACCTGCAGGGCGTTGTGGCTGATCGGTTTTTTTTTCTTCGTTGTTGTTGAAGCTTGACCGTCAGATGCATCTTAAATATTGGATTTCGCTCCCTTTTTTCTCTTTCTACAAGTTCAGCTCCTTCAACCTCGCTGCCCACGACAGCGTAGACGTTATATAAGACATTTTATCAGCTGGAGATATCTTCTTCTCACGCTCTCTGCTTGTGCTTTCTCACCGGTTGCCACCGTCTTTGTCACTCCAGATCAACGCCTCATCTTGGCTATTCACTTATAATAACCATCTACAGCTCAGTACGTTTCTTCCTCTCTTTTAAACCGCTGTGAAACTCTTGAGTCGACGGTGAGGGCGTTTCTAACCTCTGTTCTTCTATCATTTTACTCCTATAGCTCCCTCGATAAAACCGTCAGAGAGATATCTCTAGAACCTCAGTTGTACTGTCCTGGACCTGGTCTCCAAGGCATTATATATCCATCTCTTCAGCTCTCTCTCTGACGATAACGGCCTAACTCAGCTGGTTCTTTATTGAACCAGACTGAAGGCCTCAGACGCTGCCTTCGACCTGGCAGACGAACTTCCTTCACATACACCTGTCTCAGCTGGACCCGGCCTCTCTGATCCCTTATCGAGCTCCGAGTGAGTTCTAAAACCTGACCAAACCACCACCAAAAAACCACTCGTTCTTGACCTGTTGCTAATCCTTAGGGATAGCGGCAACCAAAGGACAGAAACCGTTCAGCACAGCCAATCTTCTCTGGGACGACTTGATCAACCTTCCCAGCAGACAACGAGCGCACCTACAGAGGCCGGGCCACGCCGTAGTCGCCGTCGCCGCCGTCAAGACCTATCCCCTGATCAGCCAGAGAGTCCTGAGTCGAGACAGGTGAATACTGCTGGTGGAGCTGTTGAAGTTGGGCTCGAGACTGCTGCAGCTGGGCCTCAGAGAGACGACGAATCGCCACCCAACAAACGACGAAAATATACTCTAGACGATATGAGACCTGACGGTGGACCATCCCCTTCAAATTCAAACGGTGTTGCGTCTGTGTCGAACGGTGCTTCGAGTTCCATTCATAAGCAGCCCTTCTCAAACTCCCCCGTGGGGAAACAATCACAAGCCGGATACCAGGATGCATCTATAGCTAACGGATCTCTACCGCCAACATACCGCGGCCACGACCGGGAGGAAGTGACGAGGATATTAATACAGAGTCTATACGAGCTGGGCTATCATCAAGCTGCTTCCACGTTGACTGCTGAGAGCAGATATGAACTAGAGAGCCCTGGTGTAGCTGCTTTCAGAGCCGCCATATTAGATGGAAACTGGAACGAGGCGGAGAGAATACTACTAAGTTCCTTTTGTCCCGATGGGGATGCAGGCGAGGTAGACGGAGTGACTGGCAAACAGCTTTCGAAGCGAGACGGGCTGGTTCTGGCAAGCGGTGCCAACGAGAATGAGATGCTATTTTGTATAAGACAGCAAAAGTTCCTTGAGTTGCTCGATCGAAGAGACCTGGCAACCGCTCTGGTGGTCCTACGTCAAGAATTGACACCGTTAAATCATGACATAACACAACTCCACGCTCTTTCGAGGTTTGTTTTTTTTTTTTTTTTTTTTTTTCCCCTTCCACAGGCAGCTCACCTTGCACAGAATGTTTGCTAACCGTCTCTTCTAGTCTCCTAATGTCTACACCGGAGAATCTGCGAGCTCGAGCCGGTTGGGGTCGCTCTATTAGTGAATCTAGACAGGCTCTTCTATCTGAGCTCACTAGTATGTGTATCCGAAACGTTACCAGGCTGAAGAACCAGTCTTACTAACCTCTGGTTTAGGGTCTATCTCTCCTTCAGTCATGATACCCGATCATCGTCTGGCAGTGCTTCTAGATCAAGTAAAGCATACCCAAATAAATAACTGTCTATATCATAACACAGCACAATCGCCATCCTTGTACTCGGACCACTTGTGTGATAAAAGTGACTTCCCTCTTCGAACTGCCTTCGAGCTCAGTCACCACACCAACGAGGTTTGGTATTTGGAGTTCTCCCATGACGGGACAAAGCTTGCAACCACAAGCCGTGACTGCACCGTACTAATATATGACTCTACGACCTTTGAAATAATACATCGATTGACAGAGCACAGTGAGCCCGTCGCGTATGCTACATGGAGTCCAGACGATACCAAGTTAATCACTTGTTCTCAAGACTTCAAGGCAAAAATGTGGAATGTCCAGGTATGTCACTAACCTCCTTATTTAGCTTCCTTCATATACTTAGTTAAAAACAATCATAGACTGGCACCTGCATCTTAACAATAAACCATCACCATGCGCCAATCACTTCCGCTTCATGGGCACCAGATGGAGAATCCTTCGTCACAGGCTCTCTCGATGGCCAATCGCAGCTCTGTCATTGGAGTGTTCGCGGTGAACCCTTATATACCTGGCCCGGCCAATACCGAGTTCGTGATTGTGCGATAACTCCCGACGGCAAACGATTGATAGCAATATCCTTGCAGAAGAGGATATACGTTTACAACTTTATCACTCACGAAGAGGAATACAGCGTACTCTTAAAACTCGATCTCACATGTCTTAGCATCAGTGCTGACTCGCGGTTCATGCTCGTCAACATGTCCGAAAACGAAGTACAGCTACTAGATATCGAAACAGCAGAGGTTGTTCGGAGGTTTTTGGGTCAGCAGCAAGGCAATTTCCTTATTCGTAGCGCCTTTGGTGGAGCTGCTGAGAATTTTGTTGTCAGCGGTAGTGAGGGTATGTCTTATTTATTCTTGCCATTCTAGAACGACTTTACTAATGATCATTCTGGCAGATGCAAAAATATACATATGGCACAAAGAGAACAGCCAGCTTGTTGAAGCCCTTGAAGGCCATGTTTCTGGCTGCGTTAATGCGGTGGCCTGGAATCCTACAGACCCAGGGATGTTTGCATCTGCTGGAGATGATCGCAAAGTTCGGGTGTAAGTACATGCCAGAGCTATCTATCTAACGCTCCGTACCCTTGTTCACTCACTAATTATATTTACAGATGGATGAAGCAGCCTTCACTTGGCACAGCCTCCGGTAACAAATCCCGGAGGTCAATTAGAAGCAATCCATCCTCGAGCGCTGCATCTCTCAAACGGGTCAGCTAGAAATATCCCGGCCAAAACCCATAGAAGGTCAGAAATATTAACATCCGATTACATATTCATTACTTATGGAGTTTACTGGTTTTCCCTTATCATTCATATCCCTGTTACCCTTTTCACCTTTTTGAAAGTCGCCGCACCCCGGTTCACCACTTACAAGTATCTTGCATTATCAAGGGGTTATTATGCGTTTGGATCCTATTCACGACCACTCATTCGTTTGATCTGCTTTATATTTCCATTTTTGTTCTACCCGATAATCTGCTCATGGACGGGGTAGGGATGGATTGGTTGGAGGTTGGTGTGGTATCTCGAGGGGGAGGTTGACAATGCAGCGATTTTTTCTCATGGCTCTTTTTTCATCAGGTCTAGTAACCGGGGCTGTTTACCCATATATATCGTCTCTCGGCTTTGCTTTGCTTTCTCCCTCTCTTTTTGGCGTATTCTGCATAATACATCTCTTTCTTTCCTTTTGCAAGAAATTATTATGCTTTGATACTGGTTAAATATATACTACCAACCGACCACTTGAATTATCCATTGTGAACTGTCTGTTTCATTTCCGTAGGCAGCCAATCTTCCCTTAGAAGCTGACAGATGTTGATAATACAAGAGCCACTTTTTACATGGCGACAAAGTGTTACTTTAGCTTGTAGTGAAGGTATTGTTGGTTTTTGGCATCAATAGCCACCAAGGTTGGAAATTTGTACATTTTGCGGCCGAACGAACGTCGCGCTTAAATTAGAAAAGAATAAATTATGAAAGTGAGCAATCCTAAAAGTAGCCGAAGACAAGGTTAGCTACGATGTGGAAGAAAAATAGGTAGTGGATGGTTGTTGAGGGCCACGCACTTGTTTCGATAGTATCCCCTATTCCTCCACGAGTGCTCTTTCGAGACATGTCCCTCTTTACGCCGTGCGAGGTAAGAATATTTCTGGACGGTATTGAACCACAGGTCCGCGAAATCCGTTGTGCGCAAATGCATGCTATGTATGAACCGAAAATCATAGTTGCCATTTATCCAGGCACATTTCGACTCTGGCTGCGCCAAGTCAGGGCCCTAGCAGATAAGCCACAGATAAATTAAGCAAGCAGATCAGCAACTATTTGAGAAAGTTAGCAGAGACGTTGTTAAATCAAAGCAGCCATAACAAGTAGAGGGAATGACATACCATTCATAGGCATCTCATCAATCTGAGTTGAGTAGTAAAGTTCAATATCTCTCAGGATTCGAACATCTTCGCTAGTCACGAAGTTGATGGCAACACCTTTGCGGCCAAATCGTCCACTTCGACCAATTCTGTGAATGTAGTTCTCACGATTGCTTGGTAGATCGTAGTTAATGACTAGAGAAACTTGCTGAACGTCGATACCACGAGCCCATACATCGGTAGAGATTAGAACACGAGAGTTTCCCTGTCTGAAATCCTGCATAATGCTGTCTCGCTCCTTCTGAGGCATTTCACCATGCATACTGGATACCGTGAAGTTGGCTTCTCTCATCTTATCAGTCAACCAGTCGACCTTGCGCCTTGTGTTGCAGAAAATAACGGCCTGTGTGATGGTCAGGGTATCATAAAGATCGCAAAGTGTATCGAATTTCCATTCCTCTTTCTCCACAGCAATAAAGTATTGTTTTAATCCTTCAAGTGTCAACTCATCACGTTTGACAAGGATACGAACTGGATCTGTCATGAACTTGGTTGTCATGTCAAGAACATCGTAGGGTAGAGTGGCAGAGACCACAACAACTTGGGTGGCTGGGGGTAGATAACGGTAAACATCGTAGATTTGTTCCCGGAACCCGCGGTTAAGGAGCTCATCAGCCTCGTCAAGGACAAGCATCTTAATGTTGCGGGTACGCAGGTGACGGCGTCGGATCATGTCTGCAACTCGGCCAGGGGTTCCGGAGACGACGTGTTGTCCATGCTCTAGCTTTCGAATATCTTCACCAACATTTGTGCCTCCAATACACGCATGGCACTGTACGTTCATATAATCTCCTAAAGCCATAACAACGGATTGAATCTGCGTTGCGAGTTCTCGTGTGGGAGAGAGGACAAGGGCTGCATTGCGCTCAATCAGATCATGAAACAATTTACCGTCACTGGAATATCTGGAAACATACCCTGTGATTCGCGAAGAACAGTATCTATGACTTGAAGGATACTGATAGAGAAAGTAGCTGTCTTTCCCGTTCCCGATTGTGCTTGAGCGATGGTATCGCGTCCTTTGCAAATCTGGACAATCGCGCGAGACTGAACAGCCGATGGTGATTCGTATCCGTACGCATATATTCCGCGCAAAAGATTCTCCTTCAAATGCATATCATCAAAAGTTGGCGCGACAGTCACCTCTTTCGAGGTCGAGAACTCCATCCGCTCTACAGCATCCTATTAGCGACGTGACCCAGGGCAAAACCGGAGTAAAAGGAAGACTTACCATCAGCCTGTCTGTCTATACCGTCCGCCATATTTAATGAGGTCCGCAACGTAGGGCTCCTTTGGATATATTTTTTTGGAGGTAGATCTAGGTAGAAACAACTGCTCAGCTGGATTCTCTCATTGAATGCGACAAGAATTTGAGCTTGAAATCTTTTCCCTTAAGTGGTCACGTGAATCTCTTCTAGCTGAAGCTTCCAAAGCCCGAATTTTTATTGATGGGCGAAAAGGATTGACAGATGCGAAGCACGCTGAGAAAAGACCCAAGGAACGCGACAAGACGATATTCTTTTTACTCTGCCGCAGTGTTTGGTTATCGTGTAAGCCTAGTCGAACGCCGATATGTTACTGGAAGATCAGAGATTTATTCACGAAGACCTAGAGAGGCTTGAGCAAGGAATCACTGACCGCGTTGCTGAAGAACCTCGTAATGTACGTTATAACCAGTCAATTAGGAAGAATGTTAGAGACCGTTTGCTGATTATAGGAACGATGATGAACAGACCCGAGAACGACTTGTTCGTGACCATCAAGTCGCTGGCTTTCTCACTCGCATTCAAGAACAGTCCCAACGATTGCTCGATATATATCAAGATGCAAACGGACTTCGCGCCAAAGAGATTCAGTCACTGTCCGTCGGTGACCCGATGGAAGAGTTCTATAAGCATTTGGAAGAGATAAAGGATTTCCACCGCCGGTACCCAAATGAACCCGTTGAAAACCTCGAAAAGGCATACAGGCAGGGCTCTGGCGAAAACGATACCGCAATACAGGATATAGAGAATATGTTCACTGGAGAGGAATCGCTTGGCCAGTTCTTCGACCTCACAAAACTTCATGAACTTTACCTGAATTTACCGGGGGTGAAGAGATTGACCTATCTACAATACCTGGACTTATTCGACGTATTTACTCAGCCAGAGCTACCTGTGAAGAGGGCCAACAAACTCACAGATCAGTACTTCAACTATGTCGGCGAACTTGCTGCATATTTGGAGAGTTTTATCAAACGATCTAACCCACTGGAACCACTCGATGAGCTTTTTGCAAGCTTGGATACCGAATTTGCAGAGCTCTGGGAAGCGAAGAAGTTACCCGGCTGGAACGAAGAGTCGCAAAGCAAGAACGGTACCGGGCCAAAGACAGAAGGCTCTGGGGAAGGAATATGGTGCCCCGATTGCGAGAAGGAATTCACAAACGAAAACGTTTATAAGAACCACTTGAAGGGTAAAAAACATATACGAGCCGCTGAAGCAAAGCGAGGGGACGCCAACCCAGAATCGCAGCAACCGAAGGCTGGAGACAACAAGGATGCTATACTTCGTGGTCTTAAAGAGCGTGCAGTCGCAGAGCGTGAACATCGCATTACATCCTTAACGAAAGCCCTCAAAGACGAACGGCAAGCCACTCGTGTCAATGTCGAGAGAAAGCAAGGCATGACAGAGCGTGAACGTCAGATGGAACTCGACGCGCTTTTCGCCGATACTGGTGATAGCCGTACTGGTCCGCGTAGAGACTCTGATTCCGAGAGTGACAGCGACGACAAAGTTTACAACCCCTTGAAACTGCCACTAGCATGGGATGGAAAGCCTATACCTTACTGGCTTTACAAGCTACACGGCCTTGGGGTGGAATTCCCTTGCGAAATATGTGGAAATTTCGTTTACATGGGCCGTCGTGCTTTTGATAAGCACTTTTCAGAGGCTCGACATATCTACGGTTTGAGGTGTCTTGGCATTACGCAGCAAACGAGTCTGTTCAGAGAAATCGTCAAAATTGATGAGGCACTGCGACTGTGGGAGTCACTTGAAAAGGAACGAAAACATGAGCGGGATATCAAAGAGAATGTGGTTCAGATGGAAGATGCTGAAGGCAATGTTATGCCTGAACGCATCTACCTTGAGTAAGTCTTCCTCCTATTTTACTAGTGTCATTTGCAACGTTGCTAATAATGAATAAATAGCTTGCAAAAGCAAGGCATCTTGTGAGCGTATCTGTGTATATTTTGGTCACAATGTCTTTCTTTGGCTATGGAAGTCACTGAGGGCATAAGGTTACAGCTCAGTGTCTTTCAATAGGCCTACTTCGCCTCGGCCGGCAACAACCTAGTGGCAACGCCCTACAGGGCATCATCAGCAGTGTATGCTTGGTACATGGAACCTACAACGTGCAACACGTTTATTACGCGGAAGAAAGTATAGAATTAATGGGGCCTGTGTAGGTAGACTGGTGCTAGATACAGAAGTTATGTTTAGCTTACTAACAAATACAGTCAATATTAGGCTCCCCAGCTTCTATAACCAGCACTCTAGATTTTAATACACGTTGACTGCAGAATATGAAGGTGACATTTACTATTCCCCGAAACTGGCTGTTAAAGATAGAACTTTCAGTCGCTGGCAGCTTGCAATTTCCTTTCCAGAACATAAAACAGACATGTACTTGAATCCAATTTGATTAAACATCAAAAATTGACGAAAACATGAGCCCGAAAGCAAAATACCCATAGAAAACAATTGGACATGGGGATCCTACCACCTAATAGTATTCAGGAGGGGGCCTAGCGTTTCCTGCACCTCCGTGCGTATTCACGTCTCGTTCGCTGTGCGGTAGCCCTTCCCTTTCATTTCCGTGTGAGTGTACCTCTCGCTCGCTGTGTGGTAACCCTTCCCTTTCCCTTGTACTATGGCTTAAATCTCCACCATGCATTTCTCTTTCACCTTGTCTCATGGTATGTTGATTCTCTGCAACACCTTCTGGGTCGTGCATTGCCCGGTCAACGACAGCACCCGCCTTACCACGGATTTTCTCACCCATTCCCTATGTTATCACATTCTCAGCCTTCATACCTCAGCTTCTCTTAGGATGGGTTTGACTCACACGAATACCCGCTGCTGCAGACTTGACTCCATGTCCCATACCCTGAGCTGACTCTCTTGTAGCACCGCCAGCCCTTGTCGGGTCGGTAGCTCCAGCTCCAGCTGTACCAGCTTTGCTATCTCGGCCGGTCTGCTTCAGACCACCTGTGAACCCTCCGGATGTTTCAGAAGCCATAATGATATAAAGAATTCAAAATGCTCAAGTTAACTGAGATTGCTCGATAGTATATCTGGCATATCGACTCTAAGCATGCCATGTCCGAACTTCAGCTCATATATATATTGCATTGTTAAACGGTTAGAATTTGATGACGTCACGAAACCTGATCCCAATTCTGGGAAATACAAGTATTTTTTTTTTTTTTTTTTTTTTTTGCTTTGGCCAAAGGAAGAAATACTCTAAATCTATCCATTCCTTGCGCGTGTCAAGTTATTCTGATCTGCTACGTATTTCTGCCTTGTTGCGGCTTCACTTTTTGATGTCATCGAAATTCCTTGGCAAAACGGTTGCGGAGTGTCACGTGCTTTGGCGCCTAGCACGTGTTTTAACGCTCGCTTAAGTCGCGACTTTTTCGCTTATTCAACGTTGTCTTCATCTTCATAATATCGATCAGCGAGAGTTGCTGCAAAACCCGGTATATATACACATACATACTATATGTTAACTGATTCCTATACTTGCCCTTCTCCATCTTAGATATATGCTCTACATTCAAACTTGATCACTGGCTTCTCGATTGTAATAGCTGGTTGCCTGCATAATGCAGCTGTGTGAGGTACTCCAAGGGTCACGTTATTGGGTTGGATATGGGGTTTAATTTTTCTTATATATGCGACCTCCTTTCGAGCCTGGATGCGAACCGCATTATAAAGGCTACGACTACAGGTAGAAGCAAGGACCCCGATGTCACTACAGTTACAGCTTGGTTTCGTCTTCACGAGCAGAGAATACATGGCGGTGATACCGACTATTTGGCCCTACTCTCTTGTCTTTTTCCAGAATTACGGCCAGATCGCGTTTATGGCTTCAAGGAACCGTCCCTAGTTAAAATTATAGGGCGTTGTTTGTTGCTTGGAACCTCTCGATGGCAGGAGCTTGAATGCTGGAAGGCTCCGGGGCGCGGAGATCTTGGTGAATGTGTTGAAAGGGTGATGGGTGACGCTGAGAATGAATTATTTCCTTGTCTGCCTGTTACTGTGGAGGAAATAGATGCTGCATTGAATAAAATTGCTGCCAAATGCCGCTTCTCTGCTCCGGATGTGCGCCGCCAACGTACCGCCGTTCAGGTGGATGAGGCTTTAAACCCAATTTTCCGCCGATTGAATAGCCGTGATGCAAAATGGTTTACAAGGCTACTTCTTAGGGAATATACTCCGGTCGTTATCCCGCAGCGATTAGCCCTGCGGAAATTTCACTTCATGCTTCCGGCCTTTCTTTCAGTACAAAGCACTCTAAAGGGAGCTTTGGAGGCAATGGATCGTGGTCCAGTCAAGAAGTTTCCATCCTGTCCTGATGCTGAATACGCTCGGACACTTATGGAGCTTTCAATTCCTCACCTTGCCCCCCAAATTGGGATAAAAGTTGGGAGACCGGAATATTATAAGGCAAGGAATCTCAGGCATTGCTGCAGGATGGCGGATAAACGACTGATGAGCATTGAAAGGAAATATGACGGAGAGTATTGCCAGATACATATTGATCTGGAAAATGGGCCGCAGTATATCCGTATTTTCTCCAAGAGTGGCAAAGACTCAACGGTGGATAGAAAAGGTATTCACGAGGCTATTAGAGACTCGCTAAGAATCCGCAGGCCTGGCTGCCGGTTCTCCAAACGATGCATATTAGAAGGTGAACTGTTAGTATGGAGCGACATTAAGCATGACATTCTTCCGTTTCATCACTTACGGAAACATATTATGAGGGCAGGAGCTTTTATTGGCACCGAAAATGATTCTCCGTGAGCACATATCCTCCCCTCTTTTTATATCGCAATTTTGCTCATTCTACCCAGACCAGATCCTCGGGAACATTTATATATCGTATTCTTTGACTTATTACTTTTGGACGATATTGTCGCATTATCAAAGCCTTACCGAGAAAGAAGAGCGCTCCTCACTGAGGTGGTAAATCCAATACATGGGCTTACTGGTATTACCTCGCAATTTAACGTAGATTTCTCTATGTCCGATGCATATGAACAGTTGAAAGAGAACTTTGCCCTAGTCTCAGCCCAGAAATGGGAAGGGCTTGTTTTAAAGGGGGCGGATGAACCATACTTTCGAACCTTCTCTCAAGATACTCGTGAATTTTCTTGTTGCTGGATGAAGTTCAAGAAGGAGTCTATTCCCGGCCTAGGAGACACTGCCGATTTTGCCCTGATAGGTGGAAGATACGATTCTCGGGATGCTGTTTCTCTTGACCATATCAAAGGGCTATCTTGGACTTCTTTCTTTATTGGTTGCCTAGATGATGATTTCGGATCTCTTTCGCCAAAACCAGTCTTCCGTGTTGTTGATATCCTGGACAAACAAAACATCAGCACCAATTTAATGCAAACTCTCAACCAATTAGGGCAATTCCAAGCGTGTGATGCTGATTCCGACGATGTTCCATTTTCTTTGCGAGTTGACCAAGTTCGATTGCCGGAAATCCAAACCACGTTCAGGGTTCCATTTATCGTAGAAATGACTGGTTTTGGCTTTGATAAACCCCAAGGTGCTCGATATTATTCCCTTCGGTTTCCAAGAGTAGTGAAAATCCACTTTGATAGGGAATATGAGGCTGCCACCTCATTCAGAGACTTACAAGAACTCGCACGCGTTGCTAACTCCGTTCCTGTGGAAGAACTGTCGCAGGAGGTTGCAGGGTTAGCTGAGAAACTCGACCCGATTGAAAAGAAACCCCAATATATTATTGATTATTCCGAGAATTCGGCTACCACTGTGACAACATCAAGTGCTGCCACCTCATCACAACATTTCCCGGCTGTAAATGATCCATTTGATCTTTGTGGACCAAACCAAATGGCTGCGACACAATCGACTTATCATGCCTCTGGACAGAAGCACATTTCTATTTTCCCAGATGCAACAGAAACCCCTGATATTTTATCCAATGAAAAAGGATCATCTAATCGACACTTAGCCATTATAGCTAACCTAGCGGAGAATAGACAAGCAGCATCTCCTGTAAATGAGTGTTCTTACGGTGATACGGATGTTGTCAATAAAACGTCCTCTCCACAAAACAAGGAGCCCAATGTTAGCTCCTTATCAGACCGACTTTTGCCAGACCCAACCTTCCAACGATCCCACTCCTTCCAGTCATATAATTCCCATAGCAGTGAAAAACCTTCACAGGAGCTCTTATTAAATAGATCTGCCTCAGATATATCTAGCCGCAGCTGCGGACCAAATTCCATGAAGGACTCTCCGCTTGTGAAATTTCCCGTTTTTCTGGGGTCGTCGCTATCTGATACAACTATGAGCCTACTGCGCCGTTATATACCGTCCTGCAGATCGTCAATTGCACCCTCTTCAATTTCTCGTTGGCTGACTTCACTGGTACTTACGCAAGATACCCCATGCGCATCATCCCTCTATGGTATTGTGCTTGTGGACTCAAACAGCCGTCACTCATTTAAAGTTGCAGCCGAACTGAGACAGATTAGCACAGCTCTTGCCTCATTACGGCAACACAAGAGGCTACCAGATGTAGGCAGTATTATATTTATGCACTGGAAGGTTGTTAGACGAGAGTTTGCTGCATCAAAAGCAGGTGAAGGATTGGCTGAGCGGTGGCAGAGATTTGGTAAGGATGTCGTCGATGTATGCATTAAATGGGGACCTGAAGTGGCCCCTGAATCTAGGAATCAGCCAGACCAAAGGGTGCCTGTTGGTCCCTTAGAGTTGCAAGATGAGAGGCCGCCTTATAATATACGTTGTGGTAGAGACTGGACAGAGATACTCCCTTTACTGCAAACGCAGCATGTATCAAGAGTTATCGGGCAAAGGTCTTAGAATCCTAGAGTTACAGGAGTTGGGGGTCTAATATTTACATGTTGGCATCTTTCATTGATATTCATTAATAAACTCTTTCAGGTAAATATGGTATAGAGTTATTTTAAGTATTTAATCCTTGCTTTTCTTATATCTCCTTTAAGCCTTCACGCCATCTATTGAAGCTAAGTACTATGTATGCATCTAAAGCTAAACCCATAGCCTTCATTCAAAGGCAATTCACAAAACGCCATCTCAAATACCTTAGCTACCCGGATAAAATCGTAAACTCAAGGTTGCGCGTCGAGAAACTCCCTTCTCGACCGAATATCTCTTATCAATGCCTTCGCTTCCTCCACCTCAATTCCATCTTGACATAGCTCACTAGCCAGTTGGCCCGCCCGATCAAAATTATTCCGTTTTAAAGACCATCTCGCGAGCCATAGGCGAGCCTTAGAAGTGGTTGCTGTAACCCCCGTTCCTCCTGCTTCCTCATTCCCATCATCACGATGGCTAAATGAGGAGCGTCGTGATTCGCCTAAGCCTTCTCTTTCATCGTCTTCAAGATCGGAATCGTCCTGATCTGTCAGCCCTGCTTCTTGCCGTAGAGTAAGTTCCATGTATGCGGCGGTTTCATTCTCATCCCCTAGCTTTTCATATAAAGTAGCAATTTGATGCAGTGTCTCAGGGTCAAGTATTCTTTTAGTGTTTCCAGAGTCTTTGGGATTTAAACCTCCTCCTGCACTAGAAAATGAGTTCAAGCCCGTGCCTCCGCCGTCATAATAAGATCCTGCAGCGAGCGCACGTTTAAGTGCTCGAATACTCTGCTCGATACGGCCCATCTTGGCGTAACAAGATCCAACAGCCTGCCACATCTTGGGGTCGTATGGCCGAAGGGCCGCGGCGCGCTGGTAGTAGAAAAGTGCATAAAAAGACATGTCAAGGACTTCGTAAGCTTGGCCGAGACCATACCATGCACGGTAGTCTTTGCGATTAACATCCACAGCTCGTCTATATGACTCGATGGCAGCATGCGTATTTTTCATTTCAATGTACTCATGGCCCATGAGAGTCCATGCAGATAAAAAGTTTCTGTCTAATGTTAATGCACGTCGAAAGTACATTACCGCTTTCTCGTGTTCTGATTTCAAGGAATAATAGTTTCCCACAACACAGCATGTTTCTGGCCGGAATTTATCGGTTGCAGTGGCGAGTTGAGCAATGAAAGCAAGCTGCGGCCTTGCGCCCATAACATATAAAATATTTGAATAATGATCTAGGCAGTCGAGACGATGGGGGGAGTTGATTAAAAGTTCGGAAAAGAGATGAGATGCTTCCTCAAAATCTAGAAAACATGTTAATAGATGGGTTAGTCCGACTGGGGCGTATGTTAACCGCATACCTTTTGAGTGATAGTACAGCAATGCTCGCTGGGTTTTTAAGAATGAACTTGACGGGAAAATACTTTCAAGTTCTGAGAGAATTTGGTGAGTATGTTCTGTGGCCTGGTAGAGTTCCTGGCTAGAGTACAGATGGAACACTAAAGTCATAATGTTCTGGGGCAGTTCGTCCACCACTCGCTTGAGCTAAGAATTATTATAATGGTTAGTACTGACGCTTCGGTTTGGTAGAGTGATTTTTTAAGGAAACATACGTCTTCTGTACTGGATAACAAGTCGTTCAATTCTTGCCATGCGCCCCAATGAAATGGGTAAAGGTGCACACTCCTTATCAGCCACTTCTTCGCCTCTTCTTCATTCTTAGCCTTCAGTAGTACCACTCCATAGAGGTACTCAAGCCATCCCTGCCCACTGTCTTGAAGTCCCTTTTCTTCTCGGTCAGTAAACCATCCTTCCAGCCCTTGAGCAAGCCCTGGCAACTCCCTATTCACAGTCATACCTCCATCCGCTGGTCCAAGTACCATTTCGGTTTCTTCGTCCTTACGTTTCTCTCCGGCTAGATACTTTGCGTATAGGGCGAGAAATAAAGATTTCTGGCTCAAGTTTGGAAATGGGTTTTGTGAGGTGGAGGTGTGGCTCTTTTTGTTGCCAAATAATGAGGCTGGTTCTTTGCCCTTTTGAGACTGAAGCGGTGTCTTTGCTTTCGGTGTTGATGGAGCACGCGGTGCTAACGGAATTGATGACATGGACGGAGGAAGGAAAACGGCTGCGCAACGATCGTATTCACGAGTATCAAAGTATGATTTTGCGAGGATATATTTGTGAGTTTCCCTGGCTTCCAGGGCGGCTTCTTCTGAGTCTTGCGGCCCGAGAAATGGATTTGCCATTGTAGTAGGCGAGAAGTCCATAGGTGAATTTGGTTCCGTATCCGTTCCTTCGCCTTGGTCGACGGGGGCCAATGAGTCCAGCATTTCTGCCGCCCTGTACAGATATATTAGCCCTGGCTATCGGAAATATGTGAAGCCTCTCTCTCATGCCTACCATTTTGCAGAGTGGTATAAGCATCGTTCAGAGCACTTGACAGCAGCATCTTCCAGCCTGTGCCTCAGCTCCCTGACATTATCCGCACTGAAATTCATTATCGCGCCTGATGATGGATGCCAGACGCTATAGTAGCATGACGTTACGATCTACTGGTTGCCAACGAGAAGATCTCGGATTTTAAAACCGCCTGCAGCTTAACATCGTATTAGTAGAGGCACAGCTACCGGGAAATACCACCAAGCCACGACCTTACCTAGACAATAGAGCAGTTAGAAGCCGCTCGTTTCTTGTTTATTTACAACCATTTCACATCAAACCCTCGAAATACTTTTTATAGCTTCGAGAATACAAACAGTGCAAACATAGCGGGATGCGATTGAATCTCGGAGGGATTAAATAGTTTAATCCTTTCACCTTTTGAAAACAAACCCTTCTTTTTGTCTCTCTCTACACGTTTAAGAGCATTCACAACTCTGCAATTGAGCGTCACAGCTGGTTTCTAGCCTATATCAATCTTCTTCTCGAGCTTCTGTTGAGAAATGGCTTCCAGCACCAGCCGTGAGGACTTTAACAAAGTCTTCCCCGCAATTGTTGAAGATATTAGCGAGCACTCGAAACAATATAACATTCCTGCATCGGCTCTGGAATGGCTTCAGAAGGTCAGATTTTTCTCATTATTATTCTGTCTTACGGTAGCTAACATGTATAGTAGAACTTGAACGAAAACACCCCTGGAGGGAAACTGAATCGTGGTCTCTCAGTCCCGGATACCGCTCTTGCGCTCCTGGAGAAACCCTTGAATGAGGAACAGTTCAAGCATCTTGGTCTCCTTGGATGGATGACTGAGCTCCTACAAGCATTCTTCCTCGTTTCAGACGATATAATGGACAGCTCCATCACCCGCCGTGGAGAGCCGTGCTGGTACCGCCGCCCCGGGGTTGGCATGATTGCAATCAACGACGCGTTCATGCTCGAGTCCTCTATCTACGTCCTTCTCAAGAAACACTTCCGCTCTCACCCCGCCTACATCGACCTTGTCGAACTTTTCCACGAGATCACCTTTCAAACCGAACTCGGCCAACTCTGTGATCTCATCACTGCCCCTGAAGACCACGTTGACCTAGATAACTTCAGCATGGACAAGTTCAACTTCATTGTTATCTACAAGACGGCTTATTACAGTTTCTATCTCCCTGTTGCGCTTGCCCTGCACTATCTGCAACTTGCTACCCCCAAGAACCTTCGTCAAGCCCATGATATTCTCATCCCGCTGGGCCAATACTTCCAGGCTCAAGATGACTACCTGGACGTGTTTGGAAAGCCAGAGCAGATTGGCAAGATCGGTACTGATATCCAGGATAACAAGTGCTCGTGGGTAGTCAACCAGGCTCTGAAACTCTGCTCCCCCACCCAACGCAAGGTCCTCGATGAGTGCTATGGCAGAAAGGATGCTGCCATGGAAGCCAAGGTGAAGGCTGTTTTCAACGAATTGAACATCCAGAAAGTCTATCACGACTTTGAGGAAGAGCAGGTTTCAAAGCTGAAATCTATGATTGCTTCCATTGATACCTCTGAGGGACTGAAGGGAAGTGTCTTTGAAATCTTCCTGGCTAAGATCTACAAGCGTGACAAGTAGATATGACTTGCGATACTCACAATTTTCCTCCCAAATTCTAGTAGGAAAAACTGCCAACATTTTCGGCCTTTCATGTTGTAAATATCACTTATCGTCAGACGGAAGGCGACGAAACATTAGAGAGAAAACAGAAAAAAAAAATTTTACCTGAAAGCAGATGTAATAGTTAATGGAAAAATGAATTTACACGTTATTTTCTAGTTTGATAAATTTATAAGGTAAATGGAGGCTTGGCGGCAAACGAGGTTATGTATTGCTTAGGATTGATATAGTCGTCAGTATCGCTTATGTGTACGCGGAAATAAAATCGAATAAATAAAGGAGGAATATATTTAGTAGCTCAGTGAAACTATTCACATCCGCAAGCGCTACTCTCAACGAACACCTCGAAATACTTGTCAACAACTATGTATCAAGCCAGCATTAGCATTGATACCGTTACAACAGCCGAGTTACTCAGGCTGTCGTTGGTTTGGCTTCTTGTCCGTTTAGAGCTGGATCAAGCTTGAGAGATATGGATTGTCTTTTTGGTCGAATAGGGACGGGAAGAGAATCCTCTTCCTCGTCATCACTGCCAGTCCTGGATGAATCATAAGCATTAATTCAACTACAGCATATGGTATAGGTTGTGTACTTACGGGACTTTGTAGGAAATATAGTCCTCCGTGTCCAGCCCTTCACGGCCTTCTTGGATGGAAGCGAAGTCTCCTGGAGTCATAGTGCCAGTTCGATCACGAGGAGAACCTGGAACAGATAGCGGACGGGATATCTTTTGCTCAGTATGGCCAATAGCCTCGTGGAAGTCATCAGCCGCATCAAAGGAAGATGGATACGCTGTGGGTAGAATAACCATTAGGTGGGAATGTAGTTAAATTGGAGGATGGGGCATAAATACGTACCGCGTCTCAGAGCAAGCTGGCGAGCTTTCACATACTCTAGGCCCATCCGTTTCCAATCTAGCAGGTCGCTTAATCGCTCAGTTCTGTTTCTTTGGTTGATACGTTGTCTTCGGCTCTTCTGACAGAAGTCAAACATATAGTTTGTTAGCTGGTTTACTGAGTCGTCAACACCTTTTAACCTTCGGTCAACCACATATATTCCATAATCGGCTGAGTTCTCAATCAGCTCTTCCATGTAACATCCGAAACCAGCGAGGTTAGTTGTTATACTTGGAATTCCCATAACTGTACATTCCGCGGGTGTGTATCCCCACGGCTCGTAATATGATGGGAAAACACCAAGGTTAGTACCTCGAACGAAGTCATCATAGTCCAGGGGGAGTACAGGGTTGGCAGAGTTGAGGAATTCGGGGTGGAAGACCACTTTGACACGGTCAGTCGGGTAGTTGAAAAGTTGCACTCGGCGAAGCTGATTGAGAATAGGGTCCTCAGAGTCATTCATCATGTTATGGGTGACAATTGGGGGTAAATTATGTCGTTTCATAGCAAACAAGCGCCGGCGTATCAGTACCCGATCCTGATTCGTCATTAGGTCCTTTTCATCAGGCATATTATCACCCTCTTTCCAGCCGAGACAGCGTTCAAATAATCGTTTACCAATACTCTTTTCTACGCTTTCCAGAGTATCTCGTAATGACTTGACGACAGCTTGGCCTTTAAGTGCCTCAACAGTGAGGGATGAGGTTTGGGAAGGCATTATTATAAAGGCCACAACGGTAGTCTTGGAGCCAGATTCCTTTAAACGGTGATTGAGTCTTGCCAGTGATTCAATAAACATGTCAACACCTTTGTTTCGGTACTCGTATCGGCCAGATGTAAAGAAATATAGGGTATTTTCCAGGTCAAAATCATTATGCCCATAGAAGTGGCCACGAACAAAGTCATTTATCTTGTCCTTTGAGTGAGAATGTAAGTTTTGGAATTCATGGACAGCCGAGAATTTCTTGACGTTCAGCCCGTTGGGCAAGACGCCATCCGGCTTTCGTTTGAGTAGATGCTCACTCTCGTATGCAGTGATGTGGGAGACGGTGGTAAAGACATCGGCGGAGTGTGCTGCAGCACGCTCGATGCAGTAGCGATGGTAGATACCTCGTTTACCGGCCTCTGCATCCACGTCGAAGTTTTTCAGGTTGTTGTAGAAGTCGACAGAGCCCGCGCAAAGGTATCTTCCAAGAAGAGTGGCATGTGTGGTGAAAATAGTCGTCACGTCCATCCGTCTCTTCTTGGTCAAAGGAAGCGCAACTCCTGCTAGCCATTCGTGGAAATGAGCTATCACAGCTCTCTCCGTGTCTCTACATATATACTGTCGTGCAATCGACCGTCAGTTCTCGTACCGCCCAGAACTACATGCACAAGTAACTAACCTCTCCTAAAAACCACGCAATGAGATATCCAAACGCAATCGCCTCGTTGGTTTCCGAATCAGCCGATGGAGACGGAATGCCTGCTGCGTTCCAAAGATCACCCTTCCACTCGTCGAGGTATTTATATCCCGCACCAGTGTCAATCAAGAGAACGCGCGGAGCACCTTCTATCAGCCATCGACCATACACGATTTCTATACCACGCTCGGTCATGGCTTCAATCGCCCCAATCAAGTGAGGATTCGTCGGTGTGAGGGTTTCCACCTCGACCACCGCCTAGCATGGGAGAATGAATCAGCATATGTGTAGGTATAGGTACCTCAACAGGACAGCTCGTGTATTACCGAAGCCCGGTTCAAGGGACCTATCAACGTATATCGGTCGCCATACTCTGCGGTTGTTACGGCAGCTTTGGACTTGAGAACCGAGTAGATCCCTCCAACTGTATTCTGACGTTAACGGCGTGTCGCAAAGAGTGAAAGGGGTACGAAAACGAGGGGACCAACCTCGATTAGCAACCTCCGTCGCAATCTCGAACAAGACGTGGTTCTTCACGTCTCTCTTTGGCTGCTCTGCAGCATCCCGGCGAGGAGAAGACGCCATGACGTAGGTAAAAGAGCCCAGAGTCCCACCACAGCAAATCGCAACTATGAGACGAAAGGCGAGTGCGAGCTCGAGCAGGCAGACAAGAGGTGATACGAGCGGCAGACGGTAGATTAAATAATAGTAAATTTCATTCACAACAAACAGTTGGACTGGGAGGTGGCGTTAATATTTGATTATTTGTCTCAAGGGTCGAAGTTGGAAGCTTTGTTGAGACGGCCCGCACTAGAAACTAGCAGTGGATGCAAGCTTGGAGGCGGGTCTGGGGTAGATGAAGCTGGCAAAGGCGAGAAGTAGATCTTCAGCCGGTGCTTCTGTCTGTCCGTCCGTCTCTCGTCTGCCTGCGTATGCGGTGGATGGTGGGAGATCGTGTCCGCCGTTCCGGTGGGAGAAGACGAGGTGGGAAGAGGAGGAGGAAGAAGAAGAGAAGGTCGACTTCCGCAGGCGCCCAGCACAAACATCCTTGTACGCGCATAACAGTTAATCCCTCGAACCTAGCACGAAAGATAATGCCGATGCAAGCTACTATTCTATCCAAGAGAGTACGGGCTTGTCAGACGGAGTGGCCAAGTCGGATTAAAATGATATACGGAGCAGCAATTCATGGCAGCCAATCTCGAGCAACAGCAAAGCTTGCTGGCTTCTACCCTGGATGTTAAGTGAAAAAGAAAAAAAAAAAAGGGAAGAAAAAAGAAAAGAAGATGATGTGAAAAGGGAAGAAGATAATAAATACACGTTCCTCAACGCCAGGACACCATGGCTAGGCTGAGCTTCGCCAGCAGAAACAACTTAAATCGTACATCACTGGCTGAACACGCTGCCGTTAGAAGAGGACATCAGGCTTCTCTCAAACAGCCATTTCTGCGTCATGACGGGGGAGGAGACCTTTCCAAACGGAGTGGGCGATGAAGGTGCCCGCAGGGAGCTTCCGTCTCGAGCCCCAATGCTAGTCCGCCCGAGGGGAGAAGGCGAGCCAAAGCTGTTTCTACGGCCGCGCTCCCGGCCACCGGACCGAAACCCCTTTTGGAATAGAGGGCTGCCGGATGGAGAGAACGGAGGACTGTCAGGGTGGTTTCTGCTTGGCGAGTCTTCAGTTGCTGAGAAGGGCGAGCTGCCCCATGATCCAGAGCTTCTCCTGCGTGAGCTTGACGATACACGGTATCTCGGCGGAGTGATGTATTCGGCGCCTGGCGTAGCGGGAGGCGTGCTGTTGGGGTCGAGTCCCAGTAGCGCCCTTTGCGACGGAGTCAATGGGATGTCGGAAACCTGGTCCGGCGCCCGGTAGATGGGGTACAGAGTCATGGCGATGTTGATAAAGAGCAAAAGGCGAACAACAAGCAATACTATATCAGGGTAGGTGGGAATTTGCAAAAATGAACCAATGGCCAGAGAACTATTTTTCAGCCATGTCAGCATTTGTTCTCTGCCTGGGGAATTGGGTCATCCATACTATTGCTTGTAGGTGTTGCCGATGAAACCAGTAAATATCAGAGTGCCTGCATTCCATAACACCCGCCTGATGGTCCTCTCGTTGACGCTTGATGCGTTCTGTCGTCGGATAATCTCTTTCAGGTGTGGGTGTCGCCATTTGCCTGGAGAGGCGGTTGACGGGCCATGGACATCCAGCATCCGCGGGGTTGACGGAAGAGACGAGGGAGCCATTGACACGGAGGCAGATTATACGTATAAATAGGAGAACTATCGAAGCAGAATACCTATCAGGACGGGTAAGCTGATCGTTCAATCGGTGGTAGGCATGGAAAGGAGACTCACCTGTCAAAAAAGACCTACCTTACCTACCTTTTTAAATATCCTGCTGAGGCGTTAGTATCGAGAATAGCAGGAATCCGTCTCTGCCTGAATCATAACATCACAAAACTCCCCTCATCCACGCTGTGTTTCCTTTTTCTTGTCTTCCTGTCTTCGCAGAGCCAAAAACTTGAATGTTTTTCTGTTTTGTTAAGCGCCAAAATTACCGCGCTACTACAGAAACTTGGCGGCTGTTGGGCGTATCGAGATTTCATTACCATCCACAATATACAGAAGATGGCCACTTTTATGGCAGAGGAAGCCTGGAATAATTGTAATTTATCTACTTTGTAGCTCAGTAACACATTATGCTACATTAATATGTACTACCCCACTACAACGGGTGAGTTTTCGTATATGTTGTGCTCGTATTAATATGTAACCCGTACTGCCCATCCCACCTACATAGTAAACAAACGTCACTTTTGCAAGCGCCGCTTCTTTCTATCTCAGCTTCATAGTTAATAGCTAAACCAGCTGGCCAGCGTTGGAATACAGACCAAGTATATACACCATGGCAGCTGATACCTCAATGTTGGCCAGGGCGGATGCGCTCCTTGAAGCTCTTTTCGCCGGTTGGAATGTTTACTCGACTTTGCTCGCAACGCTCCTCGTCTCGTACATCGGATACTCGCTCTTCTTCACCAAAGACCCCGATGCCCACCCTTTTATACTCGCCCGCCAGGGAGTAGTAGCCCCCGTTAGACAGCGTGGGGAGTCAGCTACGGTGCGGGCCATGGATGTTCCTCATGGCTACCCGCTCAAGGCTGGGCTTGGTGTTCGAGATCCAGATACTCCAAGATGGACTGCAGGCAGACGTGGAGACCTGCGAGATATATGGAAAGCTGTTGTCCGTGGAGAATTGAAAAGTGATGGCACACCTACCGGGAAGAGAGGATCTATATACACCGTTCTTGGGAAAAATTCCAAGGAACGTAACGTTGATGATGTCTCCCGGGAAATTAACATCATCGGACAGTATGTCCGTGACACCAAGGCACAAAAGGTTGCTATATGTCTTACCGACTCAGTAGAGATGCTTGCCACTATCTTTGGTATGCCTTCCACGTACTCTTTTCTATGGTAATGCTGATGGCTAACTAATAGTTAACAGCAAGTGCATTTTACGGCTTTCCAACTGTCATAATTCCTCATAATCTTCCCCCTCAGACACTCGCGGAATATCTCCGGGAAGCAAAGGCAGATCTTCTCATTGCTGAAGCCGGTGCTGTGGAAGTTACCTCCCTACTTAGCCTGTGCCCCGCGTTGAGACATGGAATCTGGGTCGCCCAAGAGGGTAGCCGACATATGGACTGGAACGAAGTCCCAGAAGGAGCCGGTAGCAAGATCGAGGTGGCTACATGGCATGAACTGATTAACGAGAAAGAAGGGTCTATTGGCCCGGAAGTGCCTGAATGGGATGTCAAGACGTCGACACCGTCCTTGGCTACACTATGCCCGTCTAAAAATGGCTTAGGGTCTTTCGTCGAATACTCTTCTGGGGTATGATACTAATTTTCCCTGTTGAGAAACCAGCTAATTAACATTATAAATAGAACATCATATCTGGCGTTGCCGCATTGGGATCATCTTTGCCTCGCAATGAACAACTCAAATCGTCAGATTTGGTTCTATCAGTTGATTCACTGTCACACTCCTATACCCTTTGTTTCATTCTGGCAGCCTTGTATGCAAATGCATCAATTGCATTGAACTCTGTTGCTGGAGAAATTATAGATTTCGCACTTGCAACGACTGGTATCTCGCCGACGATTATTATTGCCTCTTCCCACACTATATCTGATTATCATGCTCAATATATGGGTCCACAGTTGAACCCATTGGTTAAAATCGGTCGATTCTTCCAAACAAAAACCTTGGACTCTGGAAGAATGCCATCTGGCAATTTCCTCTCCCCACTTGGAGGAAGCGGCCCCGTGTCCGAACAAACTCTGAAAAATTTAAGATTGCTTCTTATATCGCATCGAGCAGAGGGGGATCGAAATAACCAGCTCACTTCTGACCAACTCACGGACTTCAGAATTATGACAGGTGTCCGTATTGCATATGCACTCACTACTGCTAAAGTAGCTGGAGCCGTTTGTCAGACGAATCCGTATGATTATAGGAGACAGCGCGGATTCAACCATTTTGGCCCTCCACTGAACAGCGTAGAGCTTAAATTGGTCGACTACAAGGAGAATTCAGGAGACGAAAATGCGATTGAAGGAAAGGTGAGAATACATATTTCCTTGTAATTATGAATCGGGCCCTTGTCAAGATGGCTATACTAACCCTTGATTTTTATAGATCCACATTTCCGGTCCTGCCGTAGTTTCAGAAGAATGCAAGCTTGAAGTGGATGGCCTATTCCAGGATGACAATACTCTTGTTCTTCTGGCTTAAGCCTCATTGTGTATGAGATATGATATTTTGGTATAATTTGGTTTTTCTCATGAGATGGTATCATTAAAAAAACATGGGGTAAGTCTGGCTGCATCTTCCGGCATGAGGAAGTCCATTTGGATAACTTGAATGATGGTACAATTATCTGCGCCACCTACGCACGAATACATTTGCAACGAAGAGAAACATAATAATCCATACATGCAGTGGGCGAGATGACAGATATAAAAGGGGTCTTTCTATTATACAGGTAGTAAATGGATTGGCTCTGAAGGCCATTATAATCAAAACGCCGTGATTTAATACATACACCCTCTAGATGAAGATAGAAATATTCTATGTACGCAGTAGTGACCTCGTCCACGTAACAGTGTTTGTAACGTCCTGGCGATGTTGGTCTACAGTCTGCACACAACTCTCAATGACCTTTGCCAGTTCATCCCTTTGACGTTCAAGAGCCTGTCGAAGATTTTGTTGGGCCTTTACTTCTTCCACCTGTAAGGCGAGGTGCATGCCGTGCCATAGAGGAACGTACGTACGTAGCCTCCAATTAGCCGTTGGCCACTCAGATGGCACAGTGAATTTCTCGAGAGGCCAGGTGTTAATAAGTTTATCCGCATATGATCGAACTCCCTGGTCTTCATCACGTCCTCCGAACGTGTCCATGGCATAAGCCGCCTTTAATTCAAGTAGCATACCAATAATGCTTGGTAATCTCTTGGGGTCTTTTTCCGCAACTGGATTTGTGTGTTCTGGTGAATTGAGCAGCCGGACCAACTCCTTTGCTTGTCCTAGTGCTAGATGCACGTCGGGTCCCTTAAAGTTGGCCTTTTCCGCTTTTTGCCGTATGGCAAATAACATGGCACGAGGGAAATCTGCATTGCGCATGAACAGCCCCGTTCGACGTGACTGCGCTATGGCCTGCAAAACTATTGCTTCCATCCCAAGTTCGCCCGCCCTTCGTATGAGCATCTCGGTGGTATGCGGAGTGACAATGCGTTTCGAAGAATGAAGGCCGGTTAAGAATGGAATCAGGTTTTGCCAATCCTCTTCTGTCTTTAGCAGTCTCACCACTCTGGCTAGCTCGCTGTTGCTGGGGGCATCTGCAATGTGCATGGGCCGTAGTGTGTAGTTATCCACCTCATCTTCGGTGCCGACATTGACAACCACGGGGTTGTTCAGCAGTTCCTGTGCTTTCGACTGTTTATACATGGCCCTTTTGTCATGATAGGGGAGCCATGCCGGAATAAAGAGCTTATTTCGAAATTTTTGGAGCAGTCCGTCAAGTTCGGGGGATGAGGTAGGAGTGAATTTCGGAACCAGGGCTACGGATGTAATATATTAGCGGGGATATCACATCGTAAAGGTCAATTGCTGCATACCCTTGGGACGACTAGCAGTGCTTGAGAAAGCTCTATATCGACCTAGTGTAGTCTGGGAGCTGCATCCTAACGCGAAAGCCCTCCCCAGCCTTGGGTGCGCCATTGAGAAAATGTGGCAAAACAAGAACGTTTATCCAAGGGCTACCGTCAATGGAAGCATATAAATGGTAAATATTGTCTTGAATTGAGGACGCCGTGGTTGATCGTGTGTTTGTATGAAATTCGACCAGCTTCAAATCAAAAAGTCGATGATAAAAAAAGTCAAGTCTTGGCATGGCACGGGCCACTTTGATGGTTTTCAAATTTCCATCGAGCGAGACGAAGAAAGAAGAACAACTTACGCAAGGAAGAATCACAACTATGGCCTCGATGAAGCCAACGGTACGGCCGTTGGGCTACTGTGCCAATGCAATTAAGGAGTTTAGATGCCATGTGCCCCGTCGTCAATTTCTCCATACCATCCATTCTCCAAGAAAGGAGAAGATCCCTTTCCCTACAGAAATCCCGGATCAATTCATATCACAGATTCCCAAGTTCTGTCGACCTGGAAGAGGTATGTATTATTAATATGTTTCCTTTATAGCTCGTTGGAATGGCTGATTACTGACGGTTTCTGCAATAGCCAACAAGGAGTTAAAGGTCTATCCGCCTCCAGCTTTCCCATACGATACCTGTAAAGACCCCATTGGCGCTATTACATCCGAACAATTAGCCGTACTTGACCCAACCGGCGAGAGAAAAGCGCTTTTCGACCCTAAGAACCGACAGGGTGCTAAAGTAGGCGACATTCTTCGTGTTACTTTCAAGAACGGCGACCCATTCGCCGGCGTGTGTTTGAACATTCGGCAAAGAGGAGTCGACACCGCATTTTTACTACGGAACAAATTGACTAGGATTAGCTGTGAGATGTGGGTGAAGGCATACAGTCCCAATGTGGCTGGTGTGGAGGTTGTCCAGCGCACTGAGAAGAGGAAGAGACGCGCAAAATTGACATACATGAGGTACGATTATCTCCATATTGTCTCCATTCATATCGACGAGAGACTTCATAATATCTTTTCTACTCGTATTGGCTTTCATGAATAACGTAAATGTTTTTAGGCAACCTGCTCATGATATGGGAAGCGTGGAAAATATTGTCCGCAACTATCTCCGAACGAAACGTATATTAGCCGGAGGAGGGGATCAGAGGTCTCGCAAGCGATAGTGGTATCACATCTACCTTGCGCTTTTGAAAACTTATATATCCATCCATCCAGCTTTCCGCCATCATGGCACACTAACGAAGGTGTGGGCCAACCCTCCCACATTTGCAATACATATCATTGCGCATCCTGTACCACTTCCATTTTTTACATCTCAAAGCATGTTGCTGATTAGACCTGTACAATATTTTACTTTTATGATGGAACTTGTTTGCCAATTACGGGAGATTAATGTCAGAATTGCAGAGGACCTTCAGCTAAGCAGTCAAAATTGGTATTGGAATAAGACTAACAAAGAGGTATAATGATAATCAAGCAACACATTCGATGAACGACGAGGGCCAAGCTGAACCAGCTGAATTAAGGAAGATAGACGATGACTTCCAAGCCACCCTTGAAGGGCGTCGTCATGTGCTTGAAGCCGTTTTTGGGATCATCCAGGAAAGCGAACAGGTCTTTGTAATCCCTTCGAGCAATGGAGGTGTTGTCTGCAACAATGAGTGCACCAGTGCGAAGCTTTGGTAGAACTGCCTTGAGAGCCGGGAGAGCCATGGGAGTCCAAACTGTATTTCTTGTTAGTAAACTGTAGATGAGAAGGGCAATGGTAATTGGCAATGCAGAACAGTTCAGAATCAACATACTATCTAGCAGCAGAAGGTCAACTTGATCAACCTTCTTCATCTGTTCTGGAAGCGTCTCTCGAAGATCGCCTTCAAGCAGGGTAATCCAGGGCTCGACTTCCTCTCCGGCTTCTTTCCAATGCTCTCTCGCTTTCTTTGCCTTGGTAGGTTCATTCTCCGTTGCAAAGACCTGGGCGCCCTGTCCTGGTGTAATGGATCCAGATGCCTTCGCGGCAGCATTCTGTCCGGCTGCAAGAGCAAGATATATCGTCGAAACACCAAAGCTTGTGCCGGCCTCCACTATGTTCAGAGCCCCGGTGGACCTTGCCAGGAGGTATAGCAATTGACTCTTATCAGCTTCAAGGCAGATGTATTTATCCCTCATGAAGTCATCATCCTTGGAACCCCATCCACGGCTACCAAATATCAGAGACCTTATCTGTTTGCGAATCCAGAATGAGAGGACGGAGAACGAAGACTCTTGAGCTCCAGACTCCCCGTGTAGCTTCTTGAGGACGGCCTCAACCTTTGGGCTGGAGACCACTGGGTTTGGGGTAGCCATACTTGCCAGTACGATGAGAACTGTTCTCTATAGAGAAGATGGGAAGTTCTTGTTATAGATCTGTGAGCTTTATTGCGATGTATCGATCGCGAGAGTGCACTCCTAGGCATCTATCGCTCTATTATATACCTCCATGCTCGGCGACACATTCAACAGATAGTGACTCAGGGTATTTACCCGTGAAAAAGCCGGGCCGAGGAGATAACTCAATACATCCCTTGCAACTCTGCGATGCTGGAAGGGCGTACGGGCTCTTAAGCCAGTTGCATCCATCGTCGTTGACCGCTGGTCGTTAGTAATCCAAGCTAGCCAGGTTGGACCAAGCCGAGCCCTTTCAACAAGGCCATCAGGACTTGGAATAGAGTCACACTTCGTATCAAGTTAACTTAGTCTGTGATGATCTACTCGAGAAACGCAATATTGCAGAAAACACTTCAAGTTGTTTGCTTTTTTTCTTTTTTTCTTGAAGTTCAAAAAAAAAAGAAAAAGTAGATAAAAAGTCTTGGCGATCTGATAAGCCCTCGTCACGTGGAGCCGCTTAGTCACATGTTCATCGCACGATAATCTAATCTGATCATCCGAGTTCTCCCCGCGGGTGGTCTGAAAAAAATTACCCAACAACGACCGTTTTTCTCCTTTCTTCCCGGGTGCTACCTCTACCACCACACATCTGCTCCGTCAGAGGCTAATTGCTAATGAGTACAGCTCCATCCGGTGATCTCACAATCGCCTCCTTTCAGTTTTTTGAATACGACTTTAAAGAATACGTCCCGACAGGCCGGCCTCGGGAAAGACGTTGACGATGACAACCACCGCCGGAACACCCGCGCCGGGCCCTGTACCATTATCAATTGCTCCCGCAGCTGCCACTCATCACCGGTCACTCTCGGTCAAACCCCTAGCTGCCGCCCCATCGCCAGCACCGGCTGCTCAATGTTCGATTACCTCCAAGGAATGGGTCGTTCCTCCACGACCAAAACCAGGCCGGAAACCTGCCACGGATACACCACCTACTAAACGAAAAGCACAAAACCGTGCAGCACAACGAGCCTTTCGAGAGCGAAGAGCTGCGAGGGTAGGGGAGCTAGAGGAGCAGATCAAGAAGATCGAGGAGGAGAATGAGCGTGAAGAAGCTGCTCTCAGAGAGGCTGTTCAGAATCAATTGCAACAGATAGAGGAGTACAAGAGCCAAATACTATGGTGGAAAAACCGATGCAAGGCCCTAGAGGATGAGCTCATGACCGAAAAGGTTGCAAAGGAAGATGCCATCAAAAAGCTCGAGAGAACCGACAGCTCGGATAGGACGAATGGCCAATCCGTCATCGGTGGGTGCGAAAGGTGCTCCTTCACTCGGTGCCAGTGTATTGACGATGCGTTCAATATTTCCAATATCACCCAGATTCAGGCAGATGATTCACATTCTAAACGAGGCAGATCACCTTCTCAAGGGGCCACACAGAAGCGTCACCGATCTAACCCCGAAATCAAAACAGAACCCGAAGAACTAGAGACCGATTTTACCACTTCTTTCACCCTCCGCAGACATCCAAGAGGTGGCAGTGATGCTGCCACGCCCATACTAATAGACCCATGTGGCTTTTGCCAGGATGGTTCACCCTGCATCTGTGCCGAAATGGCAGAGGAATCACCCGCAGACAGAAACAGCCAGTCCTCCCAATCAAATAAACTACCATCCATCCATAATATATCACAGTTCACTCCCCCTCCCTCCGAAGGAGATGTTCTTTCCCGGTCGGCTACACTAGCTTCGAGAAATGAGAGCAATCCTTGTGCAAATGGCCCTGGTACATGTGCCCAATGTCTTGCAGACCCACGCAGTTCAGTGTTTTGTAAGAGCCTTGCCGCGTCCCGTGCATCTAGTGGCCAGGAAGGCGGTTGCTGTGGAGGCGGTGGAGGACAAGGTGGATGCTGTAAAACTCGGCCTTCCGGCTCGGGCTCGTCCAGACAACCTGCCTCGACTCCTATTACACTAAGCTGTGCCGATACATTCACTACGCTCTCGCGACATCCAAAGTTCTCTTCTGCAACAGATGAGCTGAGCCAGTGGCTTCCCCAGCTCCATACGCTTCCAAACCCGCAGGACCTTACTCCAGACAGACGACGGGACCAAAATCTTACTAACCGGCCGGCTTTGGAAGTCGAGGCTGCCAGCGTCATGGGAGTCTTGCGATATTTCGATCGAAGATTTGCTGATTCCAAATGAACAACGTTGGCTGTTCGTTTTTTTTCAACTTTCTTCCCTTTCCCCCTTCCCAATTTTCTCTGCTTTTTATGACCCTTAATTCTATGTTGATGTTGCTTTATTTATTTTTCTTCGATGTCCTAGATGGACACATACCTGGAGGTATCGGGCAGATATCACCACGCAAGTATTCCTGATCCATAAACACAATGGCCAGGACAATGCCATGGGTATCAATAATACGAACGGCGTCACGGAGTCAATTTTCTTCCCCCTTCTTAAGGTAATTTTATATCCCTTTTTTATGGATGCCTTAGTTTTGTTTTCTAGTTTCTGTTTGTACGATTAGCACCGGTCCCATCTTCTCTTTCTGATTATGAATCCCCGGTGTTATGCACAGAATCCCTTATCAGTAGGGAAATACGCTTCTTGGTACCGGATGAAATGATGGGTTTTATAGAAGTGGTGCATTCTTTCAGTTATTAGTGACCAGCTAAATGACCAAAAAAAGTTGATTTAATAAACTACTATACACGTAACATTTGATATCACGTATCCATAGCTGACAGCAAGTGAAGGTATAGTACATTAAAGCGGGGATGGCTGCTCTAGAGGAGGATTAGGGATATGATATTGTAATATATAGTTGCCGAGGAAATATTCCAAATAGTAGAAAGGGGTATAAAGACGCGCGCTCCAGCTGGGTTCGGGCGGTTTAAAATGCACCTTTCTCGGTCCCTACATGGCCACCAGTCGATCCAAGGGCCATCCTGCCCATAGAGTCGGATGCAATCTCGTCCTCTCCGCCGCTCATCAAGGCTCCTAGAAAGCCTGATCCCCATATACCGACTATTCCCCACATCTCAAGTCTCCAGCTCCTATACAGGCCTTGTAGACCTTGTCCCTTGCGGCGTTTTTGCATTCGCCGGCTAGCCTCTCTGCCTACCTGGGGAGTATGACCGAGGAACTGCTCTACCGTGTCTAATTCTGTAAGAGACGGATTTGTGCCTTCTTCGTAGATAATGTTCCACATCGTTCCGATGATTCCTCTGTAAGTCTGAGGAGCTGGAACAATAGTAGGCAAGGGGGTATTGGTGTTTGAACTTGTTGCTCGAGTAGAAGGACCCTCTGAAGTCGGTGACCGCGTAGCTGGGGCTGAGTATGTTACGCCTGCCTGTCGGAGGGCGGGGGATGTGAAGGTTGCTATTTGTGCTCGTCTGAGGACAGTTTCAAGAGGAACTCGTACAGTTAGCTCAAGGCTCTGGGCCATGAGACTGAAGAGACTCCATGTGGACGGGTTCAACACCGGGTCAAGGGATAGATATGATTTTAGAAAAAGGGGGGTGCTGGTAGCAATTAGATTTGGTAGGGTGGAGGTAAGGATAGTGATAGGTAGGAGGTGCGGAGAGATCATGTAACTGGGGCTTGGAAGAAGCCTGGTTGACCGGAGCAGAGATCGGGGGCCGTGGCCGTGTGGTGTGAGGATCAAGTATGTTCGTGCAGTATCAATGGGTGATAGTATGATAGCTGAAAGAGCAGAGGAAAGACAGGACAGTATCAAAGCTGTGCCTGGAGCAGATGAAGTAATGATATCACCAGCCGGGAAGGAGGAAAAGGAGTCTTCTGGATAGCCTAGGATGGCTGATAGTAGACTTCGGATGAAGGTGTTTAATGTGGGCAGTAGTATCGAGTATATGAACGTAGTATTGGATGCTTTCCATATAGATGTCGGTCCGCTAGTTGTCCAGAGTTGAGACAGTACATCCAGCATCGACGAAGAGTCCTTGACCTTTAGCATGTACTTTGGCTGTGCTGTCTGGGGAATATAACCACTCCGTTCAGTTATCCGCTGGGGAGCTCTCTGATGGCTTCTCGACGAAGAGGGCATATTTGTAGGCGCGGCGGACGTAAAATAGTTATCTTCATCATCAGAACCGTATACATCCTATAATCCAAGCCAGTTAGCAATGTTGTAACGGCAGCCCAGTTTATCCAAGGATTCTAACCTCTTCTTCATACTGTTCCATCCTATGTCTCTCCAGCTTTCTCCTCTCCTCTGCCGCCTCAGCAGCTGCATCTTCAGCAACGTAGACCTGCAGTATCGTCTTCGCAACCTCGAATGGCTGTGATATCAAAACTCTCGAGTACCGCCACGCTGCGTTCTCAAACAGCTGCTTGATGGACTCTGCCACCGACGGCGAGGAGTCTCCCAGGTAATCTGCATAGTCGAAATCAGACAATATATCCCGAGCAGACGTCCCAAAGCTGCTTATATTCTCTGCGGCCGCGCTCGAAACGACCTTGGATGCGACCTGGCTCTCTGGCAGCCCGATGGGAGGCGGCACATAGTATGGCCGCAGCGGATTTGGGCCTTCTGTATGCGAATTCATTTATGTAGCGACGCAATCGATTGATCTCTCCGTCATCCGAAGCCGTAATTCTGGTTTGATCTCCTTCTCTCTGTCTTGTTTGCTGTTTGCTTCTCTATAGTGATTATTTTTTTCTCTTGTTCGGAGATAAAAACATCTTGGAGTCTTAATAATCCCGACGTTCTATTTGGACTAAAAAAAGCAATCCGGCTTGAGGATTTATAAAAAAGACCAACCTTGACAACGAATCTATCTACTTCGCAACGAGCGCACCGTCAGCTCTTTGGCGCTTCAGCTGGCTTTTGCTGTTCATTCCTTTCCACATACCGAAGGCGGTGCGCAACAGAAAAGGGAGAAGAAGAGACCAGCAGCCATGTCCGCATGGAGAGGGCTATGCCGCCATGCTTTACAATCGCTACCACAGAGCACCGGTCAGGGTCTCTCGGCTGGACGATATGCGCAGCTGAAGAGTATATCGAGGCAGAGCAGGCTGCTGTCTACAAGGCCAGACGGATGGCATCGAACTTTCCCGCCGGTCCCACGGTCATCGAGAGCTCAGCTTTCGCACGGCTCCTCCATAGCTAGGCGAGCATTCTCGTCGACTTCAAAGCTGCTACATGGCCACATTACACCTCCAAAGCCTGGTGAAGAGTGAGTCTCTCTATCCCAAGTCCAAAGGAAATGCTGGATATTTGCTAATATAAAGTAGGATCAAGGTCACTTTCATTGATAAAGACGGAGATCGACATGACTTTGAAGTCGCAGAGGGAGATAATTTACTTGACATAGCGCAGGCGAACGATCTTGAGATGGAAGGTTGGTCAATTGGCCCTCTATATACACCCTGTGCAAGCTGGCTGATGGCATTTTGATTCTATAGGCGCTTGCGGAGGCTCATGCGCCTGCTCTACGTGCCATGTAATCGTTGAGAGTTCTGACATGTACGATAAGATGCCAGAACCTGATGATGACGAGAACGATATGCTGGATCTGGCATTCGGATTGACTGAGACGTCACGGTTAGGATGCCAGGTGAAGATGACTCCGGAGCTAAACGGCCTCGTTGTCACACTGCCCAGCATGACTCGAAACTTGCAAGCTAGCGACTTTGCAGAGAAGAAATGATAAGGTATCTGCCGTTATTCTGAGCGGGCCACTCCATATCTTGAAGCATGAACCCCGTAGACACTGTCATGACTCAAGATATCAGGGATGGACGCTTTTATTTGATTTATCCCTCAGGATATAATCGCTCCAGTGTGAATGATGTGTTTAGTATTTGTACAATAGCCTTATAGACTTGCAAAAAGTACTCCCCGGCTTGGAGAGGATGACCCGTGTATATCATGTTAGGAACACCCCATATATCCCAGAACTCCGATATCAGCTCTCTCTTTTCACATTTTTTTGATTATCAAGAAAAACACATGCATCTCAGGCTTCCTCGATAGGCTTCGAACCAATCCCGTTTATTAGGTCCAAGAACCCTTGTTTGCTAACCTCGTTGACAGCCTTCTCCCGCTCATCCATTCCAACTGTCAACCGTTTCTTCCTTTCTTCCCTAGCAGCCTCTTCGCCCCGTACCTGCGCTGCCCGGACCGCATTAAACAGCTTGACAACGCCTCTCTGGGCTACTTTGCGAAGTCTCTTCTCCAATTCCGCCGTTTCTCCAGCTTCGCCCCTATCAACCCCTAGCACATCTCTCACACGCCCACGGTCCAGCTCTTCTTTCTTTTCTGCTCGTAGTTTTGCGCGCGCACGGTGTTCGAGCCTCTCATTTGCTATATCTGCACTAGTCTGAGCTGCAGCTTTACTTCGTGACAGCAGTGGATCCGCGCGAGCGGACGTAGGAAGCTTTGTAGACAAGATTTTCGAGATGGAGGTTGAGAAGGCAGTGGGATCGTTTCGTTTAGAGACATGTTTTCGGCTTGTTGTGCTTGTTGACCCGGTATGCGAGGTAATTGAAGATGCGTCTGAGTCTGAGTCCTCATCATCGTCGCCGTCTGACTCCCCAGTTGCAGCCAATTCCTCTTTCTCTTCTGACTGTAGCTCGGGTTCATCGTTTTCTGAAGAAACATCGCTGTGTATCGACTTTTCAGCGTCGCTGTCTGAATCGTTAAGATTTACCGCTGCGAAGTCCGTTGTGCCCTCTTCATCCTCAGAAGAACTGCTGTGGTAGGATTCCTGCTTTCTGAATTTCTTCTTAGGCCTGGACGTCTTCCCCCTCATCCCATCATCTACCTTTCTCTTCTTCATTATCGGGGGTGCCATCGTTCTTCTCTTGTTTGTTGTGTGTATTTTTTTTTTCTCTTTTTTGATATCTTCAATCTTTTTTTTATCTGATAAAAGAAAGATAAAATCTCGGGTCACGTGAACCCCATGCTTATCGCCTTTTCTTGTCCAAACACACAACGAAGAGGAAGAAGATAGATGAGAATCCAACAGCATCTGACACTCTTCTGTGCGTTCTTGTAGCCTGTTGATTGAATATATACATGCAAGATGGTTCTTCAGGACTTGGGGCGACGCATAAATGCCGCCGTCAGCGACTTGACCAGGTCAAATACGGTTGACGAGAAGGTACAGCTCAAGTGGCCAGCATTCTACCTATGTATTAGTACTGACATTCTTCCTTTCTAGGCGTTGGATGCTATGATAAAAGAGATATGCGCAGCTCTTCTGTCTGCCGATGTAAACGTTCGACTGGTGCAACAGTTGCGCAAATCTATAAAGGCTGCCGTGCAGCTCCCCTCCATACCCCCAGCAGTCAATAAGAAACGTCTAATCCAGAAAGCCGTCTTCGATCAACTTGTTGCGCTTGTTGACCCTCATGCAGAGCCTTTTAAGCCGAAGAAGGGCAAGTCTAATGTCATTATGATGGTTGGTCTACAGGGTGCCGGAAAGACAACCACATGTACAAAGCTGGCAAGACATTATCAGACCAAGGGGTTCAAGGCGGCCCTCGTCTGTGCGGATACCTTCCGTGCCGGTGCCTTTGATCAGCTCAAGCAGAATGCGACAAAAGCAAAGATTCCATATTACGGTAGCTTGACGCAGACTGACCCTGTTATCGTTTCATCAGAGGGTGTGGCGAAGTTCAAGAAAGAGCGGTTTGATATCATCATCGTTGATACCAGTGGTAGACATAGACAGGAGGAAGATTTGTTTGCTGAAATGACGCAAATTCAAGCCGCCATAAAACCAGATCAAACTATCATGGTCCTTGATAGCACAATCGGTCAAGCGGCAGAGTCGCAATCCGCAGCTTTCAAGTCAGCGGCTGATTTTGGAGCAATCATCATTACGAAAACAGATGGCCATGCAGCAGGTGGTGGTGCAATCTCTGCCGTCGCTGCTACTCGCACGCCTATTATCTTTTTAGGAACTGGTGAACATATGCTTGACCTGGAGAGGTTTGCACCGCAGCCATTTATCCAAAAACTGCTCGGAATGGGTGACATGGCTAGTCTGGTAGAGCACGTTCAGGCGGTAACGAAGGACTCCGCCGGCGCGAAGGAGACATATAAGCATATCTCCGAGGGAATATTTACTCTACGGGATTTCCGCGAAAACATTACATCCATCATGAAAATGGGACCTCTCTCGAAAATATCAAGCATGATACCCGGTCTGTCCAATTTAACGTCTGGTCTCGATGACGAGGATGGTTCACTCAAACTCCGGCGCATGATTTACATTTTTGACAGTATGACTGCCTCTGAGCTAGACGGCGATGGTAAGGTCTTCATCGACCAGCCAACTAGAATCGTACGACTGGCCTGTGGAAGCGGAACGACCGTTAGGGAAGTTGAAGATCTGCTTTCTCAACATAAGATGATGGCTGGCATGGCCAAGAAGGTTGGCGGACAAAAGAAACAGATGCAACGTGCACAGAATATGTTGAAGGGCAGTAATAAGGAGCAGCAAATGGCTGCTATGCAGAAGAGGATGGCTGCCATGGGTGGAGCCGGAATGCCGGGTATGCCTGGCATGGGGGATATGCAACAGATGATGCAGATGTTACAAGGAGGCGGTGCAGGCGGTGGTGGGATGCCCGGTCTAGGGGGTATGGACTTGCAAAGCATGATGAGCCAGATGAGTGGCCTCATGGGAGGTATGGGTGGCATGGGAGGTGGCCGCGGAGGCAGCAGCAGGGGGCGAGGCCGATAGCATATCTTTTCTGTTGAACCGTGATATGTATATTGATGATTATTTGGCTGCATTTTATGGCTCGTGGGAAACTTATTATAGAAAATGGCGTTTTGGAATACCGGGCGACTTGAAAATATTTATGACTTGTTTCGATATGCTATTATATTTTCAGTTGACAGTCAAAGTTGACAGCCAGTATTAGGGCTACAGCTGGATCAAGAGACGAAATAAGATTGATATAACGACAAGAGTTGATATAATATTATATGCTTAACTTGGACGCCATTTTCACTCATCAAGCCTTTCAGTTTTTAGAAGGAAGCCTCTGAATATTCTTGAAAGTGTCGTGATCTGTGTATTCGCCCAATATAAAACTCCCCAGAATATTCGGATTCCCTCGTCCAGCTTCCCCTCTGGAAGATCAGCTAGGTCATATATCACTTCACCGTCTGGGAATTCGGCTTCTCCCTTCTTTATATTACGCGGTATAGAAAGCTTGTATTGCCATACAGGCTCCGCGCTCACGTATAATGTATATATCAGGACAGACTCTCCATCTGGGCGGGTCTCAATATCGACAGCGCCAAACTTGAAGTTCCCATTCGGAACATACTTGATGGCTACATCCTTGTCATCAGTTTGGTAATAGGAGCTACTGGGGAGGTAGAATTGGCTCAGTGGACCAGCACAGAATTCATAAATTCCCTGTCCCGCTCCGTTCGAAAGGGATGAAGATGCGGAATTCATCAATTTGGTGCTCGGATTTGGGAATTTCGTAGCCGCAAATTCATGTCTGTCGCCACTAAGTAGGACGATCCTAGTTCCGAGTGTACGCTCAGCGCGCCACATGGCCTCTAGGAGAACCTCACGTTCGTTCAAGTAGCCTCCCCAGGTGTCGGGTGTCCCTATATGCCAGTTCTTGGTAAATGGTACGCTGCTGCTGATTATCTTCCATTGGACTCCGGCCGGCTCGGGACGAGAGATGTAATCGAGTAGAGACTGGAGTTGAGCGTATCCAAGCATAGTCGAGTTGTCCAATCCAGGGGGGGAACGGTATGTTCTCGAGTCCAGGATAAAGAACGATGCAGGGCCTCGAGTGAAGGAAAAATAGGTCGTGTTTTCATGAATTGCATGAGAGTATTGTGCTTTTGGAGGGTTGACGCTCACATGGTAGTGAAGATATGGGTCAATGGCAGCCGGGTATGGTTCGGTGACATTACCATCATGCCAATCGTTCTCAATCTCATGATCATCCAGCATATGAATCCAAGGCAGGTCGATAGCTGGGTTCTCGCCAACGTGCCAGCTTGGAGACGAGTAGACTCTTTGATACTCATCTCTGTAATGTTTTATAGCGGAACCAAACCGGAGGGGAACATCGATGTAAATAAAATCACCGAGGAAGAGCATAAACGAAGGAATAGCCTGCCGGTCTATCTTGGAATACACCTGGGAAAGTGTCTCGATTCCAGGGATTCTAAACGGGTGAGATAGTGGGTTGTAAGGGAAGTTCGCCTTGATGCAGCTGGTTGTCCAGAAATTGAGTCGAGTTGATTCCAATGAGCCTGGCGCCGCAGCTGTGGTGAATTCTCCAGACAGATTATTAGATAGCAGGTACTGGTACCTCGTGGTAGGCTGTAGGCCATCAATGACAATAGGAAATGTATAGTCCGTCGTATCGTTCAGTACGTGTATTGTTTCGGCCTCCATCCAAAGTTCCGGCTGAGGGTCATCTTTTACACGATGATATACTTGCAACGGCAGGTTTTCCGGATCCGGCTCTCGAACAAGGATCTTTACACTGTCTGAGGACACATATCCCACCCGAGAGAACGAAAGGTTCGCCGTAGGATGTAAAACGGAGCCCCGGAAGACGAAATCAAGCACAAAGATATTAAGCAGGACGTTGGCACCGATAGTAGTCCAGCTAACGAGCTTCGAGTTGGTACACGGCAAGCCTGTTAAAAGGGACCGTATCACCGAAACCTCTCTATTCCGTCCATTCTGCGATGTGCTTTCCGTGGTCGGCTGTTTGGACTTGGATGTCGTTGTACGCTGCTCGATCCGGCCATTCTGGGAGGGACCGTTGGACGCTGAACTCGAGGATGTCGCCCATAGTAAGCTTAGATATATGCAAAGGGTAGACACTGTGATTGGGGGCGCATGATGGGCAGGAATCTGAGCTCAATGTCAGTAACTATGAAGTCTGCTGCAAAGGCAGACAACCGGTGGCCACGTACCCAGCGTAGAAAGATGTATGATAGGAGCCTGATGATCGTCGAGCAGGTAGCTATAAGTATTTCCTGATACCGCCGCATGTCTGCTATTTCATCGGCCAGCGACTTGTCCGCCCGACAGAGCTGTCAAGGAGTGTGAGGGCGAAGGGGTTTGAATTCTCGTGTCGAATAGGATGTTGACTATTTAGCTAAATTTCCACAGGCAGCAGGCAAAAACTATTACGTCAAGGGTGTAAACAGAGACAAAACGGTTTCAGTTGAATACATTTAACACGCATTTCTATACTCCACTCGACGCGGTAAGCCGAGACAAGTCTCCTTTATTTCGTCGCTTGCTTCTCTAAAAATGTATCCAAATATATGCATGTTGTAGCTATGGGCCAAAAAAAGGGGGTTATATCAAGTACCCCGGCGGCCAGTCAAGGCTGTCTGCAAGAATGCTCCAACCAGCGCGACGTCGGAGAGAGATTTCATTCCCAAGATCAAGGACATGATGGCTGCCCATTTCCATGGCTGACTCTCGCCTCCGGGAAGAGCGTTGAAGTATTCCCAGCCGGACACCCCCCCGAATGAAGGGTACCTCTGGAGCAGCACCGCGAGAACAACGCCCAGTGTCTCCAAGGGAACGTAGCCCTGTGTCCCATCGTCTGGATTCGACAGGACCCCCGTAACGACCTTCTCGGGCCTCCATCCATTCGCTATGATCGTATCGTACATGGCCGTATCCGCAATCCCTCCCCAGCCGTTGTAAAACTGAGCGTGGTACCAAGATATCTTCGATCCTCTCTGTTCTTCCAGCGCAAAGTAGCTGAAGCCAGACAGATGGCGTAGACCCCGTACCAAAGCCGTCGCAACAGGCGCAAGAGTGATGATAAAGTCGTCTCCGAAATCTGACTTGAGACTGTCGATAAGTCGAACGATCCCCTCGAGAGACATGTCCTCCTCAACGTCCAGGTCGAGGCCATCAAGTCCGTGGGCTCTGATCATGTTACGAAGGGGGATGTAGTATCGCTCGTAGTCCTCTATATTTCCGTCCAGCCTCCGGAAGCTCCCCTTCGCGGCGCCTCCCAGCATCCCCATGACTTTGACGCCCGCAGCCTGCAGCACACACACTTCTTCCCAGAGAGGCTCGTAGCGAGGGTCATCGGGAGAGTCATCGTTCAGGGTGATGCTCTCTGCGTCCTCGTTGATGTGGAACGCGGCCAGAATTACATGCGATACGCCGCTGAAGTTGGTGCACAGCGGGAGCATAGAGACGTAGTTGGTTCCATTGTGGGGGAAGTACGTCTGGTAATAGCATATCACTCGAGGCCGCACCAGGTTCTCGCCTCTGTTCGGTGGAATCGGTGGCATTTGGGTATATCCTTGTGGCTATCAAGAGTGATGGTTATTAAATAGTTATATTTGTGTCAATCGAGATCCTTGTTTTAACCAAGGGTGGAGTAAGAAACTACTTTAATTCCTACATCTACACATCACCACAGTCAACGTATGATAGAACATCCATGTTATTTCAAGTTGCAATGTCCAATATCCTCGTCTTGACTAACAGGAGAGAGAAGTACACGGCAACACGACACCATGGCAGAGCCGCACATACGGGATGATAGCAGCTGTCTGTATGTTCAAACAAGGAGGCAAAAGTCATCCTGTCATGGGTTGCTACGCCGTTTTTCCCAAGAGAAATGCCATCGTCATTATCATCCCAAGTGCGTTGGACGCCTACTTGCGCTAAAGAATAAACGAGAACGAGTCTCCGCATAAGGTCCTGCATGCGGTCTAGGATTTGGATAGCTGACAGTGATAGGCCCAATTTCCAGCTGCCTTGATATGCTCAAGACAAAAATAGAGCGCAATGCCACTCTGACTGACGTCTGTTCCATGCACGAAAGATATCTCTGGCGGCTACCGATACAGCATACCGTTCGCATGAACTTTTTGTTTCCTAAGATCTCCCGAAAGTGGTGGATGAAACGTGCTGGTGAGTCCTGGATTCCTGTTCAAAGAGCTTCGCCCCCCTAGCGGCACTAACTATGGACAAGGGCGTAATGTTTGGTTAAATGATGTCCAATCAACCCTACCGTCCAGCCGCATTAAACACATCGTTGGTGACTCCTACCGAACGGCTGGGCCTTACCATGGCTTGGATATAGGATTTTGGCGGCATCCTATGCATGTAAATGTCGCATCTGAGCACTAAACTTCGTTTCTCAATGTCACCTGGGATGGATTCATGAACTAACTAGCTAACCGCTGTGCCACAAATTCTAGGCGTTCAGATGTTGGTATGAGAGGGGAGACGCACTATATGAAGGCGGGTGTCAGTCGCAATCCGTTCTAAAAAGAAAAATTTTTCCATTTCTCGATATCACGGTGATAAAGTTGGTGCTCACTTAATATTACTCTTACCCTGCATTACCACGCACAATCGCATCAAAAATGTGGACTTCTACGTCGACGAAAGATAGGCGATCCCAGCCAGAATTCAAGATCGGATACCCTAAACGACTCCTGTGGGATGAATTCGAACAATCTGAGCCAGAGTATTTCCCTATCCCTAAATTTAGGGAGCTCGTCCCAAGGAGATCCTACTCTCCAACGCCAACCTTCAGCTCGCATCGGATCTATCCAGTGACTATGAAACACTGCTCTACCCTCCCGCTCTGTCTTCCAGCCTGCTACACACTGCAAGAGGCTCCAGGGCAAGTCTCGTCGACCGTCTGGACAGTGGGTATAGGTGTCTCCGGATCGGCTGTGGCCGGTCGACCCAACTAGGTTCATACTACTGTTCGGCTCGTAAGTATCCATGATGGACAATTCTTATACTATTAATCGCTAATTGCTTTATCAGATCACTGATTGATATACCTTTTAACGAGTTGATGCCATAAAAGGGAGGATATAGTCTAGGGCGCAAGGGAAACACGTCGCAGGGATGACAACGAGGAAGGAATATGTTTTGCTTTTATACATGATGACATGATGCACTGTAACGACTTCTATGTAACTAAACTTTCTTATGGTTGTATTGCTGGATTACCGTTAACATCCATAGCAGTGCTCTCTTTTGAGCCTCAGTAAATAAGCTTCGTACTTCAATAAAGTTGCAACGAGGATCCACCATAGCGGGTTTGAGCCTCCATTTTGGATGAGCGGACGCCGCGTTGATCCACTGTTCTTGGAGCAAGATGGTCACTTCGACCTGTCGGAAGAACTTGGCACTGGGTATACAGGACTGTACCCGATACATAAGAAGGATGATAAGCCAAAGGCTTAGGTAGGATTGAAGCTGCGGAACGTAGACTAATAAAATAGTAAGGGAAGATGGATATTATTCTGTAACCAAGAACTCTGATGGTGGTGTAGTCCTACAAAAGGAAAAAAACCATCACACGTGACAGGACAGTCGCTTTGGTGAAGCAGGCGTATTATTGAGATATAAGATCGATAAGTCTGCGAACACAAGGCCATCATGGGCAGCTATGTTCCGGCCCGAGCTTAGTTGGTAAATTGGCGCGCTGGCTACCATGACATTTGTAATTGCTGTTTTAACAGACACACCCTTAACGGTCTGCCGTACCCTCATTCATAAGGGCTCCCACCCCAGTGTCTTCCACCATCCAGCCTTGGGTGGAACCTGTTAGCAGAATCTTAATAACCATTATGTTGTCCGCCGGACTGCTGGTGGCACAAGGGACTCGTCCACAAGAGGTCAGAGTTCCCAATCTAATTTGGTAGTTAAGCCATAACTCCGCTTTTATATCTATGTGAAAACAGATCCTGGCTTGGCTGAAGGCAGATAATGCGCTGGTACGTCTGTGTCAGAATCCGCCATCCCGGCCAAAAAGGCGAGTCCGCGCCAATTGGCGGTAGAGAGACGGGTTATATTTGACAGTCTGTCATTGCATAGTTCTGCGTCGTAATTTTTGGGGTGACCTGGTACCAGCCTTATTCCCGAAGATACGTTCACATTTATCAAAGACTATATCTGAGGTTTGTAACCCCCTTGCGAGCTTTTCCTCTGGATCTCCTGGTGTTAAGTCATCTCTCCATAGAGTCTTGCCATGTACTCCGTATTGTCTTTCCATTAGACATATTGAAAGTGGCATGCAAATGCATATGGCTAATGCATACCATGGAGGAAATAGCCGCAGCCGCGGGTTTGAAGAGTGCGTCCGGGCAATTAAGCTGCTGCCATTGTCTTGCGGGATTGAAATCCTCATTTGAAAATCAACATGCCGTATTCTGAGTATTCTCTGCATAATATGTATTAGTATCATAAGCTAAGCGGCACGGATGCTCTGGTCTACCTACTAACTGCTGGAAGCCTGATGGGTTGGGCCTCCACAGCGGTAATCTTCATTGCCGACCTCTGGGTCTCTTAGGATAGTTAAGCCATCAGCTTTAGAGGAGCCTTGTGTCCTTTTGCCCTCTCCTTGGGGATCAGGTATGGGATTACCATGGTTGATTTCTGGTTTTAGAAGTAGTCCCGCATGAGCCGCTGTTCTTTGAACTTTTTGTAAAGTATTGTATTTGAAATGTTTTGAGTGTCAATTTATATGCCTCATTATAGAATAAAGTTACAGTAGTGACTTTGAAGGTGGTGAATACAATTGCGTTGGCCTTCGCGCAGGTAAATGGAAGCGGTGAATGAAAAAAAGGGATTCATGCGCGAAACTTAGCAATATTTATTGAATGTAGAATAGTCACATACAGAAATACGACGTCTCGAATGAGCCGCTCTTTAGAGTTGTAAAGGCCGTGAATTAAGCTAGGTGGCAATGTGAAATGGATTAAATGCATTAAGAGCTAGACTGGGTAGTACGTACGGTTTGCGTATAGATAGAGACCCGAACTAATAGAACCGTAGATCTGAATCCAACAAAAATTAACAATGAGCACATGTACAAGGAGGTTACCATTGAGAGATATTCACACTTACTAGAATGACACGATATGAAAGCTGGCCCTGGCCTGTATTACCAGGCCGTGTGGCCGCCGTCGATCACGAGCGAACTGCCGGTCATATAACTGCTGGCATCACTCAGCATGAAAACAACAGCTCCGGTGAATTCCTCAGGCCGAGCCAAGCGACCTAGCATGCTTTCCTTGACCCATATTTCCTTGAGTTCTGGGACTTCCTCAAAGTTCTTCTCGACCATAGGAGTAATAATGTGCCCAGGGCAAAGAGAGTTTACCCGAATGCCCTTCGAGCCCCATTCCATTGCAAGGTTGCGGCCAAGCTGGATGACTGCCGCTTTCGAAGAGTTGTAAGTAGCACTGTGAAGACCCTTGTTTGCTACGAAGCCGCTCATACTAGCAATCAGGACTATAGAACCATGGGTCCCTGACTTGAGCATATGTCGAGCAACTGCTTGGACTGTCATGAAGAGCCCAGTGTAGTTGATATCTAACATCCTAGTGATGTCTTCCAAAGTAAAATCAACTGCGTCCTTGAGCTGCTGTATTCCTGCGGCAGCTACAAGGCCATCAATCTGACCTGAGCGAGCTGCAACTTCTGAGACAGAATCCTCAAGGTGCTTCCAGTCACGGACGTCGACATGATGGTAATGCAATGAGCCAACATGGTCGGTTTTTGCAATTTCTTGGGATGCATAGAACTCTGGATCAGGTTCAGCTAGCCGATCAAAACAGTGAACTAGAAGACTAGTTAATACGGGATTTAAATGGGAGGCAGCTGGTATAGGGGGACAAACCATCAGCTCCGGCTTCTGTCATTGCTTCCGCAATAACAAGGCCTAAACCTCTGCCTCCCCCCGTAACAATGTATACTTTGTCCTTCAAACTGAAATTCGGATACACCTTTTGGTGGTATTTGGGGGTAGTATCGCTCGGCATATTGATATGCGGGCGTAGCCAGGTATAAGTCACGATAGATAAGTTAGAACAGTCGCTAGACACTGAAGACCAAATACCAGCTACTACAAGCACCAGCGCAGGGTATATATGCAATGACACCCAGAGCTGCGTATCTTGTAGTTGACGTCATGAAGATGGGTTACCAAGGTTTGGCTTGTCCCAGCTGAGAAAGCCGTTATGATTTCATACGAAACGTCAGCTAAGTGAGAATGCATGCATCTATGTGTACACTCCCAGATTAGTGGAGTAGCATGCGGAGAGCACCCTACTATGTATGCCAAACAGGGCGTGTCCAGGCACATTTTCATCATGATATCACGACCTTTTTTTTCGCGTCTGAATCTCCATAAAAACTTATCGCGACGGTCGCGATTAGATCACGTGATAGTAAACCAGCGCTAACCCGAAATAGAAATATGTAAACATTCTGATGGGCGGCAAACGACGAAAAAAAAAAAACAGCAGTACGCAGCTGGTTGACTGCTCTGGACATAGCAGATAGCATCCTACTTGTGTTTGCTCTTCAACATGGCCAACCGCTTCTCGTCTCCATGCCCCACCTCCCATGACACCCCAGGGCAATCTGGATTCTTCGCCAGTCCGTCAGGGTCAGCTATACCACGTCGGAAGTCGCTCCCATACATTAGAACAAAGAGGAAGAGCATATCCAGCCCTCTCCCAAGTCCTCATTACCCGAAAAGTCCTCATTCCTCACGGAAAAGCAGAATTCCTGTTCGAGAGTCACCGAAGAAAACGGTCGACGACGATCAGAGCGACTCCGAAGTTGACCTCAGTGAATACACCTTTGACCTGAACAAGCTCCCTGATCAGCTGGTCAGTATTGGGAAGGAAGACGGTGAGAAGAGACATAAATCCCAAGATGAGAAGACCACGACATCCTCCGATCTCGATGGCCCAGAGGATTTTACGTTGAACATGGTCGAGCTTCTGAAGAATGTGGATCTGGAGGATACTCAACGCACCCAAGTGCAGGTCAGACGAAGCGAGGATAAACACAATTGTGATGATGGTGGCGAAGAAAAAGGGGAGAGAGAAGATGGACAGGACGATGGACACGATCTGGACGGGCCTACGAGAGCGACAGGATTGCAGGACTACACCCAGCTGGACCATACTATGGAAACCTCTACACCGGCACATTTACTCTGGAGGGATGTAAATGCAACTATGCAACACGACTCAACTTCGAAACGTCAGCCGAGTCCACCTACACAAAATAACAAGGCAGGTGACTTGGAAGAAAACTCAGTTATCTATACCCAAGGCCGAAAGTTCGCTCCGACAACACCAACGATAGACCTTTCTAGGATTGACGAGACGACTACCAGCCAACAAGGAGACCAAACTTTGTGTGCGGCCCAGCAGATTTGCCAACTCGAGTTGGACCTTGAGGCAAAAACTCGACGTATCCAGGAGATGGAAGCAAAGTTGGCGGAGACAGCCTCGTTACACAAACAGATAAACGATCTAAAACAACAACTGCAAAGGCGTGAGGAAATAACAAAGCTGAGTGATACCGAACTTAACGACCTACGAAAAGCCAAGTCGGAGTTGGAGCAAACACGGAATGAACTCGCTAGCCAAACTTCGAAGGAGTCTACTCTCAGGAACAACCTAAAGGAGAAAGGCAAACAGCTAAAGGAGGCAGAGAAGCAGCTGGATGACGCCCGCACAGCCCATAAACGCTACTCGGAGGAAATGGGCACAGAGCTCAAGCAAGTAAAGCAAGAATGCGAGAAGAAGCTGGGCGGAGTTTACAGCCTGAAATATCAACTGACCTCCACTACCCGAGAACGAGATTCGTTCCAAAAGAAGATAGAGGACCTCGAGTGCACCATTCAGAACTTAAAAGCACAAGTGGAAACCACGGAGTCTCAGAAGGCAGAAGAAGCTGCGGAGAGTTTAGCAAGGCTCAGGGAGGTTCAGAAGTTTGCCGGAGAGCTAGCTCTCCCTGCACTAGGAAAACCCTTCTTTGAAATCATTGACCTTCTTCGAGAACATATTAAGACTCTCGGGGAAAAATCTTCGGAGCAACAAAATGAGCGTTCAAAGAAGTCTGAAGAGGCCCAGAAGGAATTGCAAAACTTAGTAAAGAAAGCCAATGGTGTAGCACGGCTCGAAGCTCGTAAAGCTGAGCTATACCGTGATCGGCTTAGTGAGACGACTTCCAAAATTGATTCAGTCAAGAATGAAAATACTGAGCTGCTCGAGAGGATTGCTGTTCTTACGTGTGATAATGCAAAGCTCAAAAAGAGAGCTGCGGAATCTACCCAGGAACATGATCAAGCTCTTAATGCGCTACGAAATCTTCGAAATGAGGCCGAAGAGTCACACAAGTTACAAATTGCAAAACTCAAAGCCTCCCACTCTGAGCAGCTGGCCAAGTATCGGAACAACAAGCAAGGCCCCAGTAGCGAGCTGCAGGCTCGCTTGGCCGCATCTAAGAACAGAGAAAGTGTTCTGACAGCGGAGCTCAAAGCGGAGCAGACGGCCAGAGAAAGACTTGAGGAGGATATCGTGCGCATGGAAACAGAAATAGCACACCACCATATGACACAAAAGAGGCTTGAGGCTATTATCAAGGCTAACACTTCGGCAGCAAAGAAGATCGATGGCAAGATCGTTGAAATCATGCGGGAGAGAGAAGACGCTTGGAAAGCCCGAGTCGATGAGCTCACCAAGGACAATGAGAAATTGGGCAAGGTGTTAATGACCATGTGGGGAAAACAGGAGGTCGGTGATAACTCCAAGTCTAAAGAAAAGGGGGATAAACAGAGGTATAAGTATAAATACGCCAGAAAGACGCAGGAAATTGAGATTGGGGAGATCTGGAATACTCTTTTAGGGGAGCCAGATGCGTGATCTGGTGCTCGTCATCGCTTGAAGTATACGGCCTGGGTAACTTTACGACGACGTTACCCATCCTTTCGAATATGTCTGGGTTTATAGTGTGTATGATTAATGTTGCTATTCGGGATAATGTCTCCCCAGAGGAGTTTTGGGTGCTTCAGGTTACTTCTTCATATGCTTGCTGCTATTTTTATCTCCTTATCTTGATCTTATCAATCAGTGCCTCCCACGTGACTTAATACCTCGGCTTAAAGTCACTAGCCCGAGCTCGGCTCTTTTGGTTATCTGATCGTGATTTCAACATGATCAAAAGGAGAAGAAAGGAGACTGTTTGTCTCCATGATGACCTTTTAGAAGGGCTAGCTAAATAAGTTCCCATCTCTTCTTTTTTGGTCATAGTTGAAAAGATGGCAACTTCTCCCCGTCCATTGCAGGGCATACGCGTTGTCGAGCTTGCTGGGTTAGCCCCAGGTCAGTTTCACCCAGATTAATTTATCTATAGAATATAGTATTGACTAACATCTCTATATAGGCCCCTTTGCCGGACTTATGTTGGGCGACTATGGTGCATCAGTCGTACGGGTAGATAGACCGCATCCTAATGCCCATTCGCAATCAAAGCCCGCTCCGCCGCCTACTTTCGATGCGCTCACACGGCACAAAACGTCCATCAGCCTGGATCTCAAAAACCCGGATTCAAAGGCCGTTCTACTTTTTCTATTATCCAAAGCAGACGTCCTAATAGATCCCTATCGTCCCGGCGTCCTGGAGAAGCTAGGATTATGCCCTACGACAGTGCTACTAAAGCATAACTCCCGTCTCATAGTTGCGCGGATGACCGGGTTCCGCCGCGATGGGAAGTACAAAGACATGGCAGGCCATGATATAAACTATATAGCTGTTTCTGGAGTTCTATCCCTCTTAGGACGGGAAGGGGAAAAACCATATCCACCCGGAAACATACTCGGGGACTTCGCTGGTGGTGGAGCCGTTTGTTTCCAAGGCATACTGCTTGCTCTCCTAGCTCGTCAAGCTACGGGGAAAGGCCAAGTGGTTAACGCCAACATGGTTGACGGGTCAGCTTACTTGGCTACTTTCCCGCGCCTTGCGAGGCAGAGTCCAATGTGGGATGGACCCAGGGGCAGCAATGTACTTGACGGTGGGTGTCCATATTACGCTACGTATGAGACCAAGGATAAGGGTAAGTATTTTGCCGTGGGTGCATTAGAGTCGCAGTTTTATACTGCGTTCTTGCAGGGGTTGGGGCTAGAGGAGAAAGATTTGTTTCCACTTGGTTCGAACATGGAAAGGCAAGACAGGGATAATTGGCCGTATATGCGCGCAGTACTTGAGAGAAAGTTCAAGGAGAAAACTAGGAGTGAATGGGCAGCTATATTTGACGGAACAGATGCGTGTGCCACTCCTGTCCTGACCATGGACGAGCTTGAGAAGGAAGGATATGATCAACGACCTATCGTTGGGTTATCCGATACGCCCGGGTTAGATATTGCGCCTGATGACGGCGGATGGTCTGGCGGCGGCATGTGTCCTGGCAACGGAGGCGAAGAGACGTTAAAGAACTGGCTTGGGTGGCAGCGAGGGAAGGACTACGATGTACATGAAGGAGCTCTTGTTAAAGTTAAGGTTGCCGGGGTGAAGCTCTGAGTTCACCCTTGTTCTTTTTTCTCGTTGCTTTTTTGCAAGTATACAGGTGTTGTATTACTGCCTAACAGTGCTATAAACATGGATTAAGCATTACTAGAAGGCTTTTGTTTGGTCTTGAACAGGGGCTGCGAGCAGAGGTATTAATGCCTGAATTCAATAGTCTTTCAGGAAGGTGTCTTGTTAAGGAAAAAAGATAAGCCATGCAAGGAGCAACTGTATTGTAGGAGAAAGGAAGAGCACAAAGGGTCAAATACTCATGGTTAATAGAAAGAGGTTGAAAGAAGGGAAGCGAGGGCGGAAGAAGATGCAGAGGAAGAAGAGGGTGAATACGAAGATAAAGAAGATGAAGATGTAAAAGAGGGAGGAGTAGAAGTAGATGGGGTAGTATAAAAAGAAGTAAAGGACAGGTCAACAGGGGGATAACTCCAGGTTCTCCAGACCGTTGTTGTTGGCTGTCTCGAGGTCGGTGGAAAGGTCAGTCGCTCAAATCAGGATTGGCAACGAAAAGCCTCACGCCCGTCATACTGGAGGTGCGTTCGTCGACGCTGCCCCGTCGTTTCAGATCATCCGAGATCTTGCGTTTCTGCATGGCCGTCGATATTCCGGTGGGAGCAGTCATTTCCGTAATCTTGCCGAACTCGTCCTCTTCTTCACTATGTGATGTGGCAGGACGTTGATCAGACGTGTTGGTCGACGACCGATTAGGAGTAGCTACGAAATCCTCATCCTTGAGGTGCTCCAGTGGAGCGGCAGGCGTCTCGACAATGTCTGGTATATCGGCGTTTGGAGGGGTATTATTTGCACTGCTACTGCTGCTCAGTCGAGTCTGCTGGGCCCGCTGGTGAGCAACAGACATTCGATTGCTGGCCGTCGAGCTTCTACCGCTTCCCGTACGTTGATGTATGGGCTGGCCAAGGTCAATGCGGTCATCAAACTCGTCGTCTCCGTCCCCGACTTCGTTTGCGCTCAATCGCAGGGGGACGCCGGCCCCGACCATTGTGCTTGTGTTGTAGCTTATAGAACGGCCGTTACCGCTGTGTCTGATCTTTCCACCGCTGATCAGGGTGCTGCTGCGTGTGGACGAGCTGCCGTGCACCTCTAGCAGCGCACGCTGTTTGGCGGCACGACGCTGAGCGAGGAGGCGGGGGTCCTCCGCCTGAGCTCGATCACACCATACGGTAGCCTTTTGCTTGCGCATGAGAGCAACATAGCTGACCTGCGGCCGCTGGGAGGAGGTGCTGTATCTGATATCAGAGCTGATCTGGCTCATTTGGCGGGTAGGGGGCGCGTTCCCACCAGTAGAGGTAGTGCATGTGGTAGCATTCGACGCTCTACGTGATGGGGGGGCAACGCCATAAGGTGATCGCTGCTGCTGTTGTTGTTGCTGCTGTTGCTGGTAGAGCTGGTGCTGGTGCTGGTGCTGGTGTGGCGGTTGCGGGTGTGGGCTGTGTTGGTGGAACTGGCGATGGGGATACTGCTGCTGGTGCTGCGGGTATCCCGCCATCGACTCCCTCATGGGCTGCATGTCGACAGGCAACAAAGACGAGCTCGTGGTGCGAGGGCGATACTGAGTGCTGACCGGTCTGGCGATGCTGCTGCCGCTGCTGCTGGCCTGGTGCGACGGGGCGTCAGCAAGGTGGTGGGAGCTGCTGCTGGAGTCAAGCGTGTGGAACTGGAAACCAGCATTGCCCGGCACCGGCTTGCGGGGAGGAGCCTTGTATACGGGCGAGCGATAGTCTGCCATCGTCATTCGGCCTGCCAGTCTCGTTTCTTTTGTTTCTTCTTCGTCTTCGTCTTCTTCTCCGTCTTCCCGTCTCCTGGTGGCTGCTTGCTTGCTTCCTGGCGGCTACGTTGATAGGGGGTTTCGATCGACGGAGCGGACGAAGAGAAATACGAGACCTGCGAAAGAGAGACAAGCTGCTAGGAGGTCTCTATCATTTGATACGGACGTCTCCAGCTTCGCCACTAGAGCTGTCAGCGATGCAGCGTTGAAAGGGTCGAAGGTGGTTGAGATTGGAATTTCGCGGTCGCAAAGACGAAGAAGAAAAATGGGCCGGCGGCGGCTCTGGCGCGACACCAAAACCTCGGTATATTCTTTTATGGATTAATGAAAGATATAAATATACATTAAATATCTAGATAGAGAGAGAGAGTCTATATACAGCGAAGAAGAGAGATACTACTTTGTATATAGCGAGCGAGCTCATGCTTAAAGAAAAATCTTACAACGTCGCAACCAAACGCCACCGACCACATAGTCGAAACCTTCCAACGCGACAGTGACAGCGAGCTTCCTGCGGGCGGTGGTTCCATCTGAGCCGCCTTTGCCTTGGGTTCACTGCCCGGTCGCAGATATATTAATACATCGAAGAGTGGAAGAGAAAAAACAAGCATTTGCGGCGATGCAAGGGGGGCGCGAGGAGGAACTCCAGGTACCATTTCGACGGGATCTCTATACATACATATATATTATTATGCATCTATCTAACGAGGATATTCTATAGGCGTCCTGAAGGAAACTCGATGTCTACTATTAAAATATCAAGGGGAAGCCGTGGAGTTTTGATGCCGTAGCAGCTTCACCCTGACATTCCATCCAGGCAGACAGCTCGAGATGAACAAGAAAAAGGGCTGAGAGAGTGATGAGACTGGCCTCCGGCTCGCCAAAACAAAGGATAATAGGAGACTATAAATAGGGGCTATGGCTCTTCGCTAATTTCAGCTCCTATCAAGTCGAGCTCGGGATGATACGAAGCGGCTCAAGCAAGCAGCGCAGCGACGGACAGGCAGCGACGGAGTGAGGGAGAGATACACGCATGGCTTGACGCAAGGCGACTGGCGAGCCGTTAGATGGCGTCGACGACGGGTTAATGTGATATGCAGGTCACAGAGCCTGACGAGGCGTGGTTGGCTTGATATCGACGTTGCTATGGGCGTTGACGCATATATAACAGCTCAATGGCTTGCTACCACTAATAGTGGCCCATGTTATTACCACCACCTATGACGGCATCCTTGGGTGTTTCGTTTCTTTTTGCAGGTTTCTCGCTTGCAGGGCCAGAGAGAACCCATGCCTGCCCCTGAAATAAGAACTTCATCTCGACACTTACCCCGAACCAAACATATGCAAAGGACTTATATGCAAAGGACAAGTCAGAGCCAGCCTTTCTCCACCGCAGCGAAAGCTAGCCGCAAGATGGATATCTAAGCCCTAGCCGGCAAGCTCGATGAACTGTATATCAGACAAAGAATCCAGCCATTGGCATGAACAATAACAAGCCAGCAGCCAGTCAAGACCCTCCCCATGACTATTATTGCATCATCATCACCGTCACGGCCTTCAAACAAATCCTTCAACAGGTTCTTGTCAATAAATCTAATGGTGGACATTATCATGCTCCTCATTATTGGTGGCGGACGCTAGGACTCGACTCCCGGCCATCCAAGTGGAGAGAAACCATAGATCTTCGCTGGCACTATTATTTCACGGCTTTTTTGCTGCAGAAGACACCGAGTAGGAAGTCTATATGCTTATTATGCCTGACTTCAACTCTTTTAAAGCGTGGTACTTCGCTGGGGGATTCCCTCTTTCTCGTGTAATGCCTTCTCGTCTATTCGTCCCATCCAGCACGAGTCATGGAGTCCAAAGGCGAACCTGATGCTATCTGCAGTACACCGGCAGGTGTAGCGGAAGATAATACGAATAGTCCTCTGCCGTTGGAAGTTGACGATGATGTACGTTGCTATCATACTCACGTCGCTTTGGCTGTAGTCAATCCACTGACGAGGAAGGCGATATATAGCATGAAAGCAACTATGAGGATGAGTTGTATAAACCACACTTCCCAATTTTTCTCATGCGGTGCGACCATTTTATGCAAGTCTTCTTCTAACGGGCCTGCAGGTCGAGATACTCAGCCTCTGTAACTTCTAGTGTCGTTGATTACCCCGTTCTACATGGTCGCAGGTATCATGCCTATCGTCAAGGCAGTGAGTATATATACACATACATGTAGGCTATGTGCTTTAACAAGTTTTAATCGCTCGTAGGATATCTGTTTCCCAATGATGAACAAGAGAGCGAAAGACTCGACATACATCATGCCTTGATCAGCTTTCTTTTGAACGGCCGGCTTCATTTGGCACCTATCAGCAAAGACCCTCAACGGGTACTGGATTTATGCACTGGAACTGGAATTGTACGTACGGTCATTCATGTTGCCTGTTGTCTCTACTAACGCTTCATCCCAGTGGGCTATCGCCTTTGGTATATATCAGTATTCTTGAAGAACACATAACTCAGTGGCTAACAGTTTATCAAGCCGATGAGAATCCGTCGGCCGAGGTACTATCCATCTATATCAGTAACAACGCTGTAACTAATTTTGTGCGTAGGTTATCGGAAATGATCTAAGTCCAACTCAGCCTTCCTTGTATGCGGGTCTCAAGAGACACTACTGTCAGTACAGAGTCCGTCAAGCTAATATGCAACAGAGTTCCCCCAAATGTGAAATTCATAGTCGACGATGTTGAAGATGAATGGGGCTATGAAGATAGCCCGTTTGACTATATCCACGGCCGCTTTCTCATCGCGTCTATTAGATGTTGGCAGAAGTTGATACACCAGGCGTTCAAGTATCATTACTCCTTCATATGTCTATTGTCCAATCACCATACCTAACCAGACACTATAGTTGTACTAAACCCGGAGGATGGGTTGAATTCCAGGACTGGGACGGTACCATCCGCAGCGACGATGATACGTTAAATGGAACAGACCTATTGATGCTTCAAGAAAGCGTTAAAGACGCATTCATAGAGATAGGGATCAACGCCAATCCAGGCGCTGAATGCGGTAGCTGGCTGAAAGAAGCTGGATTTATCAACATTACCACTCAGGTTTCTCTAGCCCTTTTATCCTTTTCTCGATAGTTCGCATCTACTAACGTAGCTACCATGATCAGAAATATAAGGTACCGCTGGGGACATGGCCGAAAGACAAGCACTTGAAGGTCATAGGGGCATATAACTTACTCCAACACGATGAAGGGCTGGGAGGGATTGCCAATTTGCCATTGATCCAGAAGGGATGGACGCCGGAGGAAATTCAGGTCCTGCTGGCAAAGGCACGGGGGGACCTGAGAAATCGTTCCATCCATGCATATTTCAATTTGTATGTTTATATAAACTCCCTTGTCCCACCCTTTCTTGTTTGGCTGCTAACTTCCACACTCGGATAGCTACGTTGTATATGGTCAGAAACCTAACGTTTCATGACGAGATTATATATCGCCCGATGGAGTATCCTTTCTTTTCGCTGATTCAGTAATGGAACTTCTTTTATACATTATATACCCTTGATACTCGGTAGCAAGTAAAATATCATACCATTTATATTGGTCAACGTTCTTATGAAGTAAATATTATCAAGCAGCTATGCTGAAGAGATCTTTGGTCTTAAAACTATAGATATCCACGTTATCCCAGCTATTTGCTCATATTCTTATTGAACCTTCCTACGGTAAGTCGAAAAGCTGAGGACGGGGAAGAGCGCATAAGCGGCCAGCCGGGTCCATTCGCGAGTCCGAACTCACGGTATTTCGGAATAACCTGAATTCATAGAAATAATGCTTTGCATCCTCCCACTCTAATATCTCGGCTAGGGGGACCCCAGTCGCCCATAGTTTCAACCATTTTCGAGCAAAATAGACCGTAAGATGTACGTTGTAGCGGTGAACTTGGTAGAAACAGTAATCGTCCAGCTGTTTCATGGCCAAAAAGCGCGCAACCCTCTGGTTCAGGCCTTCATGATAACGAAATTTAACCGTATTTTCAGAAAAGCATCGACTCTTGCTGTCTACAAGTTGAATGGTAGGGAAAAGAGCCATGCTTGTCCGCATGTATATAGGAGCGCCGGCCTTCCTTTCTGGATGTTGCTGGAAGCCAAGAGGCTCCTGTATTTGGATATGCTGCCTGCCCGACCGTCGAAGACGATTTAACCTGCGTGAAACTTCCGGGGTTGGAGCATCTTCTGTCAGAATTCCTATGTTTACCGCTATGTCCTCAAGCTTGGGTACCAAAGGCTTTTTAGGTGGTGGCGTAAGTGCGTCTGCTGTTGTCCAGCGACTAAAAACCATTGTTAGGAACATTTTCAGTTCATCGTCGGTAACGCTATCTTCAGGATCGGTGTATTCCTTGATAATGCGAACACAGTCTTGGAATAGAGCTTTTGGCTCTGGAGAAACTTCGTCAGGGCAACATATTATCGTCTTTGGACCATTGTGCAGGGCAGACAGCGAAGGGCTAGGAGCAGGGTTCGCCATTTTATAGATCCTTATCTCAATGGTTCGTCCTTCGTCCGGTGAGCGGCCACGGTCCAAATTGGATTCGCCTTTGTAATTTTGCTTCGTTGGTTAAGAACAAGTGTAACAAGCACGTAGACAATACTAAGATCAGATAGTTGAAGAGAGAGTCCAGATGCCGTGGTAATTGAAGATTGGAATTAAGATCAAACTGGCAAAATCAAGGCAAAGTAAGAGTAACCTGGGGAGAAAAAGTGAGATTATCAATCGAGGAGTGAGATAAACGAGGAGCCAGCTCTTTGGGCTCAGCCATGTTAGCGCGGCAATCTAGCCATGAAGCGTGAGAAAGTGAACTTCAAGTACAAACGAGTGTGAAACTTGGTGCAATGATCCCGGAATTTATGTTCCCGAGCGTCCCATACTTCAAGGCAACCTCTATGGAAAGTAGGCAGCATTACCAAGATGCATTATAAATGGCCAGAAGTATCCAAATCACCACTGATGGGTTTCTTAATACTCTCCATATAATATGAAGAATGTCACAGCGTAGCACCATCATATCTGGTTGGTCTCTATGCTCTTCGCATTATTATGCCTTGACAAATGGTATCTTGCATGCTAAAAAGAAAAGGGTAAGGCATATTCAACCCAGCTGATTATGTATGTAGCATCACTGCTATATGACCCAGCCGCTCCCATGAGCTATCTCACGAGTTATCGAGCTACCTCGCTCCAGACGCTCGACGTTGTTTATTTCTGAGATGAGAAAGAAAGTCAAAGTCAAAAGAGGCGCCTATATTAGTCATCATTGTTAAAGTCACGTGGGTAATTTATCAAGTTAACGCGTTGAGTTCGCGTTTCCACCAACATTTCAACAGACAAACAGGCAGCGCTCTTGGATGAACAGGGACGAGACGGTTGGACGGCCCATATTTCGCATCGGGGCCTTTTCTTCTCAATACCGTCTTTACTGGATTACCAGGTCTATAACTTGAATTCGACTCCTCGCTCACTCCTCATGAATAGCATTTTCCGACCATCGTCTGATCCCACTAGCCAATACAGAATATTGCTCCTTCAAGCATCATTTATGAACTGGTATTCTCAATTTCACCAATCCTACGTGGACCGGCCATAAACAACTACAACTACAAAGATCAAGGTTGACAGCGCTTTGGGTACAGGATTGAATGATACCGCCTTAGGGAGGAGTACTCTGATATCAAAGTCGCGTGATCCTTTGTTATAGTGCCTAGAAGCATTTGGAAACGGGTAAAAATGACAGAGGTCGATGTCCGTCTAGGAATGAACGGGCTACCGGCTTCCAGAATGACACCCGACCCTCCAGTGAAGCGGGCATTCGATGAGCTGGAAACTACTGATCGTCCTAATACTGCAACGACACAATCTAATGTCGAGAATTATGTGGATCCGAAACCGTCACCCGCCCTCAACCCATCTGCTATAGACACAATCTCTTCTAACATTACAGGCCCCCCACCATCTGGCAATGGAACTGTTGATGGCCCAGCTCCCTCTACGCCGAAAGGCAAGCCTGGAAATCCTAACAAGAAACGGAAACTATCACCTGCTAGTAAAGAGGCTAGGGAACGACAGAAGGCAGAGGAGAAGGCCAAGAAGGAAGAGGAACGAAAAGCGAAAGAAGAAGAGAAAAGAAAACGGGATGAGGAGAAAGAAGAGGAGCGTAAAATAAAAGAAAAAGAGAAAAAGAAGCGCGAAGAGGAGAGGGAGGAGAAAAAACGACAGAGAGAAGAGGAAAAGCAGGCCAAGGAAGATGAGAAGCGTAGAAAGGAGGAAGAAAAGCAAAAGAAAGAGAGGGTATGTAACCTTGAAAGCACCATGGAGAGCCGGCGTGGCTAACATACTACAGTCACAAATGAAGCTGAATGCCTTCTTCACAAAACCGAAGGCCAGCCCCAGCTCTTCAAATGGAGCAGAGCTCAGTGGAGCTAGATCCGCCGCTAACTCGACATCTGAGTCCATGAATAAAGAATCCAACCCGGCCTCTGACTTCGAGCTTGAATTTCCCCCCTTTTTCATTCAGTCACACGTGAAACTTGCTCCAAGCCATCGGTTCGAGCGAGACCCTAGTTCCCTAGGCCACGCTTGCGAAAAGCTCGACAGACTCTGTAAAACAAATTTTGGACTAGCTGATACCATTTCACCGCAACAGTATAATCCTACCGAGCTATTCAAAATGATATCATATAAACGTCACCAGGGTAATCCAACAACTCCATCTGTGAAAGATATTCTACTTAAACTCCAGGAACCTCAACATAATAGTATTGACCTTACGGATGCAAATGGCACGGCAACTCGGGTAGAAAAGCTACTCCGAAGAATACCCATGAAGGTTCTAAATTTCAGAGAAGACGTTAGGCCGCCATATCAAGGCACTTTTACCAAACGGTTAGAACGGACTGCCGCGCGAAAGCTATGTCGAAATCCATTCTGGCGAGGTGTGCCTGACTTTAATTACGATTACGACTCAGAAGCTGAATGGGAAGAACCTGAAGAAGGGGAGGATATCGTTTCAGAAGGCGAAGATGAAATAAGTGACGACGGAGAAGATGATATGGATGATTTCCTAGACGATGGAGATGACGAGCCCGCGAATACCAAACGGAGGATGATTGTTGGAGATCTTGAACCGAAATCTACAGGAATATGTTGGGCCGAAGACAGTGCCGATAATTCAATAATAAATCAACACCGGATGGAAATTATATCAGGTAAGGCTGAAGTCTCCTACAGTGAAGGGGATGTAACTAACTTGACCCAGAAGCCATATCCTTCCCCATTGATCCCTTTTCCACTCAATACTGGGAGACAAAACCGAAAGTACAGCCAGGAAAATCCCCCTTCAAAGTTCCCCATAGGCCATCCTCAACCAAAACATCCTCTTCAAAAACTCAACAATCTTTACTCTCTTCTTCTTCAGCAGCCCAAACCTCAAATCAACCTACCCCAATGGTGGTAATAACAGTCAACAAACCAAAGCCTCGAATTCAATTCCCGGAAGACCAACTTTCTGAGTTCAAGGACGCGGTTTCAGGAAGTAATTTAACCAAGGCCGGATTAATCGAAGTTTTAAAGAAAAGGTATGCTAGAGATTTTTATCCCAGAATATAACTCACAGTCAATATCAAAATGCTGACTATTGACGTTTTCTCGTCGCCCAGATTCCCCAAGGTTTCCAAGGATATCATCAAAGAGACTCTAACTGCCATTGCGGCGCGACGGGGTCAAAAGGAAGTAGATAAGAAATGGGTTTTACTCTAGAGTGCCCATTATATTATCAATATTTCTTCCCGCTCACTCTCTAACCCCAGTGAAGGTTGGACCGCCTTGTCTCATGCATATACCCTATTGTTCAAGGCCGACAACTTTTCTTCATGCTGCCTCTATTATATTTAAGCTCTCATGTTCAGGCGCCAGTTTTACTGTATCGGCTGGCTGTTGTTCATATACCCTTCATCCACGAGTAGATGCCTTAGCATATATGCTAACATTGTGAATATTGTAATTGGGGGGGGCAGGTTTTATTTACTATAGATGAAATTATTCTACATATGAGATATACTGATGAAAGTTCGTGAATAACACGGGTATTACTTCTACGCAACTTTTGGGGTCTTCTTTTTCATTAATGCATGTGGATGGTTATGATTAACACTTAAAGAGGCCTATAATAGGAGATCTGTGTTTAGTGGCCCTAACATTTCCGTTGATTAAAGCATTGCAGTATGGATACTCTAACCTATCTCTTCAAATTCCTCGAGCACAACGCCAGGGGCAACCAACTCAAACTCTTCGCCATCAATACCAGGGGTGAACTCCCTCCACTCATCACCAGAATCTGCAGGTAGAAAATGACGGATACTCCAGGGTAGCTTGAGAGTACGGGCCGCAAGACTTTCTGTTAACTGTAGTGAATTGCCGTCAGGATATACTAGCCTGGCTCTGCATTTGGTGAACCACCAGGAACGTTCCATAGTGTTATATCTATTAGGATGTTCGTCTTCGTGGATGCCACGAGCACTCCTTGAGATCGCCCCAGGAGTGGACAGCATGATATCAAATTTCATTAGCGCTGGCCCAGGGTCGTCCACTCTTTCATATATCTCCACTCTCTGGATCTTTGGGAAATCTTTGTCATTAAGCAGGCGGCGAAGGGACTGCTTGACATCAATTCGAGTAGCAATATCGCCAGGACAACGTGTTGTTGAAGTGCTATCATGAGTGTCAATATCAAAGTTGATAATCAAGGAACGTAAATCCGGTGCTATGGGCTTTTTCCGCCTAGTTTTTTGAGCCGCCGAGGGAATAAAGTCCGGGCAAATGCTATGAAGTCGCAGCCGGAGATGAACAAGATTAGGAATCAGCCGCGCGATAGAGTCACAAAGATGAATATTCCCAACTACCTCAAGCCCGCAAGTATCGATCTCGACGTTCCTGCATGTCTGTGGGAGTTTCTCCAGTAGGAGAGCGAGTCCTATTGCATCAAATGCTGGCCACATTTCGTCCGATGAGGTCCATGAAGGGTGAGGGCATTGTAGTGCAGAATTGTCCACGTGAAATGAAAATGATTCCAGCATGGGAATGTGAATTTCAATCACTTTAGCCAATTGGCGGAGCTGTTTACTGATAGCTTGGGGTAGCATTCCCGTCGGGCAGGCAGTATCAGGCCAGATAGCTTTCGTCAAAACCGTTAACGATTTTATAGGGAGGGATCTTCGTGGATTCTTCACTGCTGTGGCCAAAAAGTACTCGATATCGGCTTCTGTCACTGTCAAAATACAGTAGATAAGTTCGAACGCGATATTGTGCCATTTCTTGCTCACGGATAAGCACATACGGAGGTCAGCTGCCGTGCCACTTTCTCGAATAATAATGAATAAGTTGGTAAGCATATTCTTGTCTCCGAAGAATCTTTCGCTTGATGTTGCCGTCTCTGCTAGCCTCTCCCAAGAGACACGGAAAGGCATGGTGTCGACAGCCTAGGCCTAGGCAGACTAGAGCAACTGGTATGACAGAGAGCTACCAGGCAGGGTCTCCGGCTTTTGGAGACGAGCAGTATCTTTTATATAGTCGCCTTTCTCTTCCATCCAGACATTGACAAGCCGAACACAGCTCTTGAGGCAAGTTCATATTGGAAAGGAAGCTGTGGCCCGCAGAGCATTTGAGCAGGCAGTTGTCACCCAAAAGATATCCGGGGGCATCTTTGTATTGAATATAGACATAATGAGATGTTGTAGATGGATATATCCATCTACCTTTGGGCACATATATTAAATAGATATAACTTACATCGTAACTAGCAGCTTGTTGGCAGCATCCAACTTTATGGGATGAAAAAGGGGCATCCCACAACCGTCTGATCAAAAACCAGAGGTTCGTCGACAGAGTCTGCCATGAGATAGAAGACTATTGAATCCTGTTGGAGTGCTGGTATCATATGGTAATATATCGACTTGCTTTCTTTCTCCTGGCGATGTTGATATAAAGAAGTTTGTTCCAGAAGAAAAAACAAGAGTAAGCTTAAAACAACGACTTATCAAAACCTCACACCAACATCGACTTCCGCGCGATACTCTTAGAACAATAATAATGGAAGTATTATATGAAATCTATGGAGATGAGAGAACATGACACGAAATGCTTATCCTCGTTCTGCAAGCTCGATATCTGCTATGACATCAGATGAGAGACCATGTGAGTAGATGGCTCAGCAGCGGCCTGACACTGTGAATGCATGCCTGACAACACATTCCTCGAGAGCTGAAACTCCGTACAATCCGCCAAACTACTCCTGAGCCTCTGCAACAGCATCCGGAGTCTCCAAGGCTCAGCTGTGAATTGTCCAATATTGGCCACCAGGCTACTATGCCACTGCTTCGAACTGGTTAGTTAGGCCAAAAAAAAAAATACGATAGACTGTTGCCCTTTGACAAAAAGACAACTCAGACGTCTCATTCGCCGTCTGTCTCGATAGCCTCCCCCGTTGCTCCCCCAGAGTTTGTTTTGCTTTCATGCGTTTATGGTGGGATGGGCGTGGCCCAACCAGAGCTGGTATATCAAATGCAAGCGGGGCGCTAGACGTGGTGAAATGCATGCATCGTTGCCAGCTCATCGACCAGACCCTGTCACCATGCTAGTCGCTCATTTGGCGCATCTGGCTGCAGCTGCAGTCAACAGTATTGGTCCATGGGGTGTTTTGAATGTGTGTCAAACAGAAGCAAATGGAGGACACGACGAAGGGGGAGAAAAAGCAAAGGCGGAAGAAGAAAAGCGATGAAGAGGGAAAAGAAAGGAGGAGGAAGAGTTGGCCGGGCAAACAATCCGACTTGAACATGACAAAGCCTTTTTTTACTTTTTTTTTTTTTTTTTTTCATTTTTGCTTCTTTCGCAGAAGGTCGTTTGATGCATCGGACCAACGACGTGGCAGAGCTGATCTGCGACCAAGTCCAAGACCGCCCAAACCCATCTGCACAACGACGCAAAGGGCGACGGGACTGGGCCTATCGTGTCTCTGTCAATTACGAGGAGCATGGCAGTTACGGGGATTACACTCTAGCACGGAAAATCTGCAATCTTCCCTTTCTCTTTCGAAAAAAAAGGATGTCCCCACGGAACTAGAGAAAGCCTCAGCCGTCCGCCATTTGGTTCATATCTTAGGGCTGTCAAAGGCTGATCGCGTTGATATTGCTCCCGTACCAGGCGGTGAGACGGGCAACGAGGCATGGTTGTCTGCGTCTGTTCGACCCATGCAAAGCCGCAACCACGGTCCAGGATAGGATCTCAGCAGGGAGGAGACATTGGAAGGAAAACACAAAATCTATTCTTATAATGCCAGAGAGCACGGAATAATAAGTTAGGCCACCGCTTCTGGGGTAGGAGAAAGTTATTCTGCAGACAAGACAGCCAATTCAAGGTGCAGCTCGAGTTTCAACGCTGGGTTCAACCCTGACCGTTGAAGTATGACATCGCAAAGCTCGTCGCCAGCCGGGCGGTTCATCGAGGTTTCCCGCGTTTCCCTTCTTACTCAGTTGGCATGTATCACCCCTGGTCGCCACTACAAATGGTTACTCCAGACGAAGAACCTCCAAAGGGCCGTACTATCCGTACGCCCCCTTTGCTCTTCTCTCACATGCAGGGAGAGACGACTGCTGCCAATCACACGCCTTTCCAACACGGCGTCCTCTCGCTCCCACGATCAACTCCAGGACCTGGCCATCGCCTTTTGATCGGAGGGAACCGAGCAAGTAAGAAACGACACATCTCTAGCCACTCCAAAGCCATTTCCCCCCATACGGATCAAAGAGCCGCTACAAACCTTGAAGAAACCTACTTGACTATATGATACGGGGATGCCACTTCATACTGACGGGCCTACGGAGTTCCTTCATGTAGCGTACGACTAGCAGAACATAGCAGAACAATAATCGTGATGGGGCGTAAGCAAAATATGTAACCAGCAAAGAAGAAAAAAAAACGCAGTCCTTGTCGAGGCCAACGCACTCCTCCAACACCCCCCCCCTTTATATCATACAACATCGCCGCCGTATGTAGAGGAGAAGCGATAAACCCGTCTTTCTCTTGGTCATCAGTGCCGCAGCCCCCTTCTCCATTGCCAGTTCCTTGTCGTCTGTCTCTTCCCGGGCCTGCAGCGTGTGTGTGCGGTGGTTGTCCTTTTTTTAGACTCCCCTTCTCAGGGCCAACTCATCAAAACCATCCAAGGAAGACGAAGAGGAAAAAAAACTAACTAAACAAAAACACCCCACGCTGGGCCAACTTCCAGCCACTTTCTTCTATTACTTACTGCTGCTATTTCTTTCCGTATCTCTTGCTGTTCACTTCTTCTAGCAATACTCAAGGCTTCGAGCGACCCTCTCGAGCCATGCGATAGTCTGCGAGGGCTCTCCTCCTGTCAGCTTGGGCGCTCGAGACTTGCTGGTCTCGAGATCGATGGCCCTGTCATCGCCCATGGAAATATGATCAGCTTTCAACACGCCTTTCCATCAGTTCTGGCGTATGCTGCTGCCACCAGTACGTTACTTGGGCTTGCAAGGGAGGTTGTAAGCTTGCTAACCGTTGAAAACGATAGCTCTACCTCCATCGCCAACTAGTTCTCCGCCGAGATGCTATACCCCTACTACCACTACTACTACTGACGTTGCAGAGAACGATACTCGAGATCTTGCTTCAGAGCACCCTACGCCCCAGACCGTCCGACGGGGAGACGATGCCCCTACTGTTCGCGATGTTTTCCCGGGTTCTAAGCTGCCGGTTGAGCCTTTGGTTGCTGGCGTAAGTGCCCACCTCGAACCAGAACCAAAACCAGAGCAGCAACAACACCAAGAACAACGACAACAACAACAACGGCTGGAACCAGCATCTGAGACTGTGAAAGATGAACAAGGCGAGCGTTCGGTCGAGATGGCTTCTGAACCGATAATATCTGTCTCTCAGTTTGCCCACCAGTTTCATTTACAGAGATATCAAGAGGGCCAGAGACGCGCAAGCCTCCTCAGGCTCAGTGACCTTCACATTTCCGTGCATTTCTCAGCCCGCCTGCTTCGTGTGGCCGCTGTTTCGCACAAAGGCCTAGTTGATAGCCTCAGACATGGAGACAAGTCCACTTTCGCATCTGTTTACAACGCAGTCCATGATATTCGCGAGGTCTGTGAATCTACCGTTCGTCGCAACATCCTCGACCATGACCCTCTGGTTGGAACCGGCTCCGTAAAGGGAAGACCGCATACTTTCCTCCACAGGCTTTCCACCGAGTCAAGGACAGACCTGCTGGAGATTCTTACCCTTGTTCGTACTGATCCGCAGTTCCTCTTTGAATGTCTCAGCGCCTTGACACCCTCTCAACTTGCTGCGCTTGTAAGCCCCGTCCACTCGCTGGAGATTAGTAGTTCCCCTGATTCCCGAGGCAGAAGCCAGCCCTCATCTTCCTTTTGCAAGCGTGGGACTTCTCAATCTCCTGCTTTTAAAGACTACGCTTTTTCTTTTGAGCGCACTGATCCTCTCTCTGCGCTTGTGTTTAACGTTTATTCCACTACATTGGACCCTGATTCATCGGAAGCTCAACTGCGTTTGGATGTTTGGTCGTCAACCTGCGCCAAACTAATATCCTACGGAGGCAGTGGACAGTATAATTTCGTCGGGCATCTGCTCAACGTCTGGTCTGGACTCGGTGAATGGAAAGCCAAATCCAAATTTGAAATCTACCTTATGGATATTCTCCAGAATGGAGCTTTCCTCCTTGAACAGTCTAACACCAGACATTCGGACATGGATGGAGACGCCTTTGATCCCATGAAGACCGACGTTGCAGAACAGTTTTTTAGAACATCCGTCCAGGCCCTGTTTGAAGTACTCGATGATTCTGATGGCGGTTTCCCCGCCGGCGCTCTCGAGTTTGGACGGGCTATTGTTGAGAAACTTGGCTTGTCCGATTCTCGTCGACGGTTTTTAGGTTATATCTTCTATCAGTGGTTCTTTGGCAAATTCATACATAATGCCATGTGTTTCCCCGAGGTTTGTTTTCCCTTTAATATTATCATTTTATATCTATCCTGTGTCGTGCTCACATTTCTCTTAGAGCCATGGGTTACTCCTTGACTTCCATGTCACCAAGGATGCGCGGGAACGTCTACTTGGGCATATCGCCCTTTACGCCCAGCGTCAGGTTTCTCACATTCTCCACTCGTTGCCTCCGTTCCCTTACGCCATCCCTAAAATTAGGACACATGTAGAAAATATGCTCTCTCGACTCATCGACCCGGTTGGGCATACCTCTGATACCACCGCGTCAACGTCATCCTTGGGCTCGGTCAAAAGCCTCGTGGAAAAGAATACTGCAGGCTCTATTATTCTTCTTTCCTCGGCCGACATACTTACAATTCTGGATGTCTTCTTCCCTAAACCACCCAGCTCATGTTCACCCGATCTCTTTTCACAGCAAGCATCTTTCCCTTCCTCGCCATCTTCAAACTTTTTCCCTCGTTCCAGCCAACCACATCAGTCTTATGAATCAGGGCTGTTCCAGGGAAGGATCGATACCCTCTCATATGGGCTCCCCACTGCCAAAACCGTCTTTACCACCGAGATAAGTTTCCAGGATGTCACAAAATCCTACTTGGTACAGCCTAACAAGCCGTTGACTCCGGAATCGCCTAAAAGCCCTCAGGTGCGCAAAGCAGATCGCATTCGTGATGAGATTTTGGAGATTCGAGAGTCGGAGGACCGACCGACGCTGGACCACCCTGCAAACGAAGATTGGGCTATGTTCTCGGTCAGCGGCAGGAAACCTGTAGGTTTGTATGCGACCGATGCCGAGCACATTAGCCACCAGGGCACTGCTTCTCGTGCAGAATTGCTTCAAAACCAGGATAAAATCGAGGCTGCGGTTGTGAAGATCATTCATGAGTTTGACTTCCCTCGAAACCAGGCCCTTGGTCAAAGATCGGCCTCCGGTGCCACAAATGGTGAACTCAGCCTGAAGAAATGGTTCCTTCACGCCATGGGAATGTGCCAGCAAAAATCTGACTTTTCTGGTGCGCACTTCTGGTGGGAAGCTTCCCTCGCTTTGCGTGATGCATATGCAACATTCGGACAGTCTGTCGCAGACACTAAGTACCTTAGTCCCATGTACCTCTCCGTGAAGCACTCGGCAGACATGGACTCGAGCATGATCCAGAGCTGCGAACGATCCTTTATTGACCTCAAGAGAAAGATGGACACCCTGCAGTCCCAGGTTAATAAAACAATGGGTATTATGGCACAGCTTAGAAACAAAATGTGGTATATGACAGATGTCAAGAACTCGTTACGCTACGAGGATGCGAAAAATGTGGCCTTGGCTTTGAAGAACATGGCACTTGCTCAGGCTACGCAACCAGCAGCGGAATCCAGGTCAAGAACAGGAGCACGAACACTCGGCGGGTCTTTCTTGCAGAAACCAGAAATACAGGTCATGAATGTTATGCGAGCGTCGAGAAGTCAAGGAGGCCCCTTCAAGCTTGCCGATGAACAGGTAGAAATTACTCGGAAATGGCTCCAGCGCTTTGGAATAGATAATTTCTGTCGAGGTGAAGAACGAATTCATCGGTTCTGCTACGAAGTTAAAACCAGCGTGAATAAACTTGCTGGTGAGACCATGTATGAGACCCCTGTTCTTTGGTCTAGCGAACTATTCCATCGAGAACGGTCGACATACGAGACTTCTGGTTCTCGGCCTATGAGTGGCAGCGTACGTCCGTCAAGCATCGCAAGCGAAGATTCACTGGGCAATCCTATGCAACCTCCTGCAATAAGATCCTTAGACCAACTTTTCCGACCTCCGAATGACCTACCCATGCCTCCGCTGGTCCGCAAGTCATCCTTCCAGAGCGTGACTTCTGATAAATGGCAAGCCTATGGAAACGCATCCTCCATAGGTGATTCCCCTGGCAAGACGGTGTCGACTGCTACCACTGAATCGATCTATCCATACTGGTCTCCAATGCATACACAAACCCAGTCTATAACGAGTGCCTCCAGCCTTCGGTCGCGCCCTCCCTCTATGTTCAGCGATAATATGCCTTACAGACGTTCTGAACATAACTCTCATGGAAAGCACACGTTCTTGGATGGCCTCAAGCGAAATTTAACAAGTCTACTGCTAAGCGATCTTGGCTGCCCTGTTTGGAGCTGTGGTTCCGAGACTGATGCATGGTTCTCCGCCTACTTGAACCAACCCCGTGTGCAAAGTCAGATGGAGAAACGTACTCGTATGGACAGGTTCTTATCACAATGCTCAACTTCGCTTATGAGCGGTTATTGCGAGAGGGATGTCGCGGGTGGGAAGCTCCGTCGCAGTCGTTCTACTCCATCCCTACGTAAACGAGAATGTGCGTCCACTCAACCATCCAATAAGAAAGATACACTGGATGGCGAATGTAGCTTTGGTTATGATGAAGCTTTTGAGCAACTTATGGACAAGTTCTCGCGCCCTGCAAATCCGTACGTGAAGCTCGAGGCACTGCACGAAATGTGGACACTGGTAGCAACATCATTGGGTACAAGTAGAAACAGCCCTACCCTTAATGAAGAGCGGTTACGCCATTCGACTGATGGCATCTACAGGCGTAACAGCCTGCAGACTCGCCAGCAACGACGAAAGTCCAACGATGACCAGACTCCAACTCCTTCGTCACCTGGCTTAACTCCTGCTGAAGCTCAGTCTGGACTCTCGATAGATTCGGCGATGAACGAAACCCAAATCACGAACACACTCCGGGATTTGATACAAAAGTATCAGCCTAGGACGCTCTTCCGAGACTTGCAGTTCATCTCCTCCTTCGTTCCGTCTGACATCCTCAACAAAACCGAGAGTGGAACCGCATTCCTTCAGTTCAGCCTTGCTGCCCTCAAGTTGAAGGACGATGTCTGCAACAGCATGATTGAAATCGCAGATAAGATCGTGTGTGACGAGCTTGCTCAACGACACCGACACTCACACCCAATCTCGTACGACTTCTCACCCAAGGTTGGCAACGGGATCAAGGATGCAGCCAACATGTGGATCGTCACCGCCCGAGAGGGCAACCCTGTTGCTCAGCGAGAGCTGGCAATTCTGTATCTTACTCACCCACATCTGCTACGGCCCGTCACCCTGCCTCTCACCAAGCCTGGTGACACCTTCAAAGCAGAAATGATCTATCGAAGAGATCAGGATTCGAAGTCCGACCCTCAAAACATGTGCCTGGCACTGCACTGGATGCAGTTATCAGCCGCAGGGGGCGACGAACTAGCCAAAAACTGGCTTAAAGAACGACAGGAGTTCGAATCGATTTCTTGATATGAATGACTTATGACATTATCTATCCAACAATCTTGTGAAAGACTTTGTTTCTTGTTTGGCTCTTGACAAAAAATATCATCTGTTCTATACCAACCTTACAGCTGCTGTTCTGCGTTCCTTACTATATCTTCTATGCTTCTTCTGTTTTTATTAAAGATTCACCATACGTGTCTTTCTAATCAACCCTTTACATGCGGTGCATGGCCTGTTTGAAAACTTTCAGTCACTTTCTTCCTTTCCTTTTGCATCTCCTTTTGCGCACCATCTCTAAAGAGAAGGGCTTTCTTATCTCTTTCGATAGATGGAGAAAAAGAACAAGCATATACCAGCAGAGAGCCCATTGTTGCCAATCGCTTTTTTATTGTTTCTTCTTTACACCAACTGTCTCAAGTACCTTTTCCTTTATACTGGGAGGCTTTTTCTTCTCTTCTATATATCATACTGCGCTCCATCTTGCAGCTTATATGCTATATTCCCCTCTTCAGTTTGCTTGGAGCCATGATTTAAAGGCGTCTGTTGCATTTTCAGCGAACGGCAGTTATCACTGTTATTGCCCCCCCCCTGAAGCTGTTTGGACTGGCCCTTTTCTATCCTTTTTGCTTCTATATATCCCAACCTCCAGCTTTGTATGTTACTAGCAGCAGATGATATGATACGGGGCTATCTATGTCTATGTCTGGTTATGGCAGGTCTGCAGACAAATATATTAAGGGTCCAACCTCTTACCACTTGTCTGTCTTCTATAATAAGAGTATTATTATTATACACAGCATCGGTATTAATATATAGCAACCACTTAGAATGTCACTCGATCGCTTTTTTTTCATGTGCAAAAAGCCTTCAAATGGTGTGACCAGATCAGGAACATCTACGTCATTTTTCACGTGAGGGAACAAACAAACTGTTACTTTCTATATAAAACAAGCAGCTTCTAGTTATTTAATAGTTTAGATACACTCTGCTGCTCTTCACCCGTTGAAACAAGGGCCTTTGTCAGTCTGGATAAGCGCCCTCTATCGAGTTGCTTGATCGCTTCAACGCCAGCATAACTGCGTTTTGTCGAGTTTCAGCCAGCGAAGAAGCAAGACCCCTCCACGCCCCGTTTTAACCCCCCGCAGAGAAACTTTTCCCCAGAGGTGAGAATAAGGCTTCTAGACCAGATGGCAGACTTGATATAGCCTGGGGGGACTAATTCTTCAGAGTAGTCGCTGCGGTATCCTACAGTATGTCTACCGTGCAAGAGCAGACATCGACAGCCCATCATGGGACTGAGACGGCACGGCCAAAGGGTATATACATACCTCTCTCCCCGAGAGTCGCCTTAACTCGAAAGGCTCGGATTAACATGTCTGGATACACACAGGCATCCTCAAACAGTCTCCCATGTCCATATCCACCGTCAGCCCTCGCGCAGACCCGTCGTTAATGTCGCTCTCGCCCCTGGAGAACAAGGAGCTCACGATGCAAAATACGATGCAAAATGCCGGCGTGAGCACCAAGCAGCGTGCTCGCGCCTCTTCTCATCGCAAGTCTACCAGCTCCAGAGCCTCTAATGGCGACGAAGCCACAGACAGTTCACCTCGACTAAAGTGGGATGAGGCGAATCTATATCTCACCGAGCAAGAGCGGAGTTCGACCATGAAGATCGATGAGCCCAAGACGCCGTATGTTCCACACTACGACTACAATGAAGAGAACGAAGACATGGATCTCGGGGAAGACGAAGTTGGGTTCCATGCCGAAGGGGTTGTGGTGGACGAGCTAGACATGAACAAGTCACGAGCAGGGAGCAAGGGTAAGTCAAAGGGAGATGAAATACCTGATTTGGAGCTGGGAGAGCCAGAGGAGGATGCGTGGAAGGAAGTCCGGGCAAGCGAGGCAGATAGGATCGTGCGGGAACGAAGTCTGAGCTTTGGAAGCACGGGCAGTAAGAAGCGTGTTGTGGTTGGTGGTGACGAGGATACCCATGATGCTACGAAGGAGGAAGTGCAGAAACATCATGATTTCGAGGAGAAGCGGAAGAAACATTATGAGATGGGCAATATTAAGAACTTGCTTGGGTAATGTTTATCAATATTTTAAACTCTGGGTTGGCATGCTGATACTTACTATTATTAACTTGACAGGCACCCCGAGTACATAGACGATGAGGATGAGGATGACGATGAAGAGACATCTACAGCTGCTCCGAGACAACCTCCGGCCGTCCCAAAGATCCCAGAACAGTTTGCAAAGCAGTCCCATTAGACGGCATGCTACTTTCCCTCTTTTCACCGATGTACAGACACTAACTCTTGAAATTTCGCATACCTACCGGCATATCTTCGTTCTCCTTTATCCTCAAGTTTTTGATGTACCTAAGCCTGCGCAGTCACAGCCATTGTATACCAAACCGTGGAATATCCATCGATCTAACGCGACTAAATTACCAGGAGTAATAACATTCAACTATTAGTAAAAAGCACAGTGACCTTCATCTAGAATGAGAGGATCTTCCAGGTAAGATTGAACGGGTGTCCTCTCCGTATTGTACATCTCAATATACCCCCGTAACTCGTCCGTCCTCATTTCGTCCCCCCTGAGCTTCGAGTCAACCCATCGCCATGTTTTATACATGAAGACAAGACATGCTATCACCATCGCAACCAGAAAGACAGCCAACTCTGCATATTCTTCACCCAACAAACCCAGCAGAAGCAGCTTTCTGGCCTGTAACAAGACAAGAAAAAAAAAGAAAAAGCCTGGACTTGCTGGGCATGCAATGCAATCTCCTGTGATACAAAACAAGGCCAGCCCCTGGCCAGCTAGTTCTACCGTTATCTAAGTATAAATTATTCCAGAGTTCCGGGAAGAGGCCCTTGTCTCAGGGGCTGCTAGCTTCTGCTGGAGGATAGATACGTAGATAAACTAATTAACAATAAGGCTCACACTTGCTATTGCATCTGGCTGTCGCATGTCGCATGGGTTGACAGACTTCTTCGCTGACGAAGCGCAGATTTTTTTCATTTCATCAGGACCAGAAAGATATTTCTTTTCATCGTGGGGTTCTTCTTCTTCTTTTCTTCTTCGTTATCTTCTTCATCCTGTTCACAATCCCTTTAGACAAAAGCTGGTCAAGCTACATCTTGAAGCTGGTTTGTTGTTTGTTGATAGCTTGAAAACGTGACTTTTCAGTGGTAAGAGAAAAACAACATCTTGGGGGAGCAAGAGAGGAAGATAGAGAAGCTGAAAATAACAATGGAACTGCAGTGAAGTGAGCTCAGTAGTCGACCTTGACAATGGAGAAGACTCAGGAGAAGACTGAGCAGCCTGCGGCTCGGACTGAAGCTCCCGCAGCAGTTGTGAGCGAGAAGGTCGAGAAGCCAGTCGAGAAGCCGGTTGAGGAGAAAGAAGCTGAACAAGCTCCGTCGAAGCCCACCGAAGTCAGCAAAGAAGCTGACCCTGTCGAGAAGACCAAGACCGATGCTGGAGCTACCGCTCAGGTCAAGGCTGAGGAGCCTGCGCCAGCCGACAACTGTCCAGAGTACCTGGCCCAGCATGCCGGACTCGCCCAGTTCTTCGACCGTTTGCCTGCCATCCTCGAAGCCACCGGCCACAAAGAGATGTGGGGAGTGCCATTGAGAGATTCAGAGGATGTTCCTACCGTCAACATCATGATCAAGTTCCTTCGTGCCAATGAGGGAAACCTGAAGGCTGCCGAGGAGCAGCTCACCAAGGCACTCCAGTGGCGCAAGGAGATGAAGCCCCTGGACATTGTCGAGAAGATGAAGTTCTCTGCTAAGAAGTTTAAGAACTTGGGCTTCATCACCACGTACGGCGTGGACGAGGCCAAGTCTGTCTTTACATGGAACATCTATGGTGCTGTTAAGAACATTGACGAGACCTTTGGAGACTTGGACAGGTAGGCGAATATATATAACACATTGAAGATGAATAAACACGGGACTAACGGTTATTGCCAGTTTTATTAAATGGCGCGTTGCCCTGATGGAGTTTGCTATCCGCGAATTGGACCTAGACAGGGCAAAGACCGTTATTCCTGCTGTTGGAGAGGACCCCTATCAGATGTTCCAGGTCCACGACTACCAGAACGTCAGCTTCCTCCGCATGAGCCCAACTATCCGCAATGCCTCTCGTGAAACCATCACTGTTTTCAGCATGGCCTACCCAGAACTCCTCCGTGAGAAGTTCTTCGTCAACGTCCCGGTCGTCATGGGATGGGTCTTTTCTGCCCTCAAGGTCTTCCTGAGCAAGAACACCATCCGCAAGTTCCACCCCATCACCAACGGCTCTGCTCTGGCCCGTGAGTTTGGTGACGCTGGTGTTGAGTTCCCCAAGTCCTATGGTGGAAAGAGCCCTGAGCTGGCTGAGAACGCCATGACCGTCAGCCTCATGGACGACGCCCCTCAGGAAAAGGAAGCTGAGCCCAAGACCGAAAAAAAGACCGAGGCCAAGACTGAAGCTAAGGTTGAAGAAGCAGAGGTCAAGAATGAAGCTCCTGAGACGAAACCAGAGGAGACCAAGACTGAGACCCCAGCTGAACCTGAAAAGACTACCACTGAAGCTGCTGATAAGCCAGCTGCTGATACCAACGGAGCTCCCAAGGCCGCTGAGGCATTGACCCCAGCTAAGTAACCAAACCCCCCTAATTTTTACTATGGGTGGTACTTTTCCTACATCGATACCCGTCGGACTCACCATGACACTCCCCTTCTTCTGTTCAATAACTAAAACAACATTAATGACAAAAAAAAAAAGAGAAAACCCATTTTAATACACTTCAGCAATACGAACTTCACACACCTTGCCGTACGACAACCACGGGTTAGGAGTGGATGGAACGACGACATGCCGGGGCCTGGTGTTGGTTGGTAGTTTGCTATCCGTTGATTTTCCTTTCATTTCCTTTACTAGCGCCTGGCTTATTAGATACCATGGGATGTTCTTCAATCGTGTTAAATCTCTATGGGTTCAAACTCCTTGTTTTTCACTAGGTAGTAATAAATAACAGTCTCCTAATATCTTCTCCGTCGTAGATGCTGTGTTTATCATAAGAAGAGAAATAAGCGATAAGCGATAGACGCAATAAGCGCAAGTTACACGCGCGTCATGGGCTTTTCAGAGCTTCACTTTTGGGTATAACAGAATCTCAATATAAAGACGATGATGAGCTTCTGCTGAAGCGACTTACGCTCTGCTGCTGCTCTGATATACCAGTGGAAGATGCAGCATACGTCAACCACGCTTTCACTGCCAGTTTAAACATCCCGACAACCGCCATAAGATCCTCCCTTGCGAAAGCCGAGCTCTCTCACTACCAAGCCATCATGTCCCTCTGGAACCCAGATAACATCCGCGACGTCGCCGAATCAGTCGGTATAAGCTCCCTGAATGACGATGTGGTTGAAAACCTCTCCCGCGACGTCGAGTACCGCATCTCTCAGGTCCTGGAGGAAGCTCTCAAGTTCATGAGACACGGCAAGCGCACCTTGCTCACAACACAGGATGTGTCGAATGCGCTGAGAGTGTTGGATGTGGAACCGCTGTACGGATATGAATCTGCGCGGCCGCTGAGGTTCGGCGAAGCCACTATCGGCCCTGGCCAACCGCTGTTCTACGTTGAGGACGACGAGGTTGATTTCGAGAAGTTGATCAATGCGCCGCTTCCAAAGGTCCCTAGAGAGATTTCATTTACGGGTACGACTTCTAGCCTTACTGCTTTTGTTATATGTGTTGTTACGATATCTAACTTGAACAGCGCATTGGCTTGCTGTCGAAGGCGTACAGCCTAGTATACCGCAGAACCCTACGGCGGCAGATACTAGACACCTCGAATTAGTTTCCAAGGGTCCGAATGCGAACGCGAACCTTGCTGCTATGAGCGGGAACGAGAACGTGAACATCAAGCCGTTGGTCAAGCACATACTGTCGAACGAGCTGCAGCTTTACTTTGAGCGTGTGTGCAATGCCTTCCTGGACGATTCGAACGAGGAGTTCCGGAACTCTGCGTTTTCTAGTTTGAAGGAGGATCCTGGGCTGCACCAGCTGGTTCCTTACTTTGTACAGTTCATTTCGGAGAAAGTTACGCATAATATGAAGGATATCTTTGTACTGACGCAGGTTATGCATATGATCGAGGCATTGATCAGGAATCCGACGTTATACGTTGATCCATACGTGAGTTTACCCCTACAAGACGAAAGCTTGTATGTGAAGAAAAAAAAAAAAAAAAAAGAGAGGGCTGACTTTATGTTGCTTAGGTTGCGCCCTTGATTCCACCGGTGCTGACCTGCCTTATAGGCCGGCAGCTAGGGAGCAGTAACGATGCAGTAGAACACTTTGCCCTCAGAGACCTCTCGTCTTCTCTCGTAGGGATGATTGCAAAGAAATATTCACCGTCTTCGCACACTCTTAAGCCTCGACTGGCACGAACATTCCTCAAGACTTTCCTTGATCCCGGACAGACCTTCGGAGCCCACTACGGCGCCATCATTGGGCTCCAGTCCATTGGCGGCCCAAACGTCATCCGCGAGCTGATAATCCCTAATCTCCCCGTGTATGAAGTCGTGCTCAAGGACGCAGTAACGGACGAGGGACTACGGAAAGCGGAGGCAGAGAAAGTAGCCGGGGTGATCATTGCCGTGCTGTCAACGATCCAGGATGAGTCCCTCGTCCACACAAACGGATATTCGGACTCTGCTGCAGAGGCCCTGGGCAAGGAGCTGGCAGAGAAGGTCGGCGAGCTGATTGCCTCCCGCATCATCGAGTCCGGCCAGCTTCCTCTCGCCAGGGCGATCCTCGAGAAGCAGTGAGCGATATTTCTCTCGAACTCTCATGGATTTTTCTTTTACTTTTCTTATCTGTCAAAATATGAACCGGGGGACCTGGCTGTCTTTCTTCTCCTTTTTCGTCTCCCTTTTTTCTTTCTTTACGGAGTTAACCATCAACGGCAAAAGAGGGCAAAGGAAAGGCGGGATGTTTTATCTATTTAATCTTCATTCTACGAACCGTTCAGGGCGATAAAAAACAACGAAGATCTTCTATGTTTGCTTCTTCTGGCGTTTCTGCGATATTACGTTATAACGAGCGGAAACACACAAGAAGTTTTTACTGTCGCATGGGCGGAAATCTTAAATCTTTTCGGGCAAGAAAAACTTCTTGTCAACTTCTTCTTCTTCCTTTCAACCTAGTCAACTCCATCAGCTTCATCAGCCTGCCAGAAGAAAACCGTCTGTGTATTTAGTGCTCACGGAGTAGAATTGACTGTCTCGTCCTGATCGTATAAGCAAACGGCCTCAAACATCGGATTCCCGCCGTGTCAATGTTTTGACTGACGTGGTTCCCACCATCATACCACTCTGAAGAGGACTCCCGTTAACCCTCCATGAGTCGTAAGGACCTGCTACGCTTCCTATCCAAGCCAGCAAAGTAAGTCACTCGGCCTTACTCGTTGGAAGCAAGTCTATACGGCTCATACTGACTCACCTCTCAACCCGCCAGACCTCGATAACATCCCCAAAACCGAAGAAGAAAGATCACAAGAAACAGAAAAAAACAACCAAGAACAAGAAGAATACTCAGCTTTATCTCGCTTTCGTGTGTGTTGGAGTAGACTTCTCTATACCATACAGCAGACATCCTCCTCTGCTAGACCCGATACTTTCAACGGTATCGGTATCTGTCAGTTCGAGGGTCATCGACAACTGATCACCATTCCGGCACTCAAAGCGTTCTATCTCCCCATCTCCACCCGCCCGCCCTAACACCGTTCAACGCGGTGTTTTTATACGAGTCAAGTGTGCTCTCTGCCTGCTGGTGGGGATAACTCAGCGAGCGAACCCCTTCAGGATTTCGGGCCTTCTCCTTCTCAGACGAACACCGCATTGTTCGTCTGAGTGGCAGATTGTGCTTCTAAGTCTTGCTAGGTCAAGCGTATCACAGTTATCCTGCTTAAACACATCAACCCGGAATAGCAAACTTCACGGCCAGCCCTCCGTTTCTTCACCTTTCTTAGTTTGAAAAAAAAGGGATTTCGTCTCGGATATGGTCTACGCCGGAATTCCAAATCACTATACGGGGTCCCCATCCTCGTATGTGGCGCCGTCATTGACGATCAACCATGAAGCCACTGTGGATCTTGATTCGACCAATGCATTTGAAGGTGAGATTCGTCTACGTTTTGTGGTAGGCACGGCTGATATATTATATGAGTAGGGCCTGAAAAGCTTCTAGAGGTGTGGTTCACTGCGTCCCCGGATGACCTCGTCAATACTCCAGTGCCAAATGGACTCAAGGCTGTGTCGGCAGACACTTGGAAAGGCATGCTCGACCTGGTCAACTGCCAAGTTCTCTCGATTGTCGAGTCTGACGATGTCGATGCTTACCTCCTGTCCGAATCCAGCATGTTCGTCTTCCCTCACAAGCTGATCCTCAAGACCTGTGGTACCACCACCCTTCTGCATGGGCTTCCTCGCATTCTTGAAATTGCTGCACTCTACGCCGGTTTTCCCAAGTCCAGCCCTCCGTTGGTTGGAGGAATCACAACAGCGACTGCGCCATACCGTGTGTTCTACAGTCGCAAGAACTTCTTGTTCCCAGAACGCCAGCGCGGCCCCCACCGTAGCTGGAGGGATGAAGTTAGGGCCATGGACAAGCTGTTCTTGGGTGGAAGCGCCTATATGATCGGCAAGATGAACGGTGAACACTGGTACCTGTACATCACCGAGCCGTTCACTTCGTTGACTCCACCCGCGTCTCCCACCCACGAAACCGACACCAAACAGATCAATTTCCCGGGATCTCTCGAGAATGGGAAGACCAAGCAATGCGAGAATGACGAAACGTTGGAGATATTGATGACTGACTTGGACGAGCAGAATTCCAAGCAATTCTACCTCGACCATGCGAGTGCGGTCGCAGAGAGTCGTTATCGATATGAACATGAGGAAGAAAACGACGACCTTGTCGACGTTTTCAGCAACCCCTCCTCCAACAACAGCGACGTGGGCTCGGCCTTGCCCTCGGAGCTATCAAGCGAAGGCCATGCCCTCGGTACCGTCGTCAGCGAGACCTGCGGACTAGCCAACATCTATCCAGTCGACAAACACCCAGGCTCCCGAATTGACGCCTACCTGTTCTCCCCCTGCGGTTTCTCTGCCAACGGTGTCATCCCGTCTAACAACGGTAAATCAGGAACCAACTATTTCACCGTTCACGTCACCCCGGAGCCTCACTGCTCTTACGCATCGTTCGAAACTACCGTGCCACAAGAGCAGACCGGACGTGACACCGCCGAAATCGTCAGTCAGGCCGTGGACATCTTTAAACCGGGCCGTTTCACCGTCACCCTGTTTGAGGCGAAATCCTCTTCCAAGGCAAACGCTGATGATCTCGGCCAGTCAGTCGAGGGACGCCGCTATGCTCGTTATGCTGCACGTCTCCACGGCAAAATGGAGAACATCCCCGGCTATCGTCGTGTCGACCGTATCGTCCACGAGCTCGACGGATATGACCTCGTTTTCCGTTACTACGAACGTCTTGACTGGCGCGGAGGAGCTCCACGCATCGGAGAGAACTACCCTTAAGCTGCTTCTGTGATTGTTAACTTTTCGGGCTTTTACTTTCTATCTGCTTTTGACTGTTGTTTCTTTTGCCTGGGTAATATTCTCGAGCTTGAATTGTTTCTTCTTACTGTCGTTACCACTTATTGCCTTTTGAAGATTTGAATCGATGTTACTAGCACGTTGCAATCGACCTACTCCTCTCCCGTGTACGTCTTTGATAATGGATGAAGGTGTTTATTATATACTTCTTTCTCTTCATCTGTTGTCCGAAAAGGGTAAAAAGCCGCTCCTCGGAATATAGTTATTCCTTTATTAAAAATGACTAATATATTACTAAGCTTTCGGCAAAGCTTCCTTCGATAACTTCGTCATTCAATTATCAACTTCGTGTTCAAGTTTGCGCTTTTGTGTTGCTTCAACTCCTTCGGCGCATCTCTGAGGTTGCAAGTATTGATCGGTTAAAAGGGCAAAGAAGGGCAGGTCAGAGGGTCTATCTCGTTCGGCTTTGCTCACTTGCTCCTCTTCCCGCCTTGCGACGTATCTGGCGGTTTCTCTGGCATACACGAACGAGCCAAAAATGTCACTCTCACCACCCCCTCCAGTCTCCCTAAGCTTGCCGGCTGCCAACCCAAAGAAGCGCCTATCTATTGCTTCCGCCTCCTCAAACCCGCCTGCGAATTTGAAGCGGCAGCGGACCCATCCTCTGCGACAAACATCATTCCCTATATCCGCAGACAATGACCCGCGAGTCTATACTGGCGCTAGCTCCAGGTCAGAAGCTGATGCTGTGAGCGTAACGGGTAGCTTTACGGGGTCTTTTGCTGGAAGCGTTAATGGCAGCACGGTTGGTGGGAGAGGGAAGAGGAAGAGTAAAAAGGACAAGGACGTTGCGGCAAGCGTGAAAGGTGGAGCAGAGAGCACTGCTGGTGGACGCGCGGACGCGGCCACGTCTGTGAAGGGTGGAATTGGACAAGGAGATGAGGATGGCGATATTGAAGATGATGATTTTATCGATGAGCCGGAAGTCGACGGAGGCGCGGCCGTTGACGCCGCTGCCGAGAAGAAGAATCTTGCGTACGTTGGATGCTTTCTTATGGCGTTTATTCCACGTTTTTCTCTTTTGAATCTTCATACTGACATGGCCTGGCTTAGTATTTTGATGGATGCTTTTAACCCTGAGCAGTCATCCCGTTACGACTTCTTTAAACGCGCCAAACTGAACAAACCTACTCTTCGAAAGATTGTGAACCAGACTCTGTCGCAGTCTGTTCCGCCTAATGTTGTTACCACCATTGGTGGATATACTAAGGTGTTCATTGGAGAAATAATTGAAAAGGCGAGGACAATACAGAATGAATGGGCGGATGCATTTGATGCTGCTGCTATAGCGGAAGCCGAAGCTGAAGAGGCGGAAAAGCAGCGCAAACAAAAAGAGAAAGAAGACAAGGAGAAGGAGAATAATATTTCGCAGGCCACGCCACACGTGAATGGAGACGATCTTAATATGTCGCAAGTGAAGTCTGAATTCCCGCATGAAAACGGGACGAACGACAGTATTGCGGGCATCCAGCCTGCACAGCTGTCCTCCACTCAAGTCCCTTCACCAGCCCAGGCCCCAGTCACAGGTATAAGCACTGCCAATGGGGTTAATTCGCCTATACTTCTTGATGAACCCTTGCCCGCGCCGAAGACGGCGATTAAACTGCCGCCGAACCCCCATCGTGGCCCACTGTTACCGTCACATATCCGCGAGGCGTTAAGGCGATATAAACTTAGCGCACAGGGCGATAATGTTGGCTTCTCTGGGTTGAGTCTGAAAGGACTTGGTGTTAAGGGGCCATTTGCATGGAGCGTCAGGGGAGTTGGTGGAAGAAGGCTGTTCAATTAAGCACAAAGCTGAGCTTAATGCGAATTCTAGAGTCACTCTTCTGTTTTAATATCAGGACGGGCGGGTTTAACATGGGATTTAGGAGGCGTTATGCTATGTGGTAGGATATTGAGATACCATTGTACTGGCGCAGTATTTTTCTGGGGTTACGGACGGAGTATGGGCTCAATGTGATACCTACGGACCCTCAAAGGACTCTTTCTGCTTTTCAAAATAAATTTTCAAATCCATACTGGTTATAACATTTAATAGACATCTACATCTAATCGAGGAGTCTGATAATACAACAAAGATAGCTCATAATATACACTGGAAAAGATCTATGTAAGTCTTTTCGAAATGCCAACCAGACCTCAAGTGACTCCCAAAGATGAAAAAGCAGAAACAAATTACAATATTCGCGGGATAAGGTGATAAATATCACTCTCTCTGCGCCTAGCACTCACTTCCTTATTTAAGTCCGTTATTTTATTCCTTTTGCTCAGCTTTCTTCATATATTTAGCTCTAAGCTGCTGATTTTTCAGCTCCCGCTCAGCTCTAATTTCTGCCTTTCGGCGGTCTTCGTATGCTTTGGCACTTTCGAGCTCCTTCTTGTTAAGTCGTGGCTTAAGACCAGTCGAGTCGGTTTCGGGTTTCTGGCCGGTCATGCTCTCCATCTTATCTTTCGCGTCCTTGACGGTGTCGCGGTAAGCAGACTTGAAGCCATCCATGGCTCGGTCAATCATGCTGACGTTTTGTGGTTGTATGTGTGCCTCTGGCGTTGGCTCTGAGGTAGCGGTTGTGGAAATAGTGCGGATTCGGCTTGGTGGAGGTTGTGATGGAGATGGCCCGGAGGAGAAAAGGGTGTTTGTAGGAAGAGGTCCGAGGCCGACAAGTTTGCGGAATCCAGGGGAAGTCACCAGGTAGGCTTGACACATGGAAAGGAAACCGGTGGTGAGGAAGTACAGCTGCAGAATACCGGGCCAGAAGCTCATGGTTGCCATCGTAATACCGGGGAGGCCGTACAGCATCATCCTTCCGAGAGGAGTGTTGTTCAAGTTGGAGGTACCGGCATCACCACCGCGCTGTAGTTTTGATAGACATTAGTATCTTGTAGTTCGCATACTGTAGTTGGGTAAAAGGAGGGAAATACCTTGAGTGCCAGATACATCATGGCACTGGTTGCGACAGGTAGGACGAAATACGGATCAGACATGGTAACGGTAGGTAGCCAAAGGACAGATTCACTATCCAAGCCTGGAACAGGCAGGGCAGACATCCCTCGGAGAACCCTGAAGCATCCAAAACCCAATGGTACCTGGATAAGAGGGACAAATGATTTCCATGGCTTCACTCCGTACTTTTCATTGAGGAGAGCAAGTTCTTGCTTCGCCTTCAATGCACCCACATTATCACTCTCGCGTGCGCATTTCAGCATGCGTTCTCGGATCGGCGTGGCAAGCGGTTTTATTTTGTGAAGCTTGCCGGAAATCTCAGAGGCGGATAGGATGGATTTGAAAAGCGCAGCTCGAATCAACACTGCAGCAGCAACAGTCGCACCCCACCACGGCAAACCAGCCGTGATATGTAGCGTCTCAAGGAGGAACTCGACCATAGCAGAGGGACCCCATCCGTAATCCAAGCCAAGCTCCTTCAGGTATCCGATCTTCTCGGGAATGCGCGAGAGGTCTATATCCGTCAAGCTGCCGCCAGAAAGTGTGTCCGTGGCAGATGTAGCATTTTCTACTACGGGTGTGCTGGCGGAAGTAGTTGCTGTGGTGGATGCAAATCGGGGAGAGAATTTGAGAGGCCCTGAACTCCGGGCAGGCCGTACAGCACTCAATGCAGTATCATTCTGTCCAATTAACCTTGATCGAAATTGAGGATTTCTTGTTGAATTGAGGGAGGAAAACTATTTTATCAGGGCAGTCAGTATAAAAGCTGGGGGTCAAAAAAAATTTCACCTTAACTGGATTCGCTAACCTGCCGTTGAGAGAGTGTTGATCTGAGAATTGGAGGCTGCGTAACTGCACGCGAGTGCCTGACACCCGCCCTGGTGAGCATCGTAAAGCAGGACCTCTGAATATATAGCTGTTATAAGTTTGTCGACAATTGCTGGAGTTTCGGTCGAGTTTTCGAGATGTTGAAGTTTTGTCTTTGAAGAAAAAAGGTAGCGTCCGGCTAGGGAAGGTTTGCCGAGCCCGCTTACAGGGTTGATGTTAGCTGGAACATCTTCTACCAAGTTGATTATAACAGTTCTATGGAAGAGACGATTGAATTATTTGAAGAGGATAAGGGTGTAATGGTTCAAGGCTTGCAATTCATTCTCCAGACGCCATTCACCGTACTGTTATGTCTCTATTAATCTGTATGTACAGATATCACTATCATGTACATACCAACTATGTAGTTAAACGAGAAGAAAGAGGTATATCAATGACTGCAGTCCTTTGCTCTGGGTAGCACATCCATCAGTCAACCAAGTGGACAAAATATGGTCTATTACTCCAACAACGTGACATTATTTAATTATGTAGCACGACAATATCGTTCCTACCGCCTCCGATGCGGTATATCACGGAGATCAATCCCACCGCCGATAGGCTGTTGGGTTCGTCGATGGGTAGGGAATATCTAGATAACTTGTTAGTTAAGGTACTGGTAAGTATCTAATCTGTGCTCTGTCCTACTTTTGTGTTCGACCAGCCCAGCCTAAAGGCAGCTTCATGCGCAAAGAGCTCTCCAAATCCTAGCATAAGCCCGTTGACAAAAGGAAGAATGAGGTTGATGGCTGCGCCCTGTATTATCCGCCAGTACGATGGGGGTGTGTATAAAGTCATAGGGGCCGCGGGAGCCTGAGCGGATGGCGACGTCAGCTCGATAGTGGCCGAATAGTTCTCTGAGTCCGAAGGAAGGGTGACTGCTGAGTCTGAGAGCTCTACCCCTGTAGCTCCATCGTTCGACGCCATGTTGAGTTAGAGGGAAGAATTGAGCGTACGGTGGGAAGAAGGCTGGTTGACCGATAGATCCTGGCGGGAGAGAAGAATGCCGTTCACTCCCAAGTCCCTCGACAAAGCCGAATGTGTGTCCTCTTGAGTCCGGCTCTGACCACAATACAATCCTCTGCTCAAAGACGATGGTTCCCTCGTCTTGTCTGGTTGTTTTCTTCTTCTTCTTCATCTTCTTCGTCGTCCTTGAAAGTATTCGGATAATAGATGTCCCGCGGTTGATTACATTATAAATGATTACATAATCCAGGCACCCAAAGTGACGTAAAGAAAAAGACAGACAAGAAGAACAACAGAGAGAGCAACAGTTTTCCTTCTTGCTGATACTCGATTTCCTGCAACAGCGCGTTATCCAGGGAAGTTTCTGCTTTTCAGTTCGTCCTCTCAGCAGCAGAAGCTTTCCTGTTCCTCTAATATCAGCAAATTTGTCCGGCGAGGAACCCCGCAACCGCCGAACCATGGCCTCCGCCGAAGACGAGCTGATCTCACACTTCTGTGCCATCACAGGAGCCAGTCCCTCTGTGGTATGCTTGGTTTTATATTCATTTTACGCTGTACTACCTGTTTTGGTTGATTGGCTGCATACTGACTGATGTGCGTACAAGGCTAGAGATCACCTAGTAGCCAACAACTGGGATCTAGATATGGCTATTGCAGATGTTTACCCGGAGGAGGGGAAAGGTGAATCAGATTACGATGGCATGGAGGAGGATCAGAGTAGACAAGCAGGGACAACGCCGGCAGGTCAGGCAACAAGCGCTGCTCGCACACAAGGCACCGGGTCGAAATCTAGAGGAGGTGGGAAAAAGTTTGCAACCCTGGGGGACTTGGGATCTGGTGACGGGGGAGGCCGCCCTTCACATAGACATGATGATGATGATGAACCTCAAGATCTTTTTGCGGGAGGCGAAAAGTCTGGGCTTGCGGTGCAGAATCCAGACGATATCAAGAGGAGAATTATCGAAAAGGCCAAGAAGTACGGTTGCCCCATGATCCTACAGTCATAATTCTGTTACTTACAAGTGTCATCTTTTCATATAGAACGATGCCACCGTCCGAACGTAACTCGACACCAGCAAAGTCACATTTCACTGGGACTGCTCGCACCCTGGGAGGAGATGATACTCCAAGTAGGATCATCGAGGACCCCAATGCAGGTCAACCGCAGCCCCTTGAGCGCGTACAGAGAACCCTGCATTTTTGGAAGGACGGATTCTCGGTCGACGATGGTGATCTATACCGATCCACTGACCCAGGGAATGCGCAGATACTGGAAGGCATCCGGCAGGGACGCGCTCCCCTCTCCATCATGAATGTTCAAGTGGGACAGGATGTGGACGTCCAGGTAAAACAGCACGATTCAAACTATGAGAGGCCCAAGGGGAAGTTCAAGGCATTTGCCGGATCAGGCCAACGGCTAGGTAGCCCAACTCCTGGTGTGGTGTCTGCGCCCCACGCACCTGTTCCTGCAGCAGCGCCGGCCCAGGCTCAAGCTAGCACTGGTCCTGAGCAGCCAAATATTGATGAGTCGCAGCCTACGGTTACGCTGCAGATCAGATTGGGCGACGGAACACGGCTAACAAGCCGGTTCAACACCACGCATACTATCGGTGACGTGTACCAGTTTGTGGCAGCAGCTAGCCCTGTCAGCCAACAGAGAGAATGGGTTCTCATGACAACTTTCCCGAGCGTAGAGCTCAAAGACCGCTCAGCTATCCTTGGGGAGCTCAAGGAGTACAAGCGCGGCGGCGTCGTGGTTCAGAAATGGACTTGAACACTGTACCTTTATACCGATAGCTACTTAGCTAGAGAGGAATAGTCTTCACATAGAGAAAAACCTCCCTTCAGAGAAATGAACTGATGCCCGTTTATGAATTGATATATCCATACAAATAGTTCTAATCGGCTTAATAATCCATATGGGAAGCTTGATAAGCCAAAGTTTCGATGTCAAAGATTTCTGAGGCTCAAGACTCTTACGACCTCCATTAATACTGGTAGATATAGCTTGACTGTCCCTCTGAATAAACACCCTTTAACTCGATATCTCAGCTATCATGCCGCTGGACGGCGTCAGGAATATAGTCCTGGTATGTGAGCCCCGCCAACAAGCTTATCGATAGGAATTTATAAAGTCGTATGAAGTCATGAATCGCAGCACCAGCAGTCGCTCTGAATAAGACGCTTTACTAGACAAGTGACTAACATGAAATGTCTCTAACCATAGGTCCTCTCCGGGAAAGGCGGAGTGGGAAAGTCATCTATCACTCTCCAACTCGCGCTCTCCCTTACACTCCAGGGGAAATCAGTTTGCATACTGGACATTGATCTTACCGGACCCTCGATGCCACGACTGGTTGGCCAGGAAGGTGCAAAAATTGTACAAGCTCACGGCGGTTGGGTGCCTGTTACTGTATATCCTGCTTTAAATTTAATAAACAGCACACCTACTCCTTCAACGGACAAGCAACAGGAAGACAGTGAACGCAAGACGTCTCGTCCCCATGGTTCATTGCGGTGCATGTCTCTAGGCTTTCTACTCCGAGACAGAGGCGATGCAGTTATATGGCGGGGTCCAAAGAAGACAGCTATGATCCGCCAATTCTTATCAGACGTCATTTGGGGAGAGACGGACTATCTACTGATAGACACGCCTCCCGGGACAAGTGATGAACATATCGCAATTGCAGAACAGCTACTAAGCCAAGCTACCACGTCTTGTAGCCCTGGGCTATCGCAACCGCGCCTCGCGGGGGCTGTACTAGTGACCACACCGCAAGCAGTAGCTATCTCTGACGTGCGAAAGGGAGTCAACTTTTGCGCTAAGACGAATATTCCTGTTCTCGGGGTTATAGAGAACATGTCTGGGTATACATGTCCATGTTGCGGCGAGGTAAGTAACGTTTTCTCGAAGGGTGGCGGGAAGGTAATGGCCGAGGACATGGGGATTAGATTCCTGGGTGCGGTCCCGATAGATGTGAGTTTTGGAGAGATGGTTGAAGGTGGTCGATCGAATGTGGGTGAGCAAAAAGGGGAGCAGGAGGCTGTGCAGAATGGTAGCCATCCTCAGGGGGACTCGTTGGTTGAACGGTACCAAAAATGCTGGTCTCAGTCGACCTTTGAGGCGTTTGCGAAAGAGGTGATTCAACTAGTCGAGACATCTACAGCTTGATTTTGTACTACCAAGGGCATACATTTGCATTTCAATATAGAATGGCTCGGAATTTTGGGTCAGCTGGAGTTCTGAATTCAGGATTAGATGTCAAGTTAGATTTCGATTGTATCATTTAAAGCTATGAATACATGAGAGACAATGGAACATCCAGGTACCATCGTGATAGGTAAAATTGCCGTAAAAACATCCCATATAAATGAATTCCTGAATCAAAAAGCTAACTGCCACATAATTGAGCCGTAAAGAGAAATGCCAGACAAAGATTGGCTATTATAGAATCATGATAATCGTGAAATCGTCATTCGCTTGCTTGCTTCATAATAATCTCGGCCGTTAACATCACAATTCTAGTACTGGAATAATTTCATTCATCGTTCATCAGGAGGCTGACTGAGGCGAGCGTCGTGTTTCTCCAGCAGCTCTCGTAGCTTCGTCTGGGCAGATATCAGGGAGGTGACTTCATGGCTGGGTTTATCAGAAGAGCGATTCGTATTTCCAAGCCAGCCGAGGAACCCTTGCAGTTCAGTCAGAACAGAAGATTTTCTAGAGTGTGATTTTTGTGTATGGCTGCTAGTATATAAGACACCCTCATAGCCTGGGTCGTCCATCGTTGGGTCAGTTGATGGCCACGGTCTACCTGGCTCAGTCAAGTGATAAGTCCTATCAGCCTGAGCGTCTAGATGGACTTCAGATATGACAGGATGTGTCATCATTGACTGTCCAGTAGCACGATGGCCACTATTGACACTATGATCCTTGAGAGCCCACGGTAGATAAGGTAGTTTCCCTTTCTCTACGGGTTGAGGTTCATGTGTAGGGGGAATAGCCCCTTCATATGCAGGTATAGATTCTCTTCGTAACGTTAATCTTTGAGTCTCAGCATGCTGCTGGGAAGCGTTTGCCTCACCCCATGCCTGAGGTATTGAATTTCGGAAATCGAAAAGACCTGTGGGGCGGTGTATTGGGTTGAGATAATCGTAAGTGGACGAGAAGTGACCGTGGCCATCCACAGTACTAATATCGTCACCCACGACCAGGACATTATCGTCTGCCAGCCTCTCAGTGCTAGAGCTGGCCTCTTCAACTGTCAAAAGGCCATGATCAACAGTGCGTGCAGGCGCTCTGATTTCTCCAAGTGGCGGTCGATGGCTCCCATACTCGTTCGCAAGGCTCAGCCTGCTTCGCCCACATATCTCGGCTATAGCATCCAGCGTGACCTGGATGTTAGGCTCAATAGACTGCAAAATACCCTCGATACCAAACTCTTCAACGGGCGGTAGCCGGACAGGAGGGCTGTTTGCTGCTTGCCGTTCCGTATCTAAGCTTCGCCGCCTCGACATTGCAGAATCCCCCCTAGTACCTGCGGAATAGGTCCGAACAACAACCGGCTGAGAAGGCTGAGAAGTCCGACTGGCAACCGATGGGGACTGTCGGTGTTTCCGTTGGGGTGGTCTAGCAATCCCATGAAGTTGCCGTAGAGCAGTAGGCCGTCGAACCAGCGTAGGATCGTCCAGAGCAGGATTGAATACCCGGCCACGGGTACCAAAGGTAGAGGAAGACTGGTTTTCCCATGGTTGAGATAGAGGGAGAGACGAAGAGAGATGTTGTATACTGGCCAGGGCCGACGCACGATCAGAACTGGAATCCATCGAGTCAGGCGCAAGTCATACGTGGAGTATCTACCAGCAGCGGGAATTCTACTTGGCCCATCAAGCTGGGATATTTCAGGCTGCCTTCCCACGGCTGTACTGGCATAAGTAAATCGATGTAGCGTGTCAGGATGTGTATGACGAGACAGTATACACTATGCAACTGGACTGCATACGCATGTCCGCCAGGGATTGGATGTCAGCGGGAGAAGCAGAAGTGGCCAGGATGAAGTTGAATCTTCGCACCTCTTCAGCCCCCTGGAAGCCCTTCAAGGAGGTATGTCTCAGGCTTTAACTAACGATGAACCCTCCATGATGCGGACAACACGCAGCAGATGAGTTGGCACCTTTTTCCTGTCGCCTTCGTGATGATGCTTGATGGATTCCGCGGGGACCTCAGGGGAGTTGTTGAAATCAGCGGAAGAACGATGTTCCGCCTATCGTGAAATCGGCCGTCCAGGTTGAAGATGAAGAAACCAATGGATGTAACAGAGAGATTCGACGTGGTTATAGTGAGAGACGACATGAAGGAGCCTTGAGAGAGCTATAGTATTGACGCTGACGGGGGGATTGTTGATTCAACCATGAGCGGATTCTATGTTTGTTCTGTCATTTCCATGTTAAATCAAATAAATCTGGCTAACTAATATATCTAGTTTGGCGATTCAGACGGGTCAGATAACGACTTGAACGATGACAATCTTCCCTTTCCCAAGCCAATATCAAGAGAATCCTTTCTGTCACCCGATTTTGATCCCGCCGCTTTCCTGTCCTCTCTCTCCAATCGCCATCAGTCGTTGGCCGATTTACAGAATGAGCTTCGAGAGCTGAGCGAATCCCTGAACAAGGAGCTTCTCGACCTTGTGAATGAAAACTATCAAGAATTTTTATCCCTTGGAGCTGCTTTAAAGGGTGGGCAAGACAAAGTTGAGGAGGTTAGAGCCGGCCTACTCGGGTTTCAACGCAATGTGCAAGGTATAAAAGAGCAGTTTGAGTCTAGGAAGAAGGAAATCCGGGAGTCCCTTGACGAAAAGAAACAGCTACGGTCGAAGATTGCGGTTGGCTATGACCTGCTGGATATTGCTGAACGGGTTGAGTTGCTTGAGACAAATCTCATGATCCGCCCTGGAAACGATACAAAAGCAAATGAGAATGGAGAGCAGACGGAAGACGACGAGAGCGATGGCCTTTCGGATGTTATGATAGGCTGTGAGACAGATGATAGTGAAGAAGACGGGGAAGAGGAGGGAAATGAGGACGGAAGCAAGGCGAGAATATCCCTCCGAAGGCTGGAAGCTCATATACATCAATATCTCAGTGTGAAGGTAATGGTGAAGCGAGTCGGAGAGAAACACCCATTCATCGTCAACCATGCTAGTAGGATCGATGCCATCAAGTCGGCTCTACTGCTTGACCTAAGCACAGCGCTGACAGAATCGAATAAACTTGGATCCAAGCGAGACAGCCGCATATCTACAATATTACGGCTATACGACTCGATTGGACATCATGAAGAGGGACAGCAATGTTTACAAAGGCTCAGAAATTAGCCCACAACGAAGTTTGCTCGTATTCTATGCATTTGCAGAGGAAAACAGACGCCCTGGAGGCTTGCTTTTGTTAAGGAGGAATTATTTCTATCAAACGCCAAAAATAGATATACAGACTAATTTACACGCCTTCATCCCGCTAACCTTAACATCCCGTCAATGCATGCATGGGTGGAGAGGATTCGCTCTTGTATTCACCGTTCAGACTGAAACCAGGGCCATTGGTGGTGCTCAGTACCTGGAGAGAGGGCGTCAGTCGACCAATCCGCAAAACAAAAAACACAGGCAGTAACTTACCACTTCTGCAATGTCTTTGGATACCTGGTCTGACATACCAGCAGCGTCTTTCTTGATTGCTGTGATAAAAGCGCCCAAGTTATTTTTGAGTTCCTCTGGAGAGAAACCCAATTGACCAATTGCCAACTTGACAACACCAGATCGCTCTCTGTAAATGCTGCCCCCACGCATATTCCGTACAGTAGTAGCAACGTTGTCCACGACCGTACCCATCTTTGCGCTAGGCATCAAACCCCTAGGACCCAACACACGGCCTAACCCGGCCTTATTCAGATTCTGTAAACTGTTCGTGTGGCAGATACAAACGTCAAAGTCAATCTTTCCAGCTTTGACAGCATCAAATACTTCCTGTTCGCCAACAATATCTGCACCAGCTGCTTTGGCTTCCTTTGCGGCGCGAGATCCTTCCGGACAGATAACACAAACTCGGAGATCGGATCGAACAGCATGCGGAAGGCGGATCTGGTTTCGAATTACAGGGCCGTCTCGTTTTGTGCGCAGTTTAACGTGGACTTCGTATTTGACGGAGGTGGTATTTCGGCCGGCTTCGAAGGCGCGAAGATATCTGGTTTAAAAAAATCGTTTGAATCAGTTGAAGAAATTTTAAGCCTGGAGAGCGGAGTAGCTTGTTCACAGGGAGGGTAATCAATGCAATTGCGCGGTACAGACCTCATAGCATCGCATAGGGAGAATTGGATTGCATCTCGAATGTCATATTGGGTATACATTGGCTTCTTCTTCTTGGGTTTGGTATCCTTCGACTTTGACGTCTTAGAGGCATACCGTTGCTGTTGGAGGGGGCATATGAACGAAGGAGCTGTAACCTGCGGTCGAAAAGATGAAGATAGCATCCCCCTCGAGAGGGGAGTTAAGTATCTCTGGGTGGCGGCCATAATGCTCCTGAATTGATCGCAACCTCAACCTCCTCGTCCACCAGCTTCAAGTCGAATTTGATGTGCCCGACAGAGTTTCTGTGCGGGTAAATGTTGTTCCCGCACTCCATTCGGAAATATGTATTTCCGATATTACCTAATTGACGGGCTCAGGAAGCTGGAAATTGGCCCGCCCGCCTAAGTATTAGGGATAAATAGCTGACCCTGTTTGATTCAAAAGAGTAACTAATAAACATTGGAGGGCGAGTTTAATTAAACTAAGATAACTCCACTGGTGGTCGCTCTAAACGCCTATAAATAAGACAGGTAGGCGTGCACTTTTGTGATGAGCCGAAAATGCCTGCCCGATCGTTAGAACAACATATGTATAGTAAGCTAGGTTTGGCCGGTATTCCAGGATTACATATTGGCAGTTCTTTCAGGTTCCCGCGTGTTCTTACTCTCGATAGACTGTTTTTTCACTACAATATATGGGTTCAGCCGTAGTCAAGGTCTTGCAAGATGAAAAAGAATGTAAAATAAAATTTAGAATTCGATTGTTCCAGCAATCTTTCAGTGTCCGGTCTAGAAATTCCCACCGTTGCTCTAGAGTAACGCCCTTTACTAGCTCCATATAGATAAATCCTTGACCGTTATCGTGAGTCCAGCCATATACTTCCGGGACAGGTACAGTAGGCAAGACGCGACGGAGCGCCCAGAGTAACTGGCCCTCAGCTACTGTTACCTGAGGGGCGCGTCCGTACTTCACAATTAGGCTGAGATGCTCATAACGGACAGGTTGAAAACCGAAGTTACGGCCCTTCAATGTTGGGTCCTGTACCGTGCCCTGTTCACGAACATTCGCGGGAGATGGTAGCTCAGCTCCTGGTCCGTTACGTGAGAAAAACGCAGACTCGAGGAAGGTTGCTGACTCTGCGGGAGGAAGGGCCTGAGTGGATATCGTGGGACGATTCCCAACAGCCATGATGCCAGAGAAAGGGCTACGGAGAAAGGAGATGATTATTTCAGGATGGAATGCTGGTACCTAGACCACGATGGACAAGTCTTTGGCGAGGCTGGAATTGAACTTGGCATCATGAAGTTCCGGGGTGCCAAAACGATTCACGCTCCATCCCAATCATAAACAGGTCCGGGATGGCCTCGTTAAATGGGGGCGCAAATTTCGTGATATTACCAGTGGCTCTGGCAACAATCCTAAGCTTCATCTGCGCCATCGTAAAGGCAGTGTATTTATTAAAAAAGCCCAACAGATTGTCGGGGTATATATCGATAGTCGTGTAGCAAAATGTAATAGAAAAGAGGTCCCGGATAATGCCAGACATGTCCTCTTGTCCCTGGCGACATCCTGCCTATCTCCGTACGCTGCCCTTCGACGATCTTATCTAAAGAAAAGGGCGCGGGCTCAATGTACTTCTGCAGTATGTCGCTATCCGAACTCCTGGTGTCTGGTTCACTGAGCGACGGCCGCTCCGTTGGGTCTGGTTGAGGCTGTAGTCACGTGTTCTTCCATCGGTCTTTACTTATACAGTACTAGGCCAGAAATCACCGCACCATTTTCTTAGCGCCATATAAATATATAGACTATACCTAAATAATGTTAAATTTAAAACTACTATTATATTAATAATATTATATATAAAGGTAGGTCTTATCTATTTTTCTTTAATACCTTAGGGTCTTTACTATCCTTTTTATATATAACTTTTTTTAATTTAAAGGCTTCTTAATTTTTTAAAAATATAATAAAAAAGGGTATTAAAGATACATTACTTTGGGTATAACTACTATATTAAGTTTGGTACTCTTGGCAAGATGGCGGTACGGTGATATATGGCAAGTGACTGTACATCCAAATTTATCCTTGCAACAAAAGACATATTAAGTAATAGTTGATGACCAAACGGAAGATGCGGACTTTGGGGCGGCTTGAACTTGACAGGCGCCTACACCTTTGATAATTAACAGTTATACCCCATATATAATTATTTTCCGGGAGCTTGAGGACGCCCAATACTGTTCTAGTGGTAGCAACTTTGCACGTTACTTCAACTATGTTATTGCCAGGACATTTCAGGGCTTACAGTATTTGAATTTTTCTGGGCAAACCCCTTCACTATACCAAGCGCGGTTATAGCTATAACTAGAGCCGTAATACCTTTAGGCCATCCCTTACGGCCTCAAGTGTCTAGTCCATGGAGACCATGGATTCAGAACACATCAGAGAGGACCCAGCCATAGAGCTACAACAAAATAGAGGCATTAAGCCTGATGAAAATAACCAGCAGGTGAAGGATCAAGAGCAAATTGTTATATGCCAGGATGCCAACGAACCGGATTATCCTCACGGTATCAAGCTCGCTGTGGTTATTGGCTCTCTCGCTGCTTCGGTTTTCTTAGTAGCATTGGTAATACATCGTTATCCAACTACTACACCGTTTTCCTTCAAGGGTGAATAGGCTAATACGCTCATTTCGCTAGGACGAAACTATTATTACAACTGCAATTCCCAAAATTACTAATGACTTCCACTCCATTAATGATATTGGATGGTATGGATCTGCATAGTAAGCCTGCTCTATCTCCTGCCCTTAGAGAAATATGTTCACAAACCTATCAGCTTTATTACTTTTGCAGCCTTTCAGCTTATATTTGGAAAGCTTTTCTCATTTTATTCCATTAAATACGTTTTTCTGGCCTCAGTTGTCATCTTTGAAGTTGGTTCCTTGATATGTGCTACTGCTCTAACCTCTAGGATCTTTATAATAGGCCGTGCTTTTGCCGGCCTAGGCAGCGCTGGTATAAATGCTGGCTTCATAATGTAAGTCTCAGACTTCTTCTAATAGGGATGTTTACTAAGATATAACCAGTATTCTGGCAAGCTGTCTTCCATTAGCACGGAGGCCAATATTTGTCAGCTCATATAGTGGCATGTATGGTATCGCGTCTGTTGTTGCGCCTCTCCTGGGCGGAGTGTTTACAACAAGAGCGACATGGCGGTGGTGCTTCTATATAAATTTGCCAATCGGAGGAGCCGCATTACTGACAATGGCACTATTTTTCTATCCCCCAACCAAAGAGAAACAATCACCACCCACCACCTGGCAGCAAAAACTTGGGCAGATGGATCTTCTTGGAACTGCTATTCTGGTACCGGGCATCATCTGCTTGCTTCTTGCGCTTCAATGGGGTGGCTCAGTATACCAATGGAATACTGCTCCTCCAATCGCTTTGCTAGCAACAGCAGGAACGGCTGGATTGATATTTATATCAATCCAGGTCTGGAAGCAAGAGAGCGCTACTGTGCCTCCTAGAATTATAAAGCAACGCAGTGTGGCGTGCAGTGCCTGCTATGTTTTCCATGCCGGAGGGGCACTTAATGTGTTTCAATACTTTGTTAGTATTTCTTGGAACACTTCATCCAGCTCCTGATTATATGTGCTGAAGGTAGTCTAGTTACCCATCTGGTTTCAAGCCATCCAAGGCGTTACAGCGTTTGACTCGGGAAGTCGCATTCTGCCGACTACCTTGGGTACTGTTATCTTCTCTCTTGTCGCTGGCATTGGCGTTGCGAAAACTGGATATTATACCCCCTTCATGATTCTAGGTGCCACGCTGTTGCTTATAGGTGCGTCCTTAGCAACGACTTGGCAGGTTGCGTCGCCATCTGCTCAATGGATAGGATACCAGATTATCTTTAGCGCTGGGGCTGGCCTTGGAATTCAACAGGCGCACACAGCTGCTCAAACAGTTCTCGCTTTTGTGGATGTACCGATCGGAGCTGTTATTATGATCTTTGCTCAGATTCTTGGAGGTGCCGTGTGGCTATCTGTGGCACAGAATGTGCTAACGAGTCAGTTACTCCGGGGCCTCGCTAGTACTGTACCAGGCCTGGATCCTAAACTTGTGCTTGATAGGGGAGCCACAGGTTTCCGGACGGTAGTTAAACCAGAGTTTTTAGACGGGGTCTTAGAGGCATACAATTTTGCCTTGACCAGGACACTCTATTGCGGAGTTGCCCTGGCAGCAGCAGCATTAATCTCCTCGGTAGGGATGGAATGGAGGTCAATTAAGAAGGTATCGAGCGCTGGCAGAGGTTGAAGTAGGGTATCTAGACTATAACATAGGAATTTTCATACTATACTCCGTATAGTGCGACTAAATATACATACATCCACTCATAAATTCCAGACTTCCTACTCTGTACCATACTTTCGATACACCCTAAGGAGCTTCGATCATATTTTTATTATGGGACTTTCCACTTGCAGGAGAGAGAAAATTGCTTTTTATAACTAACACCTGTGTCCAATCTCGCTTGCGAAAATCCCCTTGCTAGGATGTCTGTCACTCTTGAACTGGTTAACTGTAAGCGTCCATTCTCTGTACCGCTTAGCGCAGCAGAGCCGACAGTAGTAATCCTGAATACTTTCAAATCTATACATGCGGAGAAACTATTAACGGTGTGCCGTTATCCATAATAGTTTTACAAACCTCAATCGACGATCGAAAATCCCAAAAATAAGCAACTCAACTAGCAAACTGATCAGCAAACCACAGCCAGTAATATTCTCTCCTCAATTACTTAGCTGCAAGGTACAAGGTTGATATTTAAATTCAACCCCTTTTTCTGCCTGAGAATTTAGAACTTCACTGGATTCAACCAGGACTGAAAAAATAACCATGCAAAATGGACGTTCAAATTCTGTATCCTCTCTTTGGGAGATGTGTACTGTCTATTCCACCGTCAAGGGCAATGTGCAGACTCTAACATCCACTCCTTGTCAATCGTGTTAAAAAATGGCTGTGATTGCTCGAGCACTGCTGGCTTGTTCCCTCTTTGGGAGTACGTTCGCTTCATACTCTCTGGTTGATAACTTTGAAGGATCAACATTTTTCTCGAACTTCGACTTTTTCACTGGCGGCGATCCAACTCATGGGTTCGTCAAATACGTAGGAGAGGAAGAAGCTCGGTCTGCAGGTCTAATCGAAATTGAATCTCGATATGACGGCAGCCAGGTGGTCCGGATGGGCGCTGACCACAAGCATGTCACTCCTGACGGCCGACCAAGCGTGAGGGTATCGAGTAAGAAGAGCTATAACCAGGGGCTCTGGATCATCGACTTCGAACATGTTCCAGGCGCCGCATGTGGAATCTGGCCGGCATACTGGCTGCTGGGACCCAACTGGCCGACCAACGGAGAAGTCGACATTTACGAGGGTATCAACCTCGACATCTCCAACACGATGACCCTTCATACGGGCCATAATTGCACATTATCCAACGAGTCTAAGTATACAGGAAGATTGACGACGCCTTACTGTGACCAGAATGCTCCTCCACCCCTGGGCGGCAACGGCTGCACGATCAAGGCAGACGATCCAACAAGTTACAACGGCGGCCTGAACATCGCCGGAGGAGGCGTCTATGCAACCGAATGGACCACTGAAGACATCAAGATCTGGTTCTTCCCCAGGATTGCCGGCATACCAAGCGATATCAGACAAGGCAGCCCAGATCCAGCGAACTGGGGAACACCCGCTGCTCTCTTTGCCGGCAACTGCAGCTTCACCGAGAGCTTCAAAGACATGCAAATAATATTCGACATCACCTTTTGCGGCGATTGGGCCGGGAAGCCAGAGATCTGGGAGGAGTCTCCTTGTTCCGAGGTCACATCAGAGTGCAAAACGTTTGTCGAGAACTTCCCACACGCATTTAAGGAGGCATATTGGGCTATAAGATACCTGAACGTATATCAGAAGCCAGCAGACGCACCGCTTGGTTCGAAACTACACGGTCAATGGAAGCATAGACGGTCTCCTCATCATCACCAGCATCAACACATCGATAACCAAGGTCGCTGATCGCTCCAGCCACGAACTCGGTCTTCTATTCATGTATAATATGAGAGATTAAATTAATTTAATTGATGCCTTCTAGAGTTCCAAGTGTTTCGAAACAAGCGGAAGATGAATGGCCCGACTAACTAGTTTCTCTAGCCTTGGGTTTCACTCTTGTTTAGCCATGGTAAACGGGCTGATTTTGATATCTACCACAAACCTGAATAGTTATATAGAGATAATTATCTTTTGTGTGACAGTGGTTCCGATTAGTCCTAAGATATGACCTGTTGTCGGTAATACTTTCAACAGCACCTTCATTTAAGGGCATACACTACATCTTCAGACTCTTGCCATTATAATGAAGGCATCTCCACCGGCAGTTCTATATATACAATATATTTACATGTCAAGGAGATCGATCATGTTGAAGCTATCAGAGGCGTGGCGGGATACACCATATTTGATTAATATCACCCGCAAGCACCCAAACATGTCCCTGAGCAAGCACTTAATAATCGTTCTGTCGATTAATAAGGCTTTGCCGAAGCCGCCGGGAGAGCCGTTCGGGACGGGCCGATAGACCGTGAACTGTGGATGCCATAAGGTATACTTATCCGTTCCCATCTTCTCAGATATAAGGAACAAGCGCTTGACAGATTTCCTTTTAAACGAAGAAGCATTACTAGCAAAGATCTACAAATCGTCTGGTATGGTTAATCGTTTAATTCTTTAGCCACGTAATAAGTTTTATACTTTGTCTCTCGAGTGTGTATGGGCGCTCGATGTACCATGCAGACTAGTCAAAACATCATCTGGTGGTTTCTTGATGTCAAACAGTGGAGCAGCACATAGTTCGCTACTCCCTGGTTCGTCCGCTGCTTCTGGCTAAATAGTTATGCATGCAGGGTTGTATGATTACCAAACTTCCCCCAGGGTTGATAAGCAAAACATGCATGCACTTATATATCAAGCCCGTTCGATACGTGCCAACCACTCTCGCCAGACTAAATTGACTAAAGTGCTCAAATTGATAGACATCACCAATGTTTAGCAACAACTCAACCATCCGTGGCTCGCGAGTTGCATTGCCATACGCCGCCCCCTTGCCCCGTATTGGCCAGGGGTATAGCGGTAGTGAGGGGGATGAAAAGTACGAAGTGGTGATTGTTGGTGTAAGTTTCTCCTTCATCTTTCTAATAGACAACTAAGGATCGTATTGTTCTTGCTCGAAAGCTCAACATGTTGAACAGGCAGGGCCAGCTGGATACACTCTGGAGCTGCTTCTCGCCCGTCATGGCTTGACTGACCGATCCTTACTCTGTATCGACCTGAAGCCAAGGAGGGTGATGTGTGGTCAGGCGGACGGACTGCAGCCCCGTACGCTGGAGGTCCTCAAGACTATGGGTTTGGCCGATCCAATTCTGCAGGATGGATGTAAGCTCTGGGAGATGATGGTGTGGAAGCCCTCCAAGGACCAGTCTATCGAGAGGTTTTCTATTATGGACAACAAAACTGGGCCTGCAAGATACCAGCAGGCTATCACCATCAGTCAAGGCATCATTGAACAGATTTTCGAGGATGATTTGTCCCATTACTCGCAAAGAGGGGTCCAACGAAACAGCAAGCTGATTGACGTATCACTTGACGAAGATGGCGACCCGGACTTTCCAGTCGTTGCGATTATCGAAACTAATGGAGTGACACGCACTGTGCGAAGCAAGTTCCTTGTGGGAACCGATGGAGCGCATTCGACGGTCCGAAAATGTATGGGAGTTCAGCTCAATGGAGAGTCTATCGATGATTTCTGGGGAGTGATCGATTTTGTTGCAGATACTGATTTCCCTGACATTCGGAGATTCGGTCGAGTCCATTCGCATAAAGGCACCATCATGGTGATTCCACGGGAACAGACTGTCAACGGGGATTACTTGACACGCTTATATATCCAGATGCCGCAACAAGATCTACCGGAGACCAACAGCCCTCCTAGCAATAGCTCTGATTCAAGGAACTCTCGCAAAAGCCGGATTACATTGGAAGGCATCTTCCAGCAGGCTTCTAAGATATTGGAGCCGTACTATATCAGGCCCAAGGTAGAAGGGGATATCAACTGGTGGACAGTATATCAAATTGGCCAGCGAATAGCAAATAATTTTGCCATTAAGGACTCCAAAGGAATTGGCAGGGTTATCCTCACGGGAGATGGTATGTTGTCGCTTTTAAATAAGTTTCTGCGATGTTAAAAATGACTAACTTTGAATAATATAGCTTGCCACACTCATAGTCCAAAGGTAAGTTGATCCAAAGATTTAATGTTCAATTGGTTGATTAGCCAACACCACATACAGGCCGGACAAGGTATGAACATATCCATGATGGATGCTCACAACCTGTCGTGGAAACTTGCGTACACGGTCCATGGACTCTCCCCTAACTCTAGTGATCCCGGAGTGCTGCTCAAATCGTACGAAGTAGAGAGATACAGTATCGCCCGGCAGCTAATCGACTTTGACAAGAAATATTCCTCTGCGTTCTCCAAAAGAACAGCTGTTGGAGAAGAAAAGGAGGTTGAAACCACATTGAAACAGAGTTTGGAAGTATACGAAGAGTCAATCGCTTTTGCAAGTGGTTGTGGAGTTGAATACCCTGAGAATGATCTAATCGATAGAACATTTCCAGACGGTTATCAAGATCCAATTAGCGGAACGGATTACTTCCATGGAATTTTAAGACCAGGAAGACGGTTGCTAAACGTAGTAATGAGGAGATTTGCAGATGGCTTTCATCGAGACTTACAGGATGGTGAGTTAAGGGTCCGTTGTTAATATACCTGATATCGTATAACCTTTGACTGACATGACGAGCAGACCTCGTCTCGAATGGTCGCTTCCGCATCATCTTTTTAGCCTCTACGGATCTATTAGATCCTAATGGAACTTCAGCTCAAACTGTGCGCTCAATCTCGGCCATTCTTCCGTTTTTCCCGGCTTCCGTTATTGAAGTTATAGTGATACACCCTCAGCTTCCGCGAGATTTTAACTGGACTTGCCTTCCTAAGGAATTGAAGCAAATGTCCGAAATGAGATTCTACAGTGGCTACGAACCTGATGATGCCTATAGGATATATGGGGTCAACCCGACGGATGGTGTGCTTGCAGTTGTGCGGCCGGATGGTTGTGTCGGGGTGATTTCTAGAATCGATGATATCCTACGGTTGACAACTTACTTGGAGAAATGCATAAAAAGACTATGAATAACACCAGGAGCGTTTTCAGGGCTCAATAGATATAACACGGTCTGTATGGTGGTATCTATCTACTCCTTTCAATTGCCCGTTGGGGTTAGTCAAAATGAATATATAGAGATATATACAAGGGGTTGGGAATATATAACTAGTTTTATAGATATGAGACCACAATTTGCGGGCCATTACTGGCTAGCTGGGATACCAATTACCCTGTCCACTGCTTCATCGTTGCTAATCTCTTGTGGAACCACACCAGCCGATTTCAGCACGTTGACAACACTCTCAATCATACCTTTATCAACCCCTCTAGTACTTCCTTTCACAAATCGTACATCCTTGAGCCACTCCTTAGCATCTGGCTCTGTATAAGTACAGCCAAAATCGCCGGTTACGAGTTGTTGAATAACTTTCTCTGGGTCGGCTCTGAATGTAGAGATGCCAGAGTCCAGAAGGTTGAACAGCTGTGAAAGTCGGGTATCTGACTCTGGGGATGGGAATGTAGAGGTTGAGGTTGCGATCTGCCATGAGGGCCAAGGGGTAAAGATCTCTCCAATCTTTTTCAGTGGTGGTTTGGGGAATGAAGTAGTGTGCTCGAAAAACGGCTTTGTAGTAAACTGCTCCCACATGAAGAAGTCTGCGGAGGGGTTTGGTTTAGCATCTGGTTCTTGATGGTTATGACCAGTTACCCCGTCTAGCAGGGAAGGGAATGGGCCTAGAATGGTTGGTGTAAGGGGTGAAGAGAGCGGCCAGTTCTGCTGTTGAGCTAAAACGAAGGACATAATATGGGAGCCACTGCAAAAGCCATTAATGAGAAGGAGCTTCTGTATAATATGGAGCACAGGACTAACCTTCCCAGGCGAGACACTCCAACACGCCCTCCCTTGAGGTCGCTGACGCCTTGAATCTCATTTCTATCACGGCCTGTCACAATTGCCCATCTCAAAGGAGTTTCAACCCATTGACCAGCAATTTTATATCCACCGTCTTTTCCCCCCGTTTCCAGCTGCGTTTTGCCTACTAGACCTGCAACCCAGCCCTCCGTCAAGCCAATGGCAACGTCTATTTCATTCTGCCGCAAGGAAGTTATCATATGCCCAGTTCCAGACGGGAAAGGTGTTAAGGAGATTTTGAATGGTAAAGAGAAAGCCCCTGGGCTGTGAACAGCAAGGTGTAGGGGAGCGAGATAGTGCTCTTGGTAGTAGATTATCTGTTAGCAACCGTATATCTTCATGGTTTATTTCGTTCGAGCGGGGTAGTTTATGGAGTATATATACCAGGAACATAGCCAATTCTAATGGTACTGGTACCCGACGCCATATTTGTTGACTTGTTTGACCCAGCTATGTTGTTGAAAAGGAAAGTCTTCGGCCTTGGTTATGTCGGTAGTGGGTTTGATAGTTTGATAGATGGTCTACACACTGGTGGGGGAGGGAGAGAAGCGTGAACAGGGGTGGAGCCTCAAAAAGCTAAGACGAGTTAACTAGCTCCGGAATTCAATGCTTGTAGAAGTCATTTATATTTATCCATCCACCAGGTAATAAGAGGTAGCAGGCTTGATATAATATCTATAGAGCTATATACGGAGTACTAAATAAAATAACGAGAAGAAAGGTCTAAAAAGGGAAACCTAGGAAATTATCACGTGACTATACAGTAGAAAGTTAAATGGGTATTGTTTTCACGTGATTCGTTTAGCTAATTAAGTCTTGGCTTTTGTACCTTAATTTCACCTCGACTTTTTTCCGGTGACAAGTTGATACTTGAAGCTCTCTACTTCACATATGAACGGCCTTTCTACACAAGGTAGGATATAAGTTATCCACCTTCTATAGGCAGATATAACGTGAATGCTCTTTAAAGAATGGCTAAGGATGACTTTCACGCTAATTTAACACCCATTCAATCTATATCGATGGGCTGAGGCCTTTTTGTTCCTTTGTTCTATATATACCAAGAAGCTCAGGAAACACCCTTTGTGCAATGATAAGGTAGTTGGTCGCGCGAACCACTCACTGCTATTGCTAAGCCATGCCTGAAACCAGCGAAATTCCTTATAAAACAGTGCCAAAGGCAAAACGTGATACCAGAAGCCTTACCCAACCAAACATTGCCCCCGGAAGTTCGCATTCGAGTTGTTCCATGATATTCATGTGGAGTGAATGGCCCCCTTTCGGTGGTATTATATATATCCCGCGGGCCCGCCTGCTATACTACTAAGATGATTTTCTATTCTTCCAATTTTTATGGTTTGGACAGTTCAAGCATCTACATCCTTCACGCATAAGTAGCTATCTATCACCGTTTGTGGCTTCAGCTATGTTATTAGACGGTCTTCCCGCTTTAGTCGTTACCGGCTCCATCATTACGGCGCTGGTAGGTTATATTCTTGTGAAGTGTATTTATGACCTCTTCTTCCACCCACTGCGAAATTTCCCTGGTCCCAAAGTGGCAGCCATAGGGTCTTTTTACGAATTTTACTACGATGTTATCAAAGATGGCACCTACCTTTGGGAGATCGAGAAAATGCACCAGAAATACGGTAAAGTAGCTATTGGATCACCCTTTTAATTGACATAACCACTGACGCTCTACTGAAAGGGCCGATAATTCGTATCAACTCCAACTCAATCCATATACGCGACCCCGAGTATTATTCCACAGTCTATGCAGGAGGCGGTCGCAAAATTAATAAGGAACTCTCAACCGTAGCAGGATACACCTTTCCTCATTCTGCTCTTGCTACTATTGATCATGATCTTCACCGCAGGCGCAAGGCTATTATAAGCCCGTACTTCTCGCAACGTGCCGCTATAGAAATCGAGCCTCTTATCCATGAGCGGCTTGACGCACTTTGTTCTCATCTTGAGAAGAAAATGGCTAGTGGTGATACTGTCAATATTACTTGTGCCGCTTCTGCCTTTACCGCCGATGTGGTCATGCAACATTTTTATGGATACAATCTTAACTTCGTTGGCGCTAAAGACTTCAAGTATTATATGAGAGAAGGCTTGACCGGATTATTCGAATTCTACCATGCGACTCGGTTTATGCCTTTCCCACCCGTTTTGATCAAGAAACTGCCTTCCTGGATCCTCAGACGTCTCAACAAGAATTTGCCCTTAATTATAGAAGGCCGAAATGATCACAAGAAAATGATCTTGAGCTATCTTAACTGCTCTGGCAACGCGGAAAAACAGAAAGATGGCTCGAGAGCTAAATCGGTGATTGTGAGTGCGTTAACAGACCCTAACGTGCCTGAGCAGGAGAAAACACTAGACCGCCTATTAGATGAAGGGGAGACAATCATTTTTGCTGGAATGGATACAAGTGCGAGAGGGGTCTCTGCTGCTATGTTCTACATGCATAGAAATAAGGAGTTACTGCAAAGATTACAACGAGAATTAGAATCCTTATCAAAACCTGCTAATCAGTGGACTACTGCGGAGTTAAAGGGATTACCCTATATGGTGTGTCTATCTAGTTATCATCAGATATTTTCTTACTAACGTGGCGGACTCAGGAAGCTGTAGTTCAGGAAGCCCTTCGTTTTCAATATGGCCTAGTTGTCCGCGTTCCGAGAATTTCAGCCCAGGAAGCTTTACAATACAAGGGCTATACGATACCGCCAGGAGTAAGTTTCCCTCTACCTGCGGGCTATATTCCACCATTTATTAAATATATCTATTAGACCCCGGTCAGCATTTCATCCTACCTCACTCATCACGATGAGTCTGTATTCCCAAATTCTCATGTTTTTGACCCTGAAAGATGGATCAAGGCTGCCAAGGAAGGTATCAACCTGGACAAGTATATGGTCAGCTTTACGAAAGGCAGCAGAATTTGCATTGGCATAAAGTATGTGTTTTTTATATAACACTTTGTCACCTGTTCATCAGGACCTACAGCTAACTTTACCCTCTAGCATAGCCTATGCTCAGATGTACCTTTGCATTGCAAGGCTTGTATCGCATCTAGATATGGAGCTCTTTGATACCACTCTGGAGGATATGCAAGTATATCATGCTAGAGGCCTAGCGTACCCTAAAAAAGGGTCTGGTACCGTTAAGATGAAAATAATTGGTGTACGCAAAACTAAGCGCTCAATCTAGGTAAGAGCATTGCCAAAGTGCGGTTTGTAGTGGCTGTCTTTCCCCATTATTTACCTACAAATATGGTCTCCATCGTGAAGGCATTGTATCTTCCCCCTTTTTTTCTATTCTTTTCTTGGTACCTTATTCTTGTCTCGATTCGATAACTATTAGAATGGTTTAGAGGGATTTAATGAAAGGTCGCATTTGTTTCCAGATTGGTTCTACTATGCAACATAACTACCTTTATTAGGAAGTGGCCTGTTAAAGAATCATCACTCGAAAGGTACTTATTTAAAGTACGAGCGTCACAGCCTTGCGCAACACGACAGCTTGCCCTGTTAACGACCATTGTGTAGCACAACAAGTTAGGCTAATACTTTGGGTATGGATCAACGAGGTGGCTGGCTGCATCTCGATGCCTTGCAGATCCATACATAGTACCAGCCTTGCAAATATTCCAAATCCTTGGAGCTCGACAAGCCTGCAGCCTCATATCGCTTCGGGGTTATAAAATGGCCCGCCTACCGTCTACTATGTAGTCGGCCTACGAAGCGAATTGCTGCACCCGGCTGCATCGACCATGGCAGAGATGTATAACTCCTCTCTATGCTCCACAAGAGACATTAAGAAGAGCACATTTTACATGCGTTTGGCCAGGGCGCTAGGACTCGAAAAAGACGATGATAATGAGCGGAAATGCAAGAGATGGCTAAAAGGCTGGAGAATTACATTGTTTATGGCTTCCTGCACAGGAATACTTGTCCTCAGTTTTAATCTCGGATTCCTTCTTTGGGCTCTACCACGTCATAACCTCAGAAATGGACGAGGAGTTCTTTATGACGGCGACTGTGATCGAGTGCATGGATTGAGTATTGGGCTTCATTTGGTGATTAATATATTCAGCACCCTGTTACTGAGCTCCAGCAACTACACAATGGTAAGTATACGGAATGTAATGTTAACTCATTACTACCTTCTTCTAGCCGAAGCTAAGACCCTTCGTTCATTTTCATTTTCATTTTTTTTAGCAATGTTTGAGTGCGCCAACCAGGGTCGATATTGATCAGGCCCACAAGAAACTAAAGTGGCTTGATGTTGGTATATCGAGTGTGAGGAATTTTCGCCAAATATCCTGGAATAGATCGGCCCTATGGGCAATACTAGTGTTCTCGTCACTCCCCTTACATTTGATGTAAGTCATTCAATTATCATTCTATTCTCAACCTTCTTTCTTGGGTAACGGACATTAAATATATTGGCCTGATAGGTATAACTCGACTGTATTTGCTACTACATCGTCCAATTCCTCATACGTATTTTTGGGAGATGAATCTTATGGACTTCTTGATTTAGAAGACCTTATGTTGATACCTAGTTCTCTATCACACACTAAAGATTACTACGAGACCCATAAGAAAGCAGTCGATTCTTCATTTATCCAGCTTCATGACATGGCTCAGAATAGGAAGTTGGAGAAATTGGATAACACTGCGTGCATCAACGCTTACACGAAAACTTATCAAAACTCCTACGTTAATTTACTGCTGGTAACGGAGATCCCGCAGAACAAAAGTCAATACATGTTTGTTGACTATCAGGACGTATACAAGCCTGTAAGGGGTTCCCCATACATATGGATTTGCTTGGAAACACTAGGAAAGGACGTCATTGACTGCAATTCTTATGTTTCAACTACTACGTCTCAGGCTATATCGTCTAACTGGACAATACTATCTTATCCGGTGAAATACTGCCTAGCAGAGGTTGCACAACCTCATTGCAAGCTTCAGTATAGCCTTTCATTGATTGTAGTTGTTATGATATTTATTATGGTCAAGGTGGCAACTATCTGCTATGTTGCCTTCACGATAGATACTCCTATTTTGACCACTGGGGATGCTATCACTTCCTTCATCAAGAATCCGGATAAGACGATGCGAGGGAAATGTTTACTTTCCAGGGGGGATGTTGATGAACTTTCAAGCGCATACAACCCATTCTGGGTTCATCAGAGCCGCTGGCAGTTCGCTAGGAAACCCAAGCAATGGTACTCAGCTGTTCCGGCTGGACGATGGTGCTTCGGTGTGATATCGTACGTTATTCACCGCCATAAAATCATCAACTTCGACTAATTACTAGGTGTTGGTCTCAACAAGATACTGCATTTCTATCACTATCTGCGCTGTACTTCTAGGATATGGCCTAAGCAAGATGTCAGATAGAAGCGGTATTTGGACAATTGGGTTGCAAGCACTTGATTTTCGCACCTTGATAAGCGCAGATTTCTGGCCCACATCCTTGATATCCAACGCCTTGATAGCAAATCTGCCGCAGCTCATATACTCGGTCATATATTTTGCATATAATGGCATTCTAACGAATATGACTATGTCCGCAGAATGGAGCCAATACGCCATCCAACGAAAAGGGGTTCGCGTGTCATTTGCACCTAGGATGTCGCAACGGAGCAAATATTTTCTCTCACTACCTTGTCGCTATGCTATCCCACTCATGGCTGCATCAAGCATATTACATTGGCTCATTTCACAAAGCCTTTTCTTGGTAGGAGTGGAAGCGTATGATCAAAACTTTCAGCGTGATCCTTCATCAGATGTCTATGTATGTGGTTACTCACCGGTTGCTATTATTTGTTGCATCGCTGTTGGGACTGCAATGATTAGTTGCTTGATCGGATTGGGCTGTAAACGCTTCAAATCTGGCATTCCGGTTGCAGGTAGCTGCAGCCTGGCAATAACAGCCGCATGTTTGCCTGATCCCAAGGTATTTGATAATGAGGAATGGGCCGGATCACCCCCGGATATGGAATGTTTACCGCTACAATGGGGGGTTTTACCATCAAATGAGGAGTCTATTGGTCATTGTACATTCTCAAGTGATACAGTGAGCATGCCAGTGGATGGAGGGATATATCATTGATTAGGTTGAGTATTTGGCAGATTTGAACTCTTCAAGGTAGAAGAAAAGTATAACGGAACTTAACACCTCCCCTGTCTGTTATTGATGCACATAGCTATAGAGTAATAATTACTAGAAATGGGTTCAAATCACTATGGACAAAAGGGCTGTTCTAAAACAGTTGTAAGCTCGTTAGAGTTAGAATTACATTTGTATGCATGTAGTTATATATAAACAAGAGTGAAAAATCATGACATCTAAAACGAGTCACTCCTTGCTCTTTGTGTCATTTGCACGTCTGTTGATTTCATGCCCCATCGATTGAGAGAAGGAAGATCATTAGTTGTCCATGAGCGCCAGTCCCCAAACGTATAAAATTGAAAACCTAGATAAATGTCGCATAAACACTGAAACACTCCGCATATCCTGAACGCCAAGGGAATTGAACTACCACTGAAAAAGAAGAAGCTCATTTTCATGGCATCTCCAAGCAGCCAGGAGACGAGAACAGAAGGACGGAAACCTTCGCATGATCGTGAACGCTGGTTAGAGATAATTTGAGGAATTGGTAGGAAGGCTTCGATACCGAGTCCGCTGAATCCGAGTAGCTCTATGTATGCGTGGGAATTTGAGACTGGAGGAAGGAGGATGTGGATGGCAAGGAGGGATAGTGTAAAGTAAACGAGAAAGGTCCAGTATCTATATTGAAATGGTGTTAGAGCTTGATGAAGCCGAAAGGCTGGTGTAAAGACCATGGGCGAATGGGATAATAACATACGGGCGAGCTGTCTTCCACTGCCAGAACCTATATGGTCTGACAAATCCGGACTCGGACCCTTGACCGTTGAACGGAGTATGTTCGATACCAGATGACGGTCGATTGTCTAGGGCGACTTTGAGAAGGATGACTTGCACAGCAATCATTGATATCGCCTGTACTAGTAAAGGGACTGAATAATATGCTCCAAACCAGTAGAATATCCTATATGACAACCATTGTTAGCTAGGGCTTTTCTCTGTTATACCGGATCCCTGGAGCTATCGGATAAGGTAGGGCTAGTGACGTACTTGAAAATAGACGCTACGAGCATAATCAATGGTATATCCAACGAGAACCCCGCCGAAGTTTTCTTCCTGTGTATGCTCATAATTTGATCCGAGTATGAAAGAACTGGGGAAAGGACGAGCCTAAGGGTACCCAGATATCAGTAATGAAGGAATAGGTATACGAGCACGCGACCAAATAGCAGAGTACGTACAATGGCGGAGCCCCATAGTCGAGTATGAGCGTAAGTAACCACATGGTGATCAAATGCGGAATGCTGCTCTGACCCTTGTAGCTGTATATATGTGTATGTATCCTCTCCTCACCCTGCAGCTGAATTGCCCGATATTCGCTCGGCCGCACCGGTGACTGACGCTCACACCATCCAGCTCATTTCTCTTCCCAGCTTTGGAGTGATATAGCTCGATCGGGGTATGCTGGGAAATCTAATCGAGCAATCCCTGTCAATGTCTCAGGCGTGGCGGGTTGGTGTGTGCAGAGGGATATTCTTAGGACAGCTGGGGAGCTGAATGCGCCATGAGACGGTCTGGGGCAAAAAAGGAGTTCTATTCTATATAGAACTGGAGGGGGTCGGTGGTCAAGCGGCAGCTTTGCTTTGGATGAAACTTGAGGTCATAAGAAAAAGGCTTGTCCCTGGCCTGGAGAAAAAGTTTGCGGTGGATTATCTAATGTCCCTCGAACTTGGCGACGTCATAACTTTCAAGGGTTCGCCAGCTCTTTTTGCATATGAGAACAAGTTCGGGCCGAGGAGTGTTTTTGAAGACTTGATCGCGAAGAGCAAATGGTTGTTATCAAATATTGGCCAAAAACCTGCCAAACTAAGGGTACAGAAAACCAAGATGTATTTCACCGACCCGAGACACGATCAAACGCTACATGAAGGGTTGTTCAAAACTCAAAGAGACCAATAACAAAAACACTTTCTATCCCAAATATATAGTTATGTAAAACTCTGCCTATGAAGTGGCTTGGGAGGTATACAAGGAGGCGGCTAAGCAAAGTCAATCTTCCATGATTTGGTGATTGAAACCCCGGGTTTCTTCACGATCGCATACGCTGCCTTGCCATCCTCTGCGTCATGCCAGTCCAAGCTGGCTTTGACACCCGATTTTGCGCCGTCTTCTAGTACCAAAACACTACCTTTACCTTTCCAGTCGCTAGGGATACCGACAAGAACAATCTTCTCAACCTGTACTTCGGCCATGGTCTTAAGATATTGGTTCGTTTTGGCACCAATGGTAGCTTGGTCGTTGGAAGAGAGCGTGGTGCCTGAGAAAACAAATTGGCGGTGGATGTATGCTCCTTGCTTGTAGTCGAAGGTTTCACCGTCATCAACATACAGCTCTCCTTCCGCTTGACCCTTGCTGTCGAGGACAACAATAAGTGTATACGGATCGTATTTCATCAGGCCGCTGCTTCGTCGTGGCCTGTCCTTTCTGGGAATGATGTGGCCGCCTTGCATGAGAATAGGAAGCTTCTCCAAGGGAGCATTGACAGTATGCTTCTTCCTAGCTCCCTGGTAAATGGTAAAGTCAAAGTAGTCGTAGTACTTCTCTTCATCGGATATGTAGATATCAACGCTCGTAGAGCCTTCAGTGACAACTGGCTTGACAAGAAGCCCCGTCCGGCCGAGGTAAAGCTGATCATCTATGGCGAAACCCTGTTCATCCGATGGGTGGACATAATACTGAGGCCGGACGATTGGGGAACCGTTGACGGAAGCACGGTGGAATTCGGTATACCAGGCGGGTAAAAGTTGATATCGGACTCGGAGTGCCTGTGAGATGATATTTCGATATGGTTCACCGACCATATAGGGCTCCCTTCTACGGGTGTCGATGTGTGCATGAGCACGGAAGAAGGGGTAAAAGGCGCCTGCCTGGTACCATCTGGTAAGGAGTTCCTTGCTTGGATTTCCGAAGAACCCTCCGACGTCTGCTCCGGCAAAGGGGAAACCGGCAATACCATTGTTAAGAATCATAGGGAATGACGCGGCTAGGTGCTCCCAGTTTGCCTGGTTGTCACCAGTCCACATAGCACCCATGCGCTGGGATCCGGCGTAGAAAGAGCGAGTGAGAACGAATGGCCGTCTAATCTCTCCCTTCTTGCGCTCAATCAGTGCATTGTATGTGGCATTGACGAATGTCAATCCATTGATGTTATGGACATCCCGATGCTCCCAGTTCCCGTGATGGATGTTATCCTTTGGCATGGTTGTCTCGGGTCCATTGAACACAGACGGCTCATTCATATCGTTCCAGAGCCACGAATTGGAGGCAGTCCCCTTGAAGTTCTCATATTTGAAGAGATTGGCCCACCATTCTACAGCAGCTGGTTTGAAGCAGTCCACCCAGTGAGATGATCCAGGCCAACACCATCCTTCATAAATTTCCCTGTTCTTGGTCAGAACAGCGAGATCCTTCTTCTTCATTTCGTCAACGATTGGATAATTTGCCTCATTTTTAATATGCGGATCAATGATGTACACCAGTTTGCGTTTGGAGGCATCAAGCTGTTTCTGCATACTAATTGGGTTAGGGAAGGTGTGGGGATCCCAAGTGAAATATTTCTTCCCATCGGTGTATTCGATATCAAGCCAGATAATATCATACGGTATCTGGTACATATCAAACTTACGGTCCACATCTTTCACGTCCTCATCCGTCACGTAGTTCCAGCGACATTGGTGGTAAGCGATGGCAAATTGCTGTGGGAGTTGGGTAAACCCGGTAAGTTCGCCATAGGTCTTTGAAATAGTGTCGGGAGTTGGGCCCAGGAAAACAAAGACGTCCAGCTGCCCACTCTCCGAAAACCAATGAGTTTCAGTGGTGGTTTCTGCCTCTACACCGATAGACATTGGGTTGGGAGAGATTGTCGATTTAACAATATCAACCCATGTTTCAGCGGCATTAAGCCAGAAAACACCAACTGTGGAATCCTTACGGTGAGCTTGCATGAAAGGAATTGATCCATAGAGCGTCATTGGGCTATTCAGCTCATACTCAAAGACGTCTGAGTTGTACATTCGGTATGGCTCTGTATGTTGCCCCTCACCGCCCCTTTTTTATCTATTAGCAACGCTCAAGACAGAATACGTACGGCGGAGGATAATTCATACCTTGTTTGCTTTAGTGACATGGAGTCTGCATGTTCCGGTATTCCAAAAACATGCTCGTAGCCGGGGAAACTGATATCTAGGCCTACGCTCTCTGGCCCTCTCGGTTTAGAATCAGTGTTCCCTCCAAAAGTCTCATCCCACCAGGTACTATCGTCCACAGTATTCTCACTCTCTGTCTTTTGCTCGGATTTGGATTCAACGACGTCATTTCTGGGCCTCCATTCCTCGATGTTGAGAAGACCCTTGGAGTTAAGCTGAATCTGAGTCTGGCCATCCCTCTGGAAGTAAACTTCAAAGGGAGAGTGCTTGATGACAGCCTCAAATTTCATATCTGGCCCGTACTTGATCTTGGTGATACCCGAGGTCTCGTCGGTGTTGAGCTCAGCCGACGAGCTAAGCTTCATATCACCAGTAATTGCCCATTTTGAAGCTTCATTATAGCGTTCCTTCCTAACAGTGCTGTCACGGCGTAGTTTTATGTCTCCTTTCATTCGTCGTTCCTCGTCGATTGTGATGCGTGCAACCCCAGACTCCAAAAACGATGCTACCAACGGAAACCGAACTTTCTCGTTACTTTCCAAAGTCTTGATTACAGTTCCAAGTAATTGACCATCCGAGAACGTTAAAGAGCCGGCTTCAAGGTTGAAAGGAGAGGTCCATGCGGAGGCCTGGCTGGCTGCATTGTCTGCATAGTTTCTGTTACGCTGACAGAAGCCAGATTGCGAGCACGTCTTGAAGTTTTCATGTTTAACCATGACTATAGATTATGTATATTAGACAGATAGTATCGATTCACGATACAGAGTTCCCACTAACCTGCTGGCACGGTGAAAAAAGAGACGATGGCGATAATCAAGAGTGACCATCGTGGATGGCTGGCCCGTGATGGCGCCATGTGTGCGGGAGAGTAACAACAAATGAAACAGCACGGGATGATTATCGTAGAACCATCGGGCGTACTGGGAACACCAGCCTACAGCTTCCAATGGGTTTGAAGCTGTCTCAGTCTTGTCGTTGTATGCAACTCTTGCTTTGCTATATCATACAAAAACATGATGCGAGGTTGAAAGATTACAAGTTGCATGTAAAGTCTTGGCACGGAAGCAACACCGCCCTTTTTTTCTGCCCCTCCTAAAAACTACCCGCACATAAAAAAAGAAGAACTTCTTCCACATCTCCCGATCTTACAACTACTTCTCCCAAGGACAATTGACAGACATTAGTTTATTCGTTCTATTTTCAAGATGTCTACCGAACAGACGTAAGTGCTATTCCCTAGAAGGCGTTGGAGGACAGGCTGCTAACTACTTATAACTAGTTTCATCGCTATCAAGCCAGATGGTGTCCAGGTACGGCCGCATTGCATCACCTTCAATGCTTCAGCAGCTTCAATCTTTGCTTGCTAGTGATATATAGCTGACTCTTGAGCTTCCAGCGTGGTCTCGTTGGCCCAATCATCAGCCGCTTCGAGTCTCGCGGGTGAGTTGCCCTCCTGTTTACCCCTCCATGATAGCAATTGAATATATCATATGCTGATGGAACGGCTTGCATCAGATTCAAACTCGTTGCCATGAAGCTCGTCACTCCATCCAAGGAGCACCTCGAGACCCACTATGCTGATCTCTCCAGCAAGCCTTTCTTCAAGGGACTCGTCACCTGTGAGTTAACGTCTTCCTCCATTAGCGAGAGCAGTAGGAAACTTTGAAACCCTTTGCTGACATCTATCCAGACATGCTCAGCGGACCAATCTGCGCCATGGTCTGGGAGGGCCGTGATGCCGTCAAGACTGGCCGTAGTATGTTGCTCCATTATCCTTAGAGATCGAATTCGACACTAACAGCGTAATAACCAGCCATCCTCGGTGCCACCAACCCCCTTGACTCTGCCCCAGGTACCATCCGCGGTGACTATGCCATTGTGAGTTGAATTTCAGGCTTCCAGCTTGTCAGTGTCCCAGACACTAACACACTCCTAGGATGTCGGCCGCAACGTCTGCCACGGCTCCGACAGCGTCGAGAACGCCAAGAAGGAGATCGCTCTTTGGTTCAAGGAGGGCGAGGTCCTCAACTATAAACACAGCCAATTCGACTGGATCTACGAGAAGCCATAGATAGTCACCAAGGGGTAACTCTTCTGTCAACCCGCCCAAAAAACAGTAAATGGAAGGGGGAACTGATTTGATGAGACCAAATGAAAAAAAATTTTCCAGAGATTAGATTGATCGATTCTATACCAATCTTGCCGTGTTGATATGCGCAGGTAGTCGGGGAATAAAAGCATCATATCTATTTTCGTTTATATGCAGAGGTCACATGTCCAACGGCTCGTCCAAAGGGCCCAACAACGGTTCTTGCAAACCATGGAGTTGCCCATACGCTCCACACAATCCTTACTGGTAGTAAAGCCTTTGTAATCGCGTATGCCGTAGCAAACTCCAAGATTAATCGCATTCCTTGGTTATCTTTGGCAGTAAGTTCGGCAGCACTGCCTTGACCCTGAAGCGTCTTCTCGCCGGAAACACTAGTCCCGCTATTCACGATAGATATATCTTCCACATCCTCTTGGACCCAACCGCGTTTTCGAAGCCATTTTCCGAATTTCCTGACTCCCTCGTCTACAGGCGAAGTACCATCAGAATTCCCCAGGGATGGTAACCACCCACCATAGTGGAAGATCCCGACGAGACCAAAAAGGGGTAAAATAGCTGTTAATTCGTGAAGTATCAGGAAAGAAGTAATATGTGTGACTGGCGCATTAAAAAGGGGTGTCGTGTACGACCGGAGGAATTTTGGAAGACGGTTATTGAACGACTGGAGCCTTGCTCGCATCCGAGAGGAGGATGGAGATTCAGAATGGAGCTGACGACGCAGAACAGGGCGGAATAGAGAGCGGCCATTATGAATATGGGTTGGTAGGGATGTGTACGCCCCTGGACTTGCTCTCCATCCCATAGCTGAGAGAGCCATTGTCAAACGACAGACCAACGGACCGACAGAGGACGAATGTGTCTAGCCAGAGGAAGATCTCATGGCATCGTGGATGGGTCTCACCAAACTGACGGGCCTGGATAGAAATGAGCTCTCAACGGCTGTGTATTTCAGCTCTGCTTCAAATAGTTAACAGCTTGCCTCGGTTCGCAGGTTACATAATACCGCCTCTATGTAATCGCGGATCTAGATACCAACGGCCTCGCTCGGATCCCTACTGTTCAGACAAAATCCAAGTTCATGAGAAGAAAAGCGGATGCCTGAGGTTCGAGGGATAACCCTTCTTTGGACCAGCATGAAGCAATCTTCCTACAAAAACGAAGACATGAGAGAAGCAGTGAAGGATGACTAAGCACCACTTCGGGTCTTCGCATGAAGGGACTCCCACCAGAAGGAAAACTCCACTGACATTATTTAATATCTAATCAGTATATCTAGAAGGACTCTCGCTTCTCCCTAGTGACACCTCTTGTGGCAGCACAGGTGGCTGCAAATACAGCTGCGCAGTGATTATTCTGATATACCGGCTTATCCAAGTCTTCTCCTCACTCCTAGGCAGGTAGAAAAAGGATTACAGAGAAAACCAACCGGGCTCTGTGAATTGAAATCGCAGTCATGGAGAAGATATCGGATAAGATAGAAGCTCTTCCTAAGGATGCACACTATTTTTCCTTGGAGTTTTTCCCTCCAAAAACCCAGATGGTGAGACTTGCTCCTAACCCCGCGATAGGTATGATATTGACTGGGTTCTTTCGATAGGGATCATCAAACCTCCAAGCTCGTCTGGAGCGTATGTCCCAGGCTCTACGGCCTCTGTTCGTGACTGTTACATGGGGTGCCGGCGGGAGTACCGCCGCCAGATCGCTTGAACTGGCAGAGATATGTCAGAGACAGCTGGGGTTGACGACATGTCTTCATCTGACTTGCACGAACATGAATCGAACATTGATAGATGAAGCTCTGGAAGAAACAAAGGCATTAGGCATCCGGAATATCCTTGCCCTACGTGGGGACCCTCCACGGAGTGAAGAGTACAACATAGACGGAGAGGATGATAGTAACAAAGACTTCAGCCATGCTGTTGACTTGGTAAGATACATCCGCAAGAAATACGGTGATTACTTCTGCATTGGTGTTGCGGGATATCCTGAAGGCCATGCGGACGAATCTCACCCCGAAGTGCAAGATCCGTTGAAAGACCTGCCCTACTTGATTGAGAAAACTCAAGCCGGTGCAGACTTCATCATGACCCAATTAACATATGACATCGAAGCGTATAGAAAATATGAGGACTTGCTCAGGAATCATGAATCAGGAACATTCAAGACTATTCCTATCATACCCGGCTTAATGCCCATTCAGAGCTATCATACTCTAACTAGAGTTACTAAGCTCAGCCACGCCAAAATCCCCCCGGAAATACTGGCAAAAGTGGAGGCTTGTAAAGCAGATGACGAGGTTGTGAAGCGAGTTGGTGTCGATATTGTCAGTGAACTCGTCGAGGGTATTAAGAAGATTTCTACACCAGGCCACCGTGGATTCCATTTTTACACCCTTAACCTAGAGAAATCGGTTTCCTTCATTCTGGAACGATGCAACTTGATCCCCCCATCATCTGAAGCTCCTAGTGATAACGAACTCGAATTTGAGTTGGCTGTGTATGCTGCTTCCGGTGCATCAAACGGACCGGATAGTAGATCCGCGAACATGTCTAGGATGCGAGCTTCATCTATGAATTCACAGCCGCATAACCGTGTTATTGTTGACCGTTTAACTCGTGCTTCGAACAGATCTGATCGAAGTTCAACAGTACACGAGACATCCGCACTGACGGCAGGGTATCCTGCCCTTAACCCACCAAACCGTAACACTACCTTGCAAATATCCGAGGGTCTCGGTTCTCTGGGACGAGAAGCTACTTGGGATGACTTCCCCAACGGTCGTTGGGGTGATGCTCGCTCTCCAGCCTTTGGTGAAATTGATGGATACGGGCCATCACTCCATGTAACGGCGCGGGTCGCCAGAAAATTATGGGGCACGCCAACTTCCAGGGAAGATATCAGCAATATCTTCCGCCGACTTCTTTCCGGCGAACTACATGCTGTTCCGTGGTCAGAGGGTGGAGCAGGAGAAGAAGGCGGTCTAAACCCCGAAACTGCTACTATCCGAACTGAGCTACTGAAATTGGTTGAGGGACGTGGGTGGTGGACACTTGCTTCTCAACCATCCGTTAATGGCGTGCGTAACGACCACCCAATATTCGGCTGGGGCCCACGAGGCGAAGGTTTCGTGTTCCAGAAAGCCTTCGTTGAATTCTTCTGCCCGGGAGACGATTTCCACTCAAAATTGAAACCTTTACTTAACAGTTATGGCCATGATGAGTTTGCCTGGTTCGCTATGAATGCCAAAGGCGACTTCCAGTCATCCACTTCACCGGAACCACCCGCATCACCTCCTACGGACTCAACTGAACCTCTTTTTGATACCGACCCTCTGACTGATATGGACAATGGCAGTGTCAATGCAGTAACTTGGGGGGTATTCCGGGGTAAAGAGATCGTCACCCCAACTATAATTGAAGCAGTAAGCTTCCGAGCATGGGGAGAAGAGGCTTTTGGCATATGGGAGGAATGGAGGCGCATATTCCCTCGTGGTAGTGCCAGCGAAAAGCTGATAAGGGATGTTAAGGATGACGTGTGGTTGGTTTGCGTTGTTGGTCAGCGCTTTGGGGCTGGCGGGGAGGTTGGAAAGGAGTCCAATGAAGACGATGGACAGTTACTTTGGAAGGTACTAGCAGGTGAGGATACAGGTCATGGTACTATAAAGGGATGAGAGATGAACTTAAATATTTCAGAGTTAATACATAAGGACTTTGGCCATAGATGCCTGGAAAGCTGCAATGTCTTCCGAAGTTTTACTGTTTCTATTCACTGTGAAACACCCAAGTCCTCTTGGTGAGGCTGGAAATTATGCTTGGGCCTATTCACTAGGCCAATCTAATACCCTATATTGACTTTATTCCAGTGTCAGATCCAGGGCTAAATGATTACATGAAAATCAATGTTCAACGCCGCAAGAAATATCTGGCCGTTTTTATACAAAACTAGTTGGGAGATCTATGGGATATATCGAAACATAGGGGCTTGGTCTGCCAGGCTTGAAGTGTCCACCTTATCAAGAGGGTTTGGCTTGCCATATTTCTTGTCTCTCTGCGCGTTAACGATGCTGTGTCGGATGTATAGGACAATGGACATCACAAGACTCAAGCACAAAAATGCAAGCACTATGCCATATCCTCGTGTATAATTAGGGCCTTCGTGTTCGGGAAAGCTTTTGCTAGCAAGAATGCTCAAGCAATGCCCTGCAATCACGATCATGCAAAGTGCAATTGCTTTCTTCGATTCTGCCCCAGCGTTGTCCGACACCCACTGCACTTCTAATGGTATACATGTGAAAGTGCCGGTTAGCAGCAAGAAAACTCCTGCGAGAGCTACTTTCGGGTTTTCTTTGGCTGGAAACGTATACATCAAGGAAACTCCAGTGATGGCCACGGCGGTTCCTCCAATAATGAATGGGCCCCGTGTGCGGAGTCTGTCTGACAAGAGGCTGGTACCAACCATGACTACCCAGCCAGCCATGTACGGGCCAATAGTCATATATTGTGCTGCAGTTTTCGAATATCCAAGGGAATGAAGAATCGTTGGTAGAAAGATTGAGATTGTTGCCAAAGCTGCATCATGCCCCATTTTAACAAGACAGACACCGTATACCTTCCAGTCCTTGAGGCCTGAAATAACATGCTTCATAACGAGAGTGTCATGTCCCTCACTCTGCTGCCCCTGGTTCATACGGTGAATCGAAATTTGCCTCTCTTCCTCATTTTTGAAAAATTTCGAAGTCTCCGGCCTGTCAGGAAGGCAGAATAGAACCACAAAGGCAAAAGCAACCGTAGGCAAGCCTTCCACTAGGAAAAGAACCCTCCAGTGACCGATGGTGGTGTTAATCAGGGATATTCCATACGCAATTAACCCGCCGAACGCGCCAGAGAAGGCAGACATTCCCACGAACAAGCAAGTGCGGAACGCGAGTTCGCTACGTGTGTACCACAGAGTCAGATGGAACACTGCCGTGGGAGCGAAAGCAGCCTATATCGATAATGTTAGTTGATGGCGCAAAATAGATTGACTGGTATAATGCGCGCTATATTCACCTCAAAGAGGCCAATAAAGAATCGAGATGTAGCAAGGCCAGCGAAATTGAACGCTGCTGCTCCCGCTGCAGCAGCTATGCCCCATCCAACGACTGATACGAATATAAACCTCGAGGGGTAAAACCGTTTACCCCATAGAGTGAGAGGAGCTGCGAATAAAATGCTACAGGCTTTGTAAGTGGTTATATCAGCCAAATTGAAGAGAGCAAGAACTGACTATCCAAAATAAAAGATACTGGCTGCCCAGGAGAAATTTGAATCATTCCCACCCAGGGCATCCTCCACTACGCCTTGGAGTTTGGCGTTTCCCAGGTTTATTCTATCGAGATATGCCTGGCATATGTTAGGAGCTGGCAATAATTACGGGGTAATCAATTGCAGGAGACCAACTAGTAGGTAGAGGATAGCAAATTGGGGCATTATTATCCAGTCCTGACGCCGTACAAGCTTCCTACACTAGCTGGTTAGTGATATGTATGCACCATGGCCCGGCAACGATGGTAATAATAGTCAAACATAGTGTATGGACTTGCCTTTCAGCTTCGGATTTATGTCCATCAAGGCTTGATAGTGACGATTCCTTCTCATCACTATCACTCCCTCGATTACCTGCAAGCTCCACATCTTTGATAACATCAGTTTTCGCCGTAGACTCCTCTTCTACCTGGGGCGAGGCCATCTCAACATTTGCCTGCTAGCAGGGAAAGACGCATCTCTCTAGCCGGGATGAAAGCCGGGAATGCCATCATATATATGTCGGTCGGATTCACCGCTTATTAATTATACCGGGATGGCTTGATTTCAATCCTGATCGCCAGATTTTTCGAGTGATTTGCCGTGGCTCTCATGATTCGTTCCAAGGGCGATGGCTTGTTAATGATCGACAAGTTTATCTGCGGGAAAGCCTCTAGTTTGGTCGGGAGGACTTTGTGAGAAGTAACCCTTTTTTTGAATATGAGTTGCGGGTAATAGGCCTTCAGGATAGCATATGGGTCCGGATATCTGCTCTGCTGCCTTAGCCATTCCTATGTCACTTAATAGTGAGTATCCCATTTCCACCAGCCAGTTTAAACATGGCCGATTGATACACATACAAATATTAAACAACCACGGTTTCTATGATAGCTATTACAGTATGTATTTGTTGGCTGTGCTTCTTGACGTCCACTGCTTTCTATGGGCGAAGAAGGGATGGGCTACATAGCCTTGGGCCACGGCACTGATATCCGGCGGTTATGATATCGTTACGAGCCAGCATGATCCCGGTATAGGGGCGACGGGTATTCGGGCGGCCGTATTGGCCACATCTATAGACTATGTGTAGTGGAGTGGCCAACAGCTGCCGTCTACTCCGGTGGTCTACTTCGTGATATGCTATGAGTTTGGCAGTATAGGGAGAGCCAAGACTGGCGTGTATCATAGCATGTTTGTTTCGTCATACACCTTGTTCTCCATGATATAATAATGGAGAAGTGTGACAAGAGTACGGTTGTTGGTCATCAGACTGATATTAGATATGCCAGGGCGTCGACTATGAGTTACTCCTATTGAATAACAGGCGCATCACTGCGTCTTTTCAGCAAACCCTCGTGCTTCCAGTTCTTCAGCCTCGGCATCCGGAGTAACTACCGACGATTGGGACTCTAGAAGTTTTTCTGCAACACCATCTAGGCGTCCAAAGACCTTCGGGTTGCGTTTCTCGCCCGGCCCAGTTTTGAACTGATAACCTCGCATCCTATCGGGTTAGTTAGTAATGTGTCTACTTTACAGAAAGGGGCGAATGCAGGGTCTACCTTGGGCCCTGCCCACTAGGTTCGGGAAAATCCGACTTATAAGTACGTTCAAAGGTCTTTACACCTTCTTCGAAAGTCCCATTCTCGATACTTGTCCTGATCGCGGCAAAGAATCTATCCATGGTTGCGTGATTATGTATCTGAAGCAACGTCCATGCGAGCATTTCTTTTGCATTGAGCAGGTGACGGAGGTAGGCTCGATGGTATGTCTTGCATGTGTAGCATTGGCAATCCGAGACAAGTGGTGAAGTGTCTGTGGAATGTGCGGGAAGTAGCATATCAATTGCTAGCGGGTTGGGCGATGATGTGCTATCGTTGCTCTGGGAGGTGCTCAGTGGGAAGACAAAATCCAAAGCCAACCCTGCATCAGAAGCTGTTCCGATGAATGATATCGCTGAAAGGTCTAGTCCAAGGGAAACTCCTTTGAGTACATCCTGAGGAGTACTAGGTTCACCAAGGGACAACCGTGGGAGATTCCACATTGACTGAGGAATCATCTCGATTGTTGAAGGATCCCACAGCGCAAAGCCAGCAACAGAATCATTCATTTCTTCCGCCAAGTCTCGCGAGTACAAAGTTTGCAGTTCCTTTTCAAGCGGAAGAATTGGCGCAAAAAAGGATGTTCCAGTAAGCCGGTTGCTTGTGTCTGCAGGCTTATACAAGACGTCTATGGCCGACTGAGTCCAATCATGCGTCCGATCTACCATCTTCTCCCGTCTCTTCATACCCGGCCGTCTATCGAGAACATCAGCTATACCAATTGCAATATCTGGTTTTAATGTCTTGATAGCCTCATGATACTGTTCCACCTGAAGCTGCTGGTACCCGACTGAAGTGAGGATGGTCACCGAATCAACTGAATTGGAGCCGGCCGTGGCGACGGGAGGAATCCTCCTAGGCCCAAGGAATAGTAGATAGTCATCATCAAAGGAGAGGAACTTTCGTAGGGCAGATTCTGACTTGTCCGTGGGGACGTTATATATTGGTGGTATTTCTTTTAAAGAGCTTCGTTCTATGACTGAACTGCTCCAGCGAGCAGAGATATTAGCTATCCTATCCACACAGACAGACAACAGGCCGGCAAGCCAGCTCACATACAATCTTCAAGGGCAATATATAGACTGCCTATCGACATGTGTTCTTTTATATTATCATGAGTAACATGGGGCAGCACTCCTCTGGATGTGATGGGCACATAGCCTGGTGTTAGTATCGGTTTGCGCCCAACTCTGCATAGTCTTCCCAGCCGCGGAGCAAGCTGTGTTGGTGGATGTGCCAGTAGACTGAAGCTGAGCATTCCTTCAGGTTGATTAGACGGTATGTCAGGAGCCATGTTCAATATCAATAGTAGTTGTAAAGAGTTGTCGCACTTTGCGACCTTCACTTTTTTTTCTTTTTTCTTAGAGAAGTTGAGGCTGACTTTGGGCCAAGATTTAGAACTTCAACATTTAGAACTGCAACAACATCAACAGAGTTAGGGACTTATATCCATACAACACCCATTGCAGTTATATCGATGGAAGCTGAAGTTACCAATGCCAGAAGAGGCGCCCTGGTTGTGGTGGAAGGCCTGGATCGTGCTGGGAAATCAACACAATGCGCAACACTGTACCAGTTCCTTATTAACCAAGGGCATAAGGTAAAATACATTCGGTTCCCAGGTACGATATAAAGCTGTCTATACGCTGTTGGGGGTAAGTGCTAATGATGTATCAGACAGAACTACGTCTATAGGCCAGATGATAGACAAGTATCTCCGTGGAGAGATACAGCTAGACGACCACGCAGTTCATCTCTTATTCTCCGCTAACCGATGGGAGGCCGCGGCACAGATACGACAAGATATCGAAGGCGGGATTACTGTTATTGTCGACCGATACTCGTACTCTGGCGCCGTCTACTCGGCTGCAAAAGAAAATAAAGAGCTACAATTGGATTGGGCATGGAGGCCAGAGATAGGACTGCCTCGACCGGATATTTGGTTCTTTTTGAATATATCGACTGAATCTGCGGCAAAGAGAGGGGGGTATGGAACGGAGAGGTACGAGACCGTTAATTTGCAGAAGAAGGTGGGGAAGCTGTTCATATCCTTGTCTGGGCTGAAGGGCAATGAAGATATGAGGGTAGTTGATGCGGGGAGAGAAATTGAGGAGATATCCCGCGAGCTTCAGAGTGAGGTTTTACAGACTATTGCGAATATTGATTCGATGGGGCCTTTGAGGAAGCTTGGTCAACTAAATTTTACGGAGATGGAGACCGGAGACTCTTCGTAAATCAAGGTGATGGGAGAGATCAATTATGCCACTATGTCTACGTCATCCCAGTCATCAACTTTTCGATATACGGCAGCCCTGGGCGCTTTCGCCTGATGTTTGATGGCCGAGGGCCCAAAGTCTTCATCTTCAGTACTAAGCAAATCGATGGGGCTCTGGTGCCCAGTATGTTGGGGTAATTCGCCTCCCGATTCTTCGCTGGTTACTGGCGGCTGGCTGGAGGGGTCCTCTTCCTCAAATGGTGAGTCTTCATGATTGTGGAATAATCCGGCACCATGGCCCCGAAATCTGCGTGTCATCTCCCTCATGAGAATGTGCCATTCGATGCGTGACCCACAGCTTGGACATCTTCCGCTAGTTGGAACAAGGCCGTTGCCCTGATCTTCAGACTGTATGAAGGCAGACGAGAGGCATAATAAATGCGACGCACATCGACAAGCTTCACACGAGCAGACAACGACAAGATCATCGTCCAAGCGAAGACGTTCATGGCAAATACCACAATAAAGCCGGTCTCCAGCATCCAGCAGGAATTGCGTCTTTTCTCTATACGACTTAAGACTGTTCCCTGAAACATCAAGCCTCTGAAGAGCAGTCTGAAGTGGTAGACCATCCTCAGATAAGGCACAATCGTCAAAATCAGTCTTGAAGCTTATTGTTTCTGGAACAAACGTATCTGCACTCTCGACCCAGCCCTGCCAAACAAGATGCACATCCGTCTTAAAAAACCGGACTTCCAAGGGCCAGCTTGAAAAGTACGGTGAGCGCAAGAGAAGATGCAAACGTGCCATGATCCTTGTCAGTGATTCCCTGGGACTACTCGACTTTTTTGCTATGCGTCTCCCTGTTTTGGAGCATATTCGAACATCGGTATCTGTTTCATTGTGCGCTGCATGGCGAGAAGCCTGTGTATTCTGCCACGCCCATCTGGAGCTATGTCAGTCGGTTGCCTATAATATGATGGAGAAAGAGGGACTACAGCCGACATACTCGAACTGCAAAGCCCCGGTACGGCTGGTAAACCCGCTGACAGTCATGACCATCTCCCACGGCCGCAGCTTTTCCTTATGGGTTCTATGAGCGCCTCCCTTGATGCGGCCGTTATGCTGCGCGAGGCGGCGGGCTGGATTAGGGGTAGAACCAATGTATAGACTAGCATGGCGTACGGTCGAGCGGAGTAGATATGCACAGTAAAAGGGAGGTATGCTTTTAACTGGTGCCTCTCCGCTGGCGCTGGTACGGGCTGGACTCGAGCGAGACCGTGGCATTTCGGGTATACTAAATATTAAAAAGAAAGTGTATGGCCTGTAATGCTCTTCAATCTTCGTAATTGGATAAATGGGCTTATCGCTATCGTCATTATCTTGTCATCATCATGTTGTTATGTTATGCTGTTAATGTTGTGGTTATCGCATGTAAACATCATGAAAGCTTGTCGGGTCATGTGACATGACCCGGAGAAATTATCCAGCAAAAGCAACAACGTTAAGGAGAAGTCGATGGCATCAGGAGCAGTTGTGAAGCTGGACCGCCTGTTACAGGGAGAGACAAGGCCGGCTCTGAGCGCGCTTACATCGCATTCGCCCTTGCAAAGCGATTCTTAGCCTTGATGGACAGAGCTAAATAACGCTTCAGCGCTTCATCCCGAGACCTTTGCTCGCTTTTTCGTTCTCCCCCCTGGAGCACTGTAACCAATTACGCCCGACGTGTACCATGTAACAAGAAGTCCGGCCCCAGGAGAGGCAGACCAGAGGGAGAAGAAGGCTGGGGAGACCGTAGCCTGTGGACTCTTCTGCCATTGGCATGAGATTATACTGCATGCTCTGTACCACGTCTGTTTCCCTCAGCTTGCTACTCCGTGTTTGTTGTAGGTGTTCTGCACTCAGACAGCTAGCTACCCTGGCATGGCAAGTCCAGGAACCGCATGAAAGCAAAGCGTGGTAGAGTTATCAAGTTCCTCTCGACTTAGCTGGAGCTTTTTGGGCCACTATCTACTCCACATGGTAAGCCGAGGCTAAGCAGGTCATAAATTATACTTACTTTCATCCAGCAGTAGAACAGTCGAGCGTAGGCAGACACGTTTATCACCATCACCGTCATAATAATAATATTAATTTTAATATCAATCCGATATCAGGTTGAAGATTCTCAACTTTTCGTCCTTTTTTTTTGTTTGTTTCTCAGAAAAAGAAGAAAAATAACATGACTAAGCGGTATTACCAATACATGACTAAGCATCCATAAAAACGGCTTCATCGAAAACCCAAAAAAAGCAGCAAGAAAAGAAAGAAGAAAGATTTCTTGGATATCAAGAAAAGACTCGCTGGCTTCGACCACTTCGATGGCATTACGGACTCTCCCGCACGCGATCTCGATGGAATGAGTTCCAAGACTCGGTTCAGCTTGTGCCTCCGCGACCGTTTGACTGACTCGGTACCATCGGAACGCCCCTAATTACACCTCTCCCGGAACATATTCGATCCTCGAGCCAGAAAAAGAAGCCCTTTTCTCTTGCTTTACCTTTCTTCCTTTCGGGTGCCCAGGACGGCCCAGGGCGTTATAAGAGGCCCCTTGGTTATAATATTCACTATAGGCAGCATATTCTTCGCCATCTTACGCCTTCAGCTTCTCCGTCTATAGCCAATGCATTCGCGATACGTTCTCCATATATTATCCCAGCCGTGACGAGAAATATAATCTACTGCTCAAAGACTCATCAGCCCCCGTTCGATATGGCGGCTGCCACTTCATCAGAGGCCCATAACGCTGGCCCGCAGCCGCAGACACAAGCACCACAGCAGCAGCAGCAGCAATCACAACAAAACCCCCAGTCGACCAGCCGGTCTTCGATCCAGACAGCTAACTCTACGAGTTCATATGGCTCAAATGTACCGTTGAGCGCTCGACGGGCAGAACCTCTGGACCTCTCGACTGTCGAACGCCGTGAGCAGATTCCAGCTACTCGAGACCCTCCCAAACGCAATAGGCCTCATGATTTGCAGGAAGCTCCCACCTTTTATCCGACAGAGGAGGAGTTCAAGGACCCCATGGCATATATACGAAAGATCTCTCCCGAGGGAAGGAAATATGGTATCTGCAAAGTCGTTCCTCCAGAGACATGGAATCCGCCTTTTGCCATCGATACGGAGGTATGCACGAGAGATAGCTTTCACAAGGAGAGGAGTAGACGCAGCACACGTAGTTATATGATTGCTGACATGCCCTTCTTTCTAGCGATTCCACTTTCGTACTCGTCGTCAAGAGCTTAACTCTGTTGAAGGAGGTATGCACGCGTCTTCAGCTGGCAGCTTGCAGCAGTAGAACCTGACTCTTTATACTCTTTTCTTTCCAGGCACCCGAGCGAACCTCAACTACCTCGATCAATTAACCAAATTTCACAAGCAGCACGGCACGAGTCTTACCCGTTTTCCCAGTGTCGATAAACGGCCCCTTGATCTGTACAAGCTAAAAAAGGCAGTCGAAATACGAGGCGGTTTCGAACAGGTCTGTAAACTGAAGAAATGGGCGGAGATTGGGCGCGATCTGGGGTACAGCGGCAAAATAATGTCGTCTCTGTCTACTTCGCTCAAAAACTCATACCAGCGATGGCTACAGCCCTATGAAGAGTATCTACTTGTTGCGAAACCCGGGGTACAGCATCAACTTGAAGTCGAGAACGGTGGACCGTTCACTCCATCTCCAAACCAGTCTCCATCAGAAAAGAAGAAACATCAGATGCAGAACGGCCATCGACTGCCTTCAGATACACGTGCCGATGACAATTCTTCAACACAGATAGCATCTACGGGACCAAATGTTTCTACCGTCAACAGTGATGATGGGACTGGAAATTCGGTGGAAACTCCTCGTGAAGCTACACCGGTTCCCATACAACAACAACCTATCACATCTGGATTCACAGCTGTCAATTCTAGGCCGAGCGGGTTTGCTGCGATCAACACGCCCTCATCCTTTACAGCTGTTAACAGAGCAGTGCCTGAGGTGAAGCGGGAATCAGACGAGGCAACTTCAAACCCGCCTCATGCACACTCCGTCCCAGGCTCCGCGAAGCCATCTCCCGACCTAGCACGGGCGAAATCTAATTCTGCGCCCCTTACAAATGGACACGACGAACATACTTTAAAACGTGTTCATAGCAGTGACGGCAATTCGCAGGCTGACAACGATGATTCGGAGGAAGGCGGCAATGGGCGACGAAGTAAGCGCCTGAAGAAGGGTAAGTTGAGTCGAATTTTGCATCAAAACTCCCCTTAAGATTCAATACAATACTAATAGCCTTTGTTTTTACGGTAGATGGCGCACCAAGCGTTGCGGGGTCCAATATGAGCTTGCTTCGACCATCGCCTTCTTCACAGCCAAAACCTAAGAATGGGACCTGTAAAACTGGAGATGTAAGTTAATAGAACAAGACTCCTAAATATAATCCCCCCATTCTGAAGCTAAAATCAATGTAGAAATGCGAAAGTTGTGGGAAGAGTGATAATCAATCATCCATTCTCGCGTGCGACGGATGTGAGATTGGTTATCATATGCAATGCCTTGATCCTCCTCTTACAACAATCCCGGACTATGACTGGCATTGTCCCAAATGCCTTGTAGGAACAGGAGAATACGGCTTTGAGGAAGGTGGCATATACTCGCTGAAGCAATTCCAGGAGAAGGCGAACCAGTTTAAGAAGAATTATTTCGGCACGAAGCTACCCATTCAAAACACGTCTGCGCCAACCCCCCAGCTATACGAAGCTGAAGACAGCGTGGAACGGGAATTCTGGCGGCTTGTTGAGAGCTTAACCGAGACTGTAGAGGTTGAATACGGAGCTGATATCCATTCGACAACTCATGGCAGTGGCTTCCCTACTGTTGAAAGGAACCCTCTTGACCCTCACGCGACAGACCCGTGGAACCTAAATGTCCTTCCCTTACATCCGGAATCATTATTCAGGCATATCAAGTCTGACGTCTCCGGCATGACGGTACCCTGGGTATATGTTGGCATGTGCTTCTCCACATTCTGCTGGCATAATGAAGACCACTACGCGTATTCTGCTAATTACCAACATTTTGGATCTACCAAAACATGGTATGGCATTCCAGGTGCTGATGCCGAGGCGTTTGAGGAGGCGATGCGCCAGGCCGTTCCAGAGCTGTTCGAGACCCAGCCTGACTTATTATTCCAACTTGTCACCTTACTCCCGCCAAACCAACTGAAGAAAGCTGGCGTCAACGTTTACGCTTTGGACCAAAGAGCTGGCCAGTTCGTTATTACTTACCCACAGGCATACCATGCTGGATTCAACCACGGGTTCAACTGTAATGAGGCTGTGAACTTTGCACCGAGCGAATGGGAGCCATTTGGTCAATCCGGCGTCGACCGCTTACAGGCATTTAGACGGCAGCCTTGTTTCTCGCATGATGAAATGCTACTTACTGCCGCTGGCAAAGATACTTCGATTGGCACGGCGAAGTGGCTTGGTAAAGCGTTGCGGCGTATGTGCGATCGCGAACTAGAGCAGCGGACAAATCTCCAGGCTCGAGCTCGAGAACTTGAGAATAGAAATGGTGTGCCAAATGGTGACCAAAATGCCAAACCTGCTGAGCTGCCTGCATTAAGTATTACCGTGGAAGATACAGATTTGCTGGAAGACGAGTACCAGTGCAGTTATTGCAAGGCATACAGTTACCTTTCGGTTTTTAGATGCCATAAATCTGGAAAGCCGCTTTGTCTAATGCATGCCGGATTAGCTGAGTGCTGCGGCGTCGAGCCAGCTCTCTGTCTACGTGGAACTGATCATTCAGTACGATATCGACTGTCAGACGAAGACTTGCAAAAATGTGCGCAAAAGGTAGAAGACCGCGCCAAGATCCCTGAAGCGTGGGCGGAAAGACTGGACAGAACCCTCGAGGACGAGCCAAAACCATCACTCAAAGCACTTCATGCGCTTCTCTCGGAGGGAGAAAAAATACCATACCATCTCCCTGGACTACAGGATCTTGCTGCGTTTGTACAGAAATGCGATAAGTGGGTTGAGGAAGCAAATAATTACTTAACCCGCAAGCAGCAGAATCGACGCAAGAACGAGAAGATCTGGCGAAAGGGAAACCCGGCGAAGGCTGCTCAGATGGAAGAACGAGATCGTGAATTACGTAGTATCGAAAAAATCCACAGCCTTCTATCAGAAGCAGATCGTCTGTCATTCGATTGCCCTCAAATAACAGCCCTGCATGAAAAGGTTCAGGAGATTGAGCGGTTCCAGAGAGATGCTCAGGCTGTCTTCCTCAGCGCGCATACTGCGTCCGCTCAGGCCGTGGAGGAGTTAGTAGAGCTTGGCCGCAATTTTAGCCTTGATATCCCGGAGGTAGACAAGTTGGAACGCGTCTTACAACAAATAAAATGGAACGAAGACGCGCGACGCCGACGTGAGCAATACCAGACCTTGGAGGATTGTGCTGAGTTCATCAAGCTAGCTGAAGAATTGAACATATCCGAGGCCAACAATCATCTGCTACACTTCCGAGAGATGTACTGTAGTGGAGTTGCATGGGAAGCCAAGGCAAAGGAGCTCATGTCCGTAGAGGCAGTTCACTACCAACAACTTGAAGCTCTTTCAGCCCAAGCAGCTCGGTTCCCAGTCTCACCGGATACACTTGCTGCGGTCGATGCAATCCTGACAAAGCAGCGTGAAGCTCAAAAGCAGATATCCAGCTTTTACGAAAAGAGCAAGTCGACTGACTTCCGAAAACGCCCACATTATCGCGACGTCCGCGATTTGATGGAATCGTTAGTACAACTGAATAGCAAGCCGAATGGTACCATTGATCTCGAGCGTGAACAGAAACGTCACGAAGACTGGATGAGAAAGGGGAAGAAATTATTTGGCAAAGCCAATGCCCCCTTACATATTCTTAAGATGCACATGCAGTATGTCCAAAAGAGAAATTCGTACTGCTTTGACCTTGAGGATCGGTTCCGGCCGCCAGTTGAACCCGCGTCACGAGAGGCTACTCCTGATGGCTCTGGAGAATCTCAATCATGGGCTGGGAGTCGGTCGAAGAAGAAAGACGTTTTCTGTATCTGCAGACAACAGGAATCTGGTTTAATGATAGAATGTGAGATCTGCCATGAATGGTGAGTGAATCATAAACTCCATATTACTACTTGTTTTTTTACTAACGCCAAATTAGGTATCATGGTAAATGTCTCAAGATTGCCCGTGGGAAAGTCAAGGAATATGACAGCTACACCTGTCCTATCTGCGACTGGCGTGTTAAAATACCTCGGGATGCCGCTCGACCAAAGCTTGAGGACTTACTTGAGTGGCAGTCAGAGCTTTCTGATCTTCCATTCCAGCCTGAGGAGGAGCAACTCTTGATGTCCATCATTGAGCAGGCGTCAGCATTCCGCGAATTCTTACGCCCCTTTACGAACCCGGCGTGCATGACGGCGGAAGAGGTTCCGACACAGATCTTCTACCTGCGCAAGATCGAGGGTGCAGAAGTTCTCCTCGCTTATGAAACAAACTACTTCCGTCAAGAAATTCACAAGTGGTCTCCTGTGGCGCCTGAACCTCCGCCGATTTTGGAGCAATCGTTATCCACACGCAAACCACGACCGACGAAACAACAGAAGATTATGGCTCAGCTCGGTATTGAAAAGCCAGAGGATATCCCCCTCCACCTTCGTACCAAACACCACATCTTCCCATCGAAGCGCAAGTCCACCGAACCTCAAAATGGGCGGCCTCCACCTCTACAACCAGCACCACCAAACCGATCAAATACCCCTGTTGATAACCCACGGTCAGTTTCAGTTGGTACCGATCAAGTGCCACCGACCTTGACCGCTACCCAACCTCCCCAAACCCCTGCCTCCTATCCATTCAGCCACCCGTTCCAGCTTTCATCCAGTGAACCAAACACAACCTTCGGAGGTGGCACTGGCCCCTTCCTAGCTCAAGGCAATGGCGATCAGTCACCCTCGTTCTCACCAGGCTCGCCCGCTGCTCGACACTCGGGTCTAGATCCTTCGTTCTTCAGCCCCCCAAGCTTCGAACGAAACCATCAGTTGCCTCAAGGCTCGGAATCCGAAAATATGAAAGGCACAACCGGTGTTGGCGTAGATGATGTGGACGCGAACAATCCGTTCGGAAGCAGCCCTCGTGCAAACATGGATGACCTCTTCGCCGACTTGACAAACCACGACACCGAAGCCGAGCATGTTGAAGAAATCAGTCACGCTAACGAAGCCTTAGAAGCGCTTAAAAGTGCTCAAGCATGTGGTTCTCGCACAGGTTCCATATCAGAAGCAGGAAATAACGGCACCAACGGAGACCCGGATCTCCACGAAAACGCCAGCCACGACGGTGATAACGAACATCAGAATGGTGGCGGCCTGGGGGAAGAATACCTAAGCTGAGTTTTCGTTAAATTTGCAAATTGTTTCTGTGCTTATGATTAATGCTTATCCCCTTTCTTTTCTACCTTTCTATCCTAGATTAATGCACGGTCTGTTTTTGTTTTTGCTGTTTATTCTTAGACGGTTGTCTCTGATGAGTTTTACCCTTTTTATATTTTTCGGAAAAGGCTCTCTCACATATACCGGAGGAATCAACAGGGAGTCGTCAAGGAGTCGAAACGGAAGGGAGATAGGTCGGCGTACCTACTATCATTATTCTTTTCTTTTCTTATGCGCTGCTGCTTTTCATCATACCTACGCTTTTGATTTATTTTCATCCTTATTTCTCGTTTCGCCGGATGGGTGGGGGGAGCATTAATGCATTAATGCTTTTTATTTTCATCCTGGCTAGGATTTGAGTCGTTATATTTGATCATCTCGTTGTGTTTACGTTGATTATTTTGCTTCCTATCCTTATATGCAGCTTGCTGTTGATTTTATATTAATATCATGTATCATTCCCATCAGCCGTCTTCATCGTTCATCTTTATGGTTCCCCTGCTCTTCTCACTCTTTGCCCTTTACTGCTTATCTGTATCCTATCTAACTGCGCCAGCTGTTGTAACAATATATGGATTATTCTTAATATTTACTATATATGCTGTCAATTTAGGGAAATCTACTTTATATACTAAAGCAACATCATAATCTTAGATCGTAATACAAGCTTTGCTAAATAATAGGGTCGCTTAGTCAGCATGACCTTACATAAGAGACAACATGACTTTTAAAAAAGCCCCTCGAAGTCTTCGTAGAAACTCCTCAGTTCTATCATATATATTGCGGGTGCGTATCCTGCATACCCGCCATAAACTCTTGAGTCCTGATGATTAAAGCTCCCACAGATTAGTATAATGAGGAGGAAAAGGACAAAAGTCATGTCCTTTAGCCCCACATTTAACCCAATATCTCGTCCGACTTCGACAATCCGATAGCTTCTACGGCTGAACGACCCCGCGATAACCCATCGGGAGCGCTCACGAGAAGATTGAGAACATTAGCTTCCCACAAGAGTTCGTTATGTAGTTATGGCTCCGCGCCTAAATCTACTGGTCTTTCAGCGTGCATAGTTGAAGATCCATCTCCTTTCGAGCCAATCGTTCACCTCAACCTTGGATAAAGTAAATACCTCTTAAGAAGGTAAGTTACTCTACTCCGTACTGATAATTTGTGATAAGATACTAATATTACCTTGTTCTTGGAGGAGTTGCTCGAGATACCCTTGTTATCCCCTCCCCATTAGTTATAGAGAATATTTAATAGTGCCAGAGATATCTGCCATTATCGCCGTGGGCCGTTACTCTTTAATAATATTTCGAGTTAGAGCTCTTTTATAACGTCTGAACGTACGAGAGGCTTGTGAAGACTTGTAGCGGGAGTACAATATATACGACGCTTATCAAGGTATGCGTTAAGAATACGCCGAAGAGGAAAGATGCTCTATACACAACAATCCTTCCATCCTTCCCGTGATGATATAAACTAACGTCTCTTCAGGCTCGCCGTCTAATTATTTTCATCAACGCAAGCCCACAGCGGAAGGCCAGGTTTCGACAGCTTCAGGTTCAACACACACATCTTCCGTCAGATGATAGAAACCCCTTCTTTAAAACAAGGTGTTAAATGTTGCGATATGAGGTTCCTGATTAGATCTATAGATCTAGATTGTGGCCAGCCATGACAGAGAAGGAGACCCAGTACCCGGTGTCCCAATTGGGACCGACCACTGTAAAGGAAAGGAAGTTCCTAATGGAACGATACCTGAAGGCAAAAGACGTCTGGAAGGTCATTGAGCATGCTACCAAGATCCGAAAGGAACAGAAGGTGGACGTAAAGACGGAAACTGATCTGTCAAAGTACGGGGACCCAACGATAGCCTGAAGGAGGTTATTGCGATATGAGGTTCCAGATTAGGTTAGCGCCTGCTTATAATGAGGCAAATACCTATAACCGATGATGAGATATATTGGAACGGCAAGATATCAACTCAACAAATAACGCAGCCGTTACATATATTTCACGGGATAAAAGTTCAGCTTATACGGCAAGACAGGCATAAAAAGGGTGTGCTCCGGACACCACCGCTACGATAGCGCCATCATCGCTGTACGCACAAATTTACTAGACGAAATATGCTGCTCGTAATTAACAACATCGAACGAATACATACAATATACTTAGGACGAGCAGGTGAAGTTGTTGGAAGTAGGAATGCTCTTCCTTACGGACGTGCAGAGAGGCCAGCAGCGGCAGGGCCAGGCCAATAGCCTGCTTAGGAGCATCCTACGGAACATCAAACTGTCGTTCCTACGATACCACCTAGGCGCTCTACACCTATTTCTCTGCCAAATTCGCCGGGGCCCGTCGGCTCGCAGACAGAAATATATATTCTAGCGACTCAACACTCGCCCGTATCGCCCGCAAAGGCCCCTCCGCTAAAGCGCCAACGCTTGCCGCCTATCGTTCCGCTTGATAGTCAGACCGGCGAGCCGCTATATAGTCAGCCTCTAATGCAGCCGATTTACTACGATAACGAGTAGCCAGCGGCCGCGAGCGATAACGAGCTGCAATTCGATAGCGAAGCAGGTGACGATGACGAGTGGTAGGCGCTGTATTACGCCCACCAGGGCAGCCAGGCAGGGCTTGCATTACAACGTAATGATGACTGAGGCAGATTACAATACCATTCGTTCGATGTTTTCAATTACGAGCAGCATATTTCGTCTAGTAAATTTGTGTGTGCATCGTAGCGGTGGTGTCCGGAGCCAGACCTCTCGTTACATTCCTGACCTATAAGTGCGGAGTCATCGCTGGCTAATCCTCCACTCCATGGCCTGAGATGTCTCATATCAGGAGGAGATAGGATCCCCTGCCGGGCAAATTATAGTAGGCCCAGAGACCACACACTCCCCGGGAACAACTACCGCGTCCGCAGTTGATGGTGTTGGTCAATATCATCCCTTCCAGAACGAAGTTGACTATGGCCTTGCCCAATTTTTTACCAACCAAGTCTTGCCAATATCTATATCAAATGCTGAACTTAGTCAGCAGCTAGGTCAGCTCACGTACTCTGCCCCTGATATATTCGGCAGAGACCTTCTCTATTAAAGAGGTTAGTTAATATATTTAAATTTCTTATCTTTGATAGATAGTGGAACTCGGCCCCTAATATGAAATCCAGCTAAGGATAGCTAAATTAGACCAACTTAGGTAGTGAACTCCTCATAGTCTTTGACTGCATAGGTGTATAATGAAGAATAATAATAATAATCGGCAAATACCTCATCCTTGCACTTAGGCTATTCAAGCTCAGGAATAGGAATATACGCATTCTACACCCGCACATGCTCTTACGATCAACCAACCAACCATCATTCGCTGTCGCTGCTTATATTTGACAATCTATAGCCGACGTATGAGATATATTAGAGGTTGCCTGTTACCGTCTCGGAATGAGGATATACCCCAGACCACACAGACCTCGACACTATAGAAAAATACGGACTTCCGATATATATAACACAGCCGAACGGATATTCCATGGGATAGAAATTCGGGCTTATATGGAAATACAGACATAAAAGGAATCCATACCCCATCATGCAAATAGGGAGACGTTGAGAGAATTGAAGCCATTCTTGAAATCTTCATTGTTCGTTGCACATCTGCTCTACAAGCGCAGAGTCCTTGATACTCAAGGAGCAAAAGACACCAATAAATGGGTTACGTATGTTGGAAGTACGTTTTGAAAATGCCTAATTGACGGCTTAATTCCTGTGGGCCTTGCTCAAAACGCTGGCAAACAATGGACACATTAACTACTCTATTTAAAATTAAAAACATGAATCTACCTATTGATACGTCCGAAGCACTCTATATGTTAACGCTTTTGTAGACAAGAACCCTCGATATCAATATGGATTGGAAGGTCTACATTCTAGGCCAGCGCTAAATAACGCGCCTAGCGCCAGAAACCTCCTAGCCGCATCGCCAAGACAAACTTCAGCCTTCCCCCTTTATGGACACAAAATATAGAGACTTTTATACGTAGACGACCCCGATGGCCACCTTTCTCTCAGTAACCACTGCAGCTATCTCTTAAGGGCTTACTTCAGCTCAGAATGGAATCGCTGCTGACTGCTAACGGTATCACCTTATACAAGAAACCATAACTGCGTCAATAAATACATGTCAAACATAACCAGTCTCTACGGGCTCGCCTTTTTGATCGAGTGGCAGATTCTGATAGTTATGAGCCCGACTATCGCTCATTGAATCGAAGAACGTAATGAGGAATGACCGATTTGAACATTCCGATACGCCAACTGTCGATTTGAAAACGCAGCACCAACATCAAATGTCATTCGTCTGATATCAATGAACAATGGCAAACCAATATACCAAAACCTCTACGGTGAGGATCACCGTGCTCAAAAGCGAACGGGACTGTCACCTTTGGTACGGAAGAATCAAAGCTCTAGCCCCGTCAATTGATCTGGGTCCTGGTGAACCCGGACACTCCACCCAAAAAGGTCGAGTACAAGGATGTAGATCCGAATACGACCACCATTTATAATTGACCAGGACCAGCTCGGCATACTGAGGTACCTAAAGGACGATTATAAAGAGCAACAAGCAAAACATTAAACAGAAAGGAATAACCTGTCGGCCTTCCGAATACACCTAATAACAACAGTTACCCACCCAGTCTTTAACCGGCTCCAAGCAGAGGACTCATTACACACGATAATGAAAGGCCTGAAGGAACGCCTCTGCCCAACAGACAAGCTCGGGGATATACGCATTCTATGCTCGCACATGCAATTACAGTAACCAACCAATCGTTATTCGCTATTGTTGCTCATATTTGACAATACAAGACATTCACACTAATCAGGTTTTACTCCTAGGCTCCCCTTGTTAGCGGGGCTGTGAGCCCCTACAGCCGCCTAGATTCTATGTCTACAACACTGTTAAAGACCATGTCAACAACCGCCTTCTACAGAGTCTTCACACGCAAGCCAACGTTAACCCCACACGTGACTAACCCCTCGCTCATATTCTTTTCCCAATTTTCTTGGAATATGTCAAGTAAACATCATCACCAACAGGAATCTACCAATGGATGGAGGAACCATGAATAAAAGCCGCCGGAGATGTGTTGGTTTACTCTCGTTTCTGAAGACAGCAGCCCAGTTTACGCAAGCTCCTTTTTCATCAGTTAAACCACAACCCACTTATGTTCTGGGCAACACTTCAGCAGATCTAGACTCAATCATTTCAGCAATTATATACTCTTATTTTGCAACTTCGGCACAGACCCAACATGGTCTTCAGTATATACCTGCCATAAACCTAGCAGATGTTCCTGCTGGGCGAGAATTGAGGAGGTTGCGACCAGAATTTACCGCTGCGTTAAACCTCGCTACACAAAGACCATTGGAAAATTTACAAACAAAAGGCACGGGAGGGTTAAAAGTTTTACCTGACGATGATAATACGGACAACTTACTCAATGAGAGTATTTTGACAGTGGCCGAACTAAGGCATAATTTACTTAGTTGGAAAAAGTTGGATGATAGGCAAGCACTGAAATTGAATGTTTTCATGGTGGATTGGAACGCATTACCGAAGGTTACACCTCATGAATTTGGAGTCCATGGACTTACAGACAGAATTGAAGGCGTTAGCGTGTCGGTCGTAGGCTGTATTGACCATCATGAGGACGAGGGCTTCATCTCCAAATATCTGACACCATGTTCGGGAACGGAAGCCTCATGCATTCAAACTGGGGTGGGAAGCTGTACGTCTCTGATTATACGCGAGTTACGAAACCGTGGCTGGTGGAATGATCACAGCTCACCAATGGTCGACGGCACTTCTAGTGATGTAGTAACTCCCGGAGGCATGGACGAATGTGAGGGCCCATTGGAATTCGAATCTCAAGCTGCACAGCTTGCATTAGCAGCCATTCTAGCGGATACTGCAAATATGACAATGGAAAGCAAAGTATCCGACGTGGATCGGGAAGCTGTGAAATTCTTAGAGAATAAGATCAAACAGTGCTCGTCTATTGCTTGGGATCGCGACATGTTTTACCATCGCATTATGGATGCCAAATCTTCCAGCGTGGATTACCTTACTGCCCAAGAGACTTTGGGGAGAGACTATAAGGAATGGGTAGAATCTGTTCGCCCAGGTCATAACGTCAAAATTGGAATATGTTCTGTTGTTAAGCCGGTATCCTGGCTTCTCGAGAAATGCAAGTCTGAAAACCCTCAAGAGGACTGTGACGAAGAAGCATTCTTCGACGTTCTGAGCTCATTTTCTCAAGCCAGGAATCTTGATGTTGCCGTCATCATGGCTGCTTTCTCATCACCCCGAGAAAACGAGTTCCAGCGTGAACTAGTATTCACTATTTTGAATGATGAACACCTTTCGAAGCTTAAAGAGTTTGAGGATGTTGCGGTTAACTACCTAAAACTTGAAAAGAGGCCCTTCAGCGAGACAAATAAAGATCTCCCGGAGATAGGGTTAAAAACACGGGTATGGCGACAGCTCGATGTTACGAAAAGTAGAAAACAAGTGGCTCCGTTGGTGCGCAAGGTGTTTACAGGACAGACTGATCAGGGGATACAAGTCTAAAGTATTCTTTTATATTAACATGCTCCTATAGAATTCTATTCAGACAGAAGACGAAAACATGCCGACGTCAATCGTTTAGAATGAATGAGCCGTAAAGCAAAGAAAAGAATGGAAAATGGCCCAGACGCTTTTTCTCAAAATAAAAAGAAATAAATCACAACGAATTTCATCAACCTCAATACGTTGTCCACAGATAAGCCGCCCCAATGATACATGATACCAACAGTGTGTGACTCAAAACAAATAATGCCAGAAATTAGAAACGCTCAAATACAAGAAGCTCCTTATTCAAACTCTAAACATAAACCGGGTATAGTTCATATGCACCAATCGCCGCATAACCGTCATTATAACATGAGGCAAGGACCTGAAAGCTAAAATAGAGGGCAAAAAGGGCCGGTAGAAGGCAGTATGAAGTCAGAATAGAAATGATATCAAAAGCACTCCCACTCGCCCCAGACGCACCATCTTGCGGTACGGTCAGCGAGGACAAGGCCTCTCCAAACGCCACGTTCGCTAACTTTGATAACTGTCTCCCAAACGCTCCCGTCTGGGGGACCATCGAATCCGGAATCCCCGCCGGAGCTTGTCGTAATCATATGGTCTGCTTTTCGACTAAGTCTCAAGATCTTCCCGGATGGAGTCTGTATAGCCAATTTTGCCGGCTTTTCTCGAGAGTTTTGCTGTTTATAATTGCTTGAAACCGTTGAAGAGGTGGTTGAAGCATTTGATATAGTAGCAACGGAGGACACCATGCTCAGCGCGCTGGATGGTCGTGCGAAAGGATTAGGGGAAAGCCGCCCGCTAGGCTCCTCGGTTTTGGAAGATGATGGAGGGGATGAAGCGTGCTGACGTACCGCAAAAACGAAAGTATTATTAATGGTAAGTCTCGCGCATTGGGGTTGTATGACGTATAAATCGTGTCTTTGAGCATGAGGAGTGGGATGACGAAGAACAAACTCGTAGGGAGGGTTTTCTCCCGTATGTGTGATTGGTAGAGCAAAAGCAAGAGCATGGGGTATATCCTTGACGGAATGCATAAGTCCTTTCTTCCCAGCGTAAACTTTGAGGACGCCTTGTCCCTCATCACCAGGGAGTGCTGCCTTGATAGTAAATCGTTTCTGGCCCTGCACCCAATCTGGTTGAGCAAGTGCGCGTTTTGTGACAATATCACCGCTCTCGAAACAATCTCCATCCGCATCCCGGGCAAAAGCAATGGCCTCCACCTCTGCAATGCACTCGACATCAGGTGGGACAAGAACCCGAACCTGTAACATTTCTAAATCCGTTAGCCGAACAAGGCTAGTGTCGTAGGTCGGCATATGAAGATTATTCTTGAAATAGGCAGGACAAGCACACGGTAGTGCAAGAAGGACATCAGGGCTAATCGGAGGGCATATATGCTGATGTTCAGGCGCAAGGGGTATGTGCGTGTAGCATATCTCCATTGGGCGAGCAAGGAAATACCACGTCTCCGCGGCCTGTGGATTGAAGCTTGAATAGAGAGCTCTTTGTGGATGAGTTGGGCTAGCAAGGGAGCAATCCATAACCCTCCACTCGCCATCAATGAGCACGTTGTTCCACCAGTGGTTGACGCGAGTATAGCTGTCCAATTCTAACTGTTCCCCAGGTGTTTTCAGGTACCCTTGGACAATCTCAGCATGCAGGCCAACTGCATCACACATCTCCATCACCAGAACGGCTACCTCTCGAGGGCTGCCTCGCTTCATTTGGATGACTCTCCGTACATCGACTTCCTCTTCGATTTCCTCATCCCAAACAATTTTCTCCGCAACCCACGTGAATATAGCTCGCAAACGTTGGACATCGCTCCGATGGGGTCGACAGACGAATCCTTGAGCTAAACTTGCCGGGCTTGTCGTTGGAGGCAAACTGTTGATAAATCGGGAGCTCTTATCCACAAGCTGCAGATTGACTGCTGCCCAATTGGTGGGCTCCGTTACTGGTAGCCCATCGAGACCTTCATCACCTTCAGCACATTCATACAATTCTTCGACGGCGTATATAACGGGGTAATCCATCATCTGGCAACGCTCAGCTCTCTCCACCAACTCGTTCCGGCTGGGGGAAGTCGCGCGATTAACATCTCTTCGCACTTGTACCCAGTCATTAGTTCCTAGGCCAGTATCGGCGTCCTTATTCTCCTTTGGTGGCGAGAAGCTTGCTAAACTGCCCGAAAGGAGCCCTTTAGTTGGAGATAACGAGCGGTTATGCTGAGCCGTTGCAATGCTACTTCGTGCTGTGGCAGCTCCTGTTTTCGCAGATTCGATCATCTTTTTTAAGAATCCGGTCTTCTTCGACTTGGGGGTTGTAAGGCCCCCAAATATGCCAGGCGACTCCCCATGTTTGTTGTATTCTGTCCATCCGACAGCAGAAGTCGCCCCTTGTCTAGAGTCATCTTGAGGCAGATGAGGATAACTCCCAGATTGCGGTGCCATGGGGGTGTAAGGCCTCTGTTCACTAGCGACACCGTCACCAAAACCAGTAAACCCCCCTGACCTGGTACCATCAAAGGATCTAAACATTCCGTGTCGCAATGGCGATGTTTGATGATTGCGCTTTGCAAAACTACCAGCACTGGTAGCACTAAATCCTCCTGCAGACGTACCACTCATGAGACTTGATTGGGTAAAGTTAGTGCTCGTGGTGCTGTTTGTGGTATTGCTCTGAACTCCGGAGGATGAATTCGTGGCAATGGATCGCGTGGTAAATGTCCGTCCCAGGGCATCACGTCCCATGTCATAAGTAGAGCCGCGCGGTCTTGTCAATATTTGCTGTGAAGGCGAATAATTATACTCTCCTCGTCTTGGGGGAGGCGGAGGGGGGTTGTCATCATCCTCGATAAGCATGGGATTTCCTCTGTCAGAGCCTTCTTCTTGGCTATGCAGCTGCCTCAAGCGAGACTCCATTCGTTGAACATAGTTGCCAAGCTGAGGAGGACCGTCTTGGAAGCGGTCATGGAAGCTCTCTGATGATTTATGGGAGAAGTGGCTACCACGACGACTGAACTGGCTGTTCCCTAGCCCCAACGAAGTAGAAGGCCGGCCGCTGAATTGGTTCTGGGGATTCCGTAGATCATCGAACGCAGCCGGCGACCAAGGATTGAATGGGGAATGGGCCCGTTGTGGTTCCGATGAGTGCGGGTCGTGTGGCATCCCCATTCCCTGTAAGGAAGACATTACATCTTCCATGGCATCTCGCAGCGGAGAAGGGGTATGGCGGTGGTGAGCTCCTGGTGAGGGTGGATAAGGGGAGGGGGTTCTGGAGGCCTCCCTGTAGTCATAGTTTGCTTGTTGATAATGGTCACGCATAGGAGATGCAGGACGCACATAGGATGGCTGCCTTCGAACTGCAATTCTATGTGGCGGAGGGGGGGGCGGAGGAGGTGAGGCTTCTGGTTCAACCTCACGAGACTCAGCAGCCATCGTCATAGGCGGTGGATGTGCAGGTATTAGCGCAAGCTGTGGCGTAGGCTGCCGTTTTAACTGCGGAGTAGGCTCCCTCTGAGGCTCTGGTGTGGGCTGTCTTTCAGGTTGGGATGCCGCGTGCCGCATGGGTAGGGGGGTAGGTTGCCGTGCTGGTGGTGTAGGAGAGGCCGCTCGCGGCTGAACGCGAGACGTAGATTTGCGTCGAGGAGTCCTATTGACGACGGACTTGCGTCCTCGTGGAACTGGTTCAGGCACAGTCGGTGCATCCGTCTCCTTTTCGGCATTCTTCTTCGCCAGCTCAGCAGACGGCCCCAGGACATGTTTGTACCCTTGGAACGGTTTCCGGAAGATTGTCTTCTCCTTCTTGGGCGCATACAGCGGAGCTTTGGAAGGGCTATCCTTCACCGGCGGCAGTGGGCTCACGGAGCGTGTAGCCGGCACAAAATCATCTTCTAGTACCTTGACGAAGTTCGAGGGAAACACGCCAACCATGCGCCTGTCGCGCCGTAATCGACCAGTCCACCATGACCCGTCTCCGGCGTTAAGACATTCGATAAGATCGCCTTCAATAAACCCCAAGTCCTGTTTTGTTTCACCCCCCCAGGAGTATACCGCTCGACACCAGCAGGGGAATTTGGTCGGCAGCTGCGATGCCTGCGGCGCCATTCCACTGGCGATTCAAGCAGGAAAAAAGGAAAGAAAAAAAAAGGGCAGCTCCAGCCCGGTAGAGCGTGTGGAATAATAGTCGAGAATCCCCCAAAAAAAGTGCCCTAAGCCATAAGAATAGAACAGCCGGACGGGGGGAATGTAGATAGTGATCGTGTTTTCCGGTCCAGCTGTCTCGTAAACATGCAAAGAGCGGTGAGATTGTTGAGATCTAGCGAGCGTAGATGGTGAAAAAGAACGCTATCCAGCGCCAACGAAAGACACAGCCTCCCTCAGGAGCAACAAGAGAATGTAGATGGCGGCACAGAATCTCTCAACCCGCAAGTTGTTGTTTGCTCGTTCGTCTTCGTCTTTGCGATGTTTCTTTTTTGCGACTTTTCCTTGCTTGTTGAGGCGGCTCGAGGTCACGGGGGCAACGCGGCTGTTTGTCATGTTTACATTTTGCCTCTTCGGGACTAGCGCCATCTTATCGATAAAGCTCGAGCTTTTTTTTTTTTTCGTTTATCAAAAAAGATAAAAAATAAGCAGATGAAGATTTCGATCTCTGGCGAATCTCGATCTATATTAACTAGTCAGCTATCGATAAATATTCCCTGATAAGAAGAGCTTTGCTTAAGGCTGACCCCGACACAGGGATGGAGACAAACTCAGATCCCTTGACAGGGCTGTCGCATGACCGGTGCGTCGTCGACAATGAGGGAGGGCGGCTATGATGCCAGGCCACGGACGGAGTTTCTATTTATTCCATGCGTCTTCTTTGACGACTGACTATAAAGAACCAGAGGTCTTGCTTTAGATGAGCTCCATCGATCGGTTTTTATGCCGTGTTGTACATACTGCTAGGCTCTTTGACGCCGCACACGGTGCAGAAAGTTACAAGGATAAAACACTATTGCAAGGGCAGGTCGACCATCTATCGAATATATCAGTTTACATACTATAGGGGCCCCAAGGATGTGGTAAGTGAGACACCACACGATCGGATTCAACGGCTGCTCTTTTGAGTGGCTAGCTAGCGGTAGCACAGTCACATCCTCCATATAAGTTCCAAGAGCAACTCAGCACGGAGTGTGGCATTCACCACCACTCACTCTGACCAGTCATGTTGGACAAAGAAAACATATTTCGAAGCGGTCGGCCAGCCACCCTTGCTTGCATACATATAGTACGAAATAGCAGGGCCAAGACGTACTGCGGGGAAACGGCTTTTTATATAAGAAAGAAACCGGTACGCGCGATTCGAGTACGCCCTATTCGTCGATAATTGATTCTCGGCGGAGATACCGTCCATGCATGGTGCCGTCACTGCAGGGAGAGCATAATTCAAATGTCGCCAAGTTAGGCAATGAATAGCTAACTTCTGTCCATGCGATCTTGTTGAGCAGTTTCAAAGAAATCTTGCTTGACTTCTGTTCCAAAAGTCGCAATGACTGCCAATCTTCAAAAGTCTGGCTGGCCGAGACACACCCAGACTTTATAGACAACAGCGCCTTCGGTTTTCTATAAACCAACAAAGAGAAAAAAAGAAAAATTGCAGCTGAGAATGGCATTTGCAGCCATGAAGCATAAGTATAAATCGCACAACATGTGACGGTATCGTGCAGGGAAACGCGATTCTATACCCCCCTGAATCTCTATATGATATCCATATCCAAGTATAGCCGGCACGATATATAACATATCTCTTCTCTCATCTCTTGGTGCGGATCATGCTCTCACGCCCGAATTCGTATTATTCAATATTGGCTATCCGCCGGTCACACACGGAGGTCCATCTATCCTCTTGGACAGTATTTCTTTTTGCCTCCAACGGAAACCCTGATATCACCAGCTTCCCTACGTGGGGGCGTCTGAGAAATTGTACCGAAATGTGTCAAGTGCAGGCATTGGGCGGCACCATCCTAAGCTTCCCGAGATAATCCAGCCTGTCTGGTTTTGAATCCGTGCATAGCTGTAGCTTTATAGTCCTTGTTCCCCCCCTCGTAATCAGAGGGCTTCGTTCTCCTTTGTCCAAATATCTTATAAGCAGATATCTTCCCTCGTTACTTTTCTATCTCAACCAAACTCGTCAAGACACCCACACTCTATCTACTAAACACAATGGGCCCTCTACCATCCATTTTTTCCTCCGAATCGAATGATTCATGGAGGAAGTCTCTTGTTGCTACCTTGGGTGAATTTGTTGGAACCTTCATGTTTCTCTTCTTTTCCTATGCAGGATGCCAAATCGCGAATATGTCGGTAGACCCTTACGACTCTGGAACGGAACCTAATCCCGTTGTTCTGATCTATATATCGTTTTCCTTTGCTGCTTCTCTCGCTATCAATGTCTGGGTATTCTACAGAATCACGGGGGGGATGTTCAACCCGGCGGTATGGTTTGATATCACCATTATCTCTCGCTCTTATCACGTCATGTTGGACGGTTAATTTATACCTCTTGATATAGGTCACCTTGGCCCTTGCATTAGTCGGAGCTATCAGCCCTGTCCGAGCCGGAATGGTGGCAATTGCCCAGATTGTTGGGGGAATTGCTGCTGCAGGAGTCGTCTCTGCCCTCTTCCCAGGGCCTCTAGTCGTCCAAACCAAGCTTGGTGGAGGGACTACAATCGTCCAGGGATTGTTCATTGAGATGTTCCTGACTGCCGAACTCGTCATCACAATCCTCATGCTAGCGTTTGTCAAGCATCGTGCGACCTTCCTTGCTCCGCTAGGTGTTGGCCTTGCTCTTTTCATTGCAGAGCTCAGCGGTAAGACTATTAATTTCCTTCCCTTGTCGCCCAACAATTTGTTGTCAAGCCCCTATTGATATCTTCGATCGTTCATTTAGGCGTCTATTTCACCGGCGGATCCCTTAACCCCGCCCGTTCCTTCGGTCCAGATGTCATTGCGGGAGCATTCCCTGGATACCATTGGATTTACTGGGTAGGACCATTGCTTGGTTCCCTGCTGGCAACTGCATTTTATCAAGGCCTCAATTTCCTACGATACCAGACCGTTAACCCTGGTCAGGATTTCGACGGTATTGGATCAGAGCTTATGGGAAATCCTGAGAGAGATGACTAGATTTGCAAGCGCCTATTTGGCCCAGAGGTCTACTGACTGTCGGCAAAAGTCTTATTATCATTTTTGGTGGATAACCCAGGCCGTATGTTGCTTTTTACTGTCTTTCGTCAACCTAAAGTGGTTTTAATACCTAATACTTTGTTATGTCAAATAGGGCACTGATCAAATGGGTATGTGTTCCAACATTTTAAGAAATTTTACAAGCCAATGAGTATATGCCGTTTTGAAAGCCCCTTATCCTATGTGTCACACCCCTCTAAGCACCAAGGAGCTCTATTGGCGGTATGACTACGAAATGTGAGCAGAAAATCAAAAGGAGAGTAATAAACAATAAATAAACGAATGACCAGGCAATATTGACACGAAGCTCTGTATGACACCCGGGTTTATCAAACAGAAATCATAGAAAAGAAAACATAAGAGACAAGTGGGAAAACAACAATATCAACAGCAACAGCAAAACAAATATGAAAATTTAAGTTACCACGAAAACTGAAGGATTATTTAACCCCCATTTCAGAATTCATTCTTCCAGCTAATTGCCGCTGCCATACGAATATAGCATGCTTAGGCCGTGTTCTACCATCGTTGGATTGCCGTGGATCATCCATACATTTCCCAAGGGTCTCAGACCAAGAATTATGCACCGTGCTATATTTCAGCCCGGAATTTGAGAGCACTTCCCCGAACAGCCGAGCCGATATTGTTAGGCCCGGGACTAGACGGCCGACTAGCACCGTACTTTGGACTCCGGGGTTGCATGCTAGTGGCCCGTGTGGAAGGGCGGTTCTTTTTCATTTCGCGAATTTCCTCTTCCTTCCTTGTCAGGAGGGCCTCCCTTGTCGCAAGTAGGGCCTCCAATTCTTTGATGCGGGCTAGTTGCATTTCTCCATCTTTTTTCATCTTAAGCTCTTTGAGCCTGACGGCTTCGCCGTTTGCTTTCTTTTCCAGATCCTGGACTCTTTCATCCAATCGACGGGCTTCCATCGCTGATTGTGCGGCCGATGTAGAGGCAGTTTGGTATTGTTGTCGGGTATATTCAGTTTGCGAACGTTCCTGTTGGACGGTCCGCTCAAGGCTAGCTATTGTCTTTTCGAGCCTTCTGACATCCTCCCGAGATTTCTCTAGATCTGCTTCTAGTCCACCTCCAGATTTGATAGTGTTTCTCGCCGCCTCTAGCTCCGCAACTAACCCGGCATTTCGATCCTTTAGCCTCGATATTTCTTCTTTCTGACGCTCAAGCCTTGCCTGGGATTTTTTCGCAGACTCTCGTTCCACATCAAGTTCATGCCTAGTTTGATGTAATAGGTTATGTTTTGCTTCATAACGGTATTGGAGACTACCAATGCTTGCTTCAAGTTCATTTACTTTAGCTTTGGTGCTCGTTAGAATATGACGAAGGTTTTCGATATCAACTGTTGTGGCGGGCGACGTCCAATGAGATTGTGTTGCTAAGGTATCTACAACATTCTGTGTCTGTGTTTGGTCTTTCATTGAGTCGCTAATGTGAGTGATATCGTGAGTGGGAGTGATTCTCTGGCGTTTTGATGGATTGGTGCTATCGCCCATCTCGCCATCCTAAATAAATATGAGTTAAAAATCGCTTTGTATTCTGCAAAGTGACAGAAGGATAACAAACTTACCAGCCATCTTTTTTGCCGTGAGGCATTGGTCGAAGATGTTGGATCAAGCTCAGAGATCAGGCCTTCATCTTGCTGCCCCTCTATCTCCAAAGCCTCCATCAATGGAAGCTTCCAAGTTCTTGTAGCAGGGTTTTCCATGATGTAGAGTAACGTTTCTTCGGCGTTTTCTTGAACACCAAGGGCATCATCCTGTAGTTCACCAGCGGCATCATTGCAGGCTAGGGTGTGTTGTACCAATAAGCGAAGGCTAGTTAGTTCAGTGCACATGGGAAGGCAAATCTTAACATGCTCAACGGTATTAGCGATAATTAAACGAACAACTGGAATGAGCACGCTGAAATCTGATCGAATCCTCAGCTTCTTAACAGGTTCAAAATTGGCGTCAAATGAGCTATCCAAGGCTATAATGAGGGCCGGTGGTTTGGAGGGTGGGATTTCTCGTTCGTCAGCAGTCGAGCGTACTTCAAAGCTGATTCCCTCTTTGCTGAAAACCGCGGGAGAATCACCATCTCCACCTTCCGGCGGAGAATGTTGGATAAACTGCTTTCCCATCAAGTAGCGTTTAACCACATCAACTGTTCTCCCTGGTTTAACCATTATGATTATATGCAACTCAAGTTCCTTAGACGCATCAATAAAATAGCCAAGGTATTGGAATTTCGAGCTTGAGTACTCAGCCCAAAGAGCTTCTTTTGCGGTATCTGGAGAATCTCCAGCAGCCTGACTTCCTATATTTATATCCGGATGTGTTGTAATATTGTCAAGTTTCTCAACCATTGTTGTCATCTTTATAAAAAGAGTTTGAGCCTGGGAAACAAAAATTGTTAGGAGGTATGAAGCAAGATAACCTAACGAGATGAACTTACATCTCCTTCCGAAAGCACCATTTCACTCGATTGCGGTGATACTTCCAAAAATTTCTCAACATATTTGTTCTCACTTGCTAGTGTGTTATCATATTCGTCCTTCACCCGACAGTCCATGGAAAGCGGAATGGCAAATTCCATTTCACTGAGATCCAAAACATTGACTTCTTGATCCAATGCATCGGGTTCTTGCTCTTGAGTGCTGGATACATCAAATTCAGTAGCCTCAGCTTGAATACTCGGCTCTACAGTGGCAGGTGCAGGCGTGATTTGCTCGACGTTGTAATGTAAAGCTTGGGGAGCAACAAATGGAACCGGCGTCGGACTATGTTTCCCACCCTCAATGATGCTTGTAGTGCCCTTTTCTAGCTGTGCATTAAGGGGTGAGACAATGTTTGATGCATTCGGTGGTGCCGATGCGTTGATATCTTCAGCAGAAGAGGGGGTAGTGCTTTGAGTAAGGCTATTGAGTGGCTTTCGGAGAACACGATCAGTATCCCACAGTTGCTTCATCCTTTCAGAAACACTAGTTCCTCGAGTATGGTGTTCTGCCTCTTCGACAATCGCTGAAATTTGCGGAGGATGATTATTCGATGCCGAGCTATTCATGGTAACAAAAGAAGATGAATGGAGTTGCGGCGGTACAGATAAACGATTAAAACAAGGCGGATAGTCTATACTGCAGCTTTTCGGTAATACTTCGCTGGCCGTCCTCTGAAGGGCACGTCTTTTCCTGGTCAAATGCCCGCTTTTGTTCAAACTAGGGCTGGAAATAGCTTGCGGAGATTCTTCAATAAAAGAACGAGATACTGTTGGTTTAAGATAGCTGCGCCAACCCTCAGCACTCCGGTATTCTGATTTAGGAATGGACTCGCAAAATCCAGTCCCAGCAGTAGACTTGGGAAATGGCGTCTGAAACTCTAAACATTAGAAGAGTTAATACAACTACTTATTCCGAAACGGCGTAAGTAAACTAGCTTACCAGAAGCACTTTGGATATTGAACCTGTGGCCAGTTGGACTATTTATCCCCAAATTTTGTTCGCTTACTTGGTCAGATGACCTATCCTCCAATCTCTCTTCGAAGAATAGCCGGGAAGGCGGAGTTTCAGGTACTTCGTGAGTAAACGACCGAGAGCGAGGTTTCCCTTGGCTTTGTTGGTTTTTTAGAGGAGTAGGATGAGCGCTCTTGCTGGTATTAGAAGCAAATGAAGCCTGAGATGGGTATATTGAGAGCTCGAGGTGTTCCTCCCCGCCCAGATGGAGGTACTGCCGATAAGATGGGTTTGCAAATTTTAATGCTCTTTCACGCAAGGTGTATGAACTTGCAGTTGATTCAAGTACCCAGGTATCAGCAGTGGAGTCAGGTATACTGCAATCCTGACTATATTGATGGGAACTTCTAGGTGTTGTAGAGTTATACAATGTTTGATTCTCAGCTGATGGTATATATGAGCTCCCACTTGCACAGCCAGAAGCAGAGATCTGAGACCTTTGGGAGCTTGTCCCAGGACAAAAGATGCTCCCACTTAATGAAGTCCTTTGAGATAAAGAATTGATACAAGAATATGGGTTGGAAGATGAAAGCTGCTGGGACTCGATGCTCTGCTGGCTGGATGTGACAGGTGATGCAGAAGATAGCAAAGCCAGTGGTTTGCAATAAGCTTGACAAGAGCGCTTAGGTCTTTGCTCTTGGTACTGTTTTGCAGATATAGATCTCTTCTGCTTTTCAAGTTCCCAAGCCTGTACAGCAGCGTAATTAGCGCAGCTCTTAGGCTCCTATAGAAGTTATGTTCAGTATTATAGAAAGTGAGTCTGATAGAGCTGAAAACACGAAACAAACATGAACAATTCATAGACAATACGTCAACATATATATCTTTGCATCGCACGGGTAGTCCATCAAAGGCACACACTCACCCAAGTCGGTTCAAAGGGGCCCTCCCACGCGATCAAATATTTACCACCAGACTCGTCAAGTATAAATTTGATTGGGTATTCCTGGCTGCTGTATACAGCTTCTTCCCTAGGCGATTGAGGAGCGGAGTTGTTCCCTGGAGACTTGCTGTCTGCAGTGCGACTGTCCAATGATTGTAAACTCGATGAAGTAGTACCTTTGGATCGGGAGCCCATCTTAGACTGGTGAAGAGTAGGAGTGTGCCATTTTCAGATGAATAGATAAAAGGCAACTCAAGGTCTATGGATAAAAGGAGAGCTACCAGTAACTCTGTGAGCCTATGGTATTGCACAAAAGAATCCTGGTGTTGGATGCGATAATGTTATGCATTCGGTTCTCTATGTTCATTTCGGGAGTTCTTAACTTAGCTAGTTTGTCACGTGGCATTCCTTACTTAATATTAGTTATGCGCTTAAACTTAACGGAAACTAATAATGATGATGATGATATTACTCCGTACTAGCAGTTTAACTAGTTAGTTCTTAAGCATCCGGTCGTTTCATACTTGGTTTAAGAATTTGCAAGCGGTTATGGGCAGAAAAGTGGCAAAGTATGTTCAACTGCTCTATCCTTGAGAATGGATTAAGAACCCAGCCGGTGCTCCGATCCTTTAATCTATGTAGTTAGACACTCTATGGATGTCCTTGAAGAGGCGACACCCATCGAGTTAACTATATCACATTTGCTTTGAATGTTGCTGTTAGAAGAGGAGTTGGGTTAATTCTTCTCCTGAGCTGCTTTTGATGCCTCGAAATCGAAACCAAGGTCTTCGAGTGTTAGACACGATTCTCTCTTTTCTCCTAGCGCAGCGTATTCTCTTTTTATCGAGGTGAATTTTGATCTTATCCATCTTTCCTTCTCACCCCATCTTATTCCCCATTTTCCATTCCCGCCGTTAGCCAGTCCTGGCCTTGGCTTCGCGCTTGCCACCCAATCGTGCATTTCATTGAGATAGTCAGCGTCAAGCGGATAAACTAAGGCATGGAAGCTCTTCCCCGAGCCTCGAGCCTCAATATTGGAGTTTTCCCATTCATACATCTCCTTTTTCGAAGGTAGGTTCAGCCTCCCAGACCATACCCGCGCAAATGCGGCACATTGATTTTCTGCCTGTATGAAGGGAATAACTTTCTGGTGTAATCCTGGAAACACAAGGGTCGGCTGTTCGATGTAAAACAGATGTTGGTAAACATGCAACGTCCTACCTCCATCGGTAACAACGGGGGATTCAAGACCTGAAAGAAAGGGGAATGAGTAGAGATATCCAGTACAGAAAAGGACAACATCGACGTCCTCTTCGATTTCACCGTTGGAGAACCGGATAGCTCGATTACGAGTCTTGGGTGACAGGAACTCCGCTATAGGCGGATACTCCTTGCGATCTGGCGCAGCACCTGGTAAAAAGTAAGACTCGGATTTAATCGACGAAATGAGAGGCTGTTGACAGACTTTGTTAATCTGTGCTCCAATGTCCAGACCTGAAGCAGAATTCCCGACAATAACAACCTTCTTGTTCCTATAGGGCGCAGAATCGAAATATAGTTTTGAGTGGATTATCCCTTGAGGATATGCTTCCTGCCATGCTGATATTCCAGGAACTGAAGGTATGTATGGTACATTGTAGTGGCCATTTGCAATTACAACTGCGTCATAAACATCAGTTTGCAATACTCCACTAACTAGATCTTTCCTGGTAACCGCCCAAGTCCCAAGGTTTTTATCTCCCGGCCTAATATCCAAAACTTGAACTTGGAACTGGATGAGATGTTCGATATCCAGGCTATATTCTTCCAAATACTTGCGGACAGTTTCAAACTTTGGGAACAGTTGAGTCCGGTCAGGAAATGATAAATCAGAAAATTGCATCAGTCCATGTGGTATGTTTGTTTCCAGCCCATCGTACAGTGGCGAGAGAAATATTGCTTCCTTTTTAGACGACTGTGAATCTTTGGAATGCCAGAATGGGTTTTCTGGAGGAATATTCGGATCCTCTGATGGAATAGAGGTCGCGGCCTGGCCCTTATCTTCCGCTGGTGTCAAGTTCCATACACCACCGACACGACTTCTTTGCTCAAAGATGTCAATCTGCTCAAAACACTGTTCCGCAAGAAGATATCTACATCGGGTGTTAATACAGTATATTAGTGTATTTTGAGACAAAGTCGTACTTAGCTGCAACCAAACCACAGGCTCCTGCTCCAATAATGGCAACTCTCCTAACTGGTGGGGTTATCCTTGTCATTCTCGTGGTTCTCCTACTGTTGAACAAGCAAAGGGATTACTAGCAATATAGGACTACAGATAATTCTACTTACTCCAAAGATAATATGGAGTAATAGACACACGGTAAATAGCCCTACAGCTAATATAGATGTAAATGTACAGAGCAGAAAGCATTCGCGCCAACCCCTCTTAAGAGGAAAATCTTATGCAGGGAATCTACATTAGCCAATCAGCATTTATTAAACAGCTACCTAATTAATTGACCTATCGGTAATCATATTATTCCGATATTTGCCGCAAACGCCCTCAAACAGTATGTCCATAATTCATTGGTCATATACAATAATTTCTTGTAATTTTACGAAACATATTGTATATATATTAATAAGCAAGCCTTAGTCTTATTTAGGACATTCAAATGCAAAAGCTGGAGCTTAAACCACATGACAGCACTATACTCCATCCAAGGATGATTAGTAAGTATAACATCGTCACGGGCAAGCACGGACGTCAACGCGGCTGTGGAAATTCATTTGGAGTTATGAATGATTGTAGTGAAGTATAGCTTTTATATTTATATTCATGATACCGAGACGTTTGCCCGGTATCTATGGCGCATAGGGCAGTATGGATGACAAACCCACGACGAGCCACTTTGCAAGTCTTGCGGTGACCCCGATCGCAGCCCTCTTCCCTGGTATTGATTCTCCTGAAGAGTGGTATCTCCATGCGGTGGTAACTCTTCTCTGGCCCTTTTCATCGGCTACGAAGCAGTTTAGCCTACATTTATCGGAACCGGATTCCCGCCTACGAGGCGGTAAGGGCCAAATAAAGGCAGTATTCCGTGAGGGTGCAGCCGAAGCTGTTGCGAAGTCCAGTATTGGGATTGGAGATACGGTTTTTCTAAGCTTACAGGGGGCTAAATGGAAAAGCAGTAACCATGCCGAGTCAAATCAGTTGGACTATACGCAATGGGATTTGTTATTTGATGACCAGGTCCTTCTCGAGGTATGTATAAATCACGCTGGAAGGGTAAACTTCGTTTCTAAAACCTACATAGGCGCAGCGTAATTCTATACCCTTGAGTATAGTGAACCTGAAGGCTGCTTCATATGGGCAAGCAAATAAAGGGTCTGCAGACCTACCGGCCACACCAAAGAGATTGTCTACTGGAATCTCGAGCCCGATATCTATATCAAATCGGAGCTGGGTGTCGCCGGCGTTCTTGCGAATCTCAAACGCACCATTTAGCTCTCCACTGCTCGATAGCCACATTGAAGAAGATGGATACGTGCCGGGAAAAGGAAGAAAGAGAACAAAATTCAGTCGACCCAGCAGTGATTGGGTGTTCGTGGACTCCGCACCCAGTCCTACGAAAGATGGGGATATATGGGAAGACGAGAACCTGGAGACTGATAATGAGGAGATGGTCGAACAAGTCATTATTGATCAACATTCCCCATTCGGCCCGCCATCCGAAAGTCTACCACCTACTGAGGAAAATACAAATACCCACGAACCTGTAAACCAAGACTTTGTGCGAATACATGGATCTAATAGCAGCTCAACCGTCCCACCGATTTCAAAAACTCCAGAGATAGCTCAAGATATACCGAAGGACATTGGTCCTCAACCGGTTGCGATTCATCAGGAAATTATCAGAGAGCAACAACGCTTGTCCCCAAAGCTACTGGGTATAGAGACTCCTCGGCTTCACCCAGTTGCTTCCCCAAGTATTCCAGCTATCTCTCCACTTGGCACATCAATTGGGGCTTCAACTGATAAGTCCATGACACCTGCTGATTCAACGGACATGGCGCTTCCACTCGTTATTAGCCCGTCCATACATGCGACTACCGAGCTAGATGTGCATAGTGAGAGGGACCAGGGAGCTATTTTAAAGTCTAGAGCATCCGAACCTTTACTCAACCAAGAATGCAAGGCATCTTTTGACCACCCCACGGATATATTAGTCGAACCTGAATCGTATTCTGGGGACTTAGAGGAATCTACACCTACGGAAACCAACGGTCTCCCAGAGAGCACTGCAAAGGAGACAACACCACTGCACAAAGATCTGGAACGTGTTGAGACAGAAAATTTTGAAGTACTATCCACCTATAGCGATGCTTCATCTAATGTAGGCCTAGGGAATGATGATGGGGCCACAGCGACATCGGTTAAATCATTGGGGGCCACATCCGAGGAACACGAAAGCGATCAAAGATCCAGTGTCCATTCTCCTCCCAGTGCCAGCGATGTAGAAGAATTTCTATCACCAAAACCTAACTACCGGCACTCTGTCTCTTCAGACGGTGATAGCTCGGATGATGAAGCAAGTAAACGCTCTTCTCCGATGGATGCAGACACAGAGACAGCTGAGCGAGAAGTTTTTGTGATATCCGATAATGAGTCAGACGCCTACGGGTCAGAAGCCGAGAGCGTAACTCAGAATTTACCTTCTTCTGCTGTGGGTAGCAACGGAACTTCCATGCATAGTCGGTCACCCTCTCTTGAGAAATCAACAATTAACGAGTTCGTTAAAGATACTACCGGCAGCAGTATAGTAGAAAGCCGGGCTTCTAGTGCCTCACCTAGCATCAATTTTGAGGATGAACCTCCCCTTTCGGATGCGGGCGCACTGGATAATGCGGCGCAATCACCAACAGAAAATCAAACTGCTCCTGTGACCATTAATAGCCTTGTACCGTTTGGTAATGATATTCGCCAGCCTACGGAATCTGGTTTCTCTCAACCTGGCCTTCATCAATACCTATGTGATGCAATATGCAATCCCAATGATTCTCATATTCATACAGACTTTGCTGTTAATGAGACTAATCCTATGGATTCTCGTGGAGAAGAGCTCATTTCAAGTTTTCTAGCACCACAGCCAACTGATTTCATAACTCCAGAAAATACACAGGACTCTTGGGCGCCGTCTGGCCCTCGTCCTCAAAACCCATCACTTCCAATTCATCTGGAGGCCATTATACCCACACCTCAACATTCACAAACTACGGAACTTCCCTTTACTGCCTCTTTTGCCGAAAGCCATCCATACACTATAGTCTCTTCCCCCTCTAGCTCCATTCCAAGCCATCCTAACATATCAACTTCTGCCCCTACGGAAGTAGATAATGCAAAGATGATACGTGTTGGAGTCCAAAAAGGCGAAGCAACGGATGATTCTGCCAAAGAAGCGCCTGAGACAGTCCATCATAGCTCTCCGAGCGAAAACGCCTCTATTGAACCTGAAATTGTATTAAACGTTGACACAGAAATTTTCGGGTTGCGCACAAAATTTTCGTATTATTGCCCACTCTCACGCCTTATCGAGAACTTCAATCAGTCAGTTGACTGTATCGCTATTGTTGTTGAAATCACCCCTATCAACCGTACAGCTAAAGGTACCAAAGAATACTATGTTACTCTCAGATTGACTGACGAATCATCTGGAGGGTCAACTACGACGGCGCAGATATTTCATAAGAAAAAAGATGCCCTTCCAATGCCTGCCGAAGGAGATGTGATTCTGCTACGAAATTTCCGAGTTCAGAGTTTAAACCATAGGATGGTATTAAACAATATGGAGAACAGTGCATGGGCATTCTTTCCCCAGGAAAGTGTGGGTGACGTGCGAATCGATGATGCCCCTGTTGAGTTTGGTTCTGAGGAACAGAACTTTGTCACGCATCTTAGGGAGTGGTATGGACAAGAGGGAGCCGACTTAGTTGCAAGGAATATTTCTCGAGATAGTCAACAGGAAAGCATTGATGTCAGCAGCAGATCGACAAGCGAGGCTGGCAGCCAACTACGGAATATCATTAAAAAGCGTCGGCGAGAGTCACGAATTACATACCACGAGCTAAGGGATGGAAAACGCTATGCGGATGTTGGATCTCCTTCCGACACTGAGACCATCCATGAGTTACGGAATGGAACCTTATATGCTCATCCGGGCTAGGTGTAGAATTTGGATACCGGTCTAGCAACAGGATTTACACCTTTGGATACTTAATTTTGGATTAATTGCAATGACTAGCAGCCAGCAGCTGATTGAAAGAGTCACACTTAGTTTGCAAAAACCTCAATTTGGATAGGACTAAGCAAACATTAATATTTAACATTGATAAGATCGAGCATCATTAGCAGCTGGACAGATGAGAAAGCCTCAATAATCACGATATCTTGCTAATTATAATACTACCCGGAAGCTTCTACCTAGTAAGGGCAAACTAAGAGTTTGCTCCGTCGGCCTCCCCGAAAATGATATCAGCTAGTTGTCATACTAGATGTGTTGCCGAAATCAATAATATGGTTCGTTTAGAGATTTGACGAGTATGCAACGAAATTCTGAAGCTGCAAAGAAATTGCTGATCAGTGACACTGGACTAAAAGGTGAATCACCATCGGTGCCACGGTGAGTATTGATGTCAGACTTTGCCAATTGAACTTCAAGCTCCTCCAGCAACGTGGTGTAACCCACGAGTGTAAATGCGGTTGAGCATATCAGATTACCAGAGCTGTCTATTACCTATCTTCATTTCATGTCGTACTCGACCGAGGCACCTGATAGGTAAAGGAAGGCATTTTGTAGCTTACAGCAATATTATATGAAGTACCAGTTTGACTGACGAACTGCCTTGCCCAGGATTGGTGCGGTCTCTAGGCTCGTGCGATCGTAAGACTGTCAAGTTAATACATGCATCAGAGAGTAAATCTCGTCTCATATGCTATGGTATATACGTTTTTCGAAGCATGCTTTAGATGTGTTCATCTGGTTGTCCCTACTAGAAGGTCATCAACGGGTCCTGGGAAGCTCGATAGAGCCCTCGTGCTGATGGTTTTATAAGCGGGCCTTGCATCGATCTGGACACACACATCGGAATCGCCAAAGCAGTGGAGAGAGAAACAGATACTGTTGCTGCAACTAGCGATGATTTGAGTTGGTGGTCGTTGAAAGAGAAAAGAAAAAGAGAGAAAGAGAAGATCGAGAATCAGAAATTTGAAGAAATATCAAAATCTGCTCTCGGATTACGTAATGTTAAATACAAACTAACCAAACTTTTAAAGTTTCATCACGTGCCATGTCTTTTCACCACAAAAGGAAACCAAAATGTTTACTCACTTCTTATTTTCTGGTGGTCAAACCTGCTTCAATAAGTAGCCACTATGGATCTAAGTCTTATACATCCATGGCGTGAAGATGGTTGCCTTTCCTTGATACCCGGTTGACGCCTGAGACAGGATATTACTAGCGATGTTGATAGCCAAAGTCGAGATAACACCCTTGGACACTTTCCTACTGTCAACTCTCAGTAGCAAGGGTAAACACACTAAACTTACTCCCAATCAGAGGCCTACTCTGTTATAATGGGACTCTTCCTAAGCACCAGGATACCATTCCTTCAATATGGTCTGGGCGCTCTGCATCCATGCATGAACGTTGGATCATAGTTGATTTGTTAGAGGTCGCATGCTATGTATTCAATGGTTTTTCTTATTGGGTATTTCCCCTTTTTGCCCTTTGGATCGATCAGTATCTGACGTATGGCTACATAGTAGATCAAGGCTCCTCTACACTTGACTAATTGACTAAGCTTAATTTTAACTCATCTCCATACGATTAACCCTATACTCCACTTAACATAACATGCATGCAATGCACATACCTACTCTGGACGTTTTATATACTTCCTTTCCGCTATAAAAAGCTTTTAGAGGTGATACGATGGATTGAAGAAGCCTGGGAATTCTAGCTTCATGAAGATGAATCACCTTATACTTATCTAATATCGCGCCAACAGGCATGCTATTCCGGTAACAAGAGCTTCCGCTTTAATATGGATGGGTACAGAGACAAGGCTTACACTATCCTACTCCACCATCGGCCTGAGTTAGTCTGGAATTTGGTGAGCATTCATGTTATTAGGTAGGCTAGATCCGAGATCCGAAAAGGTTTAAACACGTACAGCTTATTCTCTCCTTATATATAGACTACCCATTAACCCTGTAAATGGTTACCTTTAGTTCACTTGAAAATCTGGCAACCCTCATCGATGAAGCTGTAATGATTACATAATACGTAACAACTTAGGCTGCAAACAATGCAAACTCTCCCACCTGAGAGATTGGTTCAAGGCAAAATCTGCTGTCTGAAGATTATTTCGTATCTCGATGTCGTTTATCATTAAAACTATTACTATCTAGGTACATAGTTGAACAATATAAGTTATCCTATTGCCTGAGGGTAAAACAAAAGAAGAAACGAAAACAAACACCATGCTGAAATAAATACGTCACGTCGTCAAATAAGTCTCATCAAAATAAAAAATAAACATAAAATCTTCTACCTCAAATCCAATCCCAAGGCGAGCTCGATACGTCCCAGAGCCTCATGCAGCTGATGTGGTTCGACAGAGAAGGATATCCGTACCCATCCTTTCTCCTTGAACGTCTTATGAAAACTTCCTCCAGCATTGTTGACCATGACACCCGCGTTCTTCAAAAGCTGCACGAACTCCGTTTCGTCGTCCCGCGACCTTGCATTAGGTGCCAAACGAGCGAATATACTCAGACCTGCGTTGACGGGGATATACTTGATGCCATGCCGTACAAAGAAGGAGGTGATGAGCATATAGCATTCAGCCAGTCCGGCAGAGTTAAGAGCAATCAAGATAGGAAGCCTAGGGCTGGAAAGAAGGGAGGCAGCAAAGGCATGCGATGCAGGTGTGATCCTGGCATTTGGGGCATTGGCAAGCCCACGGATAAGTTCTTTGTTGCCCTGTGAGACTGTACAACCCTGCAAAGTTTGGTGTGTTAGCTGTCGTGGTCAAGTCTAGGATTCCCTTTGGGGTTTGTGGATGGACTTACAACTTGAACCCCCGTTGCTCCAAAATCTTTGCTGATGCTCCAGATAGTATGTATCCTTGACAGGTCACACCCCAATGCTCGCGCGTTTAAAGCCAAGGCAGACACGAAAGGAACAGGATCCGAAATTTCCGCACAAGAAAAGGAAGTCAGGGCATATACTTCGTCAGAGATGAAATGGATGCGCCTCTGTTGGCAGAATTTAAGGGCTATTTCAAGGAACTCCTGCGGATAGCATTCACCGAATGAACTGCTCATGTTCCTTAGAATCAGAGCCTTGATTTTGCAGGGGGCACTGTCGATGGCGTCGTTTAATGCTCTGAGAAAATGATGGGATGTCCCACAAGTGTTGCTGTTGACTGTTACAGTCTTTACACCAGGGTAGGTATAATTCATCTCGATCTCAGAGTCACCTGAATGCTCATGTTAGCTTCATCTTTCAATTTCTTTTTGGAGGAACACGACTCACCCCACTGGGGGCCAGGCATAAGGACACCATCGCCAGGGTTACAAATGTTATACAGAAGTGCATCGAGGCAGCCAGCTGCACCCGGAGCAATAGCAATATGTGATCGACTAACCGGAATACAAGGGTTGAAATAATTGTTGAAGAGCCTTGCCAGACACTCCAGCAGCAGCCTTGAATCTCCACAGTCATGGTACTATACCTAAGTCAGCGCAACTGAAACCTCACCGAAAAAATCTGTTCATCCATGGATATTATAATATATATACCTGGGAATCATGTGTTTTGGTGGTCTTGCCTATCTCCGCAAGCTCCTCTCGCAGGAGGAAGTTCTCTGTTCTTGAAAGGTCGATAGTACCAGGCCTTATGTAGCCATTGCAGGCGTCTGTTGACGTGGGTATAAAAGGCATCTTGGAGGGAACCTTGGCTCTTGGACGAGTTGATGAAGACAGTGATGCAGATGGTGAGGATGAAGATCGTGGTTTCGGATTATTTTCAAACATCGTTCCCAGGTCCTTTAAATATGTATAGCTGCTCTCAAACACTAACAGCGACGGCACGGCTCAGATGACGATAGACGGGAAGGGGAAAAAATTAAAAGTAAAAAGAAGCGTATTGGAGATGGCAAACTTCCACTGGGCGAACTGGAGGTATACAAGTTTAACTGTTGCAATGACCGCTTTGGTGACTTGAATTATAATATCTTGAAATTTAGATGGGAATTGAAGGTTGGGGATAGCCAGTATGTATGTATGGCGCTTTTCTAAGCGTGAAACAGCTTCGTGAGCCGGGACGGAGTAGGCATGGCTTCGTAGCGGATAGCCCTTTTTGGTACTAGGCCTCCAGGCCAATTATTTATATGCGGGCAGCGCATCATTTCTATGGAGCCGCGGTGCGGTGTCTGGTTATACATAGATCTCAGATGCAAAAAAGGAACAGGAATGATAAATAATTTGAAAAAAATGAAACAAGTAGAACAGGCGGACGCAGGTAGGCGGACACACACACACTCACACGCACAGAGAGAGGGAGCTGTGTGTTGTGTTGCCTGTGGTTTATTTGGTGATATGCAACATGCCTGCCCTTGGTTTCTTTTTCGCCCTTCCCATGCGACGAGAACCTACCAAAAAAAGGGCGCTAAGACAAAGCCGTCCATCCAACCACCTACTTTATTGGGGAATCAGCCCTCTCCGCCGTTATCTCCGCCACCGCAATATATAAGTGAAAAAATAAAAATAAAAAATAAAAAAAGAGAGAGAGCTGGGCTCTTTGTACACAGTCTGGTGCAAAACCGGCCTGATACCGGCCTTGCTGCATTGCTGTCTCATATGATAACAGTTAATATAATAGTCATCCGGCCTTATAAGTAGGACCTGTCCTGCCTTGGAATGGACGAGTTTCCATATCCGTACGGAGTAATATATAAAAAGGGTATATTACCAGACACAAAGTATAGTGTATGAGATGCCAACTCTACCATTACCGTATGTTGATCGATCATGAACCAGCACACTGCGAGCCACTGACAGAGAGTTGTCCCCAGGCCACGGGTTGGCTGTTCATCAAAGACCAAGAGCCTGGTAGCCGGCGTTGAACTAGTTGAGTCTAACGATGCTAAAATGGCTCTAATTAACCGTTCGTGATCGCTCTATCTCGCTTGTGTTCGTGGCAAGAATGGCCGTGTTAGCCGTGTTGGAGTGTTGTCTGTTGGCAGTAACGTATGTGTATGTGTATATATACTCCGATGGCATGTATTTGATTAAGAATACATAGGTTCATATGTAATTTAATAAAAAAAAGGTTACATGGGTAGTTTATGCGGTGCAAGCAACAAAAAAAAAGAAAAAAAAAGGGCGGCAAGCCATCCGCTTTCCTTTTTGAGTTGTGGGTCCCTGCCGCGCGCTCTCACCGCCAAGGGCCAAAAAAAGAGACCTTGCGAACTTCCAGATCGGGTAATCGGATCTCTTTCTTTTCCTCCAATCGGCGGCCGCAGCTGGCAAGTTTACGCTTCTTGCATCACATAGTCAGGTTGTAGTCACTACAAGATGAAACCGATGAGGCTGGAGATGATTCCGTCGCCGCTCCTATTGTTCTGAGGTGGCTTGTCTCTCCAACGCAGACATGCCTACATAGTACGTACCATGTACATCACCACCCCTCCTCTTTCTTCTCTCCCCCCCTTTCCCCTCCCGCGCCCTTCGATCTCCGACAACAAGGGAAGAATAAAAAATAAAAATAAAACGTGTCTTTTACCTAGTATCTAGATCTGGTCCTGATGCCACGCGGCAGCTTCCAAGGGCCCTCCCGAACCGCCTGGTTCTGTTGATTATCTGCATTGCATGCCCTCCATTGGGAGAATGCAAGGATGTCTGGATGCATCTCTGTGCATTTTTACACAGAGAGCAAGTGGTACGGAGTAGGCTCCGCGAGTCCGTCTTATGTGTATGCACACTTTAAAAAGCCTACAGTTTCTAATCCCTGGACGGGACGGGCCTTAGGGGGAAAAGACTTTAGCAATCTCGGCATCTGGATTTATGCATGATGGTGTTTGGGCAGACGCACTGTTAATCACTGGACTTCGGTTGCAGGAAAGAAACGGTGAGATACATAATCTGGTTGAGGCTTAGAGAGGCGCACGCTTTTGTCCAGATTCGTACAATGCCCTTCTTTCCACATGCTTCATCATCACACTTCGGGTATTTGGCTGCTGTCTATTGGTTCCATCCGGTTGGGGAGAAGATAGGATATCAAATTTCATTCGGATCTATCCCCGGTGGCGAGCGGAAAACACCAGAGTTCAATATGGCTGTTCGTTCCATCCGATGGCATGGTTGACATGTCCATGGAGGATCTTCAGCAGAAATAAGTGCAGTCATAAATCTGAGGGTATAAGGTTGGAGGAATTAAGAGTTATGCACTCGCTATCAATAAAGCGCCCTTTTACTGCTATTCTGTCTAGTAAAAAAGGAACAACATTATATCTCATGACCGCAATACGATGCTAACCGGATAATTTCTTGTTGGCCTCACAGGCCTGAAGATGACCTCATAATACCCAGACCATAATCCGCGTCTCGTAAACCAGAAAAAAAAAAACAAAAAAAAAAAAAAACGACCGGCTGAAGAGCAAAAGAAACAACCGCGAAGAACATTGATATAAGCGTAGTTAGCACGTGATAATCTAGCTAATTTAGGATTAGTGTCTATAATAAACGCGCGTCTAAAATCGAAATGCGGCAAAAGCTTGATTTGTTCGACTTTCTCCGCCTCGCTTTTTTTCTTTCTGTATCAGCATATTCTTGCTCAATCCTCGTTCACTATTAACGCTTCACTTCTAGTCCAGCTGCCAATATTAACGCTTAGTCTATACTCTGTCAATCTCTGCTTCTCATCCTATCTCTTGCCCGCATTCCTTTTGACACACCTTGCACCACCACAGCCCTCGCGCGAAACAACCTGGATTTTTTCACGACTCTAGGCGAACACTCTGCTCCTGCATACTTAGTCGCCGCATCCTCCAACAAGTAAGCCAATGGAGAACGCTAATCTATGGACTCGAAGATCTAAGTAAGTACACCCCGAATGCCCTAGTCGTACAGTTATGCCATCTGCACCTTTCTGCATCGTCATATATTACAGTGTGGGGAGATGAATATTAATTTTCTTTGCTTTTTTCCGTCTCTTCAACTATTACAGCTCTGCAAAACTTTCATTATCGACGCCTGGGTCCGATAGTAAAGACGGTTCTGGGAAATCGGATTCATCTCGTGGTCGCACGGCCGGCCGCTTCGACGGCTCGCACAATCGTTCCAACCCCTTCAACGCCATATCGCCTCTTTCATCTACCGTCTCCTCTCCGTCCGTGGCTGCCTCGTCTGCATTCGGACTGGGCTCGGGCGCCTTTGCTTCGTTCGGATCGACCACAAAGACGTCCAAGACGCCGAACTCGCTTGACGCAAACGCTGGGAAGCAACAAGGCGATAAGCGAGATATACAAGCCGACCAGGAGGGCGGGGCTTGGAAACCAGTCAAGTCGAAGGCCTCTTCATCCTCGCTTGACAAGTCTGTCAACAAGGATAACGGAGTAAGAGAGCTTCCCCTCAAGTCTACGTGGATTGTCTGGTACCGTCCCCCGACGCCAAAGTACTCCGATTACGAAAAATCCACTATCCCCCTTGCCTCCATATCCTCTGTAGAGGGATTCTGGACAGTGTATTCACACCTCAAACGACCCTCCTTGCTACCGACTGTGTCGGACTATCACATATTCAAGAAAAATATACGCCCAGTATGGGAAGATGAGGCGAATAAGAAAGGTGGAAAATGGATCATCAGGTTGAAGAAGGGAGTTGCGGATAGATATTGGGAAGACCTACTCCTGGCCATGATCGGGGACCAGTTTGCCGAAGCAAGCGATGAAGTTTGCGGCGCTGTCCTCAGTGTCAGAAGCGGGGAGGATGTCTTGAGCATATGGACGAAGATTGACGGGGGACGCAATATTAAAATCAGGTACGCCATAAGAATTATACAGCTGCAGTATTTGTATGAGGAGCATGTTGCTGATTTTTTTTTTTTTATCTTTTTTTCAGGGAAACCATTAAACGGCTTCTGGCATTCCCTCCAGATACAAACATTATCTGGAAAAGCCACGATGACAGCATAGCCCAGAGGTCTGCTATAGACCAAGCCCGCATGGATAAATCCGGTGGAAACTCCGGTCATCACAATCATCATCACCATCACCACCACAACCAGGGTGGTGATCGCCGCCGCAACACCAACCACGAAGACTCCGCAGGTGAAAGGGGGAAGAACGCTACCAACTCCTAATCTGGAGCTCTTTTTGGTTTCCCCAGCATGCCCGATGTACACTACCTTTGTTTTAAATGCTAAATTCCATTTGCCGGCATACCCCTATGTCTCGTCCATTGTTATCGTTTCTTTGCCTTTCCTTCTTCTGCTTCTGCTTCTTGTCTTGTTTTATCACGATTGATTGAGGCCTATTTCGGAGACAACATCGACATGTGACAACGCTTTCTTCTGGGTTCCTGGGTTCAATATTACAGCATCATGGTGTATTGTCTTTTTGCAGAAATGGTCAAGAAGATCAGCTGGTTTTATGGCGTATCATTCCAGTACTTCCTCGTAGCCATGCTCTATACACGCTCATAATACGTATAATTCCAATGCATGCTTGCGATCCTTCTATACCTCTTCATCTTCATCTTTCTTTCACATCCCCGTCGTCAATATATGGGTTAATCAAGCAAACAACCATTGTGGGCTTCTATTGGTGGCGGAAGTCCTATAAAACCTTAAAAAAACAGCCGTCGCGCTTTATCGATAATCATTTATGACCTACTCCTTCAACCTCCCGTAACCAAATTCATTGTACGAAATATCCCACTCACCACGTCTTTGTCGACAGCCAACTTTACCGCCAACTCACTCGGATGACAGTGCCAACAGCTTCCTGTTTTTAACTAATAAAAGTGAATGGTTGGGTGATGGTTGCGAGACAGAAGCTTCTTCGCTACACAGAGACGACCACTTTGGCTGATGATAAAAGCCTACACATATGCCTCGGAAGAAGGGAACCGTTGGTATAAGAGAGTGTCTGGAACCGTGTTGAAACCGTGGTACACTGTGAACTAGAAAGGGTTGGTTTATTTTCCTATCTATGGTCGCATGGGCCGCTTTACCTACAGTTGGACTCTTCGGACTATTCTAGCAGCAGGTTAACTAACTGTCTACCGTCTTTGGTTAGGATGCGAGCAGCGTTATCAAGTCATACCTCCATATTTGGACACAGGGAAAAATCTTTCGGGTAAATCGCAGCTGGTGTCCAACCTTTTTGAGTGGTTGGAATTGGAGGCTGATAGATGGGTGTGCTTAGCCGGAGACTGAGCAAGGATGAAAGAAATAGTTATAGGGATGAGCAGCGTCTGTTATTACCGGGTGGTCGGTATGTTTTACAAATATCTATCTATTTCGCGTTAGAGGAGACTCATTGATGCCTTTCCCCAGGCCCAAAAGGGACCGCGGCGCCGTTCCCGTTCTGCCAGGTTCATCCGCGAAGAGTTATGAGACATTTAAACCTATCAATACCATCGGTGTTAAGCCAGACACGCGGATAAACCGGGCCTCATCTATATCAGAACCTTCATTTACCACGCCGAAACCGCTGGGGTTGGATAAGTTTACAGTTATACCGGATTCAGATGATGAGGAAGCCACGCCGCCGCGGAAGCGTTTAAAACGAGAGAGCCCTGAAATTATTGACCTTGAGAGCAATGACCAGTCATCGATTGTTCCAACATCACCTAGTGCTGATATCTTGATTGAAGACTCTGTTCCACTAACTCCGGTCCCAGAAAAGAAAATCAAAACGCGACATACCTCAAAATATTGGCCTCTAGCAGAAAATGCTCTGAAGACACCATCTCCAGGGGCCCCTCGACGTAAGCTATGGTCTGGCCGCATGCGAGATGCCTTTTCTGACTCGGACACTGGGCAACCTGCAAACAAAGCAAAACCTGAGCAAAATCGGCCCATTGGTGTTGATCTCCAAAATAAACGTACTTCTAAAAAGGGCCATAGCATTTGGAGTGTGCCTGAAGTTGTGGTGAAGCCTCCAAATGCCGAAATAATATCCAAGTACCCAAAGGAAATCGACCGCAGTGTCAATCACAGATCCTTTGCAGGTAGTGACGGGGGCAGCTACGACTCAAGGGAAAGCCCAGATGAGCTTCAAGGAAACAAAACTATTTCTGATGCTTGGAAGGAACGACACGCCCTCAGAAGAAATGTTTCGCCAAGTAACATTCGTCACACCAGGTTCACCAACAAAGCCAGCCAGAAGACACTTTCTCGACATGAAGAGAAAAAGATAAAAAAGAAACAAGCACTAGTGACGTTTGATATTAGCATGTTCCGCTATCGAGATTTCCTTGCCAAGCCATTGTCCCGTCTAACCTACAATAAGGAGACTTCTGAGTTTTCGATTACTTCTGCGGGTGATGCTCTTTCATCTAAGACCAAGACCTTCAACTTTATGAAAGCTATCCGGATGCATTATGGGGAGAACGCTGACTGCGGCAAAGTCCGACTTATCTTTCCACAATCACAAGGTGTGAGCAGTGAATTCGCTGATATTGAGTTCTCCAGTGAGTCGGAGAAAGAGAAATTTTGGGATATTATCCATGCAGGAAGCCCATCTCTCAAGCGGCATAAAAAGAAAAAGTAGGCGTTACGCCTTTGTACTGTTATCACAAGTGATGTATATGCTAACTGTATATTAGGGAATGGATGGAGGAACTCTTCCTAGCGCCTCAGCGGTCAGCAAATACAGACAAGGCGGATACCCTAAAGCACCAGAAACCAAAGCCACTTGGTGCTACCAAGGAAGCGAATTTCCCGAGCGTTCAGCCAAAGCGAATGAAACTAAGTGCCAACCTTGGAAACGGAGACGAATCTATTTCAAGCCGCCCCTCTGAGAAGTTGAGTCATGCCCATCCCTCCCCAAGCCGGCCGGAATCGACTACGTCTATGCCTGTAAGAACGTACTGCATTTCGCCTATTGCACGTAAGACAAGATCTGCTTCTCGAAAACAGAACTTAGAAATCAGCAGGTATGTACAATGTCTTAGTAAATCTATACTTTTATAATAGACGCCTGATACTGATGATTATGTATTTTAGTAATGATGAGGAAGAGAAACCCATAAGTACGTCAATCTTTGATGTACCAGGGAAACAATGGCAGAAGTGGGTATTCCCCTCACATAAGATTGGAATTGGAACTGACCTGACATTAGCCCTCTTGTATACCCTGCGATTGGTAAGAAAAAGGCTGAGGTTGAAGCCCATGACTTAGACCGACTCAGGCCGCACGAATTCTTGAACGACAACCTTATTGGGTTGTATATTCGGTTTCTCGAACATCATTTGGAACGCCAACATCCAGACTTTGCGAAACGGGTTTATTTTTTCAACTCCTACTTCTTTGCAACATTGACGAATAACTCTAAAAACCAGAAAGGAATCAACTACCAGGGCGTTGAAAAATGGACAAGGTCCTTTAATATATTCGAATTTGACTACCTGGTTGTTCCTATTAATGAGAATGCCCATTGGTACGTGGCAATTATTTGCAATCTGCCAAGTTTGTTTTCATCAAAGGTGGATGATGGCCTATCTGGCTCAGAGAATGCCGGCCAGCAAGGAATTGATACCAGTGAAGCAAAGTTCATCGATATGCCATCCAACATTACGACCGGGGGCTCGAAACTTGAAATAGGTAAATCAGCTAGCTCAGACTCTGAAGCTGCTAATGAGGGCGAAATTCAAGAATCCTTCACATCGATGACCCTGGATGATATCGTTTCTGGAGAAGCTAAAGAGGCTGAAGCTGCTGCTGCCGAAGATTGGCCGGATGAGGATGAAAACCAGCCTTCACCTCCTATATACAGGAAAAGAGGAAGGTCTTTCTTGGACGAAGCAGCCAAGCATTTACAACCTTCGGATGTTACTCAGCCAGAACAACCATCCAAAACGTCTAAAGCAGCGAAGAAACGTGGCAAAAAGAACCGTGCCCCAGGAATTAGATACGACGCGAAGCAGCCAGCAATTATCGTCTTCGATTCATTGGATTGTCCACGGCGCCCTACAATTGGAATCCTTAGAGAGTATCTCGAGGAAGAAGCCCAAGCAAAACGATCTCTGACTATCGACTCTAAAGAAATAGTGGGAATGAATGCGAAGCAAATACCGCATCAACCGAACTTTTCCGACTGTGGGCTCTATCTGCTCGCCTATCTTGAGAAATTTGTGCAAAATCCAGACATCTTCGTTAAATCGGTACTTCGCAAGGAAATGAACCGAAACAAAGATTGGCCTGCAATGAAACCAGGCTTATTTCGGTCTCGATTTCGCAATTTTCTCTTGGATCTTTACGAGGAGCAGGAGGCATTGAAGAATGGAAAGTTGAAAGAAAATGAATCACTTATTGCTGATGCAAAATCCCTGAACATTCTCTTGGACAAGCTGCCAACCGAAGATGACCGCTTGACTGACGAGGATAAGAAGGGATCAGATACGTCTAAGGTTACCCCGGAGCCAAAACCTAGACGCGCCGTTTCTGAAATACGGGTGACTCCTACCCGCTCATCCCCTCGTCATAGCAGAAAGGGGCAAGATATTCCAAGATCCAGCTCTCCAAAGCTTCCGGGATCTATTATCATTCCTCCCACCCGCAGTTCTATGTTTTCGGGCTTTCAGGACGCTATCTCTAAACAGAATGAAGGCTCCGAGGAAGAAAGCATTCAAGTCCCTATGACGCCACCTCCTGCGAGCCCAAGTGTTGTCGTCTCCAGCCCATTCAGCCTTCGATCCACTCTAGCCAGCTCCAAACAGAATCAGACATAACCAACTCCATACGTTTCGCTAGCCCGACATATATCTCTTATGCATTACTTTATTATCGTGCCCTTCCTTAGATGCCACACTCCTCTTTCATTATGCTGTTCATCCATCTTTGTTTCTTTTCCTGGAAATTTGTTTCATTATTCCAAGAGTTGCATTTGAGGCGTTCATGTTTGTCCCGGGCCTGAGAGCATTTTCCCCTTCATGCGGGATGGAGGCGGTGTGAAGCAAAGATTTATTCTTTTAACGACAAGTCATGACTTCCAGTTCTTACATTTTATAATTCGAATACATTTTATTCTTGAGTCTTCCATAATACTACTCTCTATAAAAATGACGAGTCACGTGAGTATATATCGTCCGCTCAACCTTATCTGGCCTCATCTAAAAGAGCTGGAGAAGAAGCCATAGCTACGAAGCTATCCGCAGCGCAGCGGATGTAAGGACTGCCACATCCCACCGCCATAATGCATTCGGTTACTACTCGATTTCAGGGTGTCTTTGGATACCTGACTACAGTTGCGCTTGTGTTGGGTGCAGTTATTGCGGCTTCAGTTTTTCTCCATCCCGCGGATCCCACAACCAGCATAAAGCTCTCGAATGTACAAGTGTATGTTAATGCGCGCTCATGGACGCCCTGAAATTTATTATTCTATCTATGGATGTTTTGATTATCATATTATCCTGAAAACTAAGAAGCTAATGACGGTGATGATGCAACAGAGTTAAGGGACGACCTCACTACTACGCTTCGAGACGAGAGGAATACGCGCAAATCAAATTCGATTTGGAAGCCGGTACGATTCTTATCCTATGAAGGAATAAGCAGTTTAGACTTTCCAATTGACGCTTGCATTGTCAGATTTAACCTCCCTCTTCAACTTCAATACGAAGCAAGTCTTCGTCTACGTCCTGGCCGCATACCCATCTGCCTCCAACCAATCGGTAACCACTGAAGCAGTGATATGGGATAAAATTATTCCAGCTTCTGTATCACCGTACTCTCTAGCATCTCTAAAGTCTCAGTTCCTCCCAGACACAAAAGCCTCGAAAACCAAACGAAAGACCCCAAAGAACAAGAACAAGTTGAAAGAAAACGAGAATGATGTACCTGGCAAATTGAAGCTCCGAAATCAAAAACCAAAATATCAGATTACTGATATCTCGGGTTCTATAGCGGAGAGGGAGGGAGTGCAACTGATTGTTGGATGGAATGTTCAGCCCTGGATAGGCGCATTGCAGTGGAGTGAGAATACGAATATGAAGAAAAATGTTGGTGGCATTTTTGGAAGAATCTTCCTACTGAATGCCGGCCCTAAGGGTGCACTTAGCGGGAGAAGTGAGCCTTTTAATTTCCCGGCTTTGAAGAAGCCAAAGCCAGCTACCCCTTGAGGTTAGGCAGTGGGGGTTCAGTGCCTATCCACGGAATATACGGGATACATATAGGAAGGTGTTATAATAAGCAATTTAGCATATCCAATATACCCTCAACCTTTATAGTTCAAACCTCCCACAGCTTCGATTGAATGAAAGGTTGATACCCCGGGTAGATGTGGAATGGCTGTTAATGATATAACTGTCCATCTACTTCACCAAAGGTTTAAACTAGATATGTTTATAGCCATATTTCACACGATGAAATCCCTACAACTTTCTCAAGAGCGTATGTATTATAGGGTTATTGATAGAGACAAGGCGAGGTCGACACCAAAAATCACAGGGGGAAAAGCAAAGGCTATTCCCAACCAAGAATAGGCTACATATTACGGACTTAAGCCACTATTCACGGCCTTCATCGTACAGGCTGATATCCACCATTACCACCAGCCGGAGGCACAGGAGCATTTGTTCCGTATCCCTGAGTAGACGGTGCATGCTGCTCGGGATAGTAGTAAACCGGCCTTTCGCCGCCATTCAGAATCCTCTTCGAGAAGATTCCAGGCGGTGACCTAGCTCTCATCCTGCCTTCTCGGCCTCTTGACTTGGCTTCATAGTAGACCCATAGGGTATAAAAGGCGTGGATATGGCCTGGGAAATATCTATTCAAGACACAAGAAGAGTTAGAAAGTATTCCTCCAGCACCTCTGAGAAAGGGTCAACTTACCCCAGTATAGTTAGGAAGATGTTGATCAAGAGGTCAGCAGAACATCCGCTGATGAAGAAGACTCCGGCTGGCGGCACTATAGAGTAATTTATCAGACGTTGGCACTTTTGTATCTACTGAGGGTAAAGCCCCAGCAGTGTATGATGGTCCAGCTTACAAAGAAGAGTCACTAGGATGAGGATTACAGCAGCACAAGTATCGGCCATGTTTGCAGTGGTCTAAACGAGAGAGAGCGTAGATTTGGTCGTTGGCTGTCTCTTATCAGCCTCGTGTTTTGAGTGTAATCAGCCAACGAAGAAGCTTATAAAATCTGATCTATATTGCCTTGTATAACATGACGAGAACAGAATCCCTTGAGACTTGTTTATATTCCGTAGTCAATTACCCAGTAATATATATTTTGGCAGCCGCTACTCGGATCAAAAGTTCTATCGAAAACGTCATAGGCTAGTTAAGTTACATAAGTAAAAACCTAGTTACGTAATGATGTCAACGCTTATCAGTCGCTTCCTTGCACAAAACTTGTGTACAAAAGCCCAACCAGCAATAGCAGCTATTGAATAGCAGCCATTAAATAGTAGCCATTCCTAGCAGGGGAAGGTGGTTGACGACAAGCGTGGGCCTATACACGCATGAGCCTCAGCAAAGCAATAAATGCCGCTGGATGTTTAGCTGCTCCCCTTAAGTATCCCTATCCCGTAGCTCCAAGAACACTATGTGCTCTGGGCTCTCTAAAGAAGGGAACTTGCCCGTATTTATTCTTATGTTGCCGGAGCTGACAATGGCATCCCGATGTCCGCAGTCATACGTTCCATGATTTCACGAAACGGTTCCATATCCATGGGCGGTCGATCACTGATTTGAATACAAGAAGGCACTTCCAATATCCAGCTGTCCTGGTCGTCAAGGCGATCAGCAATGTTTTTTGGGGTAGGACAGATAAAGTAAGTCCCCATCAAGCTGCTCTGCTCTGAATCAACATCATTTGAAAGTGTTGTTGATTCCTGACTCTGGTGTGGCGGTGTTGATAAGCCGCCCTGGATGCCCGCTCGATTAGGCATTGTCGTCTCCGATGGGGGGTGCGATGTATCGCGCTGCAATGTAATATCATGGTTCTGATATTCAAGGGGTTGTGGTGACTCGGGTGGTGTGTTTATTATGTTTGAATTTGTTGGAGAACTCTCTCCATCAGACTGCGTTTCCACTGGCTGAACGCTATCATCATGGGGTTTCCATATTCTATGGTGCGGTATACTAGTCTTATTCCCTTCATCCGGCGGTGACGATGGGTCTTTCACCTGCGGGCTACGAGGCCCATGCCTCAGCATGTTCAGGATCCCCTGACACTGTTCTCTGCCCTGAGCTGCTGCTTCAACATCAGAATTAGTTAGAAAGCAGCTAGCACCGACGCTCTCAATGGGCGGAGCGTCGGTATACCCGTGTTTATCATTATCAGAGCTAGAGGTTGGTGTTAGGTCCCTATGGCTAGAAGACGTGGAGGTCGAGAGCTGGGAGTGCTGTGGCTGCGAGTCAGCGCTATCGGCACTATAAGCGTTATCTTTGTGTATTGGAAGGATCGACCGCTGGGAATGTACAGAAGGATTCGACCTTGTGATCAAACCTCCAGACATCGAGGTCGAGGAGTCTGTTCCCTCAGCTCTATGCCGACGACATGAAGGCCAAGAGGAAGATGAATCTTGTCTTGGTATTGGGACCCGTGGAGGAAGGATCCTCCTTCTAAAAAGGGGGGACGGGTCCGCAGCCTCTTTCGCCCTTTTGCGTCTTGCAGCTATTATGTCTGGCCATGGAGGCATAGGGGTATTTAATACCAATTTACATGCCTCCTCGTGGCCTAGACGGAGGAGAAGCTTGGTCCCTCCAAAGATTCGACATGGGTCATCATAGTCCATAGGCTCGCTGGGAGGTAGCCGAGGACACTTCTCTTCATCTGGCTTCTCAGTATGTTTAACGAATTCCCCATTTCTAGAGTCTCCTGGACCTTGTTTTGGGGCGACCGAAAAGTGTGGAAGAAACATGCGGCCACCTGATCTGCCACTTATAAATAGTTCCATTTCATGTGGTAAGCGAGATATAACTTCCGGTGAGTCTCTTCTCAACACGTCGACGGTGATCCTCGCTCTGACAGCCTGTTCAAACCGTATGTTGGATCCAAAGTATATGGTGGCATTCCCACAAACCGTAATGAGAACCGAATAAGAATATACACCAGGGTTATTGCAGGTGATTGTCAGGTCATCGAAAAATTGGCGGGTACGACGATCAGAGAAAAAGGGCATAATGCCGAAGAAGCGTTGATTAGTTGGGTCCCAGGTAAGCCATCTTGAAGAGGTACTGAATTTCACAGACATGACCGTACCACCAATAGGTGCACAGTTATACTGCGGAATCAAGTTGAACTCGTGCCCCTCTACACATTTCCAGTCCGTTCCATCGAAGGATAAGTAGTGAGGTTCCCATCGTATATCAACAGTTGAGCCTGGAGACTTATATCCCATATTCCTCATTCCATATGGTAAGACCTTTACTCCCATAAGTAACTCATTAACAGCACATTCGCCTCCGGTGAAGCAATCATGGAGGCAAATAAACTGAACAGCCCATTTCTGAAGATCACCCAAGGACTCGAATAAACCTCTATAGCCTGGTTGCGACTTAACAATCTTCACCAATCTCTCTGCCAAGTCGACTGTGTTAAAGGGTAGGCGCCGGAAAACCGGCCAGTCCTTGCCCCGTAACCCATGCTCGATATCTACGACATAGCCTTCGATGAAGTCAAGTTTACTAGATGTGAAAGCAGCCAGCGTGGCCCGGAAGGCCATCTCCCAGATGATCAGTTCGTTTGCTTCGGCCATAGACAGCCCTTTCCATGTCTTGGTTATGTCAAGGTGTCTAATTTCAGGCCCTTTGGGGAGGCCCTTTGGTCTTGGGGGATGAGGAAAGTGGTTTTCCGACCACCCTTTGTGGGTATGTTTTATTGGTATGAGCACGTCTGTTGTTTGTCTCCATGTAGGGAAGCACTCCACGTTTGTGGATATGGTAAATGCGTTGGTCATGGAATCGCATCCCTTTGTTGCAGTAAAGCCTTCGCCTTTTGAGACAAAACAGTTTATCTAGAGCAATGATCAGTAAGATGGATCCATTTTTCTTGTAGTAGAACGAAAGTACGAACATATTGGTCATCCTTAAGATCCTGGGTGGTGCTGGACTTCAGTGCATTCCGCAGGTCAATGTGTTCGTGCCTGAAGCTCTCAGGAGCTGCTTTCCTGTGAGCTGTAAAAGCCTCGTCTGGATATTTGACACTGTCAATTATCGTGTAGTCGGGGCCAGGAGGAGCCGGGGCGCACCGGGAGCCTTCCTCTACAGGCGGTGGAATGTCCGTGATGTTGTCGCCCGCAGTCTGGAGCAGAGACGACATTTCTTTACAGACCAACAGCAGCTGGTGGATGAAGTTCTGATATTCCAACACAAGCAAGATGGTAGAAGTGAGAGAAAATATTAAGTAGAGTTATATAATCGTTATAGTGTATTGACACAACAACGGATATTTCGGTCTCTCGCAAGGGATAGTATAGGAGATATATAGAAATATCCAAAGGTAAGGAATGATACTTGCAGGGATCCTGATATGACAAAAAGAGAAAGGCAAGAATCCCGGGAAGGAGGAGAGGAGAGAAGAAAGTAGGAAGAAGGCACGGATGTGTTCGGGGTATTTATATGCGTCATATGTTTGTACCGTGGTTCATATTATTGACCAGACCATGGGACCAAACCGGCAGATTGAAGATGGTGGCGAAATACGTCTTTTTCAATGCGATGGAGGACGAAGGGTTATACGGCATCTATGGCCGCTCTCTTGGATACTTGCTCGTTCTGGTTTCCAAGTCTAGAAATCTGCAGGAACGCATCGACACCGTAGCCCTCGAGGCTATGGAGTTCCAGCGTCCCCGCCCAATACTCTGCATAGACACGGCTCATCGGTAGCCCCATTCCAAGCCTCAGATTAGGCGGACGCGAACTAAGTGAGTCGAGGGAATTCTCCTTTACTCCTCTGGACACCTTAGACGAGCCCTGATGCGAAACGTTTAGTTCCTGCATCGTTGCAGCCATGGCATGAATTTGACCCAGGTTTTGGAGGCGGGTTTTTGTACGAGGTCCCTTGCAGAATGACCACAGATATGGGAGGATATCGCGAGGAATGCCACCGCCCTGATCTGAGACTCGGATAATGACATGCTGTGGAGCTTCACAAATAAGCACCTCTATCGGAGGAGGGGTGCCATCGCAGTCCTTGTATTTCTCAATGACTGCCTGCATGGAATTTCGTAATAGCTCTCCAACGATATACTCCAGATGGCTGAGTATGTAAGGAAATGTAGCACCTAGATGGCCCTGGATGGATATTTGTGGAATTCTTGCGTCCGGGCCGAGGGTTTGTCGTAGTAGATGACGAGCTAGCTTGCCGCATCGCTCTACGACGTCCTTTGCGTTACATTTAAGAAAGACCTCACCTACAAAATCCGCACTCATGTCCCGATCAGTTGAATCGGGGAAGTGCCATGGCGAGTTGAATGTTTCTGTCAGGGCGAGATGCTGCTCTGCTATCACTCGTCGCGAGATTCTCTACAAAACTAGGGTTAGCACCGGTCGTTTCAAGCCTGTACATCTTTGAAATATTCATACCGCCCGCAAAAGTGTGTTCATAAACCGGTCCATGACTTCAGGTTTGACCAGGCCCTGGCACTCCAAAACCCCCATAGCCAGGTTGGGAATGACGGTAAGATGCTCTTTGAGAGCATGACGTAGGATATCACAGTATCTATCATTGTCTTCTATCGTTTTGATCTCGGGCACTGTCCGGAAGCGCTCAAAGGCCTTGTAGTATAGCTCGTAGACGTAGGAGAGATGCGGATTCGTTACAACGACATACGGTAACTTCTGCATATCGCGTAGACGATGAGCAATCCTATATCTATACATCAGTATCTAATATAATGTGTAGGTATATGCATGCGCTCTACCTGGTGGGGAGCTCTGTCCGGACGTAGTTTGCAGAACTGATCAGCCTGTTCTCGGTGAGCGTACGGCCAAAGAAGGTCAACTGGCGCAGGCTGATGGGCCGGACATCTCTCTCAACCCAACTTGTCGCCATAAGACTTGTCAGTCATTGTGTATATAAACATTCAAAGTCACCGACTTACTCATCGAGAACAGATCCTGGCCGCCACGGAGGAGGCCTCTGGCTCTCTACAGACAGATATCGGACCCGCTGGCAGCATCTCAGACGACTGCTCTGCCGGCACCGATTTGACTGGCTTAGAAGCATGCCGGCGGTGCCATTCATTCACGGGTGGAGCGCAGGCCTTGCGGGAAGTGACTGGGCCAGGCTGGAGGATGGGGTACCGCAACGGGCTTTACAATTCATGATTCACAGTCGAGTCATGTTCGTCGAGGTTCCAGCATAGGCAGCAGAAGTCTGTAGAAGTAAAAAGTGGTGAAAGTTGGGAGGTTTGTCCAAATCATCGAAGTTCCTCGTTTTCTTCTTCTCTTTGCCGGTGTCGGAGGCTGAAACTCCTCGGCTTTTACACTTGAACATACCACTCGCAGGGGTATATCAACATCTACAGGCTGTCTTTATGCATGAATACATGTGTAAATAGGGTGAGAAGTTGCTAGAGACGCCCTGGGTCTACTTTACTATGCGTATGATGAAGTACGAACGGTAGCCTGCATGAAATGGATAATAAACGGCAGGTTATATGCACCAAACGGCTTCTCTCACAATCTAAATAAAGAATATGCAGAAATAAAGAAGAAACATGCATGTTAATGTCATTGTTCGCAGTTAAAGAAGCTGAACTTGCTCTCCTTTTTTGTTTGTTTTAAAAGCAGCGACTTTTCTTCAACTTTCATCATCGACAAAAAAGAAACTTAACCAAAAAAAAAAAACATTCCAACTTCACTTAAAGAGAACAAAACTTCACGCAACACCTTTGACTAGAGGAGCTTTTCTACTTTAGATAGTATACAGCCACCCTACTTCTTGTCTTCTTATTCTCTCTGTCTTGCCTTGGAGCACCAGTCAGCCACGATAAGAGCTTTCTTGCATTACTAGTTATCTTATATTGAGCTCATGGACCATGTAGGTGTCTCCCTCTTCTCCCCTCAACGGTCCGGCTATGATGATGTCCGCCGGAAGCAAGGAACCCAGGCTGATTACGGTGCCTTGATGCTGTAGGTTAATGATGCTGATGCAATGGTCGACGACTATGAGCAGTTCGAGAACAATGACCGGACAGACGTGGTCGTCGTTTCGCCCGCCGGCTCAACCTCGAACGATGTAGATATGGAACCACTTCTCGCCAACGACTGTATGTCCCCCTTCCGGCTGCTATTATACCGGTCTCTGAGGCCGTTCGCGTGCCTCTGCTTGTTCCTCTGAGCTCCGCCGCACTCCCAGCCCCTCCCCCTCATCCCCGTTTGACAGAATCCAACAGTATACTTCCCGACGCCAAGAGCGAGGTCGTTTGCAGCATGAACCCCAAGACTAACCTGTTTGCATGTTCACAGACGAGGCGATGATGGCAAAGGCCCTTCCAGCCGACCCGGATCTAGAAGTCGAGGCGGAGTCATATCACACATGGCATATCAAGAACTGGACGAAGCTGCCGCGGAGAGAACATGGACCCAAGTTTGAATGTGCCGGAGCACCATGGTATACACAACCCTGATAACCGAGATGATGAGAGAAGAATAAGAAGAAACGTCTCTAACTGGTGGTTAGGAGAATATTATTTTTCCCCTATGGTAACCAGGTAGAGTATGCGTCGTTCTACTTGGAACATGGCTGGGAGGATAATGCGCCGGAGGACTGGTATGCTTGCGTACAGTTTGCCTTGGTTCTATGGAACCCAAACCACCCAGACATATATATATCAAACAGTATGACCTCCCCCCCGGAACCTAAATCATTCGTCGGGCTAACTCGACCATAGGAGCGTCTCACAGATTTAATGCGGAAGAGTCGGACTGGGGCTTCACGCGATTCGCTGAACTACGGAGACTGTTTCAACACATCCACGATGATAGAGGCGTGCCGCTCGTGGAGAACCAGGAAGCCTGCCTCACGGCTTATGTGCGGGTGGTGAAGGATCCGACAGGTGTCCTATGGCATAGCTTCCAAAAGTATGCTTCCCTTCCCACGGAAGTGAAGACATAAGAACTAACAGACCTCAGCTATAATTCCAAGAAAGAGACTGGCATGGTCGGCCTTAGAAACCAGGGTGCAACCTGCTACCTTAACTCCCTCCTCCAGTCCTTGTTTTTTACCAATGCATTCCGAAAGGTACGCCGAAGCCAACTCCATATACGCTCTATCGTTGCTAAAATGACGAACAGGCCGTATACCAAATCCCTACGGAAGATGAAGCAAGCAAAAAGAACAGTGCCTGGACTCTGCAGCGCTTATTCTATTCACTCCAAACATGCGACACTCCCGTTTCAACATCCGAACTCACAGAGTCCTTTGGATGGAAATCGAGAGTCATCTTTGAACAGCAGGACGTCCAGGAGCTCTCTCGTTTGTTGATGGAAAAATTAGAGGCGCAAATGAAAGGCACACCTGCAGAATTAGCGCTCCCAAACCTTTTCGTGGGAAAGACAAAAACATATATATCTTGCATTAACGTCGACTATGAATCGTCCCGGATAGAAGACTTCTGGGACATCCAGTTAAGCGTTAAAGGGAACAAGACTCTGGACGATAGTTTTAAGTCTTACATCAACGTTGAGATTATGGACGGTGAGAATAAATATGATGCTGGAGCTCCTCACGGGTTACAGGATGCCAGAAAAGGCGTCATATTCGAAAGCTTCCCCCCTGTCTTGCATCTCCACCTGCAACGATACGAATATGATTTTAACCGGGATGCAATGATGAAAATCAATGATCGACATGAATTTCCTGAAGAGTTTGATGCTGCTCCCTACCTCTCTGCGGATGCGGACATGTCTGAGCCTTGGGAATATAAGCTCTTTGGCGTGCTTGTGCATAGCGGTGATCTCAATGCTGGTCATTATTATGCCTTCTTACGCCCAACCAAGGACGGCCATTTCTATAAATTCGACGATGACAAGGTGATTAGGGCAACCGCCAAAGAAACACTAGAAGAGAATTTTGGAGGAGAGTATGCGAATGGAGCCGGGATGCGCCAACCTTATACTAGGAATTACTCGACAAAACGTTCCATGAACGCGTACATGTTGGTCTACATACGAAAATCGAAAATCAACGACGTGCTCATTAGTGTTGGCAATGATGATGTACCCTTCCATGTTGGTAAGTCACCGGTATCCCCTTTACAGTTTTGTTCATGGAAAGATCAGCTAACTAGTAATACAGCAAAACAAGTTGACGAAGAACGTGCCGAGACCATCAGAAAGAAAAAGGAGCGAGAAGAACAGCATCTCTACATGAACATTGCTGTTGTGTCTGATGAAACGTTTAGACAGCACCATAGCTTCGATCTGATGAGCACTGATCTAGATTCTGGAGATCCGGCCCTCCCCACTACCTACCGGGTCCGCCGTACCATGAAAGTTGGCGAGTTCACCAAACTAGTGGCCGAAGATAAGGGCCTGGATCCAGAGCGAGTTCGTCTATGGGCTATGGTTAATCGCCAAAATAAGACAGTTCGCCCCGATCAGCCTTTACGGGATCCAGAAGACACTGTTGAATCTGCTGCTTTCAAGCAATCTTCAAGAGGTCCTCCTTTTAAGGTGTATATTGAAGTCAGAGAACCTGGAGAAGATGGCAAGGTGGTTTGGCCTGAAACTCAAGGATCGAATGCATCGGTACTCGTCATACTAAAACATTTCGATGCTGCAACCCAAACGCTGTCTGGCGTCGGTCACGTATTTGTCAAGAAGCAATCTAAGGTATCAGAACTGGCTGGCCCAATACTTCAAATGATGAAATGGCCGACCGGTACATTGCTCTCGTTATATGAGGTATGTGTCTTTCCTACATAATATATGACGCATAATCATATCTAACTGCATGCACTTTAGGAAATCAAACCGTCGATGATTGACCAGCTAAAGCCTAAACAGACATTCCAGGCTTCAGAAATCCAAGATGGGGACATAATATGTTTCCAACGAACACAGAGTGACGTAGAGTAAGAATTTTCAATTTTACTATAGCTCATCGCCGCTGCTGACCTTGATACAATAGGCTGGGACCTAACGTCCTCTACAAGGACGCAACAAAATACTACGACTACCTCCTAAACCGCGTGATGATCAAATTTGCACCAATCAAGGCTGAATCCGATGATTCCACTTTTACTCTTGCCCTCAGCCGCAAGATGAATTACGAACAGTTCTCTACCAAAGTTGGCGAATACTTAAAAGTTGACCCGACACACCTCCGCTTCGCGCCCGTTGCCACTAATACCGGGAACCCCAGGCCGTTTATTCGACGGAATGTCGCCCAGACTCTTGCTCAAATCCTCCACACTCAGTATTCTGCTTATGGAAACTCAGGGCAGAGAAATGATGCATTATATTATGAAATTTTAGAGACCAGCTTGAGCGAATATGAAACTAAAAAGTTGCTAAAAATCAGCTGGCTTCCCGAGGGGATTGTCAAAGAGGTTTGTCATTTAGTCAATTCTGCTTTCACTATTTCATATGCTGATATTTTTTTTAAACCACAGCAACCATATGAACTTCTTGTACCCAAGCAGGGAAATGTCGCTGATATTCTGCAAGGGCTGCAACAAAAAGCTGGTCTAGATAACGAAACCATGCACAATGTGCGTGTCTTTGAGGCTCATTACAGCAAAATGCAGAAAGAATTAACGGACAAGTTTGCCGTTGCTGGAATCATGGACACTATCTCACTATATGCCGAGCCGATCCCGGAGGATGAACGGAATATGAAAGAGTGCGATTTCAGGATAAATGCATTCAACTTTGATAAGGAGCCTAACAAAGAACATGGCATACCTTTCAAGTTCGTGGTCAAACCAGTATGTCCCCCCTTTAAAAGACCATCTGTGTTCTTTATGTCGACTAACATATTTGTAGGGAGAAAAATTCAGTGATACCAAGCAACGTCTGTCTAAAAGAACAGGCATCAGAGGCAAACAGTTTGAAAAGATCAAGTTTGCAGTTGTATCTCGTGCAATGTACTCAAATCCAAAATATCTGGAAGATGGTACGCACCGCACCCTCGACAGACACCCCCTTTCGACAAAATAGAAGCTAACCTCATAAACTATCTAGATGACATTCTTGCCGAACTCGTTGGCGATTCCGATAGCCAACTTGGTCTGAACCATGTAAATAAAAATCGCAATTTTTTCTCCAAGAGCGACAATATCTTCATTCGATAGATACCCCTGGAGCCTTTATGCTTTATCAAGTGGCGCAACAGTCGATTCTATGCTGGATGAAAAACATGAACCCTTTTTAATTGCCAACACCTCATACCTTTCACGACAACCATGATATCTTCAGCACTAATAAATGATGATGACTTTCGTGATGCAAATATGAGGCAGGTAGAAAATACACCTGGGAAGGAGGAAACAGTTCCTCTTACGATTTCAGGATTGAATATTTCACTTTTCTTTGCCCTTTTCTCCCATGTCATTTGGCTCTCGGCCATTTATTGCTTTCACCTCTTTCTCTTTTACCGTTTAACTGCTGTTGTCCGCTTTTATATTTATTATTCATTGATTTGCTTTTAAATGGGCGGCGTTATACTGGCGGCGATTGATGCTTCTTTTGACTTCGGGTTTTCAACCCAAATAGTATAGTAAGGGGCCAGTTGTAAGCTATTCGGAAAGACCGAGTGTCTCTAGCTAGATTATTCCCTTTCTACAAGATACTCCGTGAATTAATACTAGAGCGCGATGCCCATGCCTTTCTCTCTTCTCCCCTTTTTTCTCTTACTTCCTGGTCGATAGTGCAAACAGTGCAAACAAGGCACTTGGGAAAAAAGTGTCAACATCACCAGCTTTCTTGACGCAGCGCATTTTCACCCTTGGAACGTCGAATAATTACAACCAGACGTCGACAACGGTTCGCTCTCCAGGAGTCCACGGTATTACTCTCGCCTTTCCAGGTTGCAAGGCATCATGCGGTTCCAATCCATTGCCGTATGGCTCTTTGCCTGCGCAGTTTCATCAGTATACGGTACCGCTTTGACCTACAAACTCGATGCTGCTGAGAAAGCTTGCTTTTACTCCTGGATTGATAAACCACCGGCGAAAATCGCCTTTTACTTCGCTGTATGTTTGACCTTCCTCGTGAGGGGCTGTCAGGGCGGGCAGGCTTGGGATATGTTGAATCTGGTTGCTGATTCGTGGCCGTTTGTGGCCATCTAGGTGCAATCTGGTGGCTCGTTCGATATCGATTTCTCCGTGTATGGTCCAGGTGAGAAGCTGGTTATGGATGGAACGAAGGAGAGGCAGGGTGATTTCGTGTTTACCGCCCAGTCTGTGGGAGAATACCGTTTCTGCTTCAATAACGAGATGTCCACTTTTGCGGAGAAGACCGTGGACTTTGAGATTGCTGTGAGTCCATTACCGCCCTTTACCTCTCCTCTTTTTCTTGAACCTTTCCGTTGCAAGTGGAAAGGCCGTGGGGCCTGAGTAAGTGTTTCGCGTCCGGTACAATGCTAATTAGCCTACCTTATAGGTTGAGAACGAGGAACGAACTCAGCTCCCATCGAAGCCTGGCACTCCCCCTGAGCAAGCCTCCGCCGTTGAAGAGACGATTTTCAGACTGGGTGGCCAACTGTCTACCATCAGCCGAAACCAGAAGTACTTCCGAACACGAGAGAATAGGAATTTCAGCACCGTGCGGAGCACTGAAAAGAGAATATTCAACTTCAGCATTATTGAAAGTTTGATGATGATTTCAATGGCTGGCCTTCAGGTGTTTATTGTCAGGTTCTTTTTCCAGGGTGCCAGGAAAGGTATAGATGAACCGACGGAGCCAGCACCGGGCATCTTAAGATCGTCCATGCAGCTCACCCCTTCCCTCTCCCTGCTCCTGCATTGCCTTATCGGGCTGCGAGCATCATGCTAACTATTATGTTCATTAGGCTACGTATAATCGAGTTAACGACGACGATTCTTTTATGGTTGATTGTGTTTTCTTTAATATGTGATCCTTGTTCTCTACGACATTTTCTAGGTTCTTAGATACCGATGACCATATGAGCATCCAATCTTTTTTAAAAACAAAATTTACTAGTTTACAACAATGATTCAACAGTCAAAAGACCAATATTATGTCATCAGGTTGTGTTCTGACAAATTTCGAACCCTCGGGCATCTGACGTCTCAGAACTAGCCTACCCCTGTTGTGTGTTACCTATAGCTTGGATCCTAATGACGACATCTTGCAGCTGTTGAATGGGAGTCAACGGAGAACTTCCTCTCGGTAACCACAAACACTACATACATAGTACCCAGCCTGGATATATACTATGCACGCATATATTCACTTGATATTGTCAATATATTTCATTCCCCACGTGGCAGCTCAAGCCAGGCACGTCATATCCTCTTCAATTGCTGGCTTGACAATGATGATTTCCGTACTAAAGTCCGTCACTTCACAGGTTTTTTTTAGCCACAGTTAATAGTGCTAAGGGAGAGCAGATCATGCATGGAAGCAAAAAAGTTGGCCAAAAAAAACCCACTGGGTGGCCCGACGTTGTACCGACCTTTTCCCGAAAACCCCCGGCATCGTTCGGTTTCGAGACAAGAACAAGATGTAATAACTTCATTCTGTCCTTACACTTCGTACTCAGTCTTCATCCTAGACATTCTCTTCGATGGCTCCGATCGAACCGGAGCAGAAAAGGGCGCATCTGTGGCTTTTGTACCAAGCGTACTCCGTACACCAATACCGTATGTGCTTACAAGGTCGCCACTTGACCGGGAGCCCCAAAAAAACCGCTGGCTGGCTTGCAATCCTTCAACAGATCTCGATCGAGGTCCCCCTTTTTTACTTTTTTTTGATGCCAAAAGAGTGTCTTAGAGTTCATCCGGCCGACGCTAACTCGCCCGTGCTGGGCGTCTAAGGGGGTTTCTTAACCTTGGTTCAAAAAGGACCCGATGTTTCCATGCGAAGTGACGACATATCTCGGGCCCTATACCCATGCGCCTCCTGGGTGGGAGACTATCAATCCTGTGCTACGGTGCATAATTAATAGGAGTGTGAATATTCACCTTCGATCTTCACCTGGGAACCTGCTTTTGGTCGCTCCTATGACCGCCGTATCAAGCCTAGAGAGTCGGTAGCTATTGGCTATAACGGCGGCAGCGTCTTTAAATATTCCTTGTTTCCCATAGGGCTAGTACGGCGACATAACCGCAACAAAAATGGTCTTCGACTGATAAACTGTTCCTGTATGACGCAATTGCGCCCCCCAGCCCTGTATCAGATATTGAAGATGCACCTCAAAATGATATGAACACCATCCGTTCCTTCAGCCTCTACTCCGTACGTTTACAGAGTACAAGGGGCCTGCTTTTGTCCAGAAAGCCCAACGCGATATATTTGACTCCTTTTTCCCCCGTTGTCTTGTGAGGTATTCCATCTTCCATTTCTCCGCAAAACCGTTTCACACTTGCAATAACCCCCAGAGCGTATAACTGTATTTGCGGCCGGAGTACTGCGGCTCTTGGTAAATGCAGACGCTCCTCTCTTCCTCTTCCCTTTCTTGTCCGAGTTATTTTCTATCAGAAATAATAAAGAGTCAAGCTAAGACATCCCGAACAACATACTATAAAACCCCCTATCTCATCTCCATCCCTATCAAAAGAAAGCCTAGACCAGTCGTTCTAGACCAAACCGTTCATTATCTGAATACACATCTTACGCCGGTTTATTTCCCCCAATAGGCTATATCAGGCTTATAATCGATAGGTGAAATGGACGATACGCTTGCCCAGTTCAAGATGTCCAGCCCCTCAAGGGTTCGCCAGCAGACCTTATCCTCGTACACGCAAGTAATGTACGAGCATACGCAACGACAAATGGAGGAGCTTCGGCCTTCAGAGTCACCTCCGACGGTGACTGAAGCAAAAAAATCGGACAACAATCAGGCGAAGAGGCATAGTCCTCAAGAAAACGGTCTACCAACGTCCATCAAGAAGCATGACTATGCTTTGGACAACGCAAAGGCCAAACTCCAGGGTAACCGCTCTGGTTCCTGACTACGACACCTGTTTATTGGTATGCTATGGTATACACTGTGATATCTTGGTAGCGCGAATATAGCATAGGAGGCTAACGAGACTTATGTCGCTCTCTCTTGAAGGCCTGGCCGCACATCAGCTGTCGCTATTTCAATGTCCAGATGTCCAGACCCGGACGGACACAACAACTCGAACGTACCCTTGTTCGGACAGACATCGAATCTTCCAACAAGATCCGCTCTCCTTCCAACCGATGACGCCGAATACTCTTTCTTCTTCTCCAAAAAAGAAAAACGCTTTTTTCTTTTTTGGCCAGTAATGTGAAAAGAGACTTTTTATTTTGCTTTCATGGCATTCAAAATTCAATATTTCACTTCTCCTGGATATTCATACAAGCCCTCTTTTCTTGTTATGCCTAGCGCCTTTTCTTCCCTTATGCCCTTACGCTTTTTTACCTGGATAGGGCTATATTTCTCCCCATACTGGTATGTCGGGAGTGCCTCTTTTTCTCAAAATTATATATAGCGTATTCTCCACCCCCTCTCCCGTGCCATAGAGAAGGGCCTTTGCTCGATGACATAAAATTTTTCTTACTCTCATTTGTTTGCTTGAAACTCTTCTCGATTTCGTATATTAGCGTTTACGGTAGTGGTAGTGACGTAACGTCTTCATGACCAGCCACCCTGATTCCATCCGCCCATGTTATTATTAGGGTCCGAGTTTGGGTTTCTTCCGTACGTCTGGCTGTGCTGGCCGTGCTGCCCCTGCTGTTGATGGGGATTTGAGGGGTTGAAATGGTAGCTCGGCCCCTGCTGGTGCGGTGGAGGTATGAACTGTTGTCCGCCCATCGGCCCACCCATAGTTGACGGTGGGAAGTTCTGGGGGAAGGGTGGCATATTCGTTGTCATACCCATGTTCATAGCCATATTTATATTCATATTTGGCAGAAATGGCCCCCCGCCCGCGGTAGAGATACCTGGCGGAGGTAGAGGTGGAGGCGGAGGTGGTGGCCAAGGCCCATGATAGTTTGGTGGTCGAACTGGGGGAGGAAACATAACTGGCTGGGCAGGGTTCGCGGGTAGCATGCCCAGTTGCTGTGCCCCAAGGAGAGGGAATTGAGCGTTGAGGTAAGGTGCTTGGGGTTGATTTGCAAGCTGTGGGGGAGCGGGAGGTGAGATGGCCCGAGGTACCGAAGGTTTAGGCGAATAAGATGCTGATCTAGATACTGAACGCCCAGCTCTAGAACGACGAGGCGAGCGAGAACGGGACTCTGAGCCTCTTCGTCGGCGTCCACGAGATATTGACGAGCTTGGGGAAAGAGAACCGCCTCTCCCGTCTTCGCTCATACTATCACTGTACCGCCGTCTTTTGCTAGGTGAACGTCGTGGGCTGACGCTTCGGCTTGCGCTCCGACTTCTACTGTGAGCTTTGCCATTTCTTCTCTGCTTCATATTCTGGCAGAACTCTCGTGACCAGCCGTAATATGTACCACTATCAACTGATTCTCCGGTTGTATCGTTGCGTGTGGTGGTTTGCCCTAGTTCATCCACGTCTACTATCGTAAAACCAGGAGGCTCATTTTCATGGGTATTATAAATTCGGTCCACGTCTGCTAAAAGAGATTTCACAGCGTCGACAAGGGACTGATCGGCGGGACCAGCAGCAAATTGAAGAGGTTTTAATAGCTGGGTTCGAATTGCAACGGAAGAATCCGGGATGATGTGAGGCAGCATATTTCCGGCGGGTAGTTCGTAATACGGTACATTGGGATCACCATGGGTTGCCGGCATCATATACGGTATGTTTCGCGCCTCTGTCATCTTCTGTCCGGCCTGATCACTCCGGTCTATGGCCCTTCTTTCACCAAAGCCCTCAAAATTTTCAAACGCCTCCCTTAGTTTCTTTATGTGGTCTGCTCCATAATATAAATTACTTTCCCATAACTCGAGAAGATCCTCAACTCGTTTGCGATACTTGGGGCAATTCCCTCGGCTATAGCTCCCTGCAAGGCCAAACAGCCCCGTCAAATATGGGCGTAATGACTCCGCTATCGTCGAAAATAAGGAAGCGGATGCCTGGCCATGGTATTTCGTGTGGTGAAGTAAATCATTCAGCAGGTAGAGAATATGTAATATCTTCCTTTTCGAGGAAGTCCCGGTACTTCTACTACCTCCATTTTGATCTTGTTGTATATCCGTAGTTCCCTGCTGCAGCGACTCCGCAAGGGCAACAAAGTATTTGCCTAATCCTCCCACCCGGGTTGCTGAGGGAGCAACATTCTTTAGAAGCCATGATTTGCATATCTGGTGTGAAAAATCACGGGAGGTAACGATTTAGTAAACTTGAATATTCACACTCTGACGATGCAAGGAGCTTGAAATTGTCCAAACCTGGATGTGTGCTGGTGAGCAATGCGACAGCATCGTGTCAAGCTCATTGTGAAAGCGCGATATCTCTTCTCCAGGAACCGAAGATGGATCGGGCCGTAGAAGACCGGCGGAGAACGAAGCCTTCGCAACGGCGATCTGATGAGAGCTCATCACGGGAGCAGTCAGTTCAAGATCCCAGATGCTCGATACACACGAAGGCCGGAGTACAGGGGCGAGGTTATGTTGTTTCTCATATCGTGTTTCTCTCAATCACTTTGATCCTCTACTTTTTCTTATTTTGATGCCAAGACCGGGCATTAAGCTTGATCACGTGATGGTAACTGTGACAACCAAAACATTTGAAGACGACAACAAACAACGACAACTTCGGCCTCTTTCGTCTTCTACACAGAACAGCATCTCTGAGCGGCGACAACATGGTTAACGAGGCGGCGATTGCAGCTGCTATTGAAGATTTGGAGTCACAGGAGAAACCTAATTATGCCAGGACTGCGAGAAAGTGGAACGTCAACCGAGGAACCCTTGCTCGGCGATACTCTAGAAAGACGAACTCCGATCGAGAAACAACCTCCAAATACCGCAAAAAGTTGACAAACGAACAGGAAGAAGCCCTCTTGCAGAATATTGAGACGCTGGCTAATATGGGCGTGTACTGTACGCCTCAGATAGTTACGAATCTGGTCCTGGAACTCACCAAAGAGCCTGTGGGCATCAGCTGGGTTACTCGGTTCTGCAAGAGGTACAAGGATCGGATTACATCTCCATATCTTCTCCCCGCCGATTACTAGAGGTATGTTGAAGATTAACACCACATATTCAATACTATGGCTAAATATTAAGGCAAATTTTAAAGCATTGGGTATTGAGCTCCTTTTACCGCTTAAGCAGTTCGCTTATTTTTTTACGGCCTTCTCTCTTCGAAACTTGCAGCTATATCTCGATCAGACGGAAGGTTTCGGAGTACAGTCCACCGACATTATACTTTATTCTAAGATGATAGCCAACACCTTCCTTAGACTCCTTTGGCTGTGAAAGACGGTTGTCACTGATATCAAATTTGTCTTCGACAAAATGATGTGGAGGCGATGGTTCATATCCAAGCCTCTTCGACTATAGAATGTGGATCCTGAACTTTGACTACTATCTCGCTTGGCCGGCAAGGGATTCACCAGGCAGTGAGCTCTTCCGTCAAGCAACCCGTTCTAACCACACACGTCCAACTCGAATTCATTGGAATGGACAACAGGGCAAATCTCCTCTTGAGACACTGACCCGCTTTATGCATGGGGTCAGGAAAGACATGACGGCACGCTAGCATCAGGCATAAGTGCCCCGGAACTTCCATTGCAGCCGCAACACGCAACTCAACACGTAAAGTTGCGGCGGACGCAGAGACTCAGATGAAAACTTCCACTTCCTTGGCTCCATAATTGAGCGTGAGACCAACATGCTAAGAGACAGTCATTGGTGTCGTTTTGGTACATTCAAGCAAGTGAACAAACAAGTGAGCCACCACCTATTATTAGCCTCCGATCTTGCTTCTCGTTCTATAACGTGATATCGGTTCGGGGCTCCTAAAAGCTACGATATCAAGGGCTCTCTGATGTCATGACTTCCTGCGAAGGTCCCCAAAACTCTTGGCCCAGAACCAGAATCGCGCCCTAAAGATCCAACATTTAAACTTGGTGACTTTATGGCAACTAAGTAATTTCCTTGAGGGAAGTGGTTCGACATTAGACGCTGTAGGATGCGCCGGATGAGCCCACGAATGGGGCCATTGGGGTAAAAATTTCTTCCCCGACCTCAGCCCACCAAAACAACAAAACGCGACTGTCTGCCCATCTTTGCGTCATGCATGATCCCTGATTTTGGTTTCGGCGTTGTGGAAGAAGCCGTCTGTTGGAAAGTTACAGAGCATCCGCCGCCCAAACTCCCGAGCGACGCCCCTGAACCGCCGAACCTGGGCCAGAGTTGAGCATGCCAGACGGATGTCATGGATGCCGCAAACCAGATACTTAAAGCTGCGCCTGATCCCTTAGGGAAGTGTTTTTCTTTAATATTCAAGTCAATACACCCTATCCCACGCACCAACTTGAGCATCCAGAGCTACGTATTTACATAGTTAGCTGGTTAGTTGACCATAACCAAAGAGCCGAGCGTTACAATGAGCCAACCAACTGTCATGCTTCGAACCTCGCTTCGGCGCTTTTCTGCCCAAGCACCCAAGCCAGAGAGCAGAGCTCAGCGATATCTGGCAGCATCATGTATTGTCTCTGGTGTCCTGCTGCCGTTTATTCCGCCGGCCTTGGAGAGCTCTCGGGGAAGGAAGCTCGATCAACCGCCTACAAACAAGTAAGCCTATAACGATGTACTTCCCACACATAGAATTAAAGGACAACATATTCTGATCATGGTACAGATATCCTCCCCTTTGCTTCCATGCACGCTAAGGCTTGAAAACATGCGCAGTTGCGACAAAATTTCACTTTGTCTTAATTTTTCTCTTACTTCCACCGGTTTGGGAACAGGAGTATGGCTTCATCGATGGCTCATTTTAATGGGATATTTTTTAGCATGGATTTATTGCATAGGCATATTTTACGAGGTACTTTTTTCCTCTTTACTGTCGGTGTTATTTTCAACCCTTGTTTATTCCTTGCATATTCAGAAACGCCTTGGAGTTAGCTTTTGAGAAATATATCAATCTTACCTTTGTTGAAAGTCTTGAATAGGTGCTAGAGTACTTATATCTAATCCGCGCTCTCGTCGACTATCTTCAAGCCCATACTCTCTCGAGTTGTGTCTGATATACGCCCGTATACGGTCCAATCGTATGGGTTCAGTTTTCGTCTAATCTAGGTATTATAAAGCGAGGCTTACATAGTATACACGACCAACTTTGCTCTATCAGAACCACACTATGCTCAAATGGATGCGCTGACCTCTCCCTGGGTGGCTCGAAAAAAGCCCCGTTGACAGCGATGGATGGTTTATATGATTCAGTATATACTGCATTGTCATATAAAACATTTCGAGCAAGTGCTTCGAAATGCCCTCTTAAGCCGGTGACTCGTTAGTGTTTGGCTTCCCCTGGGGCGGATACTAAGAGGGAGATCGGGGAGATCCCAAGACGTCTGTAAGAATGGGGTTGAGTTCTCTAGAGCATCTCTATGGGTATCATAGCCCATAAGCTGCCTGAAAGTGATGGTCATCTTATCTTCTGATTTAGAGAAGGGTTGCTGAATATGAGCTCAAAATAATATACAGATATACTTCCTATAGCCTTCTTTTAACAGCATAATATGTGCAAGAGTACGCTCAGCAAATAAATTGCCAAGCAGCTTCAATTACATATCAAATGGGGGTATGCATATGAGCTGTCTGATACCGATTAACTGAAGCGGTTACCCTTCTTCGATCTGAATACTTCAGCGGCTTCGTATTTCCCTTTCTCTGCTAGGCGCTGCGCATCGGTATCCGGTTCATGTCTTGTAGGAGCTGGGTCATGTCCCAATTCCTCGCTGGGGCTATATGCATCGTCCTTTTGTGGTCCACTATTTAACCGCTCTACCCGTGCACTAGCCGCCTTTGACTGTTCAGCTGCAGCCTTCAGTAAGTAGTAAGCGCTGGTTAGTACATCCTAACACAGGGTGATTGTGTTGAGGAAAGGAAAATTGCATCCGTACCCTCGCCGAAGCTTCAGCTTTGGCCAATTCATCCTTGCGCTTTTGAGTAGCATCAAATCTAGTTAATCTGTCGGCGTTTATAGAACGTTTGGCGAAGTAGTATGCGCCGCCACCAGCTAGTTGTAGAAAAACATGGTGAGCTTTCTGCTTGAAAATTGTTGCATAATAAGCCAGTATAGCGGAGCCATACCAACACAGAGTGCTCCCCATCCAATCCTAGGTAGATCGATTGTATTTAGCCATCACTCCACTGGCTCAATTGTAATGTATCATAGCAAAGGGTTGTTCGTACCAGGTCGACCTAATCTATTCGCCACATGAGGGAATAAGTTAGTACCTTCAGGTCTACAGAGTGAAGATGATAGCAGCAAATCTACTCACGGTATTCATATTGAGATTCTGAAAGTAAAACGGGACCGGCGTTATTAAATTGCTGTTGTTATGATTTATACCATAATCTTTCTCCGAAATTCTTTGCTAGAAGTTACTTTTAAGCCCATAGCTTATCGTGCTTAGTCATTATCTATATCACGTGATCATTTCTCGATAAGGCCTTCGATAGCAAGGTTGAAGTCCGACCATCAACGTCAAACAAGGCCCATTCTCTTTTCCTCTCTTAGAAGTGCTTATTACTACTTGTGAGACGGTGTCACTCTCCCCAGAGTTGTCTCTGAACAGCTATAACTACGATAACAGCTCTAAACGATGCTCCCATAGCTCCGATATCCTTCTTATTCCTGGTGAGGCGGTCATTTTGCGTCTCCGACGAATACAGGTGAAGCTATGCCTCCGAAGAGAAAGGCAGTCGAAGGTATGTTATTAAAGGCATGCATCGTGGTTAAAATATAAAGCCGGTCTGACTTTTATCATATAGGTGCAAGAGGCCGCGCTTCGAAGCGTCCTACTCCGAATCCAGTCTCAACACCTCAGAGCGTCAGTAGCGATGAGTATTGTGCGGAGCATGATGAGAGTGACGGTGAAGCGGACAACTTGAAAGGCATGTTATGATATAATAGTGTTCTTTACAAGCTGGAGAGCAAAACAAGTAACCTCTTAAACCAGATGTCGTAGAAAAATTTACGCTACAATCCTACAGCCAGAAGTCACAGCCCCCAAAACAGGATCCGCATTTTGGTTACAAGGATTTCTCTGCTCTTTCATTAAAACCTGACCATGCAAATCGCCCTCTTTGGATAGAGCCCCTAAAGGGAACAATCACGCTCGAGAGTTTCTCCCCACTAGCATCGCAGGCACAGGATTTCCTGACCACCATTGCTGAACCATTGTCTCGGCCCACACACCTTCACGAATATCGGCTTACAGGCAACAGTCTCTATGCTGCTGTGTCAGTCGGCCTACTTCCGACTGATATTATCAATTTTCTGGACCGATTATCAAAGACACCCCTCCCTGAAGCTATCAAATCATTTATTATCAACTTTACGAAATCATATGGAAAAATAAAACTTGTACTGAAACATAATCGATTTTTTGTGGAAAGTTCTGATCCCGCCACCTTACAGATGCTTTTGAAAGATGAAGTTATTGGGCCACAGAGAATAGAAAGTTCGGAAGGGATAATACAACAAGCGGCTCCAAAAATGGCGGGACTGGTAATTCCAGGAACCAAGGATGCGGCTATGTTGAAGCAAGCCCCTGACCAACGTGCCGCCCAAGTGCCAGAACGGTCTGCCCAGCAGGGTGAAGATGATATCTTGGTGAATTTACGAGAGGAAGATGATGATGAGGAACAGGCTCAGGTTCACAGCTTTGAAATTCCAAACACGGCGGTTGAGTCAGTTAAAGCCAGATGTCAGACTATGGGCTGTCCGGCTCTGGAGGAATATGATTTCCGTAATGATGACATCAATCCAACCTTGGATATTGACCTTAAGCCCATTGCGCAAATCCGAAGCTACCAGGAGAAAAGTCTGAGTAAAATGTTTGGTAACGGGCGAGCGAAGAGTGGAATTATTGTGCTTCCGTGCGGAGCTGGAAAAACGCTGGTCGGTATTACAGCAGCATGCACTATCAAAAAGGGCACAATCGTTCTCTGCACTAGTTCTATGTCCGTTGTCCAGTGGCGGAATGAATTTATTCGATGGTCAAATATAGATCCAAGTGACATTGCCATCTTTACATCTGACAACAAAGAGAAGTTTCGACGCAACACAGGTGTGATCGTATCTACATATTCCATGGTGTCGCAGACCCGCGCTAGATCTCACGATGCCGAGAAGATGATGGAATGGTTGCAATCTCGGGAGTGGGGGCTCATGCTTTTAGATGAAGTACACGTCGTGCCTGCCTCCATGTTCCGAACAGTCACGTCCGCTATTGCTACACAAACGAAGCTCGGATTGACAGCAACACTTCTACGAGAGGACGACAAAATTAAAGATTTGAACTTTTTGATTGGACCGAAGTTGTATGAAGCAAACTGGATGGAACTTGCAGAGCAAGGCCATATTGCCAAAGTTCAATGTGCAGAAGTGTGGTGCCCTATGACCACCGAATTTTATACCGAGTATATGCGCGAAAAGTCTAGAAAAGCGGCCCTTTTGTACATCATGAATCCCAGGAAATTCCAGGCCTGCCAATTTTTGATTGACTATCATGAAAAGCGAGGGGATAAGATCATCGTCTTTTCTGACAATGTCTTTGCATTGGAGCGATATGCCCTGAAATTAAAGAAGGCTTACATTTATGGCGGGACTCCTCAGAATGAACGCCTGCGGATTCTTGAAAACTTCCAGCATAACGAACAAGTGAATACAATATTCCTGTCCAAGATTGGCGACACGTCCCTTGATTTACCAGAAGCCACATGTCTAATTCAAATATCATCCCACTACGGTTCTCGTCGACAGGAAGCTCAACGACTAGGCCGTATCCTTCGAGCTAAACGCCGTAACGACGAGGGATTCAATGCCTTTTTCTACTCCCTGGTGTCAAAAGATACTGATGAGATGTTTTACTCTTCTAAACGTCAAGCTTTCTTAGTTGACCAAGGTTACGCATTCAAAGTGATAACCCATCTCCAGGGAATTGAAAACCTTGAAGGCCTTGCGTACGCTACAGCCGAAGAACGTCTAGCACTATTAGCAGATGTAACACTCCAGAATGAAACTTCTGCTGCTGTCGAAGAAAATGCCGACGATCTATTCAATGATCGGATGGCCGGCGGGAAGCCCCGCGGCGGTAAGAAACCTGTGCGGAGAAACGCCGCAACGCTCAGCGGGCTTGCTGGAGGTGAAGATATGGCTTATATCGAACGTAACAAGAGTCGAAATAAGCAGTTGAAGGAACGTAGCTCATTCTTTAAGAAAATTGATCGTGATCGTGCAAAGAGGAAGAAGATGCTAGAGCAATAGAACTTAGATGTACCAATACTAACAAAAACAGGATCTTTCTTTTACCTTTTTACATTTTGTTCTAAGGATAGTGTGATGGCGGATTTTGACTATTATTTTGAAAAATGGCATACCATTTCATATAAAGCGGTTATATATCCAATCAGTTTAGAAAATAACAGAAGCTACCTATGTGCAGCTAGAACGCTCATCATAAAAATATTCCCAAAACTATAACAGTAAGATGAGACAAGAAAGAAAAATGTACGCTATAAAACTCGAATACATAGAAAAGGCTGCAATGGTATCTGGCAGAAGAAAATATGAACAAAAGGAGCCTGAAATTGACCATGTCAAAGCGAAGGGTATATATACGCGGTGGTATATTATGTTCTATCATCAGTTGGCTGCAATGATCATTCAATAGGATGATTCCATGACTGAGAGTGCAGCTGCTAATTCAAGAGCAGTACAAAAAATTAGTAAACAGACATTAATCCCACTTTACAAGGTGGAAGCGGCTTGTAAGAGCCTCAGGATTGCCGTAATTAGATTAGTAGGCCATTCCTGACGGGTATCAATTCATAGGTAAAGAACGAAGCGCCTGGAATGCGATGTTATGCGGTCACTCTTCGGAAATTGAAGGGACGAATTTTGACATTTGCTTTTTCGTAATTTTTCCAAGCTTAGATTTTGAGTCGGCACGTCGGTGATCTCCTCGGGACTGAGAAAACGGAGGTAGTTTGTCGTGAGCGGGGGATGTCGGCCCAGCTGGAGGAGGCCTGTAAACGGCGTTGGTAAGAAGTTGTTTATCTTGGTGCATGGATTGCGAGGGAAATGGTCTTAATGTGCCACTTTGCCCATGGTGGTTTTGCCTGCTTGAAGGTCTTGGGGGTTGCTCCGGCCTCCCTGGAAATTTTTCAGTATCGGATCCTGATGTTACTGAGGCTGGTGAAGACGCTCCAGAGCCAGTGCTTTTTTCACTATCCTTTGACTCAGTAGAGATTCGGTATGTATTTGATATAGTTTCGAGAGCAACTAGTTCACAGCGGGTGCATGCTGCCGCAGCAAGCTCAAGCATCCGAACCTGTTTCCCGAGCCTTGATCGAGCAAGCTTAACATCTTCAGACTCAGCTGCAATAACTTCAATGTCTTCATCAGACATCTGGACAAATTTAGACGGAGTGATCATGTCCTCCAGGCCATCTATAAGGCAGCCTTCAACAGCGAGACTAGCGATGTTGTTAATGAAGTTGTTAAGAGATACTGAATAATACGCCAGCATACAATCCAATATCTCAGAGTGAGGTGAGCTAGTACTACTAGCTTCGGCGCTGTTAGCTGTGCTCCGTATTTGGGAGATTCTTATTTTCAGCGCTGGATCCACGATTATTGGGATGATTTTTTTGAACGGAGATACAATCTCATCGATCTTATCTTGCAGTTTCTGTAGCTTTTTCTCCATCTCGATATTGAATATCTTATGGATTAAGGCTTCGCCAACACCAGCATCAGCAATGTGGTGAAGAAGGTCGCTGAGAAACTGCCTAATCTTTGTCCACATCTGAAAGACATGGGCTCTGGCAATCGCCTTCCACCTCAGAGAATATCGAATAAACAACTCGCCAATGACTTGAGCATTCATCAGACCGGATACCTCACGGCCTTTGCTTTGCTTCACAAATTCTTCAAGGCCAGTCATGAATTCTCTTCTCGTCACTGGCTGTGGTCCGTCCGGCAATCGTGGAGGAGATTCTTTTTGAGCATCATCATCGTAAATATCATAACTGTGACCACGCTTTCTCATATCCTGGGAGAATTCTTCAGTCCAGTTGCTAATCGTGGCGCGGAGACGCCTTATAGAATGGGTTGGACGATATCTGAAATAGGGATCGTGGTACTCCCCATAAATAGCTGCCTTTGTAAGGGATTGAAATCTCTCTCCTATCCTAGCCAGATACACGCGACGTTCAACTGTAGTATTGTTCGAAGAGCCAAGTTTCTCGTACAGGGTACGATGGGTATCAAGGTCAATATTGATATCTGATGTGAGCACGGAAAGATTGCGTTTTACTTCGGCAAGTAGGATTTTACGAACCCTACTGCGAAGAGCGCCAACGCCGACTGAATGAGGAGGCAGAGTTCTCCATGGGGTTACAGTAGCAAAGAATAGTTCCTCAATATCATCACGGGTAACTCTCGGAGGCCGTTCGAGCCCTTCACTATCTATATTCCTTAAAAGGTGCCATCCAAGCTGAAGCGAGTTATTCTGCTGCTTAACACGGTCGTATATCTTAGCAATAATGGAGGCGTCGGGGCCTAGACAATCGACTTTGGTGATGATGCCCATCGTTCGAGCAGCGCAACATCTTGTCATGTGTAGTATCATCTGCTCTGAGAGCTGGCGTTCTGCCGAAATAACGGCAAGGATGATGCATCGAGGATTTTGTAGGTAGGTTTCGGTGAGATTCTTGGCCATGGCAATATCTTCAGCGGTTTGATTATCACGGGGCAGATACAGCAAGCCAGGGAGGTCGACAACAGTAAGGTTGGGTAGTGTCGGTCCGGATATCTCCAAGTGCAGGACGTCCTCCGAGTACGTCCCTTCACGGGTAAGGCCCATTATTAAGCGAGCTTCCGAAAATAGCTTAGGGATATCCGAGAGCCAGTTATGCGATCTAGTGAACACTCCAAGTTTATGCCTGTGATCTGGGGAAGCATTTGGTCCGGGACAGATCTTAACCTGTGCACTGATATCTGGTGCCCGACGAAGAACCACCTCGACGACAAACCGCGTCGAGACTCCATTGTTGACAGGCAGCGGGACTCCGGTGATGGCTTCAAATACCGCCGACTTGCCGCAATTTTGATCACCACAGATAACTAACTTGTGTGAATATACTTGATGATGAAGCCCAAGCTGGCGTAACTCGTCGAGGCGCTCTAGAAGGACGGTCTGTTCGCGGGATTGTAGAAGGTTGATAGGTAAGGAATCGTACTTCATGGCGTTTTGGCCCATGGTTAACGGCGTAAACGAGATAAGAGGGCCGCCAGATTTGAAGAGAGCTTATGTGTTGATCAAGAACAACAACGCAGCAGCGGATGAAGGGAGAGCCATCTAAATATCAAGGGCGCCCCAAGGTGACACTGGATATCCTGTTTTTGCCTCGAAGTACCGGTTATACGGGAAAGTAATCCCCTCAAAGGTAAAAAGTCTAGGCTTGCCTCGCTTCGATGGTATATATGAAACCAAGCCAACATGCAGGGTGGCAATTAGGGAATGATATCGATATAATTCTGCTGTCAAAGCGAGCATTTTGCACCAATTAGTACGATTTCTGCAGCTGGGCAATTCCTGCGGGCACCCCTAGTCGTTAGGCTTTATTCCAGTATCGGCATGAGAACGGAGCATCTAACGCAGTCTGGTTCTGTCCACATTGCAGCAACTGGGGATATCCCTTCGTCGACGAGAGCACCTTAACCGAAACAGTTCAATGGACCGAGATATGCCAACTCCGCACCACGCTTCTCCTGTGCAGAAAAGGCCTAGCCGTTACCAGCGCGTGGCACGCTAACGCAGGTCAGGCCCGTTTTGCTTAGTCGCCAGCCTATGGATGTGCAACGAACTGGAGTTCGCAGGGGTAATCCTAGCATCACATCGCCGCACCAACGGTGAGCTCCAGGGACAAGGGTCTGCAGGCATATATATATACACACATATACACGCCCACTGAGTAGACAGGTCGCCGGCATGCCAGAGAATACGAAATGAGTAGGCCAAATCAAAAGAAGTTCGACTTTGGGGAAATTTTTGGGTTTTTTTTTTTTGATGTTGATTTTTGCTTCTTTGGATGACTAAGCGGCGGTTATATCGGCTGAGGCTTAAGTCACATGATACAGTTTAAGTCATGGTTACATAAGTTTGTCTTGTTTGTATATAACATCACGTGGTGATATCAACGTCACTCCAAAAAGCCCAACTTTCGGCTTGCTTTTGCGTTAGCAACAACAACTGTTGTATATAAATAACCAGCAGCTGCACCGAATACAAGATTGCGATTGCAGGCCTATACAGAGGGCGTCTGTTAGAGTCTGACTATGGGGTCGGATTCTGGACGTGACCGCGGTCCGAACTTCCCCAACGGCTCTGGTCACGGTGGTGCCAGAGACGAGGAAGAGAACCCGTTCATAGCTTTCCGTCGTTATGCTGATAGGCAGCTTTCAACTCTTCTCCGATCAATGGTTGGGCTTCCGTCCGCTGTCCTTCCTCCCTCGGCAAAAGACTGGCTTGGCTTGAATGATGAAGAGCTGAGGAGGGTGTTAAACGCTCGCCTAGACGGCTCAGATAACGATCGTTATCGCCACAAGTGTCATGATTGCAATTCCAGTGATGACTCCCCCAGGCCTCGTGGGGGATACGATGATAAGTTCCCCAGAGTGAACACACCCGGTTTTTATGGAGATGATCACCCCAGCTCTGAACAAAAACGAAAACGCGCGAGTCAATCGTTCCCGGCTTCAGCCTTCGACGCGTTATTTGATAGCGCGTGGCCCACTGACCCTGCTTTTCTATTCCGAGATCTGGCTCACTTTCACGGGCCGTTTATATTCGATTTTATGGCCCCCTCAACGTCCGCTGGCTGGCCAATTTCTTACCTTATGTTTTCCCCATACTCACCCCTACAGTTGGAACGTCAACGGCAGTTACGCCAGCGATACCAAGATCATACTTTATCCTCCTGGTTTGGCTCTCTGGCACTCACCCATGAGCCCCGAGATCCCAGAGAGCCCCGCTGGCGGGAAGCTTTTGAAGATTTACTTCGGATCGAGAATGGAAAAGCTATGCTTGATAGAGATTCTCGGGATGAGCGTACTAATGAATCTGGCAAAGATTGGTTTTCAGGCTTGATAAAGCGCGGCAGTCTTGGTGATGGCTGGTCCCATGTAAGTCAGCCAGATGGCGAAGGGGATTACTTCAAATTTTTGTGTACAACCTCCAATGACACCTCTACTGGACACGAAGAGGTGTCTCGGAAACGTCTGGGAAACGAGGATGGTCGGCCATTTTCAGAACTTGACCTATACGACAACTTCCTCCATAAAGTTAACCATGGTCCAGACATTTCCCAGTCCAGCCCATTGCTAAGAGCAATACTAGAAGAGCGCAAACGGCAGCGCCAGGAGCTTGAGGAGCTGCAGCTTCAATGGAAAGAAATGTTCCGTGAAAAGGAAATGGAACGTGCAGATGATCACAGAGCTGTTTCCGATGTAGCCCGCTTTGAAAGCAAGACGCAACAATCTCAAGCGTCGCAGGCTGATGAAGGTTTACCCGAGTCGATAGTTTCCAGTATCACCACTACTCAACGACTGATGCAGCCCGATGGGTCAGTAAAGACCAAAATAATTGTCAGCAAGCGCTTTGCTGACGGACGAGAAGAAAACACTGAAACAGAAGAAGTCACAAGAAATAGTCATTTGACTGTCGATGAGAGTAATCAGGTTATGGCTACCGGGGACGACAAGCAACATAGTACGCCAAATGGCGGGAACAAGCACAGTGGTGGCTGGTTCTGGCAAGAGTAATATGATCTACTAGCTGGTTGATTTCTCAATCTGTTGTTTACTCTCCTCTCACTTCATGCGATGTCATTTTATCACCTTGAATAAGTGAAAATTGATATCTTACTTCACCACTTAATAGTTCAGCAACTCTACCTTCCGAACTATACGGCTCTTTTAGTGGAATTTGTTTTTCCTTTTCGGGTTTGAATTGTCATATTCACTTTGAAGGTTTATGTCCGAAGTGCCCTAGTAGTGTCAAACGATTTTGACTTCTTGATGGAATATATACATTTATTTTGGGTGCCTGAGCAATTTTTATATTCTTAGTATTTTACTCGCAACTGAACTTTTTGGCTCTGATTTTGCCTCGGCGAAAGGGATCTGATTATTAATATTGCAACAAGCTCGAAGCTGTTCGTAGTACTAAAGCTCGAAGATTATCTGAGATAATACGAGGTCTTTGGTCTTGGGCTATGTATGATATTTTATATATCAAGTCATTTGCCCATTCAAAATTTACAGGCTGGGCAGAGGACTATTCTAACTCATCCGCATCGACCGTACAAATCGACCAAATCGACCAAACCCTACATCATGTCTAAAGACGTCATGCCCAACCCGGCGCATATCGACGCCGATACTCTGCTATCTAGGAAATTCGGCAAGGAGACAGTGAACTATTTCTCTAGTAAAGATACTAGCCTATATCCCTGGCCATTTTATCCCCCATACCGTTAACAGTTATCATGCAGGCTCACCATTAAATCGGGTATCATTCCTACGGTCTGATAACCTCTTCTTATCAAGTGCCATCAAGCACCCCTCAGCCAAGTTTCTGTTATTCAATCAGCTTGCGCCTCTTTCTCAAGGCCCTACACAACTATATTACGCATCATACCAGGAAATAGAAGCAATCGTACCTTTGGATATATTCGATAAACCTGAAAAGGAAATTATTGAAGCCTATGACTCAGGCAAAACCGCTCCCTTAGTAGTATTTTTGGGATTGAATGAATCACAAGCGGAAAATGGATTCATCTATAAAAGCTACAAGGGAGTCCCATATTTCGCTCTCGATATCACCCCACGGGGAATCCTGGAGGAGAAAGCCAAACAGATAATTGGGGCCATGGAGTCGAAGGAGCTCACTTTCAACAAGGCAAGGGCAATTACTTCCTTGCCATCAGATGATGGTATGACAACCGACTCCTTCTCACCATCACGTATTTATCATAACGAACTACTAACAACGTTCCAATCGAAGCTGCCATATATGCGCAAGCTCGGCAGACAATAGACTGGAATGTTCGTAATGCATTCTGCGGAGCATGTGGACAAAAAACCATCTCAATAAATGCGGGATCCAAACGAGCCTGTCCTCCAACTGACCTCGGGCTCCTGCAAAATGGGGAATTGACGGATAGCTCTCGTCCTCCATGCCATACCCGCAACGCGATTTCGAACCTCTCCTTCCCACGAACGGACCCAACCGTCATTGTAGCAGTAGTATCTCATGATGGGGAGAAAGTGCTCCTTGGGCGCCAAAAAAGATATCCACCATACTGGTACTCGACATTAGCGGGTTTCATTGAGCCGGGAGAATCTGTTGAAGATGCCGTCAGGCGCGAGGTCTGGGAAGAGTCTGGGGTTATTGTATCACGGGTTGTCATCCACAGTACTCAACCATGGCCTTATCCAGCCAACCTTATGATTGGCGCCATTGGCCAGACTGCAAAACCCGAAGACGAAGTTGTAAATCTCGATCATGATCCAGAGTTGGAAGAGGCGAAATGGTTTGATATTGCTGAAGTTCAAGAGGCTTTGAAATATGGGGTAAGCTCCCTGGCGGCGCCACCGCCACCCGGGTATAAGGAGGGCGGCCTACGACTGGCACCAAGCACGGCTATTGCATACTTCCTTATTGAAGCTGCCGCGAAGACCGAGCTTCTTGGAAATCAGTATCTGCCTAGGATATAATACCCGGTTATATTACTTTTAACTCGCTGAAAAGTTACGAGTTTCTTTGGGGGTAGCATTATAGACAGGCCAGTGTTAGTATCTTCTGTGTATGGGTCACAAACTTGCAAATACTAAAATCAATATATCATTTACGTTCCGTGACAAAAACAGGCAAAAACTGGAACGGATGTTTGGTTGATTACAAAAGGGATAGATAATAATGGTGGTTATATAGCAATCCCTTGGACGTCAGTACACTTCACACATTTGCCATCGATGGATCCTTAGCAGACGCATCGCGGACGATGAGACTATACATTTTTTTCCCGCCTTATATTTTGCGCCGGAATAAAATGCCGTAAATACTAAAACAAGTGATTAGAAAGGTAAAAAGGGAGTTTGGGAAAACAAAAGACATTATATCTTTTGCAGATAGATGTGTTTAATTTTCCGCCTCGGGACCCTGAGACGTCGGAGCACTGTCTTCAAGTCTGGTACGTTTGGGTTCTCTATCTTCACTAAGATCGGTGGTGCCGGCCATTTTACGCTTTTCTCTCTCTCGTTGTTCCGCGCGGCGAGCTTCCTTATCCTTCTCTTTTCGGTGAGCTTTGGATTCAAACTCATGCCAGTCGCCTTCCACGTCTGCCAGTCTGAAAGAATATTTATATTAGTATATATGGTATATAGAAAAAGATTTGAAAAATTTCACTTACTCCATAGCTTGCTGTGGGCCTGGCTCTTCAGACACAAAGTAAGGGTGCGCAAGAATTTCCTCAGCAGAGGGCCTTTTGCTAGCATCATATCGGAATATGCTGGCAACAAGGTCAAGGGCAGCAGGAGATAAACAGTCCCGGTATAGATTCTCGAACGCTCTTTTCTTCCGTTCCGCAGGCCGCATAAGCTCAAACCAGGGCATATCGATAATATCCGGCCAGTCTGCCCTTGTAGGGGTTCCAAGAGAGTTATAGAGTTTATCTATTTGATTCAGTTCACTGCCATCCCCAGGGAAGATGGCTTTCTTGGTAAACATCTCCATGTAGACGCATGCAGCGCTCCAAATGTCAACTGCAGGACCGTATCGAGTCTCACCGAGAAGTAACTCCGGAGGTCGGTACCATATTGTGATAACTCGGTTGGTATAATCGAGCTGCCGTGACTTCGAAAAAAATCTAGCAAGGCCAAAATCTGCGAACTTGAGCTGACCTTGATTACTGATGAGAATATTTGCGGCTTTAATATCACGATGAAGGACTCCACGATGATGAAGATAGTTCAGCCCTTCAAACATTTGTTTGGCAAGATGTTTCTTGTGCGCAGCCGATAGTATGAAAGTCGGATGGTTAATGAGGCCAGTAAGATCGTGTGAAAGGTATTCAAACACCATAAAGCATTCATTTTTCTCCACCATTACCTCTTGCAGACTGACCACATTCTGATGATGAAGGTGTTGTAAGAGTCGTATTTCTCGAACAGCAGTTATGGGAAATCCATCCTTTTCACCTTCCATACGTATCCGTTTGAGAGCGACCTTATTCTTTGTAAAAACATGCACGGCCTTGAAAACTTTTCCGTAAGTTCCAGCTCCCACAACGGATTCGTTTCCAGGTTTGCGATAATATACAGAATCAGCACGAGAGAATTCTTCGGAAAGTGTAGGTCGAGGTTTCATTCGAGTCAGAATTTTCTTCTTCGGTTTTGTACGCTCAGCCGTTCGGTCTTTTCGTTTCTCAGGCCGTGACTCTCGCCGGTCTTCTCGTCGGTCTCGTCGTCTATCATCCCGGTTATCAAAACGTCGATCTCCTCGACGGGAATCTCGACGGTCATCTCGACGATCAGAACGTGTTTCATGCTTCAACTTAGAGGTCACGGATTGTGGTCTCGTTTTATGAAGCTCCAAAGGTCGAGGCGGATCCCGCATCTTGTGCGTCAAGTCAGGGATAGGTTTTGGAGCTTGGGATGGCGTAGCCTTCGACTTAAAAGCGAAGCTAAATTTTCCGGATTCCTTTGGCTGTGAAGTAGTGCTAGGCTGTTGTTTGGGAGGAGAGGGTTCAGGATGTTCTAAATCACCTGCCGCCCCTTGATCCTCTACTTGCAGGTCCTTTGACGGACGAAACGGATTATCTTCCTCATCTATATCAGCAGACATTTGCTCTTCAGATGGGATCTGCATTGGTAGTGGGGGCGGGTACGTGTGAGAGGTAGAGTGTGTACCTCTGCCACGACTAGTCCATTGTACAGCATCTAAATGTGAGCTTCGGGATCGTGAACCTAGGAATTTGTTAGAATACAGCCTGGACTCGCTGAAGGTCTATGATGTAAGAGACATGGAGGATAATAATTACCACGATATGATGAGCTACTTCCTCTGTACGACTGGTTCGAATAACTCGGCGGAAGGTGGCCCGAACTAGGTGGTTGACCTTGATAATACTGACTTGGCGGTGCACTTTGAGGCGGGTAGCTTGATTGACGATAAGGTGGGGAGTAGCCATGCATTTGTCTAGTAAACAGTAAGTATCAAACAAGTGATTTTAATGGAGGATATGCAAAGATTCCATCTCACCTTGACTGTCCATGATAAGGCTGCGATTGTTGTTGTCCAGACCATGAGCCGCGTCCACCACCACTGTAAGGAGAGCCAGACTGTGGAGACTCGTGTCTCGAGCTTGTGGGAGTCACATATTGTGGTGATGTGGTATATGGCTGACGAGTATCGACAGACGGATGTGACGGCCGCCGTGAAGACCGGGCTTCTGCCGGCCTTACACCATGTACGGGGTATGTGTCACGCATGTGTTCGTCGTTATTGATTCCCCGTCTGTTACTAGACTCACCAACGCCAATACTGGCGATGTGTAAAGGAGAAAAATCGAGTCTGGAGGGACTGTTAGAGAGCGGTTCTAAGGGCTGCGAGGTTGATACGGAAGGAGAATGGTGACGAGAGGTTCTAGAGATAAACGAGTATCGTGATGGCGGACGGAGAGGGTTTTCTATATTGCGAGGGAATGGGGGAGTATGTGAAGGTCTTGGGGATGCGGTAAGAAGGCTCCGCTCGTCGGAAGGGGGATGCGGTCGAGAGCTTTTCCCGGTGGAAACTTCAGCAAAATTGTTAGCTTCTAGATTCTCTTTATCTCGAGGAGGAAACCTCTTTGAAGAAGAGCTATGCTTTCGAAATTTCCCATATCTGTCAGCGCCGTCTTCTATGCCATGGGCTCTTTTGCTGACGGAAGAATGGTGGCGACGCGAAAGGGGTGGTGAAGCACTCCTTAGTCGCTTCTGTTTCTGGAATCGTGTATGTGAATGTTCTTCTTCATCTTGTCGGACCCTTACCTGATGCTCTGGGTAAGACTTGCGCTGTTCTTGTGAAGCAAATTCGTCGTGTGGGGATGGGGACGCGATTCTCCCTCCACCTCGTTTCTGATCGGTTCGATGGAACGAAGGGCGTCGATGATAGTAACCACCACGACCTCTACAAAGTCTATCTTGCTCCCGGCGACGCGGATGGGAGGATTTATAGTGATAGGCGCCTCCTCTGCTGGCCTTTGGACGCTCTATGGTTTCGTATTCGTTGTGGTCTCTCCTCTGTTCTTTCATCGATAGATTCCTATCGTACCCGGCCATGTACTCCCTAGCCACATCTGCTTTCGCAAACAGGCAATTTCATCAAGTGACAAAGGCCGTAGCAGTGTCAGGATGCACGATGGTATCGTCGTGATCTTGTTATTGGTTTGCTTCTTGTTGTGTTGCCGAATTAATGTTAAGAAGCGTTTTTTTTTTTGGTTGATAAAGTGGTTGCTGGAAAAACGGCGGGCGACAAACACCACTTGCGCACTTCTTTTTCTATCATTTTTTTTATATTTCCCGCGCAACCCGTCAGTAATATCGGAAGAGCCCATATAAATTTCTGAGGTAAGAAGGCTCTTTTCCAGAGTAGATATCGGTACCTACTTGGCCGTCCGAACAAGTCTCGTATGTGTTGAAGGTCGATGCGGAAACAGTAAGATATAAAAGTGACATATATCTGCATCACGGCGGAAAGTGATATTACTCAATCTCCAACCGTAAGCACAATTGTGGTTGCCATCAGGTTTGGTCTGCTCGAGTTGGTTCATGTTGTGTATAAATCACCAAGAGTAATGGCTTCTACGAAAGGGGATGAGCTCCCTGGCTATAAAGCCACCCCATCCCCGGGACACGTCAACAAACAGCGAGGTGTCGAGAGCGTCCTTGTCCCAGTCTGTCTCCTCCAGCATTCACATATCTGCAAAGATTCCCATATATTGTTGCCGCACAAGATCCTCCGGTGTCACTGACTGGCGGGTGCCATCATAGGACGGTACGAGTGACCGATTCCCTTCGCCCTCGAGGACTCTTCGACTTATTCTGTCCTGTGAGATGCCCACGGCATACCCACCACCTGTCTATCTACGGTATAAATGTCTCCAGCTCAGGGCTCTCGAGGTCTAGGGGACCCGAATGCACATTAGCAGTGCAATCTTCTCGCTGGCTCTTGCATATATGATGATAAGGGCATCATCACCCCGGGTTTGCGGTAATATATGCGATATATGTCCAAGAACGTCTCCTAATCGACTCCGTCAGAAGCTGCTTGCGGGGCTTGTGTGCGTAGTGTCGGCACCTAGTCAGCCAGCTTATCCATCGCCCCCCTTCAATAAAGATGAAATCGTCGTATAGCGAGAATTATTGTTGTTAAACATGGTCAAATGGTTGCCCACCTTCATGTTATGGCGGTCAGGATGTGCCTGGGCATTTACTCAAGAAATAATTTGCGGTATCCTGTTCAAATAGCCACATCCACTGAACGTCGTACTCTCGGGTCACAGAAAAGTTGTAAGGATCCTGTCAGCCAAGATTACCGATAAAAGCAGTAATAAAACATAAAACATAGAAAAAGCTCCCCTGGGCCATGGCCTGTAGTAAAGCTGGATGAACTATCCATGCCCATGGTTGAACTGTAGATCGGCCGTCAATATTAAGAGGGAAAGCCGTCAACAATATCGTGAGCATCGAGTGCATACCTAATCAGCTCAGAGTCGTAAGAGGGGACTCTGTGCGTTCAGCGATTATCGCCTGTCAAGACAAATTGAAGGTTGATATCAACTACGAATAATATACCAACCAACCAGTCACCATCCACTTTTTCCAAGCGAATCTCTCCGGTCCACTCCGTAGTGAGGTCGACCGCTACCTGACCACAGCAGAATATTCTGGCTTTGAATAGATAAAAAAAATCATGGATGCAACGGGAGACCTGCCCAAGAAACAAGTGTTAACTAAAACATCAACAGTTCCAGACCTCATCTTGCCCCTCCCGCCCCTGCTCACTGCTGGGGTGATTTATGCATCAATAACACACTAAGAGTTGCCGGGGACGTACCTTCAGCGCAACGCGTAGCCCTCACGCAGCCAGTAGGAGTTTGCAGCATTCGAGTTGGCGCGCTCAACCTGTCTTTCTACATCCCCATGTTATATATAAACTGAAGCTCAAAACTTCTGAAATTCCGACTTGACGTTGAAATGATCATGTGATTATGTTATGCTTAGTAATAGAACGTGACGTTATATTGCAACTTGATAAAATATCAGACGATTACATAGTAAAGCAACAAGATACGACAATTCATCCTGGTGCCATGTAGCAGCCACCAAGAGGTAGATTGAATAACTTTGAACTACTGTCGCGCAGGGATACCCTCCCAGGCCTCTTCAAAACCTGCTGATCTCACCCAGCTGGGCCCTGGTGCGCATACAGAATCAACCACTAGAGAGCCCCAGAATTCACAAACGTTAGCTCAGCCTTGAATAGGAGAGGCGTCATAGGACCGGTATTACTTACGCATGTTCCCCAGCTTCAACCACATGCCGCTTTTGATGCGGAAACCGTCTTTTTCTTCATATGGCTTGCAAACTTTTTCTCCATGGGCGATATGCCGAATGAACTTGGCAGCATGTCCGTCATCCTGCTCGAGTGTGACGGTCTTCTTAAACACTTCCTCCCAACTCAATTTGGGGGTATAGTTCGTGATGTCTTCCAGGAAAGGTTCCGTGCATCCACGAGAGACATAAATAAGGAGATCATTACGGGCCTTCCACTCAAGGAGACGTATCTTAGTCTCCATTGTCATCCAGGGCTGGGCAAAAAAAGTGGGGAGGAAGATATTGGAATTTAGCGAGTGGATATAAAAGAAATCGAACTTGATCGCCTTCTTGGGGTTTTGAGCTGTGCCAGTAAAGTACACTATATCACCAAGTCAGCTCAATCCTGCTAGAACATCTGGAGGTAAGTTTACAGTCCGCCATACCGGTTGAGTTAATGAGTTCGGCAAGCTTTTCCTCCAGATGGTCAGCGTTAGCGCTGAACTGGCTCGCATATTTGATCATTTTCTCCGGGCATCGGTGCATCACGCCGTCAAAAATTTTATTTGCGTCAGCCCACATGACAGAGCGTTTGATGTCTGGGTCATTTCGCAGCTCGTCTTGGAGTTGAACCAATGTCTTTTCTCCAGGATTTCCAGCGTCCTTTGCCATACGCTCAGCGGCCTGGAAGAATGTTTCAAGCCGCTTATCGTGGGTAGCAATTTGTGCGAGCGCCTGTGCAATGATCGAAGGTTGGTTAAACTCAATTCCGAAGCCCAGATGGATTATTGGATGCATTAGTCCTATTAACTGTTTATCAGCGAACTTGAGGAGAGTAGTGACGAAAGTAAAATGAGACGTGAGATAAGAGTTTTAATGGTATATATACCTGCAAAAAGTCGTGCCAGCATTTCGTCAGCAAATTCTCCTCCCGCAAAGACATACTCGTGCACGACAGAGTCGGCCCCTTTAGCCTCAAGCTCTCGTTTAAAGAATTGCAGGAAGTTTGAGTAGTGCTCCCTCTGGCCCGCCAGTTTTCGGAATTCATCTCGGTTGCTTAGGCGTTTGATGATATCCTCGTCTACCGGAAGGGCAGGCCGTTGATAGCTCGAATTCCTGACATAAGCCCGCTCTACGTCTTCGGGCGACGCCCCGAGAGCGTAGATGGACAATACATGATGATCGATGTGATCTAGGGTAGTTGTCAATAGTTTCCGAATGAGGGAAGCTGGTATTCTGAAAGATTGGTGAAGAAAGAATGAGAAGGGCGCGTACTATGGAAACCCTGGTCGTTAAAGTACATGTTATGCTCCTCCTCGTCTTTCTGTAATACAGCACTTGATTTCTCCGCAGTTTCAGCCTTCAGGTTGAAGCTAAAGACGGGCGTGTCTGTAACAGACAGTTTTATGAGTCTTGGGGAAGCCATGGCTATATTTCTCGTGCGTACGGTGGTTGGTGAGTAACAAGGCGCTGGGGTGAACTGCAGTTTCGATGGTCTTGTGAGTGAAGCAATTCGGAGTATATGGATCTGTCTGGAAGATAGAGAAAGCCTAAAGAGTAGATTTGGCTTGTGTAAAATTTCTCTTGCAATGATCCTGAAGCTCATGGGCTCTCTCTGTTGTATATATATCCTGGTTGTAGGGTACTGCTCATACGGCTCACCCTACTTATAACCCGGAGTAGAAACCGGACCTTGATCAATACAACCCTTTAACGGAGCCAATATTACCAATACACCGTCTAGCCGTGTCTTTACTGCATCCAACATAAAATCTAGAACGACTTTTTAATCTAGTGTTATGTGGAGAACTCCGCGAGGATCGCCTTTCCCAATCTACATACGTCATAGGATTATTAATAGTCGGATCGGGGCGCACGGTTGACCGAGAGGCCGATGCTCTAGAGCTTATTCAATTCGACGTCCAGAAGGCAACAGTATTATATGAAGGTGCTGCTTTGATATGTAATTATCTACCCTGGGCGATTTTTTAGCTAGGTGATTGTATTGCAAGCTACACTTTAGTGTCGCCCAGTCCCATTTTCTCCTCTCCGTCATTCCAACTCCCAGCTATCTCTCTTCACCAAGTGACACTTTAGACCCTTTCCACCAAATCTCTCGCCAACCAATCACTTACTTCCACCTATGGCATTAATTCTCGACTGTTAACCCGTATGCATTTACCAGGGGTGTCCGGGTATAGCGAATAACGAGGACGGAAATCCTTGCTTCAGTGAAGCATCCAGTTTTGTTGTCTAGCTCCACGGGCCTGGCTTGAAGTGACTCTCAGGACGAATCTTTCCTTCTCACATTCCTCCTTTGGCACCAAAATCTCTTCCAGCCCCTCAAGTCTATCCAGGGCGAGAGGGTATGCTCTGGGCTGGACATTATTTTTAGTTATTGGATTGACATAGCCCCAAAGAAACATATTGGTGTAATGGAGATGGAGGTTCAACTGTCGGCGGATCGACTCCTTCAGAATTAGCTCGTCTGGGCGTAAGAGTAGGAAACGGCTTTGTGTCTTGCCCCATCCCTCATATTGTGTCATTCCAATCTCGTTTGGCGGAACACCGAAGATCGTCTGGCCAATTTCACCCATGGGAGGACGATACTTCCAGCGGACGAAGAGCTTGATGATGTCGAATCTGCTGACGAGAGCTGTACGCTTCAGTGCTTTCCACAACATCGTGAGGCTCGGCTGTGCCATGAGCAAACGGCGCATTCCGTCCTTTCCGCTACCAGTGATAGGGTCGGTGAAGCGCATATCCAGCTTGACAAAAAACATCATGCCGAAATAGATGTCAAGATTACTGAAAACAGAGGTATTTTGAATCAATCCAACACGTCGAGCGCTGTCTGGAATATCCAACAACAGCCATATCTTTTTCAGGACAGAAATACACGCATCAGGAACTCGCACACCATCTTGTGCCATGATGCTAGCTATCTCATGACAGACCATTTCACGGTAACATACCATCAACAGCCACTTAAACGAGGGAACTTGACGAATTTCCCCTGCCATTGCCCTTTCCGGTATTGGGTGTGGTCGTCCAGCAGGGTCGGGAAAGCAAAGTTTACTAAAGCAGCGGAATGGAAAGAGTTGCGCCGAGTCAATAGCTCGACGCTGAGCCTGAGAAACAATGATTCCTGTGATGCGATTGCGAACAATGTGGTGAAATGGCCGGGATATGGAGTAAAGAATGAGCAGTTCCTGAACGCGAAGATACTTTGCCATGATGATAACCAGTTCAGGACGTTTGACCAAGTGTTGAAAGATGTTGAAGTCGGTTTTAGGAACCTCACGGTTCACCACACACATAATTCTCGCGTCAGGGAGCTTTTCCTTGTTCATGATTGAAAAATGCTTGAGCGATGCTGACTCGAAGTCCAACTGGGCCAAGTCGCCAAAGCTTTGATAGCCATTGCTGTGGCCACGGTTAGCGATTCGGCTCTTGTGGATGGTCCTCGATGTCCAGTCCGGGTAATCGGGTCCAGGAACACCAATCGCGTGCCACTCGCGATCCTTCCAGGCGCTTATGATGTGGTTTGCAAGGAACCCGCGGCTGAGATGTGGCAGTGAAGCTACAAGCAAACGGATTGTTCTTCTGACATCAGGAAGCACCACAGGCCCATCCTCGTCATCCTTGTCCTTGTACTGCTTAACAACGACACCGCGTGTGAGAGGCAGCTTGATATTTGGGATAACAGCATTGCTTGATTTGAATTCTTTCCGATAAGCATGAACTTGAGCTAAGCCTGCCAGATCGATTTGAGTTGGTGGCTCGCCAAATTGGCGCGGGTTTGGTTCAAATTGATTGATGCCGGAACGTCCTCCTTGATTTCCGGGGTAATAGGGCCCCTTTGGCAACATGTTTGTCAAGGGAGGATTTGGTAACAAATACCCATCATACCCTCCAGCAACTGCCCATTGGTAGCCCTGCACATTTGCTGGAAATATTTGTTCTGGACCTGTGCTCTTGCGAACGTGTAGTGGGCTAGGTACTCTTCTTTTGTCTGTGAATGGTTTGTTTGGGTCCAAGGTAAATTCAGGCATGGGAGGATCTTCAGGAATAACCCTAATCTGACCATATGCATTTGGCAATGGCTTATACTCTGGCAGCCAAGCAGGGGCAGACAATTTGGGGAAGTATGCTGGTCCAGGTGCAATCCCCAGAGGAAGGTTAGAAGGCCCAGCATCTCCCTGGATAGGCTGTTCAGGGGGGCAAAATGGAAGATTTTCCTCTCTCTGTTTGCCTTTGTCTATCTTTTCTGCACATTTGCTCTGGGAGTTGGATGCTGCTCCAGAGGATTTCTTTTTGCCTTTCTTTCCAGCCATGGCTATGTCACTATACCCAAGGTAAAATGAGGTTCACTTGCTATTCAATGATTCCTACACCAAGGGTTATCCCCTGAAATGTCAGCAGTTGATCTATGAAAGGGTAGTGAAACAAGGTAGGGGAATCTAAGGCTTGCTATATGCCTTCTGTGTATCACCCTAGAATATCAGGGGTAACTGACTCTTTAGGAGTTGCTCGAAGAGACAACTAGCAAGCTAATTAGCATAAACTCGACCAAATACACAATAAGGATATGGGGTAGCTCTAGCCATACGTGTAAGGTAGGAGAAAGAGGTGGAAGAAGCAAACAGATCATACCTTTGATACCATATGAAGACCACCTTCTAGAAGATGGCAGGTTTCAGGGATAAGAAGGTGATATTGTGTTCCTGAAAGGAACACGTTTTGATAACCCCTTTAAGCAGGCTATGATATCAATCCTTAGTTAAAAGAGGAGAGGAAGAAGTGTGTGAGAAAAAAATAACAGAAAGAGGCAAGGAGCGTGTTTTGATAAAAGGATTTGAGTCTTTTATACCGGCTCACAGCTAGCTTTGTTACCGCAGCGATGAACCTATTTGATACCTGACTACCATTACATTCACTACCTATGAAGGGTGAAGCAATAGGCTCAGAATCTGTAGTGAATGATGACAAAGATTGAGTAATCAAATTATACAGGATTGTCTGGTCTGATATATATGTCATCGGCATGTTGCGTAGGAAAACCCCCGGTTAGAGGGATGACTTTCGAATATAGAGGGTGGAAGTGTGCGGATAATCTGGTATTAATGGGGACATCTTTTGTTCTGTGTATCCCGGATATATATGTAGTAAATCTTTTTCGAATAGGAGATGGTATTCAAATGAATATATACATAGAATGACAGGATGGAGAAGAACAGGAAGAAAACAGTATGATAGAGATTTGTATATCTAACACAAAACCGATGGGTAGTATATAGCATCTCCTACCAAGGACCGTTTGTCATAGATATTCCATCTAGTAATGAATATGTAAGTATCAAGAATGAGGCAGATACTTAGAAAATAGCCCGCTAGAGCAGTCAAAAATATCCTAGGAGCGTAGTGAGTGTGAAGGGTGTAGATATATTTTTGCCCCCGAATATGCTTCAAATAGCGGAGCAAAGTAATAGTGCGTTGAGCAACATTAAATCTCATCTATCATAAATTTCGTCACCGATGTTGTTGAAAAGGAAGTAAAATTGAATGGGTATGCGGATATGGAATCAACAAGGACGTACAAAGTGCTAGAGGGTAATCGGCGCATAAATAACACCAGATGTTATCCTGTTGAAAGGCGACATGGAGGAAGACTTCGGTCTTTTCTCTAGGCCATGTTGACGGTGCAGAAAGGAAAATAACACACTTCGTACAGATAATAGGGAGGGAAACTCCATAGGGAACTGTTGAAGCTCTTAAACCGGTGCTGGGGCGACTGAGGATGGCTGTATCACATCCATGATTACCTTTTTCATATACTTCTTGATTTTTTTTTTTCTTTTCTCTTTTTTTTCTTCAGATATGTTTTTGCGAGTGGATCGTGTGTTTATCTTCTGTTCAACAGACTGAGGAACTCTTCTTTGGTCTTTGCGCTAGACCTCATGCAACCAAGCATGCAGCTGGTGGTCGTAGTGCTTCCTGTTTTCTGGACACCACGCATAACCATACAAAGATGGCTTGATTCCATAACAACAGCAACACCTTGAGGTTTGAGTACTTCAACGATGGCGAGGGCGACTTGCTTGGTTAGTCGCTCTTGGACCTGGAGGCGACGAGAAAACATCTCCGCGAGACGAGCAAGCTTGGACAGACCGAGGACTCTGCGGTCAGGAATGTAGCCGATGTGCATCTAAATGTCGATGAAGAAGATTAGCAGGGGGTAGACTTGGTACTGGAGGAAAAGAATACTTGCCTTTCCGGAGAAGGGGACCATGTGGTGCTCACACAAGGAAAATACTTCAATATCCTTGACAATCACAAGTTCATCGTGATCCTCATGGAATACGGCTCCGTTAACCAGATCCCGTACATTTTCCTCGTAGCCTTTTGTGAAGAACATCAGAGCTTTAGCATATCGTTCCGGTGTCTCGAGGAGACCTTCACGCTCCGGATCCTCGCCAATGCACTCGAGAATTGTCTTCACAGCTCCTGCAAGCTTTTGAATCCTTTGTTCGGTCTGTTCAGGCGTCGATTCTAAGCGTTCCCTTGTTCCTAAGCCTTGATAGCGGATGCGCAGTCAGTGTCTCAGTTGCGAGAAAAAGTCCGATGGGCGGTAGTAACATACTAGGCCAACTCAGCCCATCGAAATCTATAGGCGGGTTCAAAGTATACGGGCTAGCAGGACGACTGACGGCGGTCGAAGGAGGAGTGATCTGATCTCGAGGATCTCTTGGAGGGTCGCCCAGGTTGCGTTTTGGCGGCTGAGTGGTCACATCAGTCTCCATCTTTAACCCATTGGGCTTCTTATCCTCGCCATTGACCTTAATATCGTCGGTACCGGAGACATGAGTCTTCGTATCCGATGAGAGATCGGGATTAGCGGCGTCCCGAAGCTCTTCTGGTCCCAGGGCGTGTTTCCGTTCAAAAGACGACTTGATCGAGTGGTTAAGGCTCTCTCGCTCTCGAGTGCTGCTCGGCATGCGCACAGAAGAAGTCCCGTTTAAAAGATACGACGGGACCGCAGACTTCGGTTTGGGATGAAGCGTTTGCGAGTCTCCTGGAGTCATTATGTATAGTGGTTAACTGTGGAATGGGAATTAGAGGGGGTATCGCGGGAAACCTGGTGGGATAATTTTTTTTCTCCTTTTCTTTTTTTCGGTGACGTCTTTGCCTGCTCTACTAAATGGTGTAGTTAGTTAATATAACGATACTTGAGCTGCTAATCGCATTCATGGTCAAGTTATCAATCGGCGAAGGAGGATGAGAAGCAAGTCGAAGAGCTGAAGATGAAGTTTGATGACTCCATCGAAAAAAAAAAAAAAGCCGCCATTGTCTTTCCCGCCGAAAATTTTCCAGCGACCAATCAGCCTTTTTCCGCAGTTATGGAGTTCGGAGAATTGTTTACAAGAAACGCAACGGCCGTGATATTTCCACCGATCTAATGAGGTTTTCTTTCCGGGGGGAGGTTATTTCGGTACATACTATGTAGTGTAGCGACTAAGACAGAACGAAGACCAGGTGCCAGAATTACGTTGAAATCTGGACTGGAGCGAGTAAGAGCGAAAACCGCCACAAAGAAGATCTACAGCGAGTTGAAGATGATTTACGATGCAAGTAAGGATAATCTGCGTGGACGTTTCTGTTCTTGTGTACAGTACATGGTGATTCTACACAGAGTGCTAAACGGCTGAAGTTACGACTCCAGCTCTTCGGTAGGAACATCTTCTATATCCTTTCCTACAATCGCGTCTGCGACCTTCCATACTTGCAGCAAGTTATCCTCGGCTGCCGAGCAAAGCACCCAGGGATCGCTGAGATTCCAGCTGAAGTCAGAGATGCGGTTTGTATGTCCGCCATGCACGAACAGCCTAAAGGATGGGGAAAATTCAATGTTAGCAAAGAGAAATCCAGGTGTGGTAATAGATAATGACACATACAATTCTGGAGGCCCGTCTTGGGCGTCTTCTTGGGTTTGTTCTTCACCCGCGCGGCTGAGGTCCCAGAACATGATCCTTCTGTCATAACTGGCACTTGCCAACACGGATTCTTCGAACGGATGCCACGATAGCGACGTGACTGAGTCCTGATGGCACTCTAGTGCGTGGAGTTTCGATTTGAGGTTTCGTAGGTCCCATAGCCCGATGGTCTTGTCCGCAGAGCCGGTAGCTACTACCGTCTCGGCGGCAGGGTTGAAGGCCACTGCATTTATGGCATCTTTGTGCTGTCCTTTGGCGGAGGCTGCAGAACGTGTAGTGTCTGGTTCACGGATGTCGAGGATTTGGAGGGTGATATCATCGGAAACGGTGCCGACGAGAGACGAGTGAAGCGGATGATATTGGACATCATTAACGATGGAAGAGTGATGCGTATATGTTCTCACGGGTTTCAATGCTCTGTTACCTTTGGTGTATGTGTTGAGGTCCCTATATCAAGGTGAGTAAAAGGATAACCGTGTGTATAAATGTCAACGATGGGAGTTACATACCATAACCGCACAGTCTTATCTTCACTCCCGGTGGCGACCTCGCCTGCAGTATGCGGGTTCCAACTTAAGCCAAAGCCCTCGCTGGTATGCCCTAACAATTCTAGCTGGGGGTTAACGGTTCCCTGGGGAATGCTTGGATGTTTCGATCGATCCCATATCATAACCCGTCCATCTGTACACATTGTTGCAATGATATTAGGATTCTGCGGCTGGTATCGAGCCTTGTTCACCTCCCCCTTATGATCAATCTTCTGGATGATATTGAATTTCACCTCCATCGAAGTCTTGTTGGAACCGCCATAGCCCCCGATCTCGCCCCTCTCTTCATCGTAATCCTCGGCTTCAGGGTTCCTAGGGTTCGGCAGCTGTACTTGAGCTATTTGAAGGTAGTTCTGGGCCTCGCTTGAAGTATGGGTACCCAGCAAGAGGCGATGTGTAGAGTATGGCTTGTCGGGGTCCCTAGATAAAAAATGTGTAAGATAAAGCTAGTCCAAATATTATACGTAGTGACGAAACTCACTCCTGTTTGTCAGGAAGCCATTGCGCTGTAAGAGTTGGCCATTCTAGCGCAGTGCTGAGGATCATATCATAAAGGAAAGGTGCATTCTTCTTCCATGTTTTGTACTCTATAGAAACCAGTCAGCGCTCGGCGCAAGCTCAACGCTGTCCAGAAAAACCGCCATGCCTTCATTAATAATCTTCTCTTCCGCAATCTCCTCCTCGTGATCCTCCTCTAAGCCTATCATTGACCAATTAGTAGCTGACTGGCTGGCGGTTCAGACAGGGCTCAACAATTAACTTACTTGGTGAAAAGTGGTCCATCACGTCGTGTTTTTCTCCAAAATATGTCAAAGAAAAGAAACTGGATGCTCAAGCGGTACCTTCAGCTAGGTAGTGCTTTAGATATCCACTGCAAAGAGTGCGCAACAGTAGCTTGAACGGGGTGAGTAAAGAAAGGAAAAAGACTGAAGCGGTTTTGTTTGAATTCCAAAATGCGCGATCGCGCGCGTTAATTGAGCCCACCTGAGTAACGTGACGCGGGACTACGTTTGTCCGGCGGTAATAACACGTGATATTATCAAACTGGAGTCGTGACTTTCCGCACGATGACTCGGATGATAATAGTGACAGCTCAGCTTTCAACGTTCTTCTTTTCCGGTTGCTCTCTTTCTCTTCTCCTCTCTGTTCCTGTTACCCATTGTATAGTATCTCTGTGGTCGGCTAGGACTACGGAAGGGCAGCCTCAAGCAAGTCTTGCGGTACTCGTCTTGAATACAACCACCGCACACCAGTCGCAATCATGGGCGTCCCTAAGTTCTTCAGATGGCTCTCAGAGCGGTATCCAGCAATATCGCAGCTTATTGCTGAGAATCGTATCCCAGAATTCGACTGCCTCTATCTCGATATGAACGGAATTATCCATAATTGCACTCATAAAGATTCCGACTCGCCGGCCTTTCGGATGACGGAAGATAAGATGTTTATCGCCATTTTCAACTATATCGAGCATTTATTTGGCAAGATCAAACCAAAGCGGCTTTTCTTCATGGCGATCGATGGTGTGGCTCCACGAGCCAAAATGAACCAGCAGCGCGCTCGCCGATTCCGTACCGCCCTCGATGCCGAACTTGCAAAGGAGAAGGCTATAAGAGAAGGGGTAGAGATGCCCAAGGAAGACGCATTCGATAGCAATTGCATCACACCTGGAACCGAATTTATGACGAAGCTTACAAAGCAGTTGAGGTATTTTATCAACAAGAAAGTGTCAGAAGATGCAGAGTGGCAAGGAGTCGAGGTTGTCCTCTCAGGTCATGAAGTTCCCGGAGAAGGAGAACACAAAATTATGGAATACATTCGCCAGGCAAAAGCACAGCCCGAGTACGATCCAAACATGCGTCATTGCTTGTACGGGCTAGATGCAGACTGATAATGCTGGACTCTGAGCACGATCTCACTCTGCTCTCGAGAGAGTGACGTTTGGACGGCAGAGCCAGAAGAAATCAAGGAGCTCGAACACCAAAACTTTTACTTACTTCACCTTTGTATCGTTCGGGAATATCTGGAACTGGAATTCCAGGAGTTGAAGTTGGATGGGGCCTTACAGTTTCCTTTTGATATGGAGCGGGTTATTGATGATTTCATTTTGATGGCCTTTTTTGTTGGAAACGATTTCTTACCTAACCTTCCAAATCTGCATATTAACGAGGGCGCTTTGGCGTGGATGTTCAAGGTATATAAAGAGGTTTTACCAAAGCTAGGAGGCTATGTCAACGAGCATGGGAAGATCAACATGGAGAGGCTGAGGACATTGTTAGCGGCCTTATCAGATGTCGAGTTTCGGTTTTTTGAAGCAGAATATTCTGACGCGAGATGGCTCAAATCGAAAACACTGGGTGGAGACCAAACTCCAACGCTGCCAGACAAACCCAATGTGCTCACAGTAACTCCCGCCCAGAAGCATATCTTCAATCGAATAAAGAAGTATGTCACCCATCGTCCGATGGATGAATCTGGCCATCCAGTGCCTCTCGACCTATCGCCATCCTTGCCTGCAAAAGATCGAAAATTTGTGGAGCAGCTAGCGGATAGCCTACATCTAAAATGGAGCTCTGTTTTAGATAATCACGATGAACGATTTTTGCGTCTTCAGCTACCCGTAAATAGTGACGACGATGATGATGACGATGACGATGATGGCGAGTCGCAGATTGCTATTCTGCGGGTTCTCAAGAAATATGAAAACGCAAAGGTCCAAGAGACCACAGCTGAGGATGCGCAGTTGACCGCAGAGAAGAAGTACGAGAAAAAGTTTCAGGAGTGGAAAGATAAATACTACAAAGAGAAATTCGGATGGGGTTTGGAAAACACAGAAGAGATGCGAAAGCTAACCGAGAATTACGTCCAGGGCCTTCAGTGGGTGCTATTCTACTATTATCGTGGTGTTGCGTCGTGGCCATGGTTTTATCGCTATCACTATGCCCCAATGATTTCAGACATTCATCTTGGTCTAGGGGCGGATGTGGAATTCAAACTAGGACAACCGTTCTTCCCATTCCAGCAGTTAATGGGTGTCCTGCCTGACAGGAGTAAAAAGATAGTACCTGTGGCCTATCACAGCTTGATGACAACTCCCGAATCACCAATCATAGACTTTTACCCCAGAGACTTTGAGCTTGATATGAACGGAAAGAAGATGGAATGGGAAGCTGTGGTGAAAATCCCGTTCATTGATGAAGAGCGGTTACTTAAAGCCATGGCAACAAAGGAGCATTTATTGACACCCGACGAGAAGGCGAGAAACACTTTTGGGGTGACCCTCAAGTTCACTTATTCGCCTGATGTTGAATTTATCTATCCTAGCTCCCTTCCCGGTATCTTTCCAGATGTTTCTCGGTGTCACTGCATCGAAAACGTCTTTGAGTTACCTACCATGGAAGGGCTGGACCCCTATGTGGGCTTGGTAGAAGGTGTGAAGATTGGGGCCGAGGCTCTAGCCGGTTTCCCAAGTTTGCAGACGCTCCAACAGACAGGGCAGCTCGGCTTCCACGGAGTATGTGTATTCCAGCAAGAGAGTCGCAACGAAAGTATGGTTGTTACTATAGTCGACCCCGAGATTGCGGGTAATACTACGGATGCGAAGGCCAAATTAGGCCGGCGAGTCCATGTTGGATATCCGTTCCTGCAGGAAGCAAAGGTAGTGTGCGTGTCAGATGAACTATTTGATTATGTTCAAGTTGATGATGAAGAACATGTTGTGGCTATACCACATACCCCAACGCAAATCAACCAGTGGAAGAAGAAGGCGGAAAAGATAGAGTCGTACTACAGTAAACGGCTAGGAATGATAATCGGTGAGGTGGAAACCATTGTGCGCGTGGAGATGCTCAAAGGCCTGATGAAGACTGCAGATGGAGCCACAGTAAAGGAGTTTACGGAGATACCAGGAGTGGAAACGGAATATGCTGCTCAGCTCATCGTCGACTCTGTTATTAGTGAAGATCTTCGTTTCATTGAACGGGCAGCAGTTCCTATCGAGGAAGAATTCCCAGAAGGTGCGAGGGCGTTCTTCTTGGGCGAATACAACTATGGTGCGCCAGTGCACGTTACCGGGCATGAAGACGGAAAGTTATCTGGACTTCTTTCTGCAGTGAAGGGCAAGGAGCCGGAGTTTGGAAGGGAGCATGTCATGAACGCTGAAAAGCTATCTAAATATACCCCTTCATTCGCCATTGCACGGAACTTGCATCTCAGTCCTCTTACACTTGCCAAAATTACTTCATCTTTCTCTGTCAATGTCGATGGAACACGAGTGAATCTTGGACTCAATCTTAAGTTTGAAGCGAAGAAGCTGAAAGTGCTTGGGTATTCACGACGAGGAAATTCCGGATGGGAATTTAGCGAAAGGGCCATTGGGCTCCTACAGGATTACATGATTAAATTCCCAGATTTCATTGCAGGCATCCAACGGAAACCTCAGGGCGACTTATTTGAACCTACGGATTTCTATCCTGCTGATATTGCAAAACAGAAGATCAAAGAGATCCAGTCATGGCTTAAGTCTATTGAATCAAAAAGCTTTGAGCGCGTCCCACTTGAAGCTGAACAACTCGACTCCAGCATTGTACAGGCAATTGAAAAGTCTGCCGACGAGCTACACCAAACGCGAGCTGCTCCAGTGGCACAGAAGATCCGAGGAGTGCCACGCAATGCATTGTTGAAACCCGCAGATGCTGAACACCGTCTCAATAACCAACACTTCCAACTCGGGGACCGTGTGATCTATGCTCAAGATTCCGGAAAGGTTCCAATTGCTTCGCGAGGAACGGTTGTCGGTCTAACACGGACATCAAGAAACTTGCTCCTTGATGTGCTATTTGACGTCTCTTTCATGAGCGGCACCACTCTTTCAGACCGATGTTCACCGTTCCGCGGCTCGACCGTGCCTTCGTCGTCAGTCCTTAATCTGACTAACAGGCAACTTGTCGCACTATCTCGTGCTACCGCACAAAACAAGGAACATGCTCGAGAACAACAACCCTCCAAAGGCGCAAAATATGGTGCTCCCCAGGGGTCTGGTGGCATGGGGCAGCTGAAAGATGCGTCAACTCCACCGCCACTTACGAACAGCTACCGTGGTGCAGCCATAGGCCAGCCTTCCAACAGCAAGGTGAACGGAACGCCCAATCTTAACTGGCGCGGTCGAGGACGAGGAACCCTACCGATTCGCAACCACCCAGCACATGCGGATACCACCGGCCAGCCGAGACCCTTGTTCAACAGAGGACGCGGCAATTTCAATCAAACGAACGCACACACAGGCAACGGACCATCGGGCCGTGGACGTGGAAGAGGAGGTTATGTAAATGTGGAAAGCATGAACACCGATTCCGGTGTATTGAACCACAACCCAGATTTCAAACCTCGACCGTACAATACAGTTCCGCCACCAGCTTCCTTGAACCAACCAACAGGGCAACGAGGATCCGCTGGGCGTGCTCGAGGAAGAGGTATGGCTCGAGGCGGTAGGGGAAGAGCCAGAGCAGGGCATGCAGGCGCAAGGGGAACGACTACAGCATAGATCTGTCCTGCTGCACGTCTTTGAGGTTTCTAGGAAACGGCATATATACAATTGAGCTTACAAGGCGTTGGCCGGATCATTGGGTGGTGTTCGTTTTTTGGGTCCTCACCTAGATATGAAGCGTTAAGACGCCTTTATATTCAACCAATGGAGGTAATGAAGCGATTACATCGAAGTTTATATGTCGCATGAAAACATAAAGCTAATAAAAAAGATGATCAGGAAGGACGTGGCAGTCCTTCTATGGTTAAAAAGAGATCCCCTGTGCAGTTATAAAATAGTTGATGTACACGCCACCATCCCACGTCGAATTAACGCCTGTTCTCCTGCAGAAATGACATGCAGCAACCTTGGGCCTGGCGTTCTTCCTTGCGATATCACAGGCGAAGACGTACCATTATATGTAAGGGCACCCAATACGGGGCATGCTCCAGTTTTCTCTACACTGGAGATTCCCCCCAGTAACTTACCCCTTATCTACACTTCTCTTAGCAGTATGGAGTAAATCTATACTTAAACCACCTCCCTAGCTGGAATAAATACGAGCCTTCACCGTAGAAAAACCCGATCGTGTGCCTTATTCCCCCAGTGACGTCACTGCAACTTCTGCATCTCATCGCGACCCAAAAGCTTGCGATCTCGATGCGTTTCAACGCCATGCAGACTCGATGGAAATGTCTGCCATGAAAGATGTTAAAAGACTGGCTACACCGTGAGTTCTAGGCCTTGCACCGTTCCTGCTAGGGAAAAAATAAGAAAATAGGAAGAATAAGAAAAAAAAAAAAAAGAGAGATGAAATTTTCGCCCCCGAGATAGTTAAAAATGGCCGTTTTCCCCTTATCTTGACTCATTATCGTATAACTTATTTTTGACCTGGTTGTACGGAGTGCTTCTGGATGATATCTTCTGTATATCTTCTCCTTTCTATAGGGTTGCTCGTATGCGATCTGTTATCCTGCTCGGGTGGCTAGATATTTTGGCATAGGTTCCACGGCCATCAACAAATTTCCTGACCATATATATTCCCACCAATTCAAGAAAGCCGCAAATTTCGGCCCCAAGCTCATATGGCCTCCTGAGACGTTTATTCTTAAGCGTATTGCAGTTTCGGAAAGTGTCGTTTGGGGTCTATTTTCACGATGTCGGACAGATCTCGATTTTCAGCAGAAGTTCTGTTAATGGTAGGGAGACGAATTCCCTTTTGTTCTTCTAGTTGAATACCTAGAGGATATACCTATACTCTCTCCTGGCTTAGTTAGACGGATTTCATGGAGCCGGTGATGCTGTTGTATCCATGGCTAACATCAAAACTCTGGATAGGATGACCGCTTAGTCCTAATACATATTCCAATAGACCTATACCCCTTCTTCGTGAGCCCAATTCTTCGTCTCCTTTTCCATGATGGAGAAAGCGAGGTATCATCAAAAACCGCTCCAGGGTTTGTGAATATATCAATTACTCCAATTGAATGTTCTATAATATGCTCTCGAGAACTCGCAAACCTCTACTTCGTCCCGATGGTGGAAGGATTCGAAAGAGCAGCCATATCAGCAAATTCAAAAATTCAAATCAGTTCAGAAGACTATTTGGTCATGCAGGTAGAGGGACAAGGTCTGGATGCTGGCCAGCGTGTGGTAGAACTTACTAGCCCCCTTGCCATGGCTGGAATGTAAGTTTATATTTGAAGCGTTTCTCCAGAGTTGATAATGGAGTATTGACTTCGAAAAAAGCTCCATATTCTTTATATCAACCTATTTTTCCGATTATATCATTATCCCCAAATACTCGAAACAACAGGTCACAGAGACATTCATTGAGCGAGGGTTTAACGTTGAAGAAGGACCAGTTGATCCTGATGGCCGACGAGGCTCGTCTCCGAATATCCATATACCGAATTCCAGACCAGACACTCCGCCCCCATGCAGTGTATCGGAGCTCCAGTTACGGACCTTCGCAACACTTCAAAAACACAATATTCGACCTCAGGTTGATAAATCCCTGCGTCTCGTTCAGTGTGCTGCACACTATAGAGAGTTCACCGGGACAAAGTCTTACTCAATCCTCCGACCTAACTTGATATCAGCTCTTCTTAATGATAACCCCCGGTTTTTCTCTCTGACGATTGCAGCCACAGATCCCGCACCGTCGTTACTTCTGGAGGAGCGGTTATTGCCCCGGTTTTCTCTACCCAGTGACCCTGACAGGGAGCCATCGTCACCTGTAGAGGAGGATACCAATCTGTTGCTAGGGTCAAAAGATGAGATTCTGATAGCTATCACTCTTGATTTGCGAGAACTGCCCCTCGAAGCTGCTGGTATTGTTTCGGGTGTAGCAAGTGCACTTGTAGCAAACACACGCAGAAAAGGCGGAGAAGAGGGCTCTGTCCACAAGGTAAGCGAATAATATCGACCTCTAAAATATCATTGAGATATTCAGAATTAGGACTCAGCTGACTGGAATAGGACCTGGAAACTAGTTTCCTTAGCACATCCCGAGCCGGGAACGTTATTGTCCGTGAAGAAGAACTGGAGTTGGCGATGAAGTGTTTGGAGGCCGAATTTTAATATTGTATGTATATTGAGCATTATATCTGGGAGGTTGGTTCCGGGGCGATTTTAAAACACCAAGTGCAGCTATAAGATCTAAAAGCTAGCTCATGGAGTGTGAGGAGATGTATAAATAAAAGAGAAATACTCCCTTTTTGGCTGTTAATACCGCATATTATTCCCAACGTCCGGGATGCTAAATTATCCATATACTTTGACAGTGCCTACAAAACAGTTAGCTGAAAACCCCCCAGTGGATAAAAAGGCACCCTCATACGAACATACCATCTGAACATCCTCCAGCCCAGGATGAGCCTTTCTCATTCCATGTGACACAGCTAACCACCTTGATACCTGCGCCCACTGACACGGTCTGGATAACATTCCCAGTCAAAACATCCCACGCCACAACCGTTGCTTGGGCATTTTCTCTGCCAAAACTTGCATCTGGAGTCTCGCTCCCACTCAGCACAACGCTGTCTCCCTTCGTAAAGGTAGATCGAATGCGTAATTCCTTGTTCATGTATACAGGGGCCTTCCTCTTCTCAGACGCCGACGAAGGGTTTCCATCACCAAAGCTCTTGAGGACTGAGCCGTCGTCACGATCAACCATGCGAATTCGCCCATCTAGACATGAAGCAAGCATGGCCTTCCCGTCCGTAGAACCTTGTATGCTTGTAACCGGATGAGCCATAACGTCTACCCTCATTTCACCCATTCTTAAATCATAAGTACGAATTCGACCATCGTAACTGGCGGTAATTATACTGCTAGTCGGCATATGGACATATACAGATGAAACAGTGTCAGTTGCTTCTGTGAGGGTCTGTACCGGCTTCGACGTAAGCGACCGCGTATCCCATATTTTCACATCTGAATCCGCGCTTCCTATCCACGAAAGGGAGGATATCAGCTCGATTCCTTCACATGCACTAGATAAATATTTATTCAGGATGAGACTCACCTGATATCACCACTGAGTCGCCCTCTCCGCCAAACGCTACAGCCTCAACTCGTCCGGTATGACCACTCCATCTTCTTATTGTACTTCCGGTCTCAACGTCCCATAGGAAGACCTGTTTGTCTCCTCCTACGCTGGCAAAGCGCGCATTATCTGCACTCACAGCTATATCTAGCACTGAGTATCCGTGGGCTTCATATTTTTGAATGGGTGAGGTTGTTATCTGGGGTGAGGTGGACGATGACTGTGGCAGCGCACGAGATAGATGGATGGAACGGTCGGAGGAGCCAGTCAAGAGGTATGTTCCTGGAGAACTAGAGAACGTAACAGCGTTTACAGGTCCTGGTTGAGGCAAGTTAGTGTGTGTTCGTGGAATTGTAGCTAAAGGACGCACAGCCCGGGGCAAACGCGCTTCCACCCCGCCATAGAGCTGCTTTTTCAAGAATCGTCCACATACCACTATGGGTTCTAAGGATGTGAAGAGTAGTTGAAGGGAATTTCGTGGAAGTCGACATTTGTCAACCTGTATATGGTCGTTGGTATGTTATTGTAGATAGCTACATTGATAGTCGATGAGGGAGAAACAGCCAAGCTCGAGATTTGAATAATAAATTAAACCAGTACATCCATGGAGTCAATAAAGTCAATTGTTGGAATTAATATATTTAAAACTTATAGCAAGAAAAACATGATCTCGGGATAAAGAAGGGTAAAGAAACACATTAAACTGAAAAATGGGTTGGCAAGAATCGCTGGCTCCGGGGAATATAAAAAGCAAGACGGGTATACGACAGCCCAGAACACCACCTACATGGCTTGTCGATCGACCAATGTAGAATCAAGCTTAGGAGCAGACATGAGAGTTCCTGGAGGGAAGAAGCCATCCACCCGTATCTCACGAAACCATGACGGTCATTTAACGGCGACCATGACTGCGCACTTGAGGGGCTTGCATCTGGTCGAGTTCCTGCTCGAGTTGTTTGATCCTATTAATATATTAGCTATCGTTCTACCAAAGCTGGTTAAGGGAGTATAGTATTGGACTAACGCTGCATGGGTAGTCTCCAGGTCCTTGTTGAGTCGGTCTCTTTCGGCAATAAGTTTCTGCTCCCACTGTCTGAATCGTTGTTCCTCGATCTTGACTTGCTCGGTGAATCTTTTTCGCAAGTTCTCTTCCTCTTCCTTGAACTTGGGGTTGTCGAGTTTCCTTGGCCTGGCTTCTCCGAACTTTCTGGTCTCCATCTGAAGTGCTCGGTAGGCTTCGTAGTGTTGTTCTTCGGTGGTGTGGATAAGATCAAGCATGTGTGTGCGGATGAGGATGGAGCGGAGCTTCTTGAAATCACAGTGGTCTTCATTCTCAACCTCTGCGACACCCCATGAGTACTGGCGGCCCTTGACGATGTGGCCATCGCTGGTCTTGACGTCCTTCTCGGAGCCGATGACGGAAAATGGCATGACAGCCATCAAGCTGCGGGCGTGCTGGGCAGCTTGTTCATCGTCCTCCTCAACAGGGGGCTGGTAGATCTTGATTCCCTGGGCTTCAATGACAGCACGGATCTGTTACACAGGACCGTCAGCTCTAGAAAATTTTTCCAAAAAGGAGGTGCTCTGGGCAAAATGAAGTCTTTTACTTACTCTCTGCTTGAAACGGGCAAGGTCAGAGGGGCTTAAGGTGTCGGCCTTTGCAACAACTGGGATCAAGTTCACACGAGAGCTGAGGCGCTTCATGACTTCGATATCCAGTGGTTTCAGAGTGTGTCCGGTTGGTCGGATGAAGTACAGGCAAGCGTGGACACGGAGGTCGATCTTGTCAATACGGCGAGGCTGCTGCTCCTGCAACATATAAGACTCATGCTGGTCGTCCAAAAATTCAATGATGGGCATCCATGAATCACGGTTGTTAACATAATCGCCAAAACCGGGAGTATCAATGACGGTCAACCGAACTATAGAAACAAGAGGTTAACCTAGATCCCCTCATATACAGTAGTCCAAGGACTATAGGATCGAGTAAATACCTTTGAAGAATCGTTCCTCGAGCTCTGCCTTTGTGATCTCGATCTCAACGGTCTTGTCAACCTGCTTGGCATGTCTGCGTTTATGGTCTGCGTAGTTCTTGATAGTGGTCGAGAAGAGAGTGTTGATGAATGTAGTTTTCCCCAAGCCAGACTCTCCAGCAACCTATATGCCCATTTATCTGTCAACAGCCTGTCTCCTTTGCTTGGTAGAAACCTTTTTCGGGAAAGGGGGGTTATTCGCACCATAATCGTGAAGGCGGCACCACGTTTCGCGACAATCTTGTGCCTGTTCAATTCGAGTCAGTTGAGTCTCGCTGCACCTGAGAAAAGGATCCCTTTAGTCCATACCGTTGGTTTGGCAGCTATGCGAACTGTCAGCTATGATCCATGTCCGTAACAAGCGATATGCGGGAAAACTTACATTGGCGATACCAATTGGCGAAGCGGTCTCAGAGGTAGCAGTCGACGCCATTGCGATGGTTAATCAGGCAGTTCAGCCGTAGCGAAGAGGCAACTGTGTCTAATAAGGCGAGGTTCAAAGGTTTGTGAGAAGAGAGAGACTGGAGATGTTGCTTTGAGCCGCCGTTCTTTTTTTTTTTGTTTGCTTTGGCGTTGAACTTCTTTCCCTTTTCTTTGCCCCTGAGTGAGACTTACTAATTTGGACAAGGGCCCCGACTTTGCGCTAGTCCCGAAGGGGTATAGTTTTGCAGGTTCCCTTTTTATCCCGGATAATTTAGTTTCCGAGATCCGAAATTTTTATTGTGATTACGTAATATATCAAAAAGTTGAAGCAAAAAAAAAAAGCAAGGACGAAGTAGTAATAAATAAGTCAAGGGTAGTTTTGCGCCGGCGAGGATTACGCCTATATTGGAGACGATGAAGACGGATTTTAAGGTAGGTTGGCTCATTCTGTTCCTGTTTATGCTTGTATACTGATTTACTTGCAGTTTTCCAATCTCCTCGGGACCGTCTATCGCAAAGGGAATCTCTTGTTCACTCCCGACGGCTCATGTTTGCTTTCTCCAGTTGGGAACCGAGTCTCTGTCTTCGACCTGGTCCAGTAAGTGGTGAAGCCCGCGGGTTCAATTGGTTTCAGTTTGGCTGTTTAGCTAACCGGATACCCTTAGAAATACATCATATACCCTCCCCTTCGCACACCGGACCAATATTGCTCGAATCGATCTATCTCCCAGAGGCAACCTCCTGCTCTCAATTGACGAGAATGGCAAGGCTATATTGACTAATTTCCCTCGCCGGTTAGCGATCCATCACTTCACGTTCAAGACTGCAGTGTCTGCCCTGTCCTTCTCGCCATCTGGTCGTCATTTTGCGGTGGGGGTTGGCCGGAGGCTTCAGATATGGCGCACGCCTTCTACCCCGGGAGCTGAGGGCAATGGAGAGCTAGAGTTCGCCCCTTTTGTGCTTCACCGGGATCTCGCAGGGCATTTCGACACGATACAGAATATCCATTGGTCCAGTGACTCAAGATTCCTGCTGACTGCATCCAAAGATCTAACCGCAAGGATATGGAGCGTAGACCCGGAGGAAGGGTTTGAACCTACAACTCTAGCTGGGCACCGAGATGGTGTCATTAACGCCTGGTTCTCCCACGACCAGGAATCTGTGAGTGGTTCTGGCAGGCTCTAACTGCAAAGCACTGTTCGAAAGCTAACCCATACTAGATCTATACCATTAGCAAGGATGGCGCGCTGTTCCGCTGGGGCTATGTGTCTAAAAGGCTCGAGAACGGTGCTATATCCGACGAACGATGGAGAATCGTCAAGAAAGATTACTTCATGCAGAGCGGCGCCAAAATAAACTGTGCTGCTTTCCACGCAAAAGCTAATATCCTGGTTGTCGGATTTTCGAACGGGATATTTGGTCTATGGGAAATGCCAGACTTCAGCCAGCTTCATCTATTAAGGTATGAATGCGCATACAGTCCATTGACGCTTCCATTCTAATAGTAGCCTATAGTGTTTCTCAAAGTAACATCGATTGTGTCACCATCAACAGCTCTAGCGAATGGCTGGCATTTGGCTCATCAAAACTGGGTCAGCTACTAGTATGGGAATGGCAGTCGGAGTCTTATATCCTAAAGCAACAAGGGCACCTTGATTCAATGAACGCCCTGGTCTATTCCCCCGATGGGCGAAAGATAGTCACCGCTGCTGATGATGGCAAGATAAAAGTCTGGGATATCAATACTGGATTCTGTATTGTCACTTTTACCGAGCACAAGGGTGGTGTCACAGCTTGTGAATTTACAAAACGTGGAAATGTTCTTTTCACAGCATCCTTAGATGGTTCAGTACGAGCATGGGACCTTGTGCGGTATCGAAACTTCAAAACTTTCACAGCTCCATCTAGATTGTCCTTTTCCTCTCTAGCAGTTGACCCAAGTGGTGAAGTGGTATGCGCTGGCTCCCTGGACTCTTTCGATATCCACATTTGGTCTGTACAAACAGGTCAACTTCTAGATCAGTTATCAGGCCACCAGGGGCCAGTTTCGTCTTTATCCTTCTCTGGAGATGGAAGCCATGTTGTCAGCGCCAGCTGGGACCGCACAGTTAGGATATGGAGCGTATTTGGGAGGAGCCAGACGAGTGAGCCTCTACAGCTGCAATCAGATGTACTCTGTGTGGCTTTTAGACCAGATGGAAAACAGATTGCCGCTTCTACGCTTGATGGTCAACTAACCTTCTGGTCTGTCGAAGACGCTGTCCAGCAATCAGGCATCGATGGTCGTCGTGACGTGTCTGGAGGGAGAAAGGTAACAGACAGACGCACTGCTGCAAATTCTGCGGGCACCAAGTCCTTTGCAACAATAACGTATAGTGGCGACGGTTCATGCCTCTTAGCCGCTGGGAACAGCAAATATATCTGCCTATACGATGTTGGTACAAGCTCGTTAATTAGGAAGTTTACAGTCTCCGTCAACACATCCCTAGATGGAACTCAGGAGTTCCTTAACAGTCGGAATATGACCGAAGCTGGACCTCAGGGACTAATCGACGAAACTGGTGAAGCCTCCGACATTGAAGATCGAAAAGACAAAACTCTTCCAGGCGCCCGTCGTGGAGACGATGGAGCTAGAACAACCCGCCCTGAAGTCCGCGTCACATCTGTGTCGTTCTCGCCAACAGGAAGATCATTTTGTGCCGCTTCAACAGAGGGCCTATTAATATATAGCCTCGATAATGACATGGTCTTCGATCCCTTCGACCTCGATATCTCTATCACACCAGATAGTATACTCGCCACAGTTGCAGCTGCTAAAAAAGCTGCTTCGTCTCAAATATCCAAGAATACTCCTTCATCAGACTCCACATCATCTGATTCCTCATTCCTTAAAGCCATCGTAATGGCGTTCCGTCTCAATGAATCCGAACTCATACGAACAGTCTACGAATCCATACCCCCCTCTGAAATCCCCCACATTGTCCGCCTAATACCTACGGTATACGTAATTCGCCTCCTCCGCTTCGTTGCTAATGCAGCAGACGAAACACCACATTTGGAATTTAACCTGCTTTGGATACAGGCCCTGCTTAGCATACGAGGTCGGTATCTCAAGGATAACGCTGCATCATTTGCAGCGGAGCTACGGTCCGTTCAGAGAGCGATTGACGGCATTCGAAATGATTTGAAGAGACTTGCAGACAAGAACTTATATGCTTTGGAATACTTCCTTTCAAAACCCACAAATGCGCCGGGAGCTAAGAAAATCACCTCTGATGAATCAAATAAGATGCTTCTAGAGGACTCGAAGAAAAACGAAGATTCCAAAATGGAGCAGGATGGCGAGGAAGCCCATGCGAGCGATGGGGATTGGATTGGATTGGAAGATTAAACACTTTCTCCTGTCCTAGGTTTTATTTCTGAGCGCTGTCGTGCATATTGTTACTGGTTTACTCGCTATGGGTATATAGGCCTGGGCTCTTATTTTGTCTATGGGCGAAACGGTGTTTTGTGTAGGTGAAAAGCAATCTGTAGAAAAGATCTGGTTTATTGGCCTTCAACAATGATATATTTAAATTCGCGTTAGGGATATTAACATAACAAGTAGATAGAATGATAATACAGAGGAAGGTATAAGAATCCGGGAAATATTTAACAATGCCGATAGATTGCATAAACCAAGGAGGTTAATCCATGCCGCATGAAGAGAAAGCGAGTGTGCCCAACGCCAGAATGCGCCAAATGAAAAGGTGCCGAGTCATGACTGAAAATTATCTGAATGTAAGAAAATTTCAGTAGTATCCTTTTCCCGCCGTGGTATTATCTCCTTCGATCACGATCTTCATTGTCTTCATCGTCTACCCGTGCTCTTTTTGATTCTCGCTGGCTAGACTCTGATTCCTGGATGCCATATCTTTTCTGTCCAACACTAGATTGGCCACCAGTGACCTCAGCAATCATTCCATCAATACCAAACGGATCCGCGGTATCCTTTTCAAACTCCACAGGACCTTCGCGAGCCTGGTACGGAATCAATTAGTGCAATTCCAACGAGTTTATATTCAAATGATACATCACTTACCTCGGCGTCCTCAGTTCCCTTGAATCCTTCCTTGGCACGTCCTAACACCTCGAAGCGGCTTCCCCTGTTTATTCGATCCATTTCTGCTCCCCCAGCAGTCTCATCATCATCATCCATCTGAGCACGAGGACGGTATATACTGTTAATAGCATCCTGAGCAGCAAAAAGAGGTTTATCGTAGGGTTGATCTTCGTTAAAGCCACTTTCTAAACCACTAGTCTGGTTGAACAGTCGAGAATCGTACATAGTCTCCTTGCTCTGTGTTGGTTTTGCCAACCCCAATGCAATTTTTTCAGAGATATCACGGTTCTGCTCCCTAGCCATAACCTGGACACGTCGCTCAGCACCCATTCTAGATTGACGAAGTTTTCTTTCATCTTCCTGGCGTCGTTCACGGCGTCTCCTCTCACGTTCCCGGACAGCTTCGTCTTCTTCATTTGGACTAGGCGACCTGGAAGAATAAGGCGAAGAGTTTCGACTGCCACTGCGGGATCTAGCTCGAGATTCATGGCGACTACTAGATGCACCAGCCCTAGCCTCCCTTGCCTTCTGAGCAAGCTGCCGAAGATGTTCTTCCTTTTTGGCTTTTTCCTTCTCAGCCAGTTTCTGTTGCATCTGTGCTCTCTGCTTCACTTCCTCCCGAGCATGTCGATCAGCAGTGAACAATGCTTCTGCAAACTGAGCGAATTTATCATTAATTGAAACATCCTGTAACCCTCGTCCATCGGCAGCCAATCGTTTATCAAGAGGTACCGTGTAACCCTTTGGATTTTTCCAGTTCGAGACCGGCGGAGGGATTCTCCACGCCTCCTGGTCTTCAGCCGTAAGTTTCCGGGGAGGGGAATGTAAGACTGGCGGAGGTGGTGACGGCGGTCCACGTGGAATTTTCTTGTGTTTGAACTTTGGGGGTTCGAGAGGGTCTACTTGTTTTTCCACAATTTTCATAATTCGATCATTTTTCCGATTTGCATTACCCATCTGGTTTGCAGGGGTATATCGAACAAACGTAGGCTCGCTCCTCTTTCCGGTAGCGACGTTCTTCGGCTTCTGGGCTGAAACTGCTCCGCTAACCAATTTTTCCAGTGCGGCTTTTGTCTTCTCCATTTGCGCATTAACTTCTTCCTGTGATGGCCTGTCCAGTGATATTTCCCCCATGTCCACCCTCTGTCGTAGCGGTATTAAGTCTTTAAATGATGCATGTACGATTCTGTTCTCGTTATGGCCCTGCCTTGCGATAGAGTCGTATTTCACCTTGCCCTCGGCGTCGACCTGCAGGGCTAAAGCATTTGACTTATTCGGCGCATCTTTACGGCCCATATCGAGGGGATATTGGGCAACAGCGATCTCCGGGAATGCACCGCCATCTCCAAAATCTTTCAACGATCGTGGTCGCCACCCGGCGCGTTTTCCATAAGGTGGTGGGCCAGCCCTCTGCAGGTAAGATCCCATTAGGAACGATGGACCAAGTAGAAGAAATATCAAAAACAGGAACATGGCCGACATAGAAGGATATCACTTACCTTTACCACTATTTGTGTCTCATCAATCGCATCAGCACCGACTACTCTTGGTCCGCGTCGTTGAGCGTGAGCAGGTAGCTCCTCGTTTTCACCTGTATACTTCGGGGCCGGGAGGGACTTAAACAGCCCTTCACTGAGTGAGGCCATGATCGTACAATGTCGGATACGAGGTTGTCTGGATAAATGTAGAATCTGATATTTCAAGTCTTGAGTCTCTCTATCTTGAATGCTTTTTTGAGCTTTTGATGAAATTATCGGAAAAACTTCCTTGCCATCGGAATATTATTTTGCCGTCATGATTATGTAAGTATTTACTTTTCAAAATCAATATTGACCGTTGACAATTGAGCAACTTGGATCATTAAAATGTTCTTACTTCTAATAATCAAGATGGTGATGGTATATTGCTAGGAAACTCTGTGATATTTTTCTACTTTCATGATTTTCTCCTAGCTGGTTTCCTCTCTCATTCCATGCAATATTTGGAAAGCAACTTGGGCTCCTTGTCTCCTATTCACATCGATAAAGAAGCCTGTAGAGTGATGCCCGATCGGAGCTGCTGTGCAACACGAGCTTAAGCAAGGCTGACTATGAAATAAAGACAAAGATCCATTAAAACCCTCCAGGAAATTTCGAAATGTCACCCAGTAATCTCTTCTCACCGCTCTCTACTCTAAACTGTCCAACTCCATTATTCTCCTGTTTCTGTGACCCATGATGCAGAGGAAATTCATTAACATAATTCGTATTGAGGGATTCTTGCGTTGCTTCCTTTCTACCGGCTATGTTAGAAGAAAAAGCAATCGTGGAATTAAAATATTAAAGCTGTTCAAGACAGAAAACTCACCGGATCGAAGGAGCAAATATCATAGCTCATCTGGGGAGTATTTAGGCGGCCTGACGAATGAAATAAGGATACCCCGACGATGAGTATGCCCAGTATCCGGGCTGCAAGTTCTCCATGATGTCATTCGTCGTTCTAAGAGTGTAGGAGCCGTCAAGTTCGCGGCACCACCACTGCTGGCCTTCAGCTGGGCGGTAAGGCACCATACTCTGAGGCCTCATTGCACCAGTGGCTCTCGCGACAGCGAAGTTCTGTGCGTCAACTTCGGCACGAGTTGGACCAACCCAAGGAACTGTACCTGCTGGGACCTGGTAGGTGGCGCGAAGGGGCGTTGGAGAGGTATATGGAACCTGAATAGCTTGACCCGCTTGCTATGATGGGAGTTAGTATATACATATATGCATGTCTACCAAAAACGCAAAGACATGTGCAATGGCCAACGAGAAATAAAAAAAGATCAAAGTACAATATGGCCATTTGAAATGACTTGCTGGGTCACTCCAAGCTGGATGGTCTGAGAAAGAGGCTGTGCCGTCCCTGGAGGTCCTCCATTCGGGCAGCCATTAGGCAAAACAGGAACTGGAGGAGGAGGTGGTGGTGGAGGAGGAGGAGGCCCGGATACATTGCCTGTGCTAACTTGGATGGTTTGCTGAAGCTGCGGAGGCACATATGTGTAGACAGTCGGCTCGTTGCCCGTTTGGACATGCTGACAGGTCGAATATCTCGAGCGACTTGGGTCGATCGAGCCATATTGATAGTACTGAACCATGGTGCCAGAGCAGTGATATGAGGTGCCGACTTGGACAGCGATGGACAGAGAAAGCGATTTGACAGGCAGTATTAGAAGGAATAGACAAAAGGGAGCAAGAGTGAAGAGTGAAGAGTGAAGATAGTAAAGGAGAAGAAGAAAAAGGAGAAAGGGAAAAATAAGCAAAGAGAAGGACTTTTGCCTGCAGGACTGCTTATATTCTTTGCCTCACTAAGGGAAAAAGAACGAACAGAGAGAGACACACACAGCTGGTAACTTACGTTCACAGGGTAGAATCCATCTCCAGGCTGTACCATGTACCACTGTCTGTTGGGCTTCTTCACCTCGACCTTGGGAGGATCATCTTCGACCACCAAGGCACGGTAAGGAATACATCCGAAACACATCCTGAGAGCGATCAGATGGGAATTTGCAATAAATACCCTTGTGGATCTCTAGCTGTATAAACAAGAACAAATTTGCAGAGAAGAAAAGAAGAGAAGAGAAAGGAGAAGAGGAAAAAGCTGATCTGGTGATGTTTACATTCTTGCTCTCACACCTTCTCAGTGTTTCTTCAGCTGACTACACGAGAGCAAGTGAAGGAAGACTCATTCTACCTATGATACACTCTCATCTATTGTAGTGTCTATCTCTATCCTCCTCCTAGCATGGATAGTACAAAGTAAACAAAGCTAGACACGGGAACTTCCGTCAGTGACTGGCCTATGGGCTCATACTCAATCCTTCAGTGTTGACAGCCCTGCCATTGAAGCAGTGACACCTATCACCAAGCCTCATTTTGACGCTGCTGTGTCTATGTACCAGTTGAGACGCCACACCCAGATAGATCCAGAAGTGGGAAACAAAGACATTTATTTGTGCTCTCTAGAAAGGGGGAGGGAGTATCTACATTTGGTCAATATTGTTACAGCGTTGAGAGGGAGCAACAGACTATTTCGCGTGGCAAACATGGTATCAAACACGCCCGGTATGTGTCGCCCGACAAAGGGTAGTGCCAACAAGGTCAGGCCGGATACAGAGCTTTGAGATGGAAGAAGAGGATTGGCTGGAGGTGCCAAGTGATCCTGGCCAAATGGGGCTATGCCTGGTTACCATATTAAGGCATTGTATAAGAAAGGAGGATCCAATATCGATAATAGATGGCTGGTATATATGATTGATATATGGCAGCACAGAGAACCCGGGATGTGGGGTTGGAAGTGCAAGTCTTGGTTCAAATTATTATCGGAGGGTTTGACAGCTGTTGTCTGTCCTACACCTGCTGGGTGCATAGCGGGATCTGGTATTAAAGTGATCACAACAGTCCCGTCGCACCCTGTTGCCTGAGGGTATGTGATGGAGCTGGTTGTCGTAATAGTCAAGGGCTCGCCTACTCCAAATGTGACTGCATGGGGCAGATCACGTCCTCTCCATCCGCTATTTCAACCGAGTGTTTCTTCCACCCAAAGATGTATTGTATCCGCAGCGTCTTGGGCAAGAACGGGGCAGGGTCACTGAAACCAAGGATCTCGCCCTAAATGTCACAAGTTAGAGAGCTGCAGCAATCAACCAGGAAAATATATAAAACACATGCATACCTTGACGATACTACGCGGTATGCTCAGCTGGCCCTGGTCAACAAGCGCAGCAACGGGAATAGTGACGTCAACCATCTTTTCATCTGCCTTCGGGTCGGTTCTGCTGATTCTCAACGCTGAGTGTGGGGGAATATATCCATATTCGGCATGAAGAATTACCAGACCGCCCCTTTGTTCTTCAACATCCTGTCTGCGGCTGATATGTTCCTTCATCAGCTCAATAGCTTCCAAGCTATCTGCTTTCCGTTTGGCTAAGAGCCTTTGCACTCTCCTTTGTTGTCTAGCAATGGCTTTCTTCTGTTTCCGTCTCTGCCGCGGACGCCAGTACCCGAACTCCATAATCGAATATGTAAGCCACGGTACAATCACAGCAAGACTGGCAATATCAGCATCCACTACTTCCATCGGACAGATTGCAATCGGAAATTTCAAGGTTTGCCCAAGTCTATTCCATGTGATTGCACAAACAAGTCCCCTGCCGCCTTGTATTCCAATACTAAGACCCATGTGAGTAAAGTTACCAAATTTGCGAACGCCTGATATCATCCAGGAGGTGGAGAGATCTAATGAAACAGTTGTTGCAATTTCCAGTCGGACAGGGGGGCTGTTGATTATTTCCTTCCGAGGAGTGTAGCCTTCATAGCTCCACTGGGACAGAGCTGGCTCTTCGGGCTCAGACGTGAAAAGATTCCTCCCGTAATTGAGCGATAGGTTTATGATGCCGGGCGATGAGTGGAGTATTATGCCCCAGTTTTGCCTGGTCTCTGATTGCTCCATTTTCTGTGCTCTTCTACTATTCTCCGCTGCTTCATCTTCCTCATCCAAGTTTTGAGCTCTAGATGCAGGCTGCGCCCGTCTTGTAAAACGTTTAGGAAGTATATTTAAGCCTAGCTCAAATTTGCTGCTCTCTGCAGCTAATATGACAGCCTCGGTTTCGTCGTAAAGAGCTTTGGCTATGGACTCAAAGAAGCTCGCTATGAAAGATGGCCAAGTAATTATCCCGCTAGACCAGTTGCAAAACATTAATTTGCCATCACCTATTTGCCTTTGGACTGATACATGCAAAGGTGGTGGCATAAATAAAGGTGAATGAGACACGACTGTACTCAAAGTAAGCTGGAAAGGATATGTCCCTGGGACAGGGGCAAGGAGCTTCCGCAGCGATAAAGTGAGTGAGGGAGCAGGAAGTAGGGACGCTCCAACCTTGACGGATGAGTCCCCGAGGAAAGGGAATAAGAGGCGATTTAACGGGGTATCCTTAGTGTCATGGCTCTGTACAACATGCTGTACATGAGCGCCCAAGGAAAAGCTGTTGACTGCAAGGTTATGGGGCAATTCTTGCTAATGGAGAGTAAGATACTAGACTGGACATCTTTGGGGCACAGAACTGGGTACGTACCTCTATATCTCTTTCTTCGTTGGTTTCCTCATCGAGCAGAGTGAAGACACGCTTCATTCGATGGAGTTCTCCACCCGTGCTTGCTTGAATGACTAATTGCATATTTTCCTTATCTTCGTCCATAATGTCGTTCCTCTTACGGTTTGAACCGTTCTCGTCATCATCATTGTCGTCTTCTTCATCTTGACTGCTGGATGACTTGAATCCGGGGATAGAAGGAAAAGGCGTCTTAAACTTGAATCCAATAGCAAAATGAGACGGCTTCATATCGGGCATCTCAATATTTATTGAATCCTCAGTTTCCTTGCTGAACATGTTTGTTGCATCAAAGCCGACTTGCATTTCTACCTACATGCGCACACATTAGCAAATAGGACTTAGCACAAGGGGTCTTAGCCACTATACTTTACTCGAGATTAAGTCCTCCAGTACAGAGCGTTCCTTATCCTTCATCTTACGCACAAACCATCGGCGGAATTGGGCTTCATCCATGGTTTTCACGCCAACTTGCATCCTTTCAGCCTCACCAAATGCCCCCAAAAGGCCCGTCATGCCCCATTGTTTGCGTACGCCTTCCTCTCCCATCAGGTCATAAACGACCCGCTTCTTGGGATCTATAAGGGTTTCATAGGCAGTCTGTATCTTCCCAAAATGGTTTCTGGCGGCCTCTTGGAGATGCGACGGCTGTTTGTCCGGATGGAAGCTAAGTGTCAGGGTTCGGTAGGCAGAGCGAATCGCTGCATCGGTAGGTGGGGGATCGCGCGACAGGGCCAGGAGCGAATAGTAGTCTGTTGTATCGGTATAGGACGACAGAAGGTCATATTCTTGCACCATGTCCTCGTCGTCTGGAAGAGCCTGAGGCCCTTCGGCACCGTTATCAGCCATGTGAGCTGCCATGTCAGTCGCAATTGGGAACTGTGCTTCTCATCATCAAGAAGACATGAAAGCTTTTATCTCTTCCCTTCCAACAATATTCAATTTAATATCCGATTCAATTCTTCAGGAGCAGACATCAAACACACCGTGGTAAAAGCCAAGAAGTTGATAATATCCATGGATGGATATTTAACACTAGACCGGACTAAACTTTAGCTCCAAAGCGATGACTCTATTCTTTATATACCAACCGTGTAAGAGAGCAGCAACTCGGCAAGCTACAGCTTCAACGACGGCTTCTCCTACACAACCGGAGAGACTGTATTTTGCCATTTTTGCTGCGATATTTTGGTCTTCAAAGGGTCGGAATCCCTCCATCTCGGCCGCAGGAGCTTCCGCCGGGGGATTTTAGTTATTCCGAATACGGATAAATATAATTACATCCCGTCTTGGCAATAAATTATCACGTGCTTTCAGCCTCATTGATTTAACTTTTTTTTATTTTTAGTTAACGAAATGGAAGAGAAAACGCTTTGCCGTCTCTCCTTGATATGATGCAGCCTGGTGAAAGATGCCTTGAGCTAGTATACCATGGCTGTGTTAGTGTCGGAGAGGTAAAATTTCTCACAGTCCCTTGGGCTACTGAGCCTTCTCGGTTGCATTGACTCACTGAATGTTACATATCTCCTTAATGCCCGTTTTCTCAGTCTATATAATATTTTCTAGTGCTCTTTAGTTACCTTTATATTACATCTTGCTGTTCAACCTACTTACAATCTGAAAAATATTTATTTTAAATATGGCTGACCATAGACAACCTGGTGACATCCCTCCGACCTTTAAAATCGACCTTTCACTCCCTCCTTCAGAAAGATATGTTGTTTTGGCCTCTATATATCGGCAGAAGCTGAGGTGCCTGATAGATATATTTCACGAGCTGATCAGCTCCCTTGACGGTATTATTTCTCCAAAATGGGTCTACAGAGCTGCTCCCATCCTGCTAAGAAGGCTATATACCCGTGAAGAAACAGAAGAGATCAAAGGAATATGTCGAGTTACAGGCATCGATCTCTATATTCTTATATCCCTAAATGTCTTCCTCGACCTACTTATGGGGTGCACCAGCGGAGCAGCCTCGGCGAAACAGAAACAAGACATAGATGCGAAAATGCTTCACTTTCGTACTCTTGACTGGGACATGGATGAACTCCGCCAGCTGATTGTGAAACTTGAGTACTTTCGCAGCTCTGAGAGTGACACCGTTTTGGCAACAAGTGTAACATATGTGGGGTTTGTTGGGGTCCTCACAGGGGTGAGAAAGGGATTAAGCATATCGTTAAACTTCCGGCCAAATCACAGTTCGAGCAGTATTTTGGCAAATTATCGATTTTACGGAAGTCACCTTCTCGTCTTACTGGGTATGAGACGGTCCATATCATCCCTACTTCGCAAATATCTCTTATCAGCAGATCTAGAACCTGCTCAACACCACTCATGGCTTGGTCGAATATTGACATTGGAACGAACAAGGAGATCATCTCAAACCCCTTTGGACCAAATAGCAGAGAATTTACCACAAATACCAACGACAGCAGCTTATTTGATTATGTGTGATGGGACATCAGCTATCGTTTTTGAGAAGGATCACAGGAGCGCTAAGATTCAACGGTCATCATCGTTTATCGTTGCTACCAACAGTGATTCAGCAAATCTCTCTCCAAACTCTGAAGTTGTCGACTGTGGCAAAATCCACAGAGTAGCTAGCACCTCCAATGAGACATTGGATATGGATGATGTCATCTTCCTCAGTAGTGAACGAAGAGCATGCATGCAGAAGGCATGGGATGATAAAGTGCAGGCAAAAGCCAACAGTTTATCCATGTCTCAAGGCTCTACTACACCTCAACCAGATATAAGGCGACGAACTTGTTTATCAAACAGTTACTCCCTTACCGCCTCAAATAGTCTACGCTGCGACAGTCAAGTTACAGCAACGCCATCAGAAGTCATTGAATGGGTAAATAGATACCCTATCACCAATGAAATGACTCACTTTGCAGCTATTATGGATCCTACTCTGGGTAAAGTGACCTGGATTAGGAGATATACAGATCAACCGACCCATAATGATACGGGCCAAGTACTTTAAGAAGATTTCTATAGTTCGAATACTTCAATAACTCGTACTGTTTGATAATTACCCACGCCTGTATATATATCATTTATCACATTAATAAGAGCCTTAAGGTTGTATTTATATAGTTAGTCTACTAATAAGAAGTCACATATATTACTTGCAGAACGTATGAATGCCATTATTATCCATCCCCCAGTTTTTTATCTAGTTTCCTAATGTACATCAAACCTCCACCCAGCACAAGAATAATAATCAAAGACTTAAAAACAGGTGTTAATACGACATTGCCACCCCCCATTAAGATATAAAATAGAAGCCCAGTAAAAGAAGAAAAATAAAACTCGATACGACCATATCAACTTTTCTCCACCACTTTGGGATAATTGTATGCTGCTTTAGAACCGGTTACACCTTTATAAACTGTTTTAAAAAGGGCATATCCTTTGAGTGCTGTGCTGGTCATTAGGTAGATGCTACACATTCACTCTCTGCTTCACTTCCAGTGTGTTCGTCTGCGGATGCACTATTAACCTCATTGTCAGATTCCGCAACGCTCTTATCAGATCGCTTGCTAACAGCGGTGCTAGAGGTTGAGAGTGCAGGTGGGTGGTGGCGGCCTCTTGTAACCATTAGATTCTCACACCAGGCAGTGGCCTCTTCAACAGCCAGGTGAGGCTCTCTTTTGCGGGTAAGAAGGAATCCCTGGATTTCAGCTGGTGAGAAAACATATTCCGGAAGCAATGCGGCGAATGAGATGGCTAGTTCATTGATATATTCAACAGCAACTTGGTGGCTGGCAGTGATAATTCCATTGACATTGTTGTTCTGCTCTACCCCCTTTTTCTCGTTAGATGCAGGTTGGCCCTCGTTGGTGACATTTTTCTCTGTCTTGGCGGTGTTGAACAACTTAGTATTCAGGATAGAAAGAGATTTCTCAACGTGAGATGGCGACGTTGATTGCGCCTTGATACCTCCTGGCTGGTCTGGAGAATACATGCGGATGAAAATTTCCCTGATTTGTTCTCTATTTGCCAAGGTAAATCCAACCATCATATCTACTCTGCCGGGGCGGATGAGTGCATCGTCAAGTTTATCTGGGTGGTTTGTGGTCATGACGAGAACTCGGCCTTCGTGAGAAGCCACGCCATCGATTGCATTCAAGAGGCCTGAGAGTGAGATACCCTTTGACTCGTCATCGTTGTTAGGCTTCTTCCCTTTCTTTGCGCGGCTCGAAGGCTGTTGGGCTGTGGTATCCAAGTTGGAAATGACGCCTTCGGTTGCTCCATTGGTCGCGTCAGTTGTTCCCGGTGAAGAGTCTTCATTAGCGGTAGTACGCGCTAAACCGGCGGTATCAATATCCTCCAAGAGAACAACGCAACGCCTAGGCAAGGAGTTGAAGAGCAACCCGAGGTCTTCTTCCGTCAAGCTTGGTTCGAGAAGAGAGATACAGTATATGTCCAGTCCAAACACGCCAGCTATGGCGAAGCTGAGAGATGTCTTTCCTGTGCCGGGCGGTCCGTGAAATAGGTAGCCACGACGATAAGGTATCCCACGATTCGCGTACCACCGCGGAGTAGCAGGGTGAAGATATTCGTTTATATCCAGCAAAAGTTTCGTTTTTTGAATATTATCGAGGACGACGGTTTCAATAGGCCGAGAAGGGCGAGTGGCGGCTCTGCTCCAGGCGTATATTCCTCGTGAACGAAATTCCTTGGGACCGGGTCGACGGATGGTGGTCTTACTTTTCTCACGAGCAAAAGATGCATCTCTTGCCTCCCGAATCAAGTTTTTGATGGGCTGCAGCGATCTTCCAAGCACTGTGATGGTCAAGGTTTCATCACTGCTGACCATGTTGAATCCCATTCGTCCACTCAAGACCTGTTCCTTTTCTCTGGACATTTTGAAGAAGTTACCATTGTGTCTGAACCAGGAGAACTCATAGTGTGGTTCAAATCTCGGGGGAATCTTCGCTTCCCAGTTGCTGAAGTTCAGAAGAGTGTCCTTAGAGCCTTTGCCTGATACATCCGCACGAAGATCTTCCTCCGAGTCCCAGCTCATGTGGCGTTTGCTTTTGGCACGCATAGATCGGCTGCTGGTGGCGATGGCCAGCTCAGATACCCAGGCTATAACCTGATCATAGATATCGTCGTGAGAGGGGACGGTGATGGACGCTGTCATATAAGTCATGAGCAAGGAGTAGGCATATTTGTAGCAATATACCCATGCCGTGGTGAGAGTGAATATCAGCACACTCAGAGAGACGGCAACGGAGATGTCGAAGCCAGTGATCTGGAATATGAATCCCGAAATGACAGAGTAGCCTGGCAGGAGAGCATCGAGGATATTGTTCGGTAACTGAGTCAGGTTCATTTGGGCAGAGCTGTTGCTTGCCCCTGAAGCCAGTGCATTTGGCAGGTTGAAAGACATGGCGGATGCCACAGACGCGTCCCTATCTCTGGAATGCACATAAAAGTCTGCACCAGGCTTTCAACCAACTGTTTCCAGTGTTAATTCTGCGAGACGGACGCGTCGGGTGGCTGCTGTTGCCTGTCTCTGTACAACAAAGCAGGATGACAAGGGGAGAGAATAAGAGATGTGGCCAGGAGAAGTAAATCAGGGGTTTCAGACAGAGAGGCTGGGTATGTTTGCTGTATTTATATCAGCTAGTGCTCACAGCCAGAGATACCAAGGAAGATCGCACCTTGGTGGGTGTGAGTATCCAGGCTGCTTCAGACGGGACACAAGGGTAATAAGAGCGGAAGGATGCAGATGCACCTTTTTTTGTTGTTGGTGGTGGTGATAAGTTATAGGTTGGTCACGGGCTCAGGGGGGGATTTCACGGGACTTTCCATGAAAACAGACAAGAAGACAGCCAGTCAAGCAGGACTTTGGTCTCCTCTCTTCTGCTTCTTCTTCTCCTTTCAAAGTATCACAGCTGGTATTGTCCAGATCCCAGAGGTAGATGATACAAACTCTTTGATTCAAGCACCCGATGCATTTGAACGGTACAATACTGCTATCAAGAAGGGGAGAAAGACAAAGGAGGAGATATCCAGGAGCCTCTAAATTACCAAATAATCTATAGCGATTGAGCTTCCAAGGGGGGAAAGCGAACAAACGCAGTACACTTCCGCAGTGAATCACAGTGCAACAGTTGCGGAACCAGAGAAAGGTCGAGAAAAGATAACGAGGAACAATCCCAAGAGAGAGAGAGAATGTGGCACAAACCAAACTCGATACAAAAAACCGGGTGCCTATGGCTATCCTCCTGGCCGGCAGACACGTTTGTCCTCGATGGAAGACCAGGGGAAAGAAAAAAAAAAAGAAGAAAGAGAGATCCCCAGCTGGAGCGGGTGTCTGCGTTCCCAGGGCCCAGAGATGACCCTTTAAATTCGAGGCAATCGCAGGGCTGCACGCTTGAAGCGGCATATCAAGGTAGCTAGCTACCTTACCCACCTGGCTGAGTCCCGGTCATGGTTGAAAACAAAACATAAAAAAAAGAAGATATGCTAATATATGTTAATAGTGTAAAATAAAAATAAAAATAAAAACTTGGAGGGTCTTTATAGGACAAGATTCCGGAGCAGTGGTTATGGGTGGAGGCCATTTATGTCTGCCTGCGGCTCACTACAAGGGGCAAGGCTCTATCGCCTAATTAGCGGACGCCAGGGGACAGGGTTCAGAGCCCAACTGGCAGCGGCGCCCTCAAAGTCGATCGAGGTCGGTCTGTGTGAGCAATGAAAATCGAGGAGACCCTGTAGCTGGATCTCCCACCGGCCCCAGCCGTGGATTCCAGCCATGGAAAGTTACATAGAAGAGATGACTCTTCCCGTTTGTTTTCCTTCTCAGCTGTCATATGATGGTACCAGGGTGGTTTGGTCGTAGGAGTCATTGGCTCTTGTTCTCTATCCTGCGGCAGGAGAGCTTGAGATGCTTATGCCGCATGACACGGGAGTGAGACGTGAGAGCGGAGGATTTACGATGGGGTTCACGATGCTCGTTCGTTGAGTGGCCGTTTGATTAATTCACCCCAGCACCTGACGCTGCTGCCGCTGTTGTTACCTAGTTTCCGTACTCCGTCCCTCTATTTGACCCGGCTGAAGGGAACCAGAGAACATTGCTCCAGCCATCGTCTTCGCAGTGGCCAGCACTCCGTATATGTAGAATGATACGCATCATGCATCTGGCACTTCATGATGCACGAAACCAGGCCAGCTCCTGGTTTGGCGACAGCTGTCTTGAGGAGATATTGTGGCGCAATCCGAGATCTCTCCATCCCCGTTCGTATTCAATCCCATTTCTCCAGACAAGGCTCACAATAATAGGCCCCCTATCTGCTATCCTCAGGCAAACAGCCATCAAATTCCTTGTTGCTTAAAAGCGGGTGGAGACTTGGTTGATTTTTGGCCCCCAAATCGATTCACTCTTCTCCGTATCTGTATCTCGATGCCTATCGACAAGGTAATATGCATCTAGATCTGGGGTTCCAGTACAGAGTATACTGGCTCCGGTCTCTATCTGAGAGGAATCGTAGCACGTTCAAAACCCAAGTCCAAGGTTTTTTCTTTTTTGTTTTAAGGCAAAGCCCTGGCCTGCTGCACTGCGTATATGCCTTATTCCATGTCAACTGGTAATTGGAGCGGATCCGAGGTGGAACCAGTGAGGCGCATGTTAGTTTGAAGGCAAGGAGAAATCCTGGAGAATGACCAGACCGACATTCCTCCTCCGTGCGCCAGCACACTCCCACATAGGCCTGGTGAGTGGAATATCACATCCTGCGGCGCATCGGTCAGTTTGACATCAAACGAGAAATCGATCCACAGAGAGAGAAGAGACGAAAGGGCGCAGGTGAAAGCAACCACTTTACGTCATAGGCTCGAGATCCCAGAAGAATATCAAGACGTTCTAAGGAGTGAACTGAAGATTCTATACTCTGGACAGCAGGGACAGAAGTCAACAACTCACCGGCCAGCATGGATCGAGTAAATGGATATAACATCTACATTGGCAGGTTGGTACATAGTTGGTGTTTTTTTGAACGAACCCATGCGCCTCGCACTCTGAGCCTCTATTAGGTACATGATGAATGGCTACGATAATAATGAATATATCCAGTCTCTTTGCGCTTAGAAACCAAGATGCCCTGAAACAAGCTAATATAACGCATGTCATCTCTGTTGTGGGACCAAAAGAGCGGCCCTCTGCCATTAGCAGCCTTCAGACATACGATGTCCAGGGGCATCTCATCCTAGACCTACTCGACCAGGACCAAGAGAACATCCTCCAGCATTTCCCGCAGGCTAATCGGTTTATAGAGGGAGCCACTGCCGATGGCAGCGCTGTGTTGGTTCACTGGTCAGGACAATACCTCTTCCCATATATATACACTATAGAAACCCCGGAACACCTGCATATGCATATAAATTCTGACCCTGAGTTATATAGCGGTTTGGGGATATCCCGGTCAGCAACGATTGTTCTCGCATACATGCTCTACCAGGCTCGTCCGAGGTTGACCCCTGGAGGCGCCCTGTTTGTCCTTAGAAGCAGTCGGCCTGGTTGTCAGCCGAATGCTGGGTTTACTGAACAGCTGGCGCTGTACCATCAGATGGGATGCCCAGATAGCCTAGAAGACCAGCATCTCTATCAACTATTCCTCGATCGATAGACATGGTGAGAAAAGTTTGTTCTTTAGGTTGAGGTGCCTCTTGTGGTAGTTGGACGGCATTCCGAAGACTGGAAATCCGGTCTAGAAGATGCCCTACTAACAGTAACTACAAATACTCTAATATCATAGACTAAGTATCATTATGGTAGACCGTTAATTTATATCATGGCAACTACCTCGTATTTGACAATAGTAAAAGAGCAAACCCGGCATCAGAACCCATTGAAAGCGTTTAATTTAAAAAAAAGTTTTGGTATTGTACTCAAAAAACAAGATCTCATCTAAGCCTCGTTCAAGAGTTTATGGAAGCTTTCAGGAGCACGCTCAGGTGCCTTGTCAGTCTCGATACCGGTCTGACCCAGCTTTTGTTTCGAGAAAGCAGCAGCGTATGGGTTGAGTCTGAGGAGAACCTGCTTGTTCTTGAGAGGGTTCTTCTTCTGGACGCATCCTCTCTTGGTCTTGGCTTCGCCCTTGGGTTCTCTGAGGACGGACTGAACTTCAGAAGAGTTGATGAGACGGGTGATGTCGGCGTTAGAGACGATGTTAGAGGGCAGGAGGAAATCTTTCTTGAGGGCGGATGCGGTGGTCGTGGTGCCATAGATCTCGTCGAGAGCGCTGAAAGCGGCAGAGGACCAGACAATGAAACGTCCGAGATGACCGCCTGGGGCGAGTTGGAGGAGGTTGAGGGAGAAAACGGAGGAGGTCTCGACGCCGGGAATGTTGCGGAAGGCCTTAACGAGGTCCTTTCCGTCGACATCTGGGTTGTAGACGACGAGAGGACCACGGCGCTGGCGGTATCGGCGGCCTCTCAGCTTACCCTTACCAGCACGGACTTTGCGGGACTCCTTGACCTTGACAAGGTCAGCGCCAGCACCGACGGCCTGGAGAAGGGCGACGGCAGCCTTGGTCTTGGTGATAGCATCACCTTCGAAGGCCTTGGAGTCGACGACGAGTGGGACCTCAGGAACGTTCTCGACACGGTGGCCACGGGCGAAGAGGAGAGCAGGGACGGAAGAAGCAGCGAGGGCAGAAGCAGGTGGG